CAGGTTGCATTGCTTGTAAGAAAGCTACTTATGAAATTAGCTCTCATCGTGTCCCTGAAGACATTAGTGTCCAAGAGCTGAACAGCTCCTGTTACCTGCCACTTCTACTACACCGGCAATGTTAGCTAGCGTGAAGAGGAGAGCTGTTTCCGCCCACGACTCAGAGGCGAATTGCTAATGATCTGCTGGAGCTCTGCAGAAGAAAAGTCCTTGAAAATGACACAGGGAACGTGTTTTTTGGTACAAACATCATCACAATTTATAAAACTTTAAATAGTAAAAAAAAAACAATCGGAGAGGGACTAAACAACTGTGATTGAAAACGATAAGGATCACATAATCAAACAATGAGGGAGCATGGGGAAGATCTTTGACTTGAGGCTACTGTGCACCAGCTAGTGACTAACTTTAAAGTTAAAAAAAATACAATAAGACACTGACTTAAAGAAAAAAAAGTGAGATAGATATTTTCATTCTCTTCAGCTTCACTCCTCTCAAATAAGCTATCCACCCATGGACATGTGTGTAATTTATATTTGTTCAGAGGTTACCCATGAGTATTTCACCCCTCCTTTATTGTTTTATGGTCTTAATATCTCTGAGGTGGGCACATGATGATAAATCAATAGAAACAATACTTTCTCTCTATGTCAAAGACCAAGGGAACGTTCAGTGTGTGTGTATCTAGGCCTGGATCGGTGAACACACTTCTTCTGGTTTGTGTGCGCTAATATCCCAGTGAAAGCCTATAGCAATATGTTGACTATATCCATACAGTAGAGTTATGCCTAATCCAATTCAGCTATTGACAGGAAACACACATAAAACACGCCTCCCTGGAGTTAGATGGGTATTCATAAGCAACAAGAGGATGAGGCATAGGAGAGATGTTGAATGAGACCATCGAGGGGAAATTCTCAGGAGCTTGACAGGGACAACAGCCCCATCTACAGGATTTAAGAGCAACTGGAGACCAAAAGAAACCTCTCTTAACACAGGGAAGATTTTGTACCTTACTTTAAATTCTGGTGAATCTCTTTGTCTCAGCAAAGCTTAATGAGCCTCCTGAGAAAATCACAGCCAGGTGAACTTGCTGTAGGTGAAAACTACCTCTGTCCTCAACGGCATAAAACAATGCTATCCTTTTCTTCCTCTGAAAAAACCACTGTATCTGCACATTCTGGAGGGGACACTGCAGTACTTTGCCAGTGAAATACGGGTGTTCACTTACAGAGTGAGGACTTACTGAACAACATCCTGGAAGTGGTCGACACGGACTCAGCATTTCTGAACACAAGTTGCTGAAGTCCTTCACCGGGACAGCAATCCTGCACACATTTGATATACACAGAGGAGGGCAGGCTCAGGTCTTAAATACACAAACACGCACACACGCACATGCTGGGAGATTGGCCATGCTCTCTAACCCCTTCCTGTGTACATGGACCTGCCTCTCAAATATCACTGAGTCCAGACAGAGGAGAAAGACCTTTCCAGAACAAAGGAGAGCTCTGATAAGGAAGAGCTTGCTGGTGACACTCCGCCTTTTTCTCCAAACTACAAAGAGAACCTCTGCCCCCTGTGGCTCGTCCGGATTGTTCCCCTTTCTTCACCCATTTCTGGACGAACAAAAATACCAAGAGCAGAGAGAGAGAAAAAAAAGAAGGGGGCAATTTTTAAGTGGGTCAGATTGGAGTGGGGAAAGAGGAAAGTTGAAACAGAGACAGAGACAGAGGGACGGTAACAGGGGGTTTAAGAATGAGAAAGTGAAAGAGATTAAACAGAGTAACCTTGACAAGTCAGGTCACAATTTATCCAAACTGACTCTGAAGGTGCCTGAGGTGTCTCGCTGCTATTATATTCACATTTATGAAAATCTGCACATAACATTAGCATCAGAAAAATTGCACAATATAATCTGGATTTTTTTTTTTTGCTGGAACAAACTCCGAGAAATGCAGCCAGCAGTTTTTTCCGCGTGTGTGTATGCTTGTGCTTGTGTGTGTGCATGTCTCCTAAAGAGCTGGCAGCCATGCAGAGGTATGAAACAGATGTGTGTGTCGGTCATTACTGTAATCGCTCCATTTACTTCATCTACCCTGGGAGGGACGGCTGGTCAGCGCCATCTGGACACATGCGCACAGGAACATACATGGCAATCACCAGCCGTGGTAGGATCTCCTGGGTAGTCAGCCAGCAACAGGAGGGAAGCTTTGAAATGATCATTACATGTGTGTGTCTGTGTGTGCATGTGTGTGTCTGAGAGAGTGTATTTGTGCCATCTTTGTCAGTGTCTCAATTTCTTTCCTTTTCCCTGGTGACATTTCCTCTCTGCTTTTCTCTTCTAGCTTTTTTCCTCCCCTGCCTTTTTCTTCCCTTTTTCCTCCTTTCCTCCACCTCCCCTGAGTCTAACTGCCTCAGAAATATGGACGTTTTTACCCCAGAGACTACAAGACAAAATGTAAAAAGGCCATGGTGAGTGGAACCAAAGTGGAGACTTGTTCGAAATACCCAGCGCCTGAAGAGATGGCGGTCATCACGACGTGCGTGTGAGTGTGTAAGTGCGCAGCTGAGACCTCAAGCTCATCTACATGTAATTTCCTCCCCTGACTGAGGACAGGGGAAGAGTGATGAAGAGAGGGGCGGCTGAGGGGAGACACAGCAAAAGAGCCAGGCTGAAGCTTCGAACTCAAGAGCGGCAGACTGATCGTCAAGCAACACGTAGTCATGGCAACGGCAGCATGGAGAGAGAAGGAGAGGTGGAGAAACAGAAGAGGAGGAAAAGATGAGGAAGATGCTTCGGGTTAAAACTACATTTGAGGGAGATTAGGAGGGGAAAGAGTTCAGCTGTTGCTCTGCTCTGCTCTGCTACAGTGCAGCAGAATATTACAGCCTCTTACAGGTGATATTTCAGTTACAGTCAAGTGCTGAGAGTTTAAATATTGCCTCAGGATATATTTCCCTTTTTGTCCACTTACTCATCCTGTTTACATTACTCAGCAATGAGTGCTCAGAACTACTCTTGAATATTTACCACCGAAAGCTGGCCAAGTGCAGTATCTCTTCTCGGTGGTTGCTCCTCTGCACCTTCATCACTCTATTCTCTGCCTCATTTGTATTCTGTAAGCTTGCTGCCCCTTCTCATTCTCCACCCACCTCTGTTTTTTAACCTCTTTTTCCCTCTGTTTGCTCCCTCCCCTTTTCTCCTCTTGCCCCCCCCCCCCCCCCCCCCCCCCCATTGTCCTAAGATCTCTTTTTCTGGCCTCCATCCCTCCATCCCTGCAGAGCTGAGCTGACATTGGGCATGAGGTCAGAGAGATGGGCAGTCATGCTCCCGCTGTCAGCAGGCTCAAATGGGCTTAGATACAGTGTGTCTGCGGAGACACCCAAGGGACTCCCCTCACTTGTCTTGTGCTCTGGACAACCATGCACACCAAAGCCTCGCACATTCAATCACACACTTTCGTTGCCATATGATGAAAAGAACGCACAAATTCATTTATCAAAAAAACTATCATGAAAGATTCTGCTTTACACATACAAATATAAAGTTAGCAAAAGCACTCTTGGAAATATACACACTATACATAAACAATGTACATGTGTGAATAGGGAGGGCATGTCATCACGGATTTCAGACATATTCCTTTGGAGGACTGCCATGGATTACTGGCTGGAATGGTCTGCAACATATTTATGGACTACGCACTGATCAACACTTGAGTTAAACATAAAACATGAAACTACAAAAGCTCATGCCATTAAGTATTAATATGTCACATGAAAAGAAAATATGCCTCTGTCTTCCCTAACAGATGTTCTCAAGCTAACATTATGCCAAAAGGGAGCGATTATAGATTATGAAGTGTTTGTATGAACAAAGAAATCTTGTATAACCTAATGGGGAACGGTTAAACTACATTTGTAACCAATGATTCAATAGAAAAGATTTACAGCCTTAAATTGGATTTGTACAATCCCTCTGTTGTTGAAGAAATGCTTATATTTTCTATTTGTACCATACGAATTGCATAACCGTAGAATAATCCAGCAAAACAAATGTATGGTCATGAGGTTATAAATACATTCAAATGTCAGACATCCCAGAGAAGCTCTGCCGTCTCCAGTCAGCCCATTTTAAATTACAACTATGAATCAAGGTTATACTCAGGGAGAAAAGGGTCTTTAAAAGGGTTTTCATTGCTGTGGTATTCTATGTGACACAGTTCGAAAAATATCCCATTTCCTATGTTTTTATATAAATGGCATAATGTGTGTAATGGGATGTCATGGCTGGGGTCACTTTGGATTACAGTTAAAAGAGACACTCAGAAATGCTGTACCACACTGCCCCCGTGTGCTGATGATACACACTGCGAAGGTTAGAGGAATAGGATACCCAAAAGACCTCATCTGCTGTGTATGACTAAGGGGAACGTCTCTGGTAGCAGCTACGACACATTCTTTCCCAAAATAAGATAAGAGACCCCGAGCAATTACCCCAAAAGTGAGTCCAATACTTCTTCAATCCACGATATGAATTCACAGACATACATTGGGTCATATACCTTATGCTTACTGTTGAAAAATGCATTTCCTTATAAATACATAATGGTTGAAAAATCATTCCTTACCTGTTGTGGAGGTGTCCCTGAAGTCAGGCCTCCTCTGAATGCTCAGGTTACAGGATTGGGTTGCAGGCTATTCAGGCAGCCAAAGCAGCCTCCACTAGCCCATGCAGTGCTGTCACAGTGACAAGTTAACTTATCCAAGGTGTGTATCACTTTTCTGGCTTAGTCCTTTAGAGCTGAGAGAGAGATGACACATGAAGTTAGCACGAGGAAATTGTTATGATACCAGAACATCAATCTAAAACTCCTGATCTTGGCAAGAATAACTGAGGTGAGCTTGTAAATTTACCTCTCTTCTCCTGCTTCTAATCCACTTTAGGTTGATTTAAGCATTTGTTGTTCTTCTTTTTCCAGCTAGTTTGAGTCTCCATGGCTGAGGCGGCCGGCAAAAGCAGTAACAGTGGCGGTTTGGGCAGTGGTGGAGTGCGCGTCCCCCAAGAGCCCTCTCTCAAAACCGGTGTGGTGTTGTCAGATGAGAGGGTGGACTTCCTTCGTGAGCAGGCCTTCTGTGTGCTGCGAGTGAAGACGGATAAATGGAATCGCTTCATTGGAGCAGAGGAGAACCAGAAGATCATACTGGACTTCTTGGATCACATCTGGACCAACAGGCTGTTGCTTTTCACTGGACCTGGAGGGACGCTGCATGCAGGAGATGCTCAGGTAAGTAATATAAACAGGTCACTAACAAATATACACAGGTTCAAGGGTCAAGTTTATTTTGTAAAGGTATTTAGTTTTATTTTCATGTATCATATCATATATCTCAGCTATAATTGACGTTGTTTGAAGTTAAAGCCCTCAGTAAAACAGTATGGTAAATACCTGTTTTCCTGCATCCATAATTTGTTTATTTAAAAGTTGTGATATCCTAAGGCTTCAACACTAACATTTCAGGCATGCAAGTCATTTCTTGAGTTCTTAACATTTTTATCTACAAGCCCTCTAACATGCACAATCTTTGAAATAAGTCATTACTTATTTCTAGTGCTTTCAATGCTGTCGAAAGCATTCCTACTGTTCTTGCTTCTGTGAAGGTATCCCCACCATGGAAGACCAAGCTTCTGTGTGTGCTAAAGAGAGGCGTGAAGAGAATCGCACGTCAAGATTTCAAACATCAACTCCGGCTAGGAGAGGTGCCAGGGTATCCTATGGAGCACCTACCTATTGTCATCTCTGAGGTTAGCTAATGTGTGTGTGTGTTAGTGTTCAATAAAATAAAGCGACTCTAAAGCAGGTGATGTGTGTGAGAAGGCCATGATTATTGGTGTTGTCAAACTTTAAACATTAGTGGAGAGTGGGGTAAGATGAGCCTGCTTCATATTTGGGTTCACTACATCAAGGCAATCATATTTTGGTCTCTAACTAGTGAATCTGCATATATTTCAAGATGTTGTGCATCCCTGCAAACCAACAGAATGAGTGTAAACATAACTGTCTTGATAATACAGCATGCCCATAAAAGTGGTCTCCTATGGTCAACTTACCCTGTGTTTGGGGTAAGTTAACCTCATGTTGTAGCTCATAGATACCACAATTGATGTATAAAACACATTTAAAATGATCTCTTTTGGTCTGACCACAATTCTAATAAAACTTATGACAGAATAAATTCACTTTCAAGAGTGAAAAATGTTTCTTGGAAATAAATGTCTAACCCCTTCACCCATGTGCTTCTAACCTTCACAGACTCCATGAATTGATGCCCATCTCCTAAATATTTGGTCACATGATCAATTTCTTTAACCATTTCTAAGTAACAGGGGATGGCTCAAGTTACCCCACTCTCTCCTACTCATAGGACATGCTCTATCACGTAGTTGTCATAGTGTATGTGCCCAATTAAAAAATGTTACAGCAGAAAGCCAAAAGGAGAATGTGACAGAGCGCCGATCAGCGCGGTCATTCCCCGACAGCCGCGGGTCTCTCTCTCGGAGCCTAAAAGTACTCATGGAGCGCACACGTTCCCCGCGGAGCCAAGCTCCGTCAAATTGTTTAACAGTTTCCCCGCACCTGTGTCCCGCAGTCCTGCACTCCAACCAACTATTTCCCTTTTCATCTGGACTCTTTTCTACCCGCTCTAGGCGTTTGAGGGTGCACAATCGACCCCTATACGCCACACACACATGTACCCACTTACCTGCGGCCATCAAGCAAATCAAACCGGGGTACTTCCTGATCCGTCAGTAAATAGCGCAAGGTGGCGCCTTTTGGGGGGGCATGTGACCGCTGGACCATATCAGTATAGTTCATTTATGATATTTTGTCTGATTTACTGTTTTCAAGGGGTAAGGTCATGTCTGTATGGAGGGTTATTAGTGCCATTTGTCTGTGGTGAAATGTCTGATTTATTGAGGAGTTTGTATTGTACTTTACATGTGGTGTCTTAAACCCCTATAATTTGTGTATGGATGTGCCAGGGGAGGGGCTAGGGAGGTTTAAAGCAAGACTGCCTGGGCCTGGCTTGGAGTCTGGATTTGGTGGCAAAGAAGGTAACTGCCGAGCTGAGTTTCTGTATTGCTGCTGTGTTGCTGAATTGCGAGTCATTGAAGAACTCTTACTTTGTTGGCATTTTTTTTTTCCTTGCACATTGTTGTAAATAGTACTTTGACCATTTTTGCCTCTATGGTAAAATTTTTGCACTGCACCTTGGGAAGCCGGCTATAAATAAATTTCACCATCATCGTACTTTTCGACTGCGCCTGTCTTTTCCACTGTTTTTGATTGCTTGAGAGAGAACCCTGCGACATTTGGTGTCAGAAGTGGGATAAGTCAGTCGACAAAGGCACACCTAGTTCTCGAGAAGGCGTACAGGCCAGCGATCATAAAAGCAGGGAGCAGCTCAAGATGAAGGTGTAGATGATGGGGCCTGGGCCACAGAGGACGAGGAAGAAGGGGGTGCTGCCGCTCCAGCCCTGCAGGCAGCCCCTGGAGCTCCAAGTGCAGGAGAGGAGCTGCTAATGTTTATGAGGAGCCTTCTGGTGGGACAGTAGAGGAGAGAGGAGCTCAGAGGACTACAGGCTTTGTTGCCAACTCCACAACTGGGTCAGTAGGTGGTTGAGTGGAGGCCTGCTGCACCTAGCCCAGCCCCAGCCAAAGCTGCATCACCATCTGAGGGGTTGATGATGACTCAGCAGCTCCACAGCAGCATCGCAGTTCACCCTTGGAGGCACCAAGGGACAGTGTAAGCTGTGGAGCAGAACCCGCTAGGCTGGAGGGCAGACCCTACGACAACCCCAAGTTTCCTCAGTATCTGGCTGAAGAGGACATCAGAAATTACCTCCTCTGCTTTGACCGATTTATCAGAATGTTGTATTGGCCAGAGCAGGAGTGGACATGTCGCCAGACTTGAAGGCAGCTCCTGATGAAGTTTGATGGCTCACCAGAAACGTATCGTCATCAGTTCCAGTCCATGACAGTTCATCCTGGAGAGAATCCAACAGAGACTTACTACCACTTAAAGGGACTCTACCAATGATGGACTAGACCAGAGCAGCATACATAGGATCTGATCGGTGAGCAGATCATTTTGGAGCAGCTTCTACAGGTCTTTCCTGCAGACATCTGTAGGTGAAGGAGCATAAGAGTAAGGGTGTTAATGTTGGGGGGAGGCAGTAGCATTTCAAAGATGTCATCATTAACGGTGAACCTTGCGACTGCTCTGGTGGACTCTGGTAGCTTCCTGACGCTGGTCTGAAGAGATTTAGTGCCAACGGGCATGGTGGATTTTGGCAGACAGGGGAAGACTTTGCGTGTGCATGGTGACAGCCATACCTATCCTACAGCTGATTTGACTGTGGTGGTGGATGAGCAACCCTATTTGCTGACAGTGGGGGTGGTGGAAAAGCTGCCTGTAGCTGATATCTTGGGATGGGACTTACCAGTGCTCCTTGATGTGCTGTTGGAAGAGAGGGGTGGTGAAAGTGACTGTGGGCAGGATTTGCCAGGGCCGGTGAGCACCCGTGCCCAGGCCCAAGCGGGGGTGACATCTATCCCAAGGCAGGAAAACAGGGCCAGAGCCAGAACTCTTCTCAACCCTGGACACAAGTTAGTTTGAGGGGGGCACAAAGGGCCTGACAAAGTCTCACCGCCAGCGGCATTTTGGAGGGCCTGAAATCTTGGGGGCCATACTGTAAGGAGGGGCTGACAAAGGACGTGTGGGAGGTGCCAGAGGACATTGGGACCTTGCAAAAGACGGATGGGACTTTGAAGCCACAGTTTACCAAAGTGGTTGGGGGGCTGGATATGGCAAAGGGGGACAAAGAATGCTTTGCTATGCACAGTGATTGTCTTTATGCAGTTGCTGATGGGGTTTTTGTAACAAAGAAGTTTTTGTGTACTTTTTTGCATAGGTACTTGTATGTGTGCTGTCTAATGGTCTTAATCACGAGGACTGGCCACGGGTGGTGTCCGATGATATCCACAGGCACCTGGAGACGCTGAGGAGTCGAGTGGTGACACTGAGGGGTCGCGCTGAGGGACGAACACTGCTTCCACTACCACTGACTGTGGAGACGGCACGACCACAAGACATTGTGCTGAGGTCAGTGAGCATCTGTGTATATAACAACTGGGCTAACTGGTTGTTTTCACTGAGTTTATAGGTATGTCGTTGTTTAACGAGGGCAGGCAAAATATTCATGTAACTTTCTTTCTTCAATGTTAGCATCACACCGCCACTAAAAAGTTAACTTTTCTCAACAGGCACTTTTAAAATTTTGTTAAACATTTGCTCAAAGAGCTTGAAAAAATTACCCACTGTGCAGCGTCTGACTTCTTGAACCCACTCTCATTTACCTATGGCTGTAAGTGACGCATTGTGTTCATGTCTTGTGTGGTTCATGTGAAAAGGAAATATATAATAAAACATTTTTAAAAGAAATGATATTGTAACTATCAGGAACATGTAGGAATCCACATTAATCATACTGTATATTTCCTGATTTAAGAATCTGTAAAAAGAGCAAAGATTTAGAAAGCTGAATGGAAATACAGTCAGGGGATCTGAGTGACCATGACATCAAACTAGTGCAAGTGGGCAGCAGACCAAATTGTGTATTAAAATACAAACCCTTAGAGAACAGAGATAGTTTCACAATAGCACTGAGTCCTGATAAATTCAGTTTTGACAGAATTTGGCTTGACAATTATATTGGTCTTGGCTTCATGAGTGTTATCAATGCATGAGTCACAAAGGCGAGTCTCACTTTGATTTACTAAGACAACATGCTCCCTGTGGTAATCCATGGGTCAGCCAAAAGTCATTGTCTGTTGCATGACAGAATTTTTTAATACAATACATGAAAATGTCTCCAAATGCTGCAAGAATTTTGTGTTCAGTTTCTTGAAACAAGATGTAATACTCACTCCAATGACCTTGTCAAGAACATTTTGGCTCATAATATATTAAGATAAGTTTAATTTTTGGACCTGATGGGTAAATGAGGTTTAAAACAAGTATAATGAGATATCATCAGTACAAAGGAGAAACATTCCCAAAGTGAGATTTTAGTTTATTTGTAGTGTAGACATGCCATCAGCTATCTATCACACAGAAGATGAAAAGCTGTTTTTTAGCAGTTAGTTTTGCTCAGTAAATGAAAGGATGTACAGCACTTTCCACAGAAATTGCTTGAAAAGAAAAAGAAATACTGATCGTAAAGTGAATTGTAAAATAAGCACTAAAACTATGGATTTACAGTGATAGGTATGTGAAATAGGATCTGACTGTGATGGGATTTCAATGTAGAGCAATACTACAGCCTGAGATATAGTTTGTGAAGTTTCCAGTCTGATAAGGCGTATATTGCCATGTTCTCTCCATGCTGATTGTCTTGTTCTCTGTCTCCTTCAGCCCCGCTGGTTGGCCACTAGACCGTGGCTTGTTATACTCTATAGAAACTCTTATAGTTCAGTGGTCTGGACAGATTTGGGATGTCCTGAAAAAAGACTCTGGTGTGCTGCTGCTCCAGGGAGATCACCCAGGCCCCAATGTGGAGCTCCAGTTTTGGACCACTCAGAGAGAAAACCTGCTGGGCATTCAGTCTCAAGTATGACAGTGGTCTTATGGTTTTATGGAAGTTTGTCAGGGGTAAAGTTTTCCAACAGTAAGACTTTAAAGTTGCAGTCAAACAATGAAGGAACTTTAGTTTCTTAGACTTCTTGAAAGATATAAAAAAAACTAATCTTTGCACATAGCTTCAAATTGCTAATTTTTTGAAAAGTTGATATTATCTTTTATTGCTCAGGTTTTTGATGCTATTATTGTCAGTGCTCTTGTGCTCAGTGTTTTTTTGTTGTTTTTTTTTAACTATGAGGTCTTTTAGTACTCTGTTTCTCCCCCTTTTGCAGTTGTGTGATATTTGACACACTCTAATAAAGTCAACAAATTAAACAGGTGTACCTAAGAATTTTGTCACTGAATGTACTTCATACTATGTGTGTTTTTGTTATCAGATCCAGAGCCCTAAAATAAGGCACGTCATGGAGATCCTGAGAAGGGTCAAGAGCAGTTACTACTCCTCTTTTAAGGATGTCTGCCGCCAAGTAGATGAGGGTAGGTCTTCAATGCTCACCATTTATCAGTGCCAATAAACTCATTTACTCATTCTGTCATGTACTCTCTCAAAGCACAGCTTCTTAATTAGTTTTACTCCCAAATAAATTAGGCAGTCCTTGCCTTGATTTATTTTGTTCCTACAGCACATCCAGATTTCACAGCTGTGTGTGTGTAGTTTTTTCCTTTTTTCTCTGACTCAGGAAAATAACATAATTTGAATTTAGCCTGATGTTTTTCCCAAATATCAGACACACGCTCTTTTTGTATCACCAGGCTTAACTCTTTTCTTGCTAGGCAATGCAGTTGTTACATTATTCAGCCAGTGAATTCTGCTAAATAAGCTCCCATCAGGAACATTTCTGTTTGTGATTATTATAGCTGTGCTGGAGGCTTCGGACATAGATCTGTATCTGCGGCCTTTGAGGAGACTCATCAGTAGCTTGGAAGAGAAAAGTTTCCCACAGGTAGACACAGTACTGCCGCCTCTTTTCCACACACTCTGTCTCATCTGGAGCCATTCCCAATACTACTGCACTCCAAAACGCATGGTAGTCCTCCTGCAGGAGTTCTGCAATCTAATCATTGAAAAGGTAGAATGATGCTTCTCTTTGTCAAATAAAAGTAGATGTTTTGAGGAGATAAAGTAACTAAAAGAACTGATCTCTGTAATGATTGTGTCTCTCTATCCAGGCTATTGCATATCTCATCCCAGAGGAACTGTTTAAGATGGAGCTTGAGGAAGGAGTGGAGAGAGTTCAGATAACAATCTCAGTGCTGCGCACCTTCAAGCAGTTGTTTCACAACCACCGCCAACGGATCCCCAAATACTACAAACACACCCAGACTATCAAGCCATGGGATTTTCCTGCTACACTTGTGTTCCAACGCTCAGACTGTATAATGGAAAGACTGCTCATGATTGAGGTGCATGAGTTGATGTGAAAAGTTGTTGTGTATTCAGCTAAAAGGTTTATTTGAAATGTATTTAATGTACTGTATGTGTGTAATGCATACTGTGCTCACAAAGATCAGGGAATCATTTTAGCGATTTCCTCTCATCCACAGGACATTTTTGCAACAGCGCTAGACTTTCTAAAGCTGGAGAAGGTTGAACTGGGTGGATCTAGAGGAAAAGTGCTTAGTGATATGGTCTTCGGGATGAGCGAAGAGTTCCAAGATCGCTGGCGGGCCCTCAGAGAGAGCAAATATGACCCCCTGGACTATACTGACAATGTGGGGCTGAGTGAGATTGCTGAAATTATCACACTTCTGTATATTATTTGTAGTTATATCAGGCCAAACAGGCTGAAATTCTCGTCTTGTTTGCAGGATTTTGTTCATTATTACTGGCGTTTTATGGATCAGAACAGAGATTTTGACCAGAGACTGGGGACTGTTCTCAACCTGGCCTTCCAGCACTCGAAAAACCTGAAGTCATCATTTAAGGTTAGCCCATTACACTCTTATCTGTTTAGGAGTCAAAGTGTTTTGTTTTTTTGTTGTTGTTGTTGGTTTTTCTTACTTTTACTGTACAATTTTAAGTTGTTACAGTTTGGGTATGAACATGGTATCAGTCTGTTGATCATATTGATGTGGCATCTCGTCTGGAAGTGGAATTTCAGCTTTTGTGTTTGGTCCTATTTTTGTTTCTTGAAAAGCCAACAGAACCAAATAACTGATCGGTGGAAAAACACGTGCAATGTCACAGAATAATGAAACAAGAATAGGCTTTCTGATGGCAAAGTGAAGCTCTGAACCTATTCCAAATAAAGTGTTGACTTACTCTAAGAGCAGGGCTTCATTGGGAGTTTGTAGAAATTAGCTGAACTACTTGGAGGACCTACCCTTTTCTGTAGTGGTCTAAAGCCTGGTTTCTGTCTCAGTTCTCTGGGTACTCACTCAACAAATGGGCCAAGCTGACCATAGTCTCCTGCTACTTGATAAAACCCCACTTGAAAAAATAAAGAAAAATATCTTTCTATTATCTGAAATTGTTTTCTTTTTGTTATGTCCCATCTAGTTACTGAAGATTTTCAGCACCCTCCTTGAGAGACCCAGAATAAACCAGCTCTTTTCTCCAAACTACAGCGTGTTGTTGGGCATGTTTAGCCAGGAAGTAGATCACTGTCAACTTTTGCTTGATCAACACAGAGATGGGGTAAGAAAAGCCCAACTACCATGTGACTAAAATCTTTGGTATTGATACCAGTGACACATATAGTGAAAATAAAATAGAAAGCCAAATGTGCTGGAAAATTCTGTTAAGCTGTTAAAAATGTTAAATTATCATTATTACTTATTTATCAGTAGAAAATAATTTAGCATTTGCTTTCCAGCTGCAGTCAGGATGTGTTATACTTGGGAAAAATATGCCCCCAGTGGCCGGCAATCTCAAATGGTCCCAGGAGCTTCGGAATCGCATCCTCATCAACAGGAGCAACCTCTGCCAGCTGGTCCATATGTATGTACATATTACAGTACACCATCATGTAACAGAAAGAAATCTTATGTAGGGGCACCGCGACCAAGCAGTCCAAGCACACATCACATATTCAGAGGTTATGCCTCAAGTGAGCCGCCCTGCTTCAATTACAGCCTCTGGCTCCTCTCCTGCTTGTCACACCACGCTCCATTGCCCGGTTTCCTTCTCTATCTTCTACTGTCTTATTCTGCTAAAGAAATGCTCAAAAGACGTCAAAGTCAAATTATATAAAACTGGTGTGTGCAGAGAAAGTGTGAAACTTTCTTCGTAGATCACTCTCCTAGCAGACTGCAGCTTCAACTTCTCCTCACTCAGATAGTCTATTTGTGTTCTTCGTTATGTTGGAGCAGTCGACCAGTGTATTTTGAGTTCTGCAGGTCTGAATATTTAGTTTGTTAATAGAGTTTGAAAATGGTTGTTACTGGAGTTAATGAAGCCTTTCACCCTTAAAAAAAGCTGCCATATGTGTGTCGTGGTACTTAGCTTAATGTTGTCAGACAATGAATAACATCCAAGTCTGTCAAGGGTATGCACTTAAGTCGACATTTTCTAAAGGATGCAGTTTCTCTTTGAGATTTTATTGCAACGCAGCTGTTGACTTAAGTGTCAAATGGAGCAATCAGAGGCTTTTAATATGGTTGGCTGTTAGGATAGGATATCCAAGCGTGGGGCCAAATTTTCAAAATGCCCGATTTTTCCTCAAGACTAATTTGATTTTGAAGAGGATCATGGTAAAATAACAGCTGTCATTTGAGGGTGCCATGTAATACCGTTTTGATGTGAGTATCGTTGAATTTATCCACTCATTGACATTGAATCCCCAAAACAAGGTCAGGCTAGAGATTTGTGAAAACTGCCTTAAATTATGTAAATAAAGTTAGAAACTTTGTAGTGTTTTTCAGATATTCTTAGGTATGGGATAGGTTCTCCGTTTTAAAAAGGCTTGGACTTTAAGTTTTAGTGTACACATTAAAAGAATACAGTGTCCTGTCATATGTATGTGATACAGATCACTTTTAACACTCTCCAACTTTAAAATGTATCCCCCCTCTCTTACCCTCAGGCCTCTGGGTTGTGCTGAAGCAGATGATGTCCTCCTAAGGTGTGAGCGTCTTCTAGAGACTCTGCACCGACATGATGAGGAGATGTTCTCAGAGTGGACTGAAGGTCTGGTTGAGATCTGTCAGACTCACCTGAAACAACCACTACTCACACTGGAAACTGACACAGGCCTGTTTCAGGTCAACTTCAGTCCTGCAGTAAGCACTAAGAAGATTCAATCACCAAGACAGGCAATGAACAGATCAACAAAGTTAAAATCCCTAATCCCTCTGGATTCATCCCAATTGCTCCACATGCTTTCCCTCCTTTCACACTCTCTCTAGTTGACATCGGTGCTCAGAGAGGTGAAGTATCTTGGCATGCTGAGGATCCAGAACATTCCTGAGGCAGCTCTTCATCTCTACTCCAAACGAGACCGACTATACACGGTGGGTAACAGAGTTTCTTTTGCTGCATTGTAAAGATAGTCTGACATTAGCTCACAACGTGTCTCCAACCATGATAAAAAAATCAGAGCTGAAGAGTTTCTTTTGGTCCTGTAGCACACCCAGACACTGACTCTGGTGACCCAGTGGTACAACAAGCTGCACGGCACCATCCTCGCAGTGGAGCTGGGATTGGTGAAAGATGAGATGAGTAGCACCAGAAAACAGCTGGATCCAGCTCTGCAGGAGCTAACCTGGGCTCAGGATGACTTATGGGACTACATTAAAACCACAAGAGACCTGGTGAAGGTAATGAGCACTTCTTGTGTATTTAAAAATAAGGTGTTGAACATGTTAAAGACCCACTCCAATCAAAATCATGTTTTTCTTGTTTTTTTTTTTTGTTTTTTTTTATATGTTTATATAGCATTTTTCTGATGCTATAGGACATATCATGAGAAAAATAAGTGCAAAATTGCATTTCTGGGTGTTTCTGCATTCAAATCACTGTGAATCTCTGGCAGACCCAAACAGCATGTTTAGAAACAGTGAGATTTCTTACATCACAAATCCAAGCTCCGCCCCCGGAGCCATGCTATGCAGGCCAGACTTGGAAAAGCAGAGAAGACAATCGTGGAACAAGCGTGTGCGTTAGTGGATTGCAATTGTTGTAAGAGAGCTAATTATAATATTAGCTTTTAGTCATGACAAAGACATTAGTGTGTGAGAGCTGAATAGCTCCTGTGTTACCTGCCACTTCTACTTCACTGGCAATGTTAGCTAGTGTGAACAGGAGTGTGCAGAGCAGTATTGTCTCCACCCACGACTCAGAGGCAAATTGCTAATGAGCTACTAGGGCTCTGCAGAAGAAAAGCGCTTGAAAATGACGCAGGTAATGCGATTTTGGCTAAAAACTTCATAATCACAACCTAAAGACAACTGATAACACTTTGAGTAGTTAAAGAAAAATCGATCAGCAAGAGACTTTAATGACAAAAAAGTACCAGATAATGGAAGTACTTTTTTTGTTTGTTTTTTTTTTTCTGATCTTAGGCTGGCGGTATTTTTCAGCATAGCATGGCCAGAGAAGTCCAAACTCAGCACTAAACTCTTCAGAGAGCAACGCAGTAACTTCATGTATATTCATAACATTTGTCACCAGAGCATTTCTAGTCGCGTCCAGAAGAGTAAAGCAAACGTGGAGGCCATCCAGGATCTCATGGGGAAATTCAGCCACCGTGCCTTCATCACCAGGAAGAGCCGAGGATCACCTCTCCTCAACTTCTCGGACATTGAAGAGAGCGTTTCTAAGCAGCATTCTCTCATCTCAAACACAGGGGAGCAAATACACAAACTGCTGCAGGTATATTTGACTCTTAGTGTTGCTGTTGATGAATAATACATGCAGAGGTCACTGCTATCAATGCTCATGATTACTATGTTTGTCTTCTCTCTGAACGCCCTCTAACACATCACTTTCCATCTGTGCGTCAGGAGAACCAGTCCCTGCTGGGTGATAAAGACTTGCTCAGCACTGAGTGGCAGGCATACACAGACTATGTGGACCGCATAATACTAACAGGCTTTTCCAGTGCGGTACGCTGCTCTCTGCAGTACTTCATGGACAATACAGATGCGTCCCAGCGCATCACACCACTGTTTGAGGTCCAGCTTGTGCTCAACAGCAATGAGATGACCTTTGAACCCCCGTTAGACTTCACCCACAGTGGTAACTTCTACAATATTGTGGATAAGATGGTGGCCAACATCACCAAATTGGCATCCTTTATTCCCAGAGTGGCAAAGCATAAACAGCTGGACAACTACCAGGTGCTGTACTGGCTAGATCTGTTCAATCCCAGCATGCTTACACACAGCTGTTTGGACATTTATTTCAGCTATACACTGCAAGGTCGTATGATTTCCATTTGTCCTGTCTCATAGGCTGACATCAATGAATTTGAGGATTTGTCAGAGATGTGCCACATAATCCGCTCACGAACTCGAGCAGCTATTTCCAAAGTAAGTGTGTCTGCTAATCAAACATAAAAGATCATAATTTAAAGACCACAGTTGTAAAGTTGTGTTGATCTTCAGGTCAGAGAATATCAGGGATCGTTTGCAAGCTACCGCTACCTGTGGACCGATGACAGGTCAGGAGATCCTTTTTTTTCTTGATGTTAAAAAATACCATCACAATAGCTTGATCATAGGTCGTGTTCACACCAGCCTTGTTTAGCCCAGTTGAACTGAACCCTGGAGCTTTTACCTCCTTGGCACGGTTCGTTTTGGTTGGTGTGAACACTGGCCTTGAACTCTGGTGCAGACCAGTCAACTGCTATCTGGTCCGCCTGGTAGGAGTGGTCTCGGACCACTATCAAGTGAACTCTAGAGCGGTTTACTTTTAGTGAGAACCCCATTCGCACCAATCACAGGAAGTGTACCTCGAAGAAACATCGAGGTAGGCTTTCATAATTGCCTGTCATCTTCTGTGATATGACCGTCTGATTGCAGAGCGTCTCCTGTGACATGCGTGTAGTAATACATTATTTAATTGCCGCAGTCTCCCCAGCCGTTCATATGCATGGTCCGTTAAAGTCTGCTGATATGCAGTCCAGATCAACACCAACATAAAAATGAGCAGACGATCCTTCATGATGTACAGTAAAAATTGTGAGGGATTTGTCGTCTACCCGCCTAAACTGTATAAACAATCACTGAACGGCTTTTGCCGCCATGTGACAGTTTTTGGACTGTTTGAGTTTGGCCTTGTGAATGCGAACCGGACCAGTTGAGAAATTGCAACGATGTATCATCGATGTATCATCTTTGCTTTGGTTCGTATCAGAAAAAGGACCTTTTGGTGTGAACACGACCACAGTTTCATTTTTGTATGCAAATAACTGCTTGACTGTAATTAACAAGGAGACAGAATCAGTAAAATGCTCATCTCTTTTCCTCAATATTCACAGATCTGAATTTATGAGGCAGTTCCTGCTGTATGGCCATGTGTTGAGTACAGAGGAAGCTGAGCTGTATGCTGACTATGAGCTGAAGAAGAACCCACCCACACTGGACAACTTTAAAGAACAGGTGTGCTTCACTTTTCTTTGTTTTTGACCTTGAATCTTACAAATGGAGCTAGTTAGTCTGGTTAGTCTTCAGGTCAACATCTGTGCTTCCTAATTTCAGATCAACCTGTTTGAGTCTCTGTATGTTCGAGTTAGCAAGATGGAGGACAAGAGGGTGTTTTGCGGCTGGCTTCAGCTCGATATCAGACCCTTTAAGCACACACTCATGAACGTCATCAAGAGGTGGAGCTGGATGTTCAAGGAGCACCTGCTAAACCATGTGAACATGAGGTTGGTCACACACACACAAACACACAAACACACACACACACACACACACACACACACACACACACACACACACACACACACACACACACCAGGGCAGACCAGCATGACAAAAGTATTATTAAAAAGCAAGTGTAATTTTTTAGGTAGTAGATGTGTGAATGAGCTTAAAAGAAGCTCAAAAAGAGTACTAAGAGGCACTATGCAGTCTAATGTCCAGCTCAGGGGTTTTATGGGTACCACAAAACTTATTCGTGTACCTCCCTTCTGCACCCTGAAACCTCTTAACCATGTCTTTTGTCTCTTTCCCACAGTGTGACAGAGTTGTCCTCCTTTCTCCAGGACACAGCTTCCGGTCTGTCTAAAAAAGTGTCTAATGGGGACTACGCAGGCCTTGTGGACATCATGGGACACCTAATGGCCATAAGAGACAGACAAATCAGCAATGAGCAGCATTTCAAACCTCTCAAGTCTACTGCTGAACTCTTGAAGACCTATGGCCAGCAGCTGCCTGAGACTGTCTACGACCAGCTAGAAGTGTGTACCAACGCACAGTTTCTAATAACGCTGGTTGATATGTACGTTTATGGTTATATTTCTACTCTCTACTCTGTGACTACGACCAACAGGAGCTGCCAGAGAAGTGGAAGAGTGTGAAGAAAATTGCTTTCACAGTCAAGCATGAAGTGGCTCCACTGCAATCGAATGAAGTTTCAGTTATACGCAGAAAGTGTGTCCGTTTTGAGGTGAGGGTGTGTGAGCAGGGTTGGATATCATCGAGGAGACCCCATACAAAGAGCTCAATATGTGACATATAAACCCTCTTTGTTTCAATCCTGCATTATATATAACTGCCACCGTCCACCACTCCCCCCTGGTGTGACAGGTTTTAGAGCTGCTGCTGCTTCATGCTCAACAGGTTTTTTTTTCTTCTGTTTTTGTTTATTTTTTTATTTCTTTCCTGTTTTAGGTGAAGCAGCACGAGTTCAGAGAACGGTTTCGCACTGAAACAATTTTTAAGATCGATGTGGAGGAGCCGTATAAACTAGCGGATAAGGTGAGCTGTGGGAAACAGAGTACCTTTACAAAAAAGAAAGACTCATTCTTTGTTGAGTATAAAAAGATGTCGTATAAAAAGAATCTAAGAAACAATTTCAAGTACCAGGACTTCAATCTGTCTCTGTCTTCAGTGCAATCGAGTCGTAGCAGTGATGGAGGCAGAGATGAAAAAACTGCAAGACACAGCTGATCTGTTTGAAGTCAGCTTCCCTGACTACAAGCAACTCCGCCAGTGTCGCTCTGACATTATTCTGGTCAAAGCTGTCTGGGACATGGTCATCTTTGTGAAGGTATATCTCTCCAGTTAAATAATAATAACTATAATGCATCGGATTTTATAGTGCTTTATCAGAGACCCTCAAAGCGCTTTACATTGGATAAATCATTATTTCGCTCACATAGTTACAGTCACAGTCACAGCTCTCCTCTCCCACCACCACCACATAACACTCACATTCATACACTAGTGGAGGACACACACTGGGAGCAAGGTGGGTTATGTGTCTTACCCAACGGACAGACAAGATAGGGGGGTAATTAAACTGCCAACCTTCCAGTTATTGAACGGTTGCTCTACCTCCTGAGCTACTGCCACCCAGTTAACAAAGAGCGACATTCGCTCAGGCAGAAGTCCTTTTGAATACCTTTTGAATTTCCACTTTTAAAGTATGTAACAGAACCACAAATAAAAAAACGTTTCTGTGTTCCTTTGTGCAACAGACCAGTATAGAGGATTGGACAAAAACTCCTTGGAAAGAGATAAACGTCGAGCAGATGGACATGGAACTCAGGAGATTTGCTAAAGTATGACAAGCATCCATTGTCAAATATTAAACTCGATTTTAACAGGAGAGAATTTACTGAATTGTTCTAATAATTCATGTCAATTTGTCGTTCGTTAAAGGAGATGAAGATGCTGGATAAGGAAGTGAGGGCGTGGGATGTCTATTTGGGTTTGGAGTCGACTGTGAAGAACCTGTTGACCTCTCTGAGAGCCGTCAACGAGCTGCAAAACTCCGCTGTCAGAGAGAGACACTGGCAACAGCTCATGAACACCACCGGAGTATGAGACTGTCTCATCCTGCTGCTTCACACTCTCTCATTCTGTCTGATTCAATAATGTTTCATCAGTCATCATGTTCTGCTCTGTATTTGATTTGAGCCAATACACCGAGCAAAGTCCTCCTTCAATCCTGTCTTTATGTTCTCTGCCTTCATTCAACAATCCTCTCAGCTCATGTCCAAGCCTGCTATGTCCAGCACAGTTCACTGAACCCAATCATTCGGATCTGAAACCTGAAGCCATTCATGGCTCACATGTTTTCCTCTTGGTCCCTAGGTCAGGTTTGTGATGGGAGAAGGCACCACCCTGGGGGATCTTCTGGAATTACAGCTTCACCGTGTTGAAGATGAGGTCAAAAACATTGTTGACAAGGCTGTGAAAGAAATGGCCATCGAGAAAGTAAGACTCCAGAAATAATGTACTCCTCTGTGTACAACAGTGCAGTAGTCTTAGGAATGTGAAAGATTTAAATTTTGAATTGATAAATCAAAAACAAACAACCTACCAATTAACATTTCAACAAAAGAAAATAATTCTAATCTTTTTAAGTAATATTTTTTTCTCGAAAATTCTGATATCAAAATCAAAACACATCATATTCTTGGTTTAAACCTTTTCAGATGCAATTTTATCCTGCTACACTTTTTGATGTTTTTCTTCATCTTCCAATAACAGATGTAAATATCTCATCTGTTTACTCGTGTAGGTTCTGGCAGAAATAACACAAACATGGAGTGTAATGTCGCTGTCATATGAGACTCACACCAGCACAGGAATCCCGCTGCTCAAAGCAGACGAGAATTTGATAGAAACACTTGAGGACAACCAGGTAAAGTTACAATTACTGATCATGGATCAAAGGATGTAATATTTCTTCTATTATCTGTTGTCAAAAACAGGGTTTTGCTGAACCTTTTCTGATATAAATATGAGACTCATGGTTAGATTTAATATTTTAGGGTTTTCAGTTTGTTGCATAAATTAAAGAGTTCATATAGGTCATGTTCTTCTCTTTTTTTATCTTTAGGTTCAGCTCCAGAACATCCTCATGAGTAAGTACGTTGAGTATTTCCAGGCTGAGGTGAGCGGATGGCAGAGGAAACTGATGGTGGCAGATTTGGTCATCTCCTCCTGGATGTCTGTGCAAAGGACCTGGGCTCACCTCAACAGCATCTTCACCAACAGCCAGGACATCCGCTGCCAGCTAGCCAATGATGCTGAACGCTTTCAGGGAATTCACTCTGACTTCAAGGTAATATACTCCACCGAAGACAACAAGCCTCCATGCATCCATCCATCACCCGTTGTTTCTATGTTGTGTGTACTTTTTTGTCTGTTTATTTTTCTTCTTCTTGTCTTATCCAGAGTTTGATGACTGAGGTGGTGCAAAACAGTAATGTGGTGGAGGTGACTAACCAGTCTGGCTTCCTGGAGAACCTGGAGACTCTGCAGCAGAGGCTTTCTGTATGTGAGAAGGCCCTGGCAGAGTATCTGGAGACAAAGAGACTCACATTCCCCAGGTTCTACTTTGTCTCTGCGTCAGACCTGCTGGAGATTGTGTCCAAGGGAACACAACCCAAACAGGTGTTTGATAGCAATGTAGTTATATTTTCTCAGGGGGGGGATGTAAAGAAGGGACTGTATTTGCATTATAGGGTTGGTAACTCTTGTAAAGATAAGAAGGACACACTAAAATAGAAACTGGATATTGAATTTTGTTCACTTGTATTTGTTTAATGTGTGAGTCAAATTAGAGTCAATAGAAGAGGGCAGGACAAACATTAGTATTTGTATGTGATTTCCAGGTGACAAGACACTTGTTGAAGCTATTTGACAACATTGCAGACCTTCGCTTCAGTGACTCCGATAAAGGTGGAGAAGGGGAGGAGGATGGTGAGGCTGTGGCTATAGGGATGTACAGCAAAGAGGGAGAGTATGTTCCTTTCTCTGAGCCGTGTGTCTGTAAAGGACAGGTATTCAAATCTAAATTTCAAAGTTTTCCTCTTTTTTTTCAAGCATGTCTTCATATAAACATAACTTGGATTTTCTGGTCTTTTAATCAAAAACGTATGTTTTGACATTTGTATATCTCTTAGGCAGAGTGTTGGTTGGGTGCCTTAGAGGACACCATGCGCTGCACAGTTCGAAAAGAGATTGAGGAGGCTGTGGCTGCTTATGAGGACAAGCCACGAGACCAGTGGCTTTTTGACTTTCCTGCACAGGTCTGATGCTGCTATGTTGACTTTATAGACATACAAATGATAATTTTTAAAAATGAACTGGTTCCTGTCCTGTTTGTAGGTTGGGTTGACTGGTAGCCAAGTGTGGTGGGCCACAGATGTGGGCATTGCTTTTGAGAGGGTGGAGGAGGGGTTTGAAACAGCTCTCAAAGACTACAACAAAAAGCAGGTAGTGCAATAAAACCAGAGGAAGATGTTGTCACAGGGGTGGATGAACACTTTTCTCGATTTGTTCAGTATTTTTTGCTAATTTCTTGTTTTCTAGATCACACAGCTGAACTCGCTCATCCACATGCTGCTCGGAGATTTAACTCCTGGAGACAGACAGAAAATTATGACTGTCTGCACTATTGATGTGCATGCCCGAGATGTGGTCGCTAACCTCATAAGTCAGAAGGTAATGCCTAGGTGGCACATGCATTTGTATGATGTGGCATTTAACAAGCCAGGAAAAAGGCCTCCTGTTGATGTTACTGCATGCGTCTCTAAGGTGACAACAGGCCAGGCGTTTGCATGGCTGTCCCAGCTACGCCATCGCTGGGACGACGACACCAGGCACTGTTATGTAAACATCTGTGACGCCCAGTTCCAGTTCAGCTATGAATACCTGGGGAACACTAACAGACTGGTCATCACTCCACTCACTGACAGGTACACACTCAAACAGCTTAAATCAAGATGCCCAAAAGCTTTTAGCACCAAAGTGCTAATCCAGGCTGTGTAGTGGCTGAAAGTACCGCAGGTAGCTCCAATGCAAAAGGTGTAAATATGAGTCCTAGTCAAAAAGAAACGTGTTTGTTCTTCTGTAATCAGAGAAGGAGAAAAAAGCCTAGAACAAATAAGCAAGAGCCTGAAACCTTTAAGACCTATGAGACGAGGATAAGCAAAACAACATAAGAACCCAAACAGAAAATCACTGCAAGAAGACAAGAACCCCGCAGCTGAAGAGACAATCAATACCTGATCAACGTATTGACCCAACATTAAAAGATTCCCAGCAATACAAGAGCCCAACAAGATAAACTGAGACCAAGAGGACCATAGATGTACGATAATGTAAGAAAATGAGGAGGTAAAATCAGCAGAATAAAGTAAGAAATATATCAAATGAGATAACACAATTGATTTAAGTACAAGCATTAAAAAAGAGATGAAAGCAGAAATAACAGATCACAATAGTTGATAAAGAAAGAGCAATGGAAAACATTGGGGGCTCAAAGTCAAATAAGGATAATTAAATTAAAATAAAAACATTAAGTATGATACAACAAATAAATGAATTACCAACAGTATAAATAAAGAGATAAAGAAGTCAAAAGTAGTGAGAAATGAGATGAGATAAAAAAGTAAAAAGATAAAAGACGAAATGAAAACATTGTCATACACCACTACACTATAATATATTTCCTTCATGTCATCCTGGTTCACTGATTCCACACTATGATCATTATTATAGCTAAACTTCTTGATTTGATTTTGTTCTATGTTAAACTCTGTCTGGGTTAGGTGCTACATCACTCTGACTCAGTCCCTCCACCTGACCATGAGTGGCGCCCCCTCTGGCCCTGCTGGCACCGGTAAGACAGAGACCACCAAAGACCTCGGACGCTCCCTGGGCATCATGGTGTATGTGTTCAACTGCTCAGAGCAGATGGACTACAAGGTAGTACCAAGGAGATACTATGTCAATCTCCTACTGCATAACACTGCTATTTATATTTACTCCACCTTTAATTTACTCTCTCTGTCTTCAGTCCATAGGAAACATTTATAAGGGTCTGGCTCAGACAGGGGTGTGGGGCTGCTTTGACGAGTTCAACAGGATCTCAGTGGAAGTGCTGTCTGTGGTTGCTGTACAGGTCAAGACTATACAGGATGCTGTACGAAACAAGAAGCAAAGGTTAATGTGAAATTAATGACGCATACAATAAACTATCAGTACACCTACAGAGTAATTACTCTGCTAATCCACTCTGATATTCCTCAATGGACTCACTTTTTGTTATCTGTAATTGGTTTAATGTGAATGTAGGTTTCATTTCCTCGGAGAGGAGATTGAGCTGAAGCAAACAGTGGGGATTTTCATCACCCTGAACCCAGGCTACGCTGGCAGAGCTGAGCTCCCAGAGAACCTCAAAGCTCTGTTCAGGTTTGATATAAATAAAGAGATTAAAAGCCGACTATTAAGTGAAAGATTTTACAAGTGTCAAAGATGATCAGTTTTATTTAATAACTTCTCAGGCCCTGTGCCATGGTGATCCCAGACTTTGAGCTCATCTGTGAGATCATGTTGGTGGCTGAAGGGTTCATAGATGCTCGTCTGCTGGCACGCAAGTTCATTAGCCTCTACACGCTCTGCAAGGAGCTGCTGTCCAAACAGGTAGCCTTAATCACAGCCAATCAGAAATCATCCCCCATTTAATTTCTCTTCATTATAATCAGATTTTATGAATACTGTTGGGTTGCTTTAGATTATTTCTTCGATATTAAGATTTGTCATATCCCTGTGTTTTATTATTATCTTTTAGGATCATTATGATTGGGGGTTAAGAGCTATTAAATCAGTTCTTGTTGTGGCCGGATCACTAAAGAGAGAGGACCGAAGTAGACCTGAGGAACAGGTATGTGTCATATTAATAGACACAGAAAGTGTTTATGTTATTAATGAATATAGGAGAAACTCCGTTCAGTCACATGTTCTGTTATTCCTTCGAAGCCTGAGTTCATTGCTGCATTTGCCTGATAACTTCCAACTGTCATTTCCTGTCCAGGTGCTGATGCGGGCCCTGAGGGACTTCAATCTGCCAAAGATAGTAACGAGTGACGTGCCAATATTCCTCGGGCTGATCAGTGACCTGTTTCCTCAGCTGGATGTGCCCAGAAAGAGAGACCCAGAGCTGGAAAATGCTGTTCGCCAGTCAGTCAGTGAACTGCGGCTGCAGCCTGAGGAGAACTTCATTTTAAAGGTTCCACATTTAACCTTCTTATCATGTGGAAAACAAACAAAATTGTCTATATTTCAGATACCGTACCAAAGATTTTTGGTGTGATTCAAAAAGGAAGAAAACGCTGTAGCTCCTTCACTGTGTGTGGAAACCTATGAACAGTTTACAGACAAAAAATTTTAATTTGAACAAAATCAATTATCTCATCTGAAATAAGTGTGTGTCCCTGCAGGTGACCCAGCTGGAGGAGTTACTGGCTGTCAGACACTCTGTGTTTGTAGTAGGTGGACCAGGAGCTGGAAAAAGCCAGGTGAAAATGTACTACTGTAATCCAATAACAGAAACAACATTATTGATCTACAAAGCTTTACCTTTAAACAAGGAAGTTTAAAATCACTGCCAAAAGACAGGAAAACATACATGAAGGTAGATTTCTTCAGCTTTTATTAGATGGATTTCAAATGTTTTATTAAATCCCTTAGTTTTATTTTGAACTTTTGAGGCTGCAAAACAAGGTTTCCCACATCTATAGTTAATGCACAACCACACTTTATAAGAGTCAAATCTCCGGTTTGTCAGATTATCAGAGATTTGTGGAAAGGCAAGGTGCGCAGTTTGTCTTATATTTGTGCTGCTGACTCATCAGATCCTGAAGACTCTCCACAGAACATATGCCAACATGAAGATGAAGCCCCTATGGAGTGATATCAACCCCAAAGCTGTGACTACTGACGAGTTGTTTGGGTACCTGCACCCTGCGACCAGGGAGTGGAAAGATGGTACAGAAATTTGATCTGCTGTAAATGAAAATCCAGAGAAGTTTTGTTTTCTCTAGATTTTTATTCACTGTCACACAGGAAATCTTTCAGTGCCAGTACAATTATTTACTCCCAAGTCTTTGCTCAGCATTAGTCAGAATTAGCTTTTTCCTGGCTAAGAATAAGCCCCTGGTTAAATAGTTTTGGCATCATTCATGTTTGGTCTCATTCCCTCGAGCAGCTGTAAGTAGAATTCCTGCCCGTGTGATAGACAGGATAATCTGGATAAAACATTGCTGATTCGTGCCTCTCTGTCATGCTGTTTGTTTGAGGCCTGTTCTCCTCTACCATGAGGGAGCTGACCTCAGTGAGCCATGATGGACCCAAGTGGATCGTTCTGGATGGGGATATTGACCCCATGTGGATTGAGTCACTTAACACAGTAATGGATGACAATAAGGTCAGTGTGCATCTTGTGACCTATTTTTCCTATTCTGGAATTTGCTCGATTTAATACTTTCCTGCTGTCCGTGCAGGTCCTGACTCTTGCCAGTAATGAGAGGATCAGCTTATCCTCTTCCATGCGACTGCTCTTTGAGATCTCACATCTAAAAGCTGCAACTCCAGCAACTGTATCAAGGGCTGGAATACTCTACGTCAATCCTCAGGATCTCGGCTGGAGCTCGTATGACACCCACAAACACACATAAAATCTGGGGTTTATTAAGTCACCTAAATTTTTATTTAAAGGGATATTCTGGCATAAAATTAAGTTAGGGTCAAACACACCGTAAACCAAGTTAGTCACCCCATTGAGAGATGAATGTTGCTGACTGCTTGCTTCTCTAGTTATACCAACTTTAGTAACAACCGCAAGACAGCAATACATAGCGGTCAGTGGATCCACACGCTCAACCAAAACGCCACTCTCTAGCTACAAATAATCCTCAGAACAGCACCTAACTTCATCAACAGTACATAAAGGGTCCCAGCCATAGCACTAGCCACCAAACATCTTTTTAACTTTGCCTGATTTCTTTAGCAAAGAGACTAAATATTACTCACCCACTCTCTTCCAGCAGCCGCTTGTTTGTAGGGAGAGCTTGGACGAGTCCACCACTGAGTGCAGCAGGGTGACGCAACTCAAGGAAGAACATTTATAAGTATTACTTCATTAAAATGCAATCAGACCGAGACGCTAAGGCAGAAGAACTACCGTGTCTGCAGTGCAAAATGATTAATATGGTGATTATTACTTCAAGGAAATGATAAAGTTATAATCATAAATGTTCTTCCTTGAGCTGTGTCACCCCGCTGCACTTGGTGGTGGACTCGTCCAAGCTGTCCCTACAAACAAGCAGCTGCTGGAAGAGAGTAGGTGAGTTGTGTTTAGTCTCTTTGCTAAAGAAATCAGGCAAAGCTAAAAAGATGTTTGGTGGCTAGTGCTATGACTGGGACCCTATATGTACTGTTGATGAAGTTAGCTGCTGTTCTGAGCATTATTTGTGGCTATAGAGTGGCTTTTGGTTGACGTGTGCACGTGGCTCCATGGACCACTTGTGTATTGCTATCGTGCGGTCGTAACTAAAGATGTTATAACTAGAGAAGTAAGCAGTCGGCAATATTCATCACTTGAAGGGGGTGTCTAACTCGGTGTTACATTGTGTTTGACCCCAACTTAATTTTACGCTGGAATATCCCTTTAAGTAAGCATTTTTTTCCCCTGATGTGATCCCAGGTATGTGACAAGTTGGATAGACACTAGGCAGGCCCAATCAGAGCGAGCCAACCTCACCATTCTGTTTGATAAGTATGTGCCGTACTGCCTGGAACAAGTCCGCTGCAACCTAAAAACCATCACTCCCATACCAGAGAACAGCATGGTGCAGGTAAGAACAGGCAACATGTGCCTACCTTTACACTCTGTCTTTTCAACAACCAGGTTTGGGATTTCTCAGTTAAGTTGCATTTCATGTATCTAAATGTTATCTAATATTTATATAATGTCTGCTCTTTGGCCAATCAGACACTGTGCTCCTTGTTGGACTGCCTCCTAACAGAGGAAAACACCCCCCCTGACTCTCCCAGAGAACTCTATGAGATCTATTTCGTCTTCGCCTGTGTCTGGGCCTTTGGAGGAGCTCTTTTCCAGGATCATGTGTGTGGTGGTTTACTGTCTGCTTAAAGAGCCATCTTCTTTTCAGTATTTCATCTTGCAGATGATCAGACAACATCACAATGTCTCTCTTTTTTTAGCTTAATGATTACCGTGCTGAATTCAGCCGCTGGTGGTCAAAGGAAATGAGAGCAGTCAAGTTTCCTTCCCAGGGCACCGTCTTTGACTATTTCATCGACTCTGAGACCAAAAAATTCACTCCCTGGAGTGAGAAAATGGTGCCATTTGAGGGGGAGCCTGATGTACCATTACAAGTGAGTATTACTGTGTGTTGTGTGCACACTAAGAATATACAAACTGCAAAACAAATCAACACACTTCATTGTGCACACTTTATGGAAAGACCTTCTAGTTAGGTCATATCTTGTGTGTTTCAGACTGTGTTGGTCCACACTCCAGAAACCATTTGTCTGACCTACTTCATTGACCTGCTGCTCCAAAGAGGCAAACCCATCATGTTAGTGGGTAACGCTGGAGTGGGGAAGACCATCTTGGTGTCTGACAAAGTGGCCAAGCTGAAGGAGGACTACATGGTGGCTAAGGTCCCCTTTAATTACTACACCACCTCAGCCATGCTGCAGCGTAAGAAAAATTTCAGCGTTGTGTATCAAATTAAGATATTGAACCCTTTTTTTTCAGTGTCCTTGCTCTTGTTTACTTTATTTTTGTTTACTTTTTAATTTTGTTACATGACTATATTATACTTTTTACAGAACCCAGTATGAACAGATTCAAACTGGATTTTGACTTTTTTTCTATTACAGTGCAGTTAACCTACCACTGAGCACCACCATCATATCAAAGACTGCATCAAATGAGTTTTATATATATATTAATGATATTGATAATTGTAAAAGTCATTATAATACCAACTTGTTAATATGGAACCTTAATATGAAAGGGTTTTCAAGGTACTTTGACCAAAACGCAGAGAAATAGATAAAAACAAGGCAGCAAAAGAGCCCAAACAACAATGTAGCCGTCTTCATAAGAAACCTTAAGAACCAAGGAGATACATCTGCAGAGATTTATCCTGTCATTTCCATTCAGCTATCATTTTATGCACCATATTCCCCCCAGGTGTCCTGGAGAAGCCCCTTGAGAAGAAAGCCGGTCGTAAATTTGCTCCTCCTACAGCCAAGAGACTCATTTACTTTATAGACGACCTCAACATGCCTGAGGTGGACGTTTATGGGACCGTCCAGCCTCACACACTCATACGCCAGCACCTTGACTACAACCACTGGTGAGAATGAGATGCAATAAATGCACTGCTAAGTAATTTATTGTACATTTATATTATAGCTGTGTATGTGTGTATGTGTGTTTATAGGTATGACAGACAGCGGCTGGTTCTGAAGGAAATACATAATTGTCAGTACATCACATGTATGAATCCAACTGCTGGAAGCTTCTCTATCAACCCCAGACTTCAGGTTTGAGCATCACTGCTTTCAGGCTTATTACACACACAAACATGCATTATACACTGTTATCACTGTTCCTCTTTGTACTACAGTGACTGGAGTTCAACCATATTTCAGCAAAACTCAAATGTAAATTGATTGAATCAGCGAAAAGAAATGATCAATTATGATTTTTAGAGAAATCATTTATTAATGGTCACTCCTTGAAGTCAGTGTGAGAGGTCTTTTTTTTGCGTTTTGAGTCTCCTACTAAGTCCTACTTGACTGGTTTCTCTATATCTCTTCCACTTCTTCCAGAGGCATTTTTCAGTATTTTCAGTCCACTTCCCATGTGCGGATGCTTTAAACACCATCTTCTCCAGCATCCTGTCGGCTCACTTCCTTCAGGGAGGATTCAGTTACGGAGTCTCCCGCTCAGTTGGATCTCTCGTACAGGTCCATCAGCAGGATCAGTGCAACATGTGTCAATCATAAAACTTTAATTTAGTCTTCGTTTCAAACTTGACAGACTATAAATTTGGTTAACTCTGTTCATTATAACACCCAACTGTTCATCTGTCTATGTAATCATTTTACTTTGTCTGATTCTTTTGTTCTGTTTATCCAGGCAGCGATCTGTCTGCACCAAAAAGTCAGCCAGAACTTCCTCCCCACAGCGATTCGCTTCCACTACATCTTCAACCTGCGAGACCTCTCAAACATTTTTCAGGTACCACGCACAGTCATAAATATATGATGAGTGAGGAAGAGGATTATGGCCACATAAAGAGAAAATATTAATAATTACGGGAAGGAGATTAAAGTCGAAATTTCAAGATTAAGGTCAAAAATTTGAGATTAAAAATTTTTTAATGATGTCAAAGTCGAATTTTTAAGATTAAAACTTCGAATTAGGGCAATAAAGCTGAAATTTTGAGATTAAAAAAATCGAAATTATGTCAATAAGGTCAAAATTTTAAGATTAAAAATTAAAATTTTAACAGTAAAGTCAAAATTTTAAATAACAAAATGTCGTAAATAATGTAAATTTCGACTTTATTCATGTAATTTTGAATTTTTTTTTATCTCAAAATTCGACTTCAATCTCGAAATAACTTTTTCTTTAATTTGGACTTTTTAAAATTCTGTCTTTAATCTTGAAACTTCGACTTTAATTTTGAAATGGAAATTTAAAAAATCTCCCTCATGTAATTATTTTTTCCTCTTCTTGTGGCCCTAATCCTCTTTCCTAGATAAGGGATTTTCTTTTTATTTTACAAGAAGTAAAAATACTGGTCCCTTATCTGTAGCTTTTGGTGGAGTCATAAAATGGTAAGTGCTAACTAAACGCCTTCTACAGCTGCCATCCACACGTATCTGTCTCTGTCTGACTGTTTAGTGGGGATAAAGATGTAAAAAGTTAAATAGTATTGTAACATGACATAACATCCTGTAACTTTATCATGTTATATTTGACTACCTTTTGTGTTTAGGGTATCCTCTTTGCCCTGCCAGAGTGTATCAGATACCCTATGGATCTGGTTCACCTCTGGCTGCATGAGAGCTCAAGGGTCTACTCCGACAAACTGATGGAAGAAAAAGATGTGGAGCTCTTTAACAAAATCCTCCTGGACACTGGCAAAAGATATTTTGAGGTAAGACTACAAATAAGTTTTTGTATCATTGTCATCAAAATCTTAGGAAATTAAAACATTTCTGCCCCGTGTGGCAAAATTCAGGAGTTTCAAGACCCTTGGTGATTTTTGTTGGTCATTTGTAGGGCTTCTTTGCATTCAGTATTTCACACTGATTGGCTAAAATAATGTATCTAATCAGAGCATTTGCTAACTATTGATGGGCAGTGTAATTATAACATGTTCAGTACTTTCCTTCTGTTTCTCATATCTCTTTGTATGCTAATTTTCTTCAGGGGATTGATGAGTCCATCTTCATCCACCAGCCTTTGGTGTACTGTCACTTTGCCCAGGGAGTGGGAGAGCCACGCTATCACCAGGTTTGACACACTCTACACACACACGTTTAGTCAGAACTATTTTTGATCAGGGTGTAGTGTTACTCCTTTCAAATATCCATTTATTCTTTATTAAATGTGGTAACAAAAAAGATTGAGTTTAATTGTTTTTGACTTGAATCATATTAGTATGTGAATTATCTGTAATTCATATACTCAAAGACCTTATGGCACTGTCATGTCTAATCTGTCAGAAAATAAATGAGGATGAATGAACTGTCATTAGCTAAACTAATTACATTTCTGATCTGTATGGGATTTGAATTGAAAGTTAATGGACTCAAGTCTTGATAAAAAAAAAACTTAATTTCATTACATTTCTGGTTGGTTACCTGCTGTTACTTTGATAAGAATGGTCAGACGTGTCCAAGAGACAGAAAATTTGTTTATTCCCCTACTTGTCAGGCTTCAGACTGGGAGAAACTCCAGAAGACTCTGGCTGATGCTCTTGAGCATTATAATGAGCTACACGCTGTCATGGACCTAGTGCTGTTTGAAGAAGCGATCCAGCATGTGTAAGACACACAAACAGAGACACATGAAGTTGAGCATATACCATCTGCTATGGGATTTACACAGATGAGCACTCATGTAAACCACTTACCATAAACATATTGTTCATTCTGGTGTTTGCATTCAGGTGTCGTATCAGTCGTATCCTGGAGGCCCCCTATGGTAACGCCCTGCTGGTGGGAGTCGGTGGCAGCGGGAAGCAGAGTCTGTGCCGGCTAGCTGCCTTTCTTAGCATGCTGGAAGTTTTCCAGATCACTCTGCGGAAAGGATACGGCATAAATGACCTCAAGGTAAATGTGTTTACATGCAGTTGCACAGCTGTTACTAAATGTCTTTACACTGATTGATGCAACTTGATGCTGAATGTACCAGACATAATGTGCCATTTTTATGCATTTGTGGCCCTTTTTCTGCTCCCCCTGATTGGCAGAGTGATATTGCAGCGTTGTATATAAAGGTCGGGGTGAAGAATATCGGAACAGTGTTTCTTCATACAGATGCGCAGATACCAGATGAACGCTTCCTGGTTCTCATCAATGACATGTTGGCCTCAGGTTGGACTACACCACAAAAAAAACATGATGTAGTGTGTGAAAAGGAACTGTTAATCTATTTACGCTGAGAAAAAAAAAGAGCTCTGAGGAAATATGGATGATCTTTGTGCTTCAGTTTTTGGAGCCAAAGACTCTTAGTGCATAAAGCCTACAAAATGAATGGGTAACTTAACAATAACCATAACTTTAAAATAGTAAATAGACCATTTGTAAATGGTAAGCAGATAGTTTATTAATGTTTAATCATAATTTATAAATAGCATATAGACCATGAATAAATTGTACATTTTACAATTTTAAAAACCTGACCCCAACTTTACAATAACCATCTAAGTAATGTTTATAGATGGTTTATAAACCACTTAATAATCATTTACAAAGTATCACAAACATCAGTTGCAACTTTACGATAACCATCTAAGTAATGTTTATAGATGGTTTAAAAACCAAATAATAACCATTTACAAAGTGCTACTGACACACATTTTATTCTAGATGTTTTACAATATTTAAACTTTAATAAACAGTAAATGAAAATGATTAATCATAATTTCATTGCTTGTTAATGGTAAAGTAACTATTAACTTACATTAAAAAACTATTCATTTACCATTAACAATTGGTGTATATGCTGTTTTTAGTAAATTATCTATTTACCCTTTATAAATTATGGTTATTGTAAAGTGTTACCAGTGAATGTTTACGTCCCAGACCAGATCAGAGTTTTATGCGTGTGACTGTATTTTGAGCTATGTTTGTTTGGATTATTTAGGGGATATTCCAGACCTGTTCAGTGATGAAGAAGTAGACATGATTGTGACATCTATCCGGATGGAGTTAAGAGGACTTGGACTCATCGATAGCAGAGACAACTGCTGGAGCTTCTTTATAGAGAGAATAAGACGACAGCTCAAGGTAATATTGTGCTATGTAATGTAATACTGCTTTATTGAAATCCTTATTTGTCATCTGCCATCACCCTCTGTGTCTTTCAGGTTGTCTTGTGTTTCTCTCCTGTCGGGTTCACTCTAAGGACACGTGCCCGGAAGTTTCCGGCTCTGGTGAACTGTACAGCCATAGACTGGTTCCACCCCTGGCCTCAGCTCGCTCTGCAGTCTGTCAGCTCCACTTTTATAGAGAAAATACCTGGACTAGAGGTGATGGCACATTTACCTTCTATTCATATTCTCCTCATAACATATTAACCGCTTTCTCCACACTTAAGAATCAAAAACTTTTACCTTACATCAGGGAAATTACTGTACTTTCCCAATAATATCCATAAATCTGGAAATACCTAACTATAGTTGCACTACATGTATAAAATATATATATAGGGCAGCAGAGTGTATCACAAAAGACCCAGCAGCTCCAATTTATCCATGGTGGTGAAATAATTCCCAAATACCTGTTAATGCTTATCTTTTACAGCCTAAAGTGCGAGCATCGATCGGTGAGTTCATCTCTTTCGCCCACACCAGCGTCAACGAGGTGAGTCGTCGAGAGGCTTTTTGGTTTAAAATAAAACATCTTGACATCTTCGCTGACATCTTGTTTTATCGTTTAAACACGCTGTTCAGGTGAGCGTCAAGTACCAGCAGAATGAGAAACACTTTAACTACACCACCCCGAAGAGTTTCCTGGAGTTTATGAAGCTGTACGGCAACCTGCTGGGAAAAAAACGGACAGAGCTGGCTCAGAAAATGGAGCGGTTAGAGAACGGCCTCCAAAAACTGCAGTCTACTGCTACACAGGTTAGACCAAGAAACCCTGTAATGAAAGCTTCTAAGCATGAACTCTATACTTTGTACTAAAATTAGCAGATTAATTTCTGTCTGTCTTGCTTAGGTAGAAGATTTGAAAGCCAAGTTGGCAGTACAGGAGGTGGAGTTGTTGCAGAGGAACACAGAAATAGAGGCTCTGATAGCAAAAATTGGACAACAGACGGACAAGCTTAACCAAGAGAGAGCTGTGGCAGATGCAGAGGAGCAAAAGGTAAAACCGTGCAACAGTTTGTAACAATGGAGAAGGCAAAATTAACAAGAAATTAGAAAATTTACACAAAATCTACAGAAAGGTGTCTTTCTTTGTTTCTTCAGGTGGCGGCAATCCAAGCTGAAGTGACCAAACAGCAGCAGGAGACTGAGGAAGATCTGGCCAAGGCTGAACCTGCCCTGCAGGCAGCTAACGCAGCCCTCAATACACTGAACAGGGTAATTTGTTCATACGCATAAAAACAGATTTGATTTGATTTATTTTGGATCCACCAAATGGGATCCTAATCTTCTTTGCTGTTTTCATTTTGAACTTAGACATATACTTACAGACATTACACTTACATAACACTCATTCTACACTTCATTCATACAGTAGCTCTTATTCCCTCTTGCTTGTTGAAAAATAAACCAATACATAAATAAGATGAAGAAAGAAAAGTGAAGAGACAAAAAAGAAAAACCAACTTAGACCTGAATCCTGTCTCCATTTTTTATGTTTTTTATTATACATGCAAGCAGTGTAATTTATAAAAACTAATCACTGTGATTTAAGATCCGCTTCATCATACTGAAAATGAAAATTTTATCGATGAATTTGTCCGTGTTTGTGTTTGCATCTGTGTGTGTGCTCATCCAGTTAAACCTGACAGAGCTCAGGACGTTCCCCAATCCTCCGGCTATTGTCTCCAACGTCTCTGCAGCTGTTCTGGTGCTACTGGCTCCTCAAGGCCGAATCCCCAAAGACCGCAGCTGGAAGGCTTCCAAGATGGTTATGAGCAAGGTGATATTTCACAGAGACAGCTTATAGTGGCTCTGAAATTAATAGCTGTTCGACCACGAAGCCAGAAAGCCCATCACAAATAAATTCCCGAAACTAAAGAAAAAACATGGTGTCGCATTTATAGAGACATATGGACAATTTATTAATGTCGCGTGTCCAAACTGCCAAGATGGCTGTAGTATATTTTGTTCTATACTTTCCCAGGTTTATATTTTCAGATTCTTCATTCTGGCATATTGACTGCTGTTGTCTCTCTGTTTACCTGCTTTCCTGACCAGTCATACATCTTATACCATTTCAGCAAAGTCACGCTGAGTTTGTGTGAATGTGGCAGAACTTCTATATTGTAGATGTTATGTGCTGTCTATATCTCTATTCTTGGCTTAATATCACTCATCAGTTCCTGCCTGTGATCTAAAATCCATAGGGCCTGCAGAGGTGTTATATACCAATTCTGTGAGGTAATTCCATTTAATTTCATCTCTGCCCACAAAATGCTCATCCAGGTAGATGACTTCCTGCAGGCTCTGGTGAACTTTGACAAAGAACACATCCCCGAGGCCACAGTCAAGTGTGTGAGGGACGAGTACCTCAGTGACCCCGAGTTCAACCCTGAGTTTGTGCGACAGAAATCCTCCGCTGCTGCAGGGCTCTGTTCCTGGGTGATCAACATCATCCGCTTCCATGAGGTACACACACCAGTGTTGGCTGTCATGACAATTAAATGTCATCAAAGGTTAAACAGTGTGTGATGTTTGTGAGTGGACAGCGCTGTGGTCTCATTGTTTGACAGGTTATTTTCTGTTTCCTCATCTATTGTGCTGCCCTGGACAGATCTTTGTAAGTGCAGCTCTGTTTTGTCATCTTGATTTTAAATATACAGTCTGTTATTTTACAAGTGAAGTACTCAAACAGTAATGACGTGAATGCCCATTATGATGGCAGGTCATGGCATTGTCTGCAGAGTAATGTCATTTTCTGAATGACTACACTCATGACGATATTACTACTAGTTTCTTAACAGAGATGTAAGCGTGTTTGTTTTGTCCTGCAGGTATTCTGTGAGGTAGAGATGAAGAGGATGTGTCTGGCTCAGGCTAATGCTGATCTGGCTGAGGCTGCTGAGAAACTGGAGGCCATCAGGAAGAAACTCGCTGTAAGACTGCATCTCCTATTGCATCCTTTACATTCATAAATCTTTGGTAAAGACGCCATAATTGCACTGTTACTCTTCCTAAGGGTATGCATTTTAATTATTTGTGCCACGTACTCATTATAATTGCAATTCTGTGACAGTATATATCACAGGTCATCTGATAAACACCCACCACTTGCCCTGAAACAAATTTTCCATCATCCTTTTTGCTCTGTTGAGCCACCAGTTAGAGAGGCCCTCTAAAGTCGACTTCAGACAGATTTTATGATCCTTTCTGTGCTAATGTAGTTCTTCTTTTGTTAGATTTATGCTCAGAGAAATTACTGCCTGCACGTAAAGTGAAAACTATTCTTAAACATTTCAAATAGATATTTTATTTAGGACAATAAAAGAGCAGTATCATCGTGTTTTTAGTTGATCACCCCTGTCTGTCTCTCTCTCTCTCGCAGGAGTTGGACAGTAGCCTGGAAACTCTGACATCGTCATTTGAGAAAGCCACATCAGAGAAACTGCGTTTTCAGGAAGAAGTCAACCGCACCAACAAGACAATAGAGCTGGCTAATCGGCTGGTCAAAGGTTTGGAGGTGAGCACAGCAGCCGATCGATAGGAAATAAGTTTTGTCGGTCTGATTGATCATCAGGATAAAATGTGTTTTTCGAGTAAGGCTGCTCTCTGTTCCTCTGCTGTGTCTCACTGTTTGTATAAATGTGCTTGTTTCAGAGTGAGAATGTGCGCTGGGCCCACTCGGTGGCTCAGTACCATGAACAGGAGGAGACTCTGAGTGGAGACGTCCTCCTAACAGCAGCCTTCATCTCCTATGCCGGCTCCTTCTCTAAGAAGTATAGGAGAGAGCTGCTGGACAACCTCTGGATGCCTTTCCTGCACAGCCAAAAGGTCACAATCTTCCAGAGACTCACTATTTTTTTTATAGAATTTGACCTTATTAATATATTTCCTAAATATAAGCCCATCTCTGGGGAAATTTGCCCCTTTTTCCTTACCCACCCAATTTCTGGTCTCTCTGTCATCCCATCCATTCAACAGGAGACAATGAAGTCTTTCCATGGAAACGCTTTCATAAATGTTGCTTCTTTCACTTATTTCGACTCTCCACCAGGTCTCCATCCCCATGACTCAAGGCATAGATCCAGTGTCCATGCTGACTGATGATGCGATGGTGGCCCAGTGGAACAATGAAGGCTTACCAGGAGACAAAATGTCGACCCAGAATGCAACCATCCTCACCAACTGTGAGTACTGAGATTAAACATACAGTTTCTTCCACCACATTAGTAATAATAACCCATTTCTATTGGAACAGAGCATTGCCAGTTTTGTTTGTCACATTTTCATATGTGGGCCATGAATGTATTGACTACAGGTGAGCGCTGGCCTCTTCTCATTGACCCTCAGCTGCAAGGAATCAAATGGATTAAGAGTCGCTGTGGCAGCAACCTCAAGGTTATCAGTCTCGGTCAGAGAGGGTAAGTGTTTCTGAGTGCCAGTTTTTGAAATCCTCTGGAGGACGTGAGGCTTTCAGTACAGACCTGCTGTGGACCTGCTTTATTTCTGAAGAATCCACAAACATGAATCTAATGAATATATGTTCAGTCTTTGTGTTGGTTACATGGTTATTATTCCAGGTATGTAGATGTGATAGAGCAGGCAGTCGTGGCAGGTGACACTGTCCTCATAGAGAATCTCGAGGAAACCATCGATCCTGTCATCGATCCTCTGCTGGGAAGGCACACCATCAAGAAGGGCAGGTAAGACATTAAAAACACATGTTCAATTATTGCTGCTACTTTTCTGTCCTCTTTTATAATGCCTTCCTCCTCTGTCCTCTGTTTTGCTGTCTTACAGCTGTATAAAGGTCGGGGACAAAGAGTGTTTCTTCCACCCAGGCTTTAGACTGATCCTCCACACTAAATTGGCCAATCCTCACTATAAGCCAGAGATTCAAGCTCAGACAACCCTCATCAATTTTACTGTGACCAGAGATGGTCTGGAGGACCAGCTGCTGGCTCAGGTGGTGAATCAGGAAAGACCAGATCTTGAGCACTTGAAGGTGGGTTACAACAATTTCCTTTTTTATCCTGCTGGTTTCCTCCACAGACGCACATATTGGTGTTAACACTTCTTCTGAGTCATAAAGCTCTTGCGCTTGTGTGCTGAGATACATTACCATGTTTACCTCAGGATAAAGAAAGCCATCATGCCAACCCATTTCAAAAGGTTAAACTCTGTAGAACGTTGAAAGAAACTGATTCTAATGGTTTTTCCAATCATATAAATCCTCTGCTATATAAATAAAACAAAGACAACATGACAATTTTGAAACTGAAAAAACTTATTGTAGCAACACATTTTAATAAAGTGGGGACAGGGTTAATAAAATACTGAAAAAATGTGTGCTAAGTAGGGAAAACATCTGTTGGAACATCGCCAGGTTAATTTGCAACTGGTTAATAACATGACTGGGTATTTACTTATCTGTTTATTTGATCGGGACAAAACATGTTGGCCTTGTTACATCTAATTAGAGAGCAACTGATGCTGTGTATAAAGGACTTCCAGCCATGGCTAATTTGCAGTGACTGTCCCTGGTATAAAAAGGGTCTAAAACCAATACTGGATTGTTGTGATCTTTGGGCCTTCAGGTGGCACTAGATTAAAAACAGACATGTCTCTGATGTGGAAATCTTAACATGGGCGTAAAATCATTTCCAAAACCAAAGTCCATGAATACAGTTTGTTGCTGCATCCACAAATGTAGGTCAAAACTGTACCATGTACCGGGAAACATGCATGTACATGATTTATAACTGAGGGCAACTTTCTGGGCCAGAGCTTTTAAAATGGTCTGAGGTGAAGTGACCAGCATCTTCCAGCGTCAAGACATGGATAGTTTACAAATCTATGAAGGCACCATTGATGCTGAATGATACATACAGTGTTTGGAGCAACATATGCTGCCATCCATCCTGTCTTTTTCAGGGATAGACTTGCATATTAGCATAGTAAGATAATGCCAAACCTCCTCATGCATGTATTCCGACTGCAACACAAGGTTTTGAAGTGTAAGAGTCCAGGTGCTAAACTGACCCCCATCTGGTCACTGGAAAAAAATGGTGCATCATTGAACAAAAAGGACAAAAAACTCTTGAGCAACTGGAATCCCCAGAAACTGGTCTCACAACATAGTGTTGTTAAACCAAGAGGAGATGCAACACAATGGTAAACAGGCTCCATCACGACCTTCCTAAATAGAAAGCTGGCATCAAAATTGGAGCTGAGCCTTTATTTTTCTATTTAAAGAAATTCTCTTTCAACATTTGTTGTGTTTGCTGTATTCTGTCTGTGTTGTTTTATCTTCAATTTGATATTGGGTTCATGTTTTGTAATCATTATAATCTGCTTTTTCTTTCAATACTGAACTGTGACAATCTCTGTTTAATGAAAGGGAGGAAACAGCTGTTTATTGTAATCAATATTCAAATAATCTAGGCTGTATTTTTTTTAACCCCCTATAGAGTGAACTGACTAAACAGCAGAACATGTTTAAGATCGAGCTGAAGCTCCTTGAGGACGAGCTGCTAACCAGGCTGTCTGCTGCTGAGAGTAACTTCCTGGGTGACAACGTGCTGGTGGAGAAGCTTGAGACTACAAAACACACAGCTGCTGAGATTGAGATGAAGGTAACAGTCAATGTGTTCAATGTATTAGCATTAAGAGAGTATCAGGCCACTGAGCATTTTTTGGTTTAAAAGAGGTCTAATAGACGTCTAATTGTAGCCTAGATGACTGCTCTAAAACCAGCCTACCACAGGTCTAAAAATGAAAGTTTTCAATGTCTAAATTTAGACAAAGTTTAGACTAGCCGGCTAACAGAGGTCTAACTGTTTATTTCTCAATGGCTATCATAATTATTTTGGTTAAGTATTTGGAGATCAGTTATGCAACTCACAGTTACTTTTTGAAATAAATAGTTATCGAACAACTGGTTAAAGTGCAACATCTAAATTCTGTCAAAAAATATACAGAATCTAGACGGTTGAAATAAGGTCTAAAAAAAACTAGACATCTAATAGCCGTCCATTGCTCAGTGGGAAAGAACACAAACAACAAACATCTCCATATCTGTCTGCCAGGTCCTCGAAGCTAAAGTGAATGAAGTGAAGATAAACGAAGCCAGAGAACATTATCGTCCTGTTGCAGTCAGAGCTTCTCTGCTCTACTTCATTATGAATGATCTCAACAAGATCAACCCCATGTACCAGTTCAGCCTTAAGGTAAGTAGCCAGAAAGGAGACCTTACTGACTTGATACGGTATCGTGTAATCTTCATTTATCACCAACCTCTTCTTGCTCTCAGGCCTTTAACGTGGTGTTCCACAAAGCAGTGGCGATGGCAGAGGCCTGCGAGGAAGTGAAGAGTAGAGTAAACACACTCATAGACTGTGTGACTTACTCCACCTTCAACTACATCAGCAGGGGACTGTTTGAGAGAGACAAGCTCACCTTCACTGCACAGCTGGCCTTCCAGGTGTGTATGAGTCTTTCAGTATGAAGAGGAGAGGGAGGGCGTTTCTTCTCTGACTGACTTCTTTGTCTTTCAGCTGCTCCTGTTAAGTAAGGAGATAGATGTGCGGGAGCTGGACTTCTTGCTACGTTTTAACATCGACCACAACTACGTCAGCCCCCTAGACTTTCTCTCCAACTCTGCATGGAGTGCAATTAAGGTGATTAAATCCTGACATCCTTACAGGACTTTTTGCTGGATCACAGAAATGATTTAAAATATTCAAAAACCACCACCTGTTGCTGCACTCGTCTTTGCCCAGGTGATGAGTTTCACAGATGAATTTCGAGGTCTGGACCGGGATATTGAAGGTTCACCTAAACGCTGGAAGAAGATGGTGGAATCTGAGTGTCCAGAGAAGGAGAAGTTTCCTCAGGAGTGGAAAGGGAAAAGCTCCCTGCAGAAACTCATCATGATGAGGGCCCTGAGACCTGACCGCATGACCTATGCCCTGAGGTGGCTTTCTTTCCCTCCTGTGTTTTTTTAATTTTTATTTTTGCATGCATTTTTACTGTCTGTTTTGTTTCTTCTTTAGGAATTTTGTGGAGGAGAAGCTCGGGGTGAAATACACAGAGGGTCGAAAGACTGAATTTGCAAAGTCCTTCAAAGAAAGTGGGCCAGCCTCTCCTGTGTTCTTCATCCTCTCTCCTGGAGTGGATCCACTAAAAGATGTTGAATCTCTGGGTACTCAAACAGAGTAGTTGTGAACGTGTACTCACTGCATGCACTCATACATACAGAAACCACTTAAATATAACAATTTTAAAACAGCTCTGCAAGCAAATGTCACCGTCACTACACCTTTGTACCAAAGCAATGAACTCTGCAACGAGTTTTTAAGAGCCTTGGCTTTCAGAATTACATATTTCTCTTTTTGCAATTGATGATATTTTCTGTTTTTGTTGATGCTATGATTATTATTTTGTGGATAGAAGTGTCCGAATAGAAGTGTAGATGGTGGATATTTTGCAGTTGGAGTGTGGATTATAATTTATTTCTTTGTGTTCTCAGGGAGGAAGCTTGCTTTTACCATTGATCATGGAAAGCTCCACAATGTGTCCCTCGGCCAGGGCCAGGAAGCTGTGGCTGAGGTCGCCATGAAGAAGGCTTCAAAGGAGGGTCACTGGGTCATACTGCAGGTCTGATAAGAGGGTGGTGTCTACTGGGATAACCTACAAAAGAGGATTAGGGCTACAAGAAGAGAAAAAAATAATCACAGGAGGGAGATTTTTTTAATTTCCATTTCAAGATTTAAATCTGAAATTTTAAGAAGTTTAAATTTTGACTTCATGTCGACTTTTATCTCAAAATTGTACTTTATTTAATTTGAAATTTCAACATTATTCACATTTCTTAACCTCGAAAATTTCAATTTTTAATCTTGAAATTTCGACTTTAATCTCCTTCTGTAATTATTTTCTTTCTCATCACGTGGCCCTAATCCTCTTTCATAGATAAACAGAACAAAATGCATCAAATAAATTGAAAATATCACATAATGATGACCCGTCTAATTCTGCAGAACATCCACCTGGTTGCCCGCTGGCTGGGCTCACTTGAGAAGCTTCTTGAGCGCTGCTGTGAAGGTAGTCATCCAGATTATAGAGTTTTCATGAGTGCTGAACCTGCACCAACACCTCAGGAACACATTATCCCACAGGTAGAGATGAAACACACATGCAGTCAAGTCTTCATAGACACTGCAGCTTTCTGGGTACCATTATGACACTCATGTTGTATTACTGCTGTGGTGACTTTTTTCAGGGCATCCTAGAAAACGCCATCAAGATCACAAATGAACCTCCTACAGGCATGCATGCCAATTTGCATGCAGCTCTGGATAACTTTGACCAGGTGGGTATCTGCTTTCAGCAAATAATATCTTTTTGATTACTTTTTTACAAACAGATTCATTTCTTTGCAGGACATCTTGGACCAGTGCAGCCGTGAGCAGGAGTTTAAGACCATCCTCTTCTCCCTCTGTTACTTCCATGCCTGTGTGGCCGAGCGAAGGAAGTTTGGACCACAGGGTTGGAACCGCAAGTATCCCTTCAACACAGGAGACCTGACAATATCAGTGAACGTCCTCTACAACTATCTGGAGGCTAATGCACAGGTAGGATGTTGTTGATGTCCTGAAGGGATGAAATTCTTAAAGAAGATGGTCTGGGTTGGAGCTTCATGTGTGTTTTCATCGGGGTAGTCAGTGGGAAGTGTGTTGGGGGATGAATCTCATGACGGTTGCATTAATTTTCCCAATGATTATGTGATGAAGGTGCCATGGGAGGACTTGAGGTATCTGTTCGGGGAGATAATGTATGGAGGACACATTACTGATGACTGGGACAGGAGGCTCTGCAGAACCTACCTGGAAGAATACATGCAGCCCAACCAGGTTTGTATACAGAGGAGGAGACAGAGTAAACTTAGATCCAATATACTTTAGTCAAATGAAGTTTTGTGTTTGTGTTGTGGGATGAAAATCAGCTCAAGAAATCAGCAGTTGGGATCATTTTTGGGTCAGAGACTGCAAATGAAAACTTGTGGTTTCAAATTTTGATGACTTGAATCAGTAACAATATATTATTTGTACAATAGTAGAGATCTCAAACATCTACTTTGTGTTGTTTTTTATTTCCCAGTTTGACCGTAAGCTCGCCTTGACTCCAGGGTTTGTTGTTCCCTCCAACTTGGACTACCAGGTAATCGCAGATGGGTATTGTATGTGAGAACTTTAACAAATATGTACAGAAAATGTAAGGCAACACAAAACACCTACAGCTTGATGAATATCTGTCACATTTTATTTCCCACGAGGACTGTCTTTGTAGAAAATTAAAGTACTTTTAAGAAATGGTTCAATTGTTGTTAAAATACATAAATAAATGAATGGCGTTCATCATTTTCTTTCCTTATATCTCTAGGGTTACCATGACTTTATAGATGAGATGCTTCCCCATGAGAGCCCAGTGCATTATGGGTTGCACCCTAATGCAGAAATTGAGTTCTTGACAGTAACGTCGGATAGCCTTTTCCACACTTTGCTGGAGCTGCAGTCTCCAGATGCTGTGATGGGGGAGGGGGCTTCACAAACCCTGGAGGAGAAGGTAGCGACACATTAAGATGTTTAAATTATTTCTTCACAGGATTAGGATTTTATTCATGTTTTTTGACAGGTATGAAAAGACTGAACCTGTGCCAGACATCAGAAACACAAAGCACTGACACCACATGTCCACATTTTTTCACACAAGCTTTTTATACCCGTCTACTTTGATGCGCTAATTCTCTGGGACATAAGGTTGCGAAAACTGCATTGCTTAATCTGGTTGCTAGGGGAATTCCCTTCTTAAATCCTTATTTTTTTATGATTTTGCACTCCTCCAGGTGAAAACTATTCTAGATGAGGTGATTGAGAAGCTTCCAGAGGAGTACAACATGGCGGACATCACCTCTAAGACAGCTGAACGCTCCCCGTACATCCTTGTCTGCTTCCAGGAGTGTGAACGCATGAACATGCTCATCTTTGAAATACGCCGTTCACTCAAGGAGCTTGATCTGGGACTCAAGGTATCCCTATGATGCATTTGGTTGTGATTTTATATTTGCATATAGTGCAGCTACAAACATCTCAACAACACACATTTTGTTCATATAACTTGGTCTGACGACTGACGAGAGAATGAGACCGTAGTTGGGAGGATAATTGGTTTTCTTGTCCCATAGCAGTGATGGTGTTAGTATTAGTGCCGATCAAATTAAAGACTGCATCTCCCAGTACTCCCATTATCCTTACCATTAGCTATGTGTGCACTTAAAGAATAAAAAGCCCTCTTCCTGTTTCGCCACAAGGGAACCTCTCATGGTGCCAAATTAATCCATCCTGCAGATTTCCTCCTTCTGATCAGGTGGCGCATGCTGCTTTGTAAAAGTGTCAGCAGCTGTTATTTACAGTAATTACACTCATGTCCAAAAATTTGATGTATTAAGAGTTTTTTTATGTTAAGCTAAACATGTCTGTCAAAGGGTGAACTGGCCATTTCCTCAGAGATGGAGAAGCTGCAGACGGCTTTGTTCTTTGACAATGTCCCCGATACCTGGACTAAGCTGGCCTACCCGTCCATCTACAGTCTGGCTATATGGTGGGTCTGTGTGTGTGTGTGTGTGTGTGTGTGTGTGTGTGTGTGTGTGTGTGTGTGTGTGTGTGTGTGTGTGTGTGTGTGTGTGTGTGTGTGTGTGTGTGTGTGTGTGTGTGTAATATTTCTAAGCGTCTCAATGTTACAGTGTTCTTTAAACGATGAGAGATAATCTGTTTCTGTAGCGTTTCTAAACTGTTTTGGTCCTTGTGAATGGAGTTGCTGTGTCCAACAGGTATAGACAGATATAACAGACAACATACAGTTTGATCTGACATACTGAGCATTGGATTGACCATTTCTATACCACCAAGATACAGGATTTGACTACTTTTCGGGACACATCCCAGACTTGAGACCTGTTATGAAAGGATAGTTTGTCCAATAGGGCGTGTTGATGTGATACCATATTATGAGTTGCAGTTCACTTTGTATGCCTTAGGTGTCATTGTCTTGTTATCTGGGGCTCAGGAAGCCTTGTCACTTTTGAGAACAGGTGTTTGGCCTGGAAGGGCAAGATGTTTTTGACCGCAATGGTGCTAACTGCCTGCGTTTTTCTTGTTTGTTCAGTGTTTAATATCAATTGCAAAATGGACATGGTTATGTTCAGCGCAATGAATTTTTGTTTGCTGCATTCGAGGAACAGCATTTGGACTTTTGCTGATCATCAAAAAGCACGGTAAAACTCAGTAGCATGATGCGTCAACCAGGTTACTCTGAGTCAAGCATCTCGGTAGCTTAAAGTATGACTTAACTTCCTACAATATTAGTCAAAAACCTGTCCACAACAATGACAAGGCTACCTTTATTCCTGAGCCCCAGATAACAGGACAGCAACACCTAAGGCATACAAAGTGAACTGCAACTCATAATATGGTATCACATCAACATATTTGGCTCCTACAGGGGGCAAGAGCCAAGTCCTGAATCAGTAAAGGTCAATTTTTTTCAAACAGTGGTTAAGATAGGAGGAAGGATGCATCTGAAGGAAATTAATGTACGTCTTTTTACATGTTCCACAAGAAGAAGAAGAACTTTATTGATCCCCGAAGGGAAATTCAATAGTCTGTCGTCTCATTTGTCATGTTTCTAAAGGTCATCTACTATTTACAGAAGAGTTGTAAAGTCTGATGGCTGTGGGCACAAAAGAATTTCAATTTCAAATGTAATCTTAAGAAATGTGTGTGTGCATGTGTGTGTGTCAGGTATAATGATGTGCTGCAGCGTTGTAAAGAGCTGGACAGCTGGACTCAGGACCTCTCTCTCCCAAGTGTCGTCTGGCTGTCTGGACTTTTCAACCCTCAGTCCTTTCTCACTGGTAAGTCACTCTGTTGCTTGATTAAAATGTCACTCTCCTCTTTGTTTCTGTCTTGTGCCCTCTGCTGCCAACTCTTGATTTGGCCATAAAGTTTTTGTTTGTTTAATCATACCGTCCCTGGGTTTTTCAGCTGTCATGCAGTCTCTGGCGCGTAAGAACGAGTGGCCTCTGGATAAAGTGAACCTGACAGTGGATGTGACAAAGAAGTTTAAGGAAGAGTTCAACCAGCCTGCCAGGGAGGGTGCTTACGTTTATGGACTTTACATGGAAGGTGGATAAGGCTTTTTTAGTTATAGGTCAAAATATTTGCTCTGTGAATCTTGTCATAAATATGTCTCCTCTTTCTTTTTAATGGTAAAAATCCTCATTTTTTTAATCTTCATATCCGTCCATTTAAAGGTGCAAGATGGGACACTCAGACCGGAGTGATCACTGAGGCCCGTTTAAAGGAACTGACCCCAGCAATGCCTGTCATCTCAGTCCGAGCTGTGCCCAATGACCGCCAGGAGACCAGGAACATCTACGAGTGTCCGCTCTACAAGACCAAGATCAGAGGACCCACATATGTCTGGACTTTAAGCCTCAAAACCAGGGAGAGGCCAGCCAAGTGGGTGCTGGCAGGAGTTGCCCTGTTGCTTAGTGTGTGAGAAAGACTGGAAAGAAGTGGGCTGAGATTTTAGTAGCAGAGAGGTATTTTGTTTAATAGAGGAGGGTAGGTGTTTCTGTAGAACTAGCATCTTTGTTGTTAAGTCTATACAAGTGAACACTAAAGTTAACTATGTCCATAAAGGCTCTTTGTCAAATTTTCTACTTCTATTTGGTGTGCACTCCATTTGAAGTCCTCTCCACAGCTTACCTTCATCATGGTGGAAGAATCAGGTATAGCTGTAAGCTTTGGGACAGACTCCCCTCACTCTCGAGGAAACAGGAACTTTTTGTAACCATTAGGGATGGGCGATAAATTGTTGTTCAAGATATATCATCAGAAAAATCCTCCACGACAAATATTTGCCATCTCATGATAAATACGATAAATGTAAGTTGATGATGTAAGTGTGAGCGATGGACTCGCAGCCATAGCCCACACAGAGGTGAAAAGCAAACAAACATGGCTGAAGGTAATGAAGAAGACATTTCTGAGCAACTTGATACTGAATGAGGCTTCACATGAGGGATTTTCTTCAAGACTGGGGCTTAGATGAGTGCAATAAGAGTTTTCAACAAATGTTAAATGTTTTCATATTTTAAACTTGTTTGATGTCATTAGTTTTCTCCATAACCTAACACTTACACTTGTGGTTAAGTATCTTATTTGACTATTCCAACTGATGTTCTCAAGACAAAATGAGTCAAAAATATAGTTTTGGATTATAATTTTCTTCAGCAAGACTTTTATCATTTTCCCCAGGATGGCAAATATTGTTGTGATAATTTTTATACTCATATTGCTCATCCCTAGTTACCATGTTCGCGCCACACACATACGAGGAATAGTTAAAGGGATATTTCAGCGTAAAATTAATTTAGGGTCAAACACATTGTAACACTGAGTTAGACACCCCCTTGAGAGATGAATGTTGCCGACTGTTTGCTTCTCTTCTTATACCAACTTTAGTAATGAGCGCATGATAGCAATACACAGCAGTCTGAGGAGCCATAAACAAACCTCAACCAAAACGCCACTCTATAGCTGCAAATAATGATCAGAACAGCACCTAACTTCATCAACAGTACATATAGGGTCCCAGCCATAGTACTAGCCACCGAACATCTTTTTAACTTTGCCTAATTTCTTTAGCAAAGACACAAAACTCAACTCATCTACTCTCTTCCAGCAGCCGCTTGTTTGTAGCGAGACCTCAGGCCAGTCCATTACAGACTGCTGCGGGGTGATGCAGCTCAAGGAAGAACATTTATGATCATTACTTTATCATTTCCTTGAAGTAATAATCAACATATTAATCATTTTGCACTGCAGACGCTGTAGTTCTTCTGCCTTAGCATCTCGGTCTGATTGCATTTCCATGAAGAAGTTATCATAAATGTCTGTCAATGTGTGTGTGTCTGACCCTAAATTAATTTTATGCCAGAATATCCCTTTAACACGAATAACTATTTACAAAAATGTCTCTTGAGTATGAGGAAAATTCCACGTCTTCTATAGCTTTTTGTTTTTAATCAAACATAAATAATCTGCAGTTTACTTAGGAAAGGGGTTAATGAATATGCTCAAACTTTCAATTTTGCACCTTTGTGACTTGATTAAATTGAATTTAGACAAAAGCCATTTCGTTTCTGTCCATGTGGGTCACAACTCCGAGCTTTAAGTTCCATAAAGGCCTGTGCAATCTCTGCAGGAATATTAAGGGCAACATTCACATAGAGAAAACACAGAAAATAAATCAGGGTTTCTTTTTTTTATTGAAAAAAGATAAAATATAAAGGAAGAAATGCCAAAAATTCACACACTAGATCACATTTAGAACTGATAGCGTCAAAGCTCGTTTTAAAGCAAATCAAGTCTATAAACTACAAGATAGTCTACAAGCAGGTAAAGAATAATCAGACATTGTTGCCTCATTAGAGCGGCATTCAAGTGTGTTATTTCTCTAACACTTGTACCTCTTACAGTGTGTTATGCAGCAGTTTTAAAAGCACATTAAATTACACTGGTGAAGTCATTCTGATGCTCCCTTCTACTTCACAGTACACATGGATATGGTGTTCATCAATTCAATAGAAAAAAAAATTTAACAAAAGAAATGTGTGTATACCAGCTCTATGACAGCTGTAGATTCTAACACACGTACTGTAGCTCAGATACTGCACGTGTTGAGAAATCACAACAAACCTGTCTAGTTTGGCCTATGTGTGGTTTTCTATGTGTGTTTTTTCTGTGCGTGTGTGTGTACTTCTTTTTGTGTTTTCTAGTCACTATCAGACCAGTCAAGCTCCATCATGTCCATGGCTGCTGACGCCATATTGACCTTGGTTCCATGTCGCACGCTGCAGCTCTTCAAGGAGTTTTGATTGGATGAAGACCGCATGCTCACCTGCACCCCTGAGTGCCCCATGACCCCCACTTCTCCTCTAATCTTTTGGCCTATGGCCTCACTGAGGTCACCTCTGACTCCCTGCACCATGACTCCCATGTCGCTTCTACGGCCCCTGACCCCCACCTCACTCCTGACACCTTGACCCACCACCTTCATGACTCCTAGGTCCCCAATGTCTATGTCGATGTCACCTATCCTCTCCATGTCGCCCATGTCATTAATCTCTAAGGACATCATGTCCCCCAAGCCCCCCAAACTGTCATGGAGACCCTTGAACATGGTGGGGAGCCTCCCACCCTCTATACCTCCCTCATCCAGCCTGTCCCCAAGTTTTTCTATCTCCCACCCTCCCTCTCTCTCTCTCTCCCTCTCTCCCTCCCCCTCTCCGAACCCACCGGAGTATCCTCGCACTATGGTGGTCACCCTGCTCCTCTGCATCCCTCCTCTCTCCCTGTCCCCATCCCCCCATGTTCTCTCCTCCCTCTCCACTACACCACCTGGGAAGCTCCTGAGTGTCACCTGCACCCTTCCTCCACTGTCATCTCTCTCCCTCTGCCCCCAGCTTTTATCCTCAAGGGTTCCTTCCTCCTCTTCCTCTTCCTCATCTTCCTCATCTTGAAACCTGCCCTGCAACCCTCGGATCATGGCGTGCAGCCTCCCGCCGTCAAGTGAACCCATCCCCCTCTCCAGCACCGCGCTGCTCCCTCTCTCGGTGTCTCCATTGCTGAGGGTGCGGATGAGACAGCTGACGCCAGCACTGCTGACCCCGGCACTGTTGGAGTCCTGAGAGTGTGAGCGGAAGAACGAGCCGGAGGAACTGATGGACATGGGTGTGAAGAACTGAAACGGTTCAAGATGAGGAGCAGAGACCAAAGAGAGGTGTTATATGAGTTTGTTTTGAGCTACCTGATCCAGATTTTCCCGTACTTCTACTTACTGGTGAGATGTTTGAGCGTTCCATGAGAAGGGAGGTCGGGCTGGGTGACATGTTCGACCTTTCCATCAGCCTCTCCTCCCACAGTCGGAGTCTCCTCTCCCTCTCCTCCAGCTCTTTCTCCTTGGAGTAAAGTTCCCTCTCCAGCTTCCGCAGGCGCTCCAGGGTCGACTCAATTTCACACCTGAAAGGTGTAAAAATACGACATGAAACATTAACGTTAAAAGTGCATCTGTCATCCGGTGTGATTTTGTGAAATTGGCTTTTTTTGTAACTGTGAATCTCACAGAGTTTACCAGACAAATCGCTGACTCAGTTACACGACTCTGTGCTTGTGCTTTAGTTTGAACTTCACGGCTACTTTAAGTTTTGATTCTTGAAAATCTGAGGTCTGATTGTTGAAGGTTTCTGTTATTATATTTGCAGCTGGAACCCAAGTACAAATTTTACCAGCATTATATAATATGTAATAACCCAATTATTACACACAAAATCAATATAGAGAAAAAAACTGTTTTCTTATCATCAAAATTTCCATTTTATAATTCCTAGATAAAGTACTCTGATAACTCTGAATTAAAAAATAAAACTACCTTTACATTTAGTACTAGACTAAAAGTTTGCAAGTATATCTTGATGTGGGTCAGCCAATGCTTTGTTTGTTTGTTTTCCAGATTTAAAACCCTTTTGTTTGTTATTTTGTTGGGAAATATCCTTCACTAGCATGGAGAAAACCTACTAATTTTTCATTTTGGTGAATTGCTATACATCGAGAGCACAGTAATACATTTCAGTTTTACTTTTTAATCCAAAAAGATGTTACTTTCAGAACACAAAAAAATGCTTTTGTAGATTTACTACATATTGTAAAACTTTTTATTGTAACTTAAACTCAGGTCATTTGCCTTCTATCAAAGCTGCTCCTCTGATTGCTCTGACTGATAAGAAAAAAAAGATAATGAGCATTTGTATCAGACAACATGACAGCACTTGTTAAGTTTATTTTGCAGAGCAACAAAAGTTTCATTTGTTGAGTGGAAACACAGAGCTGTAGTACCGACTCTCACCACAAGAGGTCACTGTTAGAATTATTGACTGCCCATGAACCTGCATTCACAACACAATCAACACTCAAGGCGGCTAAATATAGACAGATCTGACGCACATCCATACCACCTCCTGTGTTCCTTCCATACCTACATACTCATTCATCTCCCCCCTTCACCTCCCTCCCTCTTCCTCCCCTTGCCACCTCCCCTTACCCAAGTTTTTCCACCCGAACCCAAAACTTCGCTCAGAATTGATTGCCTCGTTGTACTCCTGTCAAATATGCACAGAATCTCACACCTTCTCTCCTCTTCTCAGTCCTCCAACCTCTCTTTCTCTCTCTCCCATCACCCGTCTCTTTTTCTTCTCACTAATCTTTATGATCTCTCTTTCTCTGAGTTTTACATTTCACATGCACACAAAACTTTTTCCTAAGCTTCTCCCCTTCTTCGGCTGGAACTGTACTTGTCCTCTTCCTCCCCCCCCAACCCCCACCCCCACCCCTCTGTCGCTCTCCCTGCTGTGGGGCGAGGGTAAAGAGGAGGAGTGAAGGAATCTCTTCCATGGACTCTGTCCAGAGAGCTTATTATAGACTGAAGTAGAGCACAGGGTCACACATTCAACTTCTCTCCCAAGCCTAAGTGTCTGCAGAGCTGTGTTTGTAAGCTTGTGTGTGTGTGTGTGTGTGTGTGTGTGTGTGTGTGTGTGTGTGTGTGTGTGTGTGTGTGTGTGCATGCTGGCACGTGCATAGCTATGTTGAATTTTGTGTATGCATATTGAGTTTTATTTGGACTGCAGTAAGCCACAGACTGCATTTGTCATCCAGGACTGTGCTGTACACACCTAGTGCTTTCTTAAAGATGTCTTCATAAATGCGTGTGTGTGCTTGTGTAGTTGTGTGCTTGTGTAGTTGTGTGTGTGTGTTTGTACCTCCACTGGTCCTTGTTATGTAGGAAGGAGTTACACTGGTCCGGTAGCCGGCTGTCGTGGGACATGGTCTCCAGGGTTACTAGCACCTGTTTGAAGTGTGGACGCTCCTGTGGGTACATGCATGCACACAGAGTTATATAAACATTACAAACCCCTTTTTTTTTTCTTTTAGTTTTTATTAGTGTAGATTAGGGGTGACACAAAGGTAGACTTTTGAGGATATAATCCTCTTTGTTTTCATTTGGCTCACCTTTGCATCTGCTTGCCAACATTTCTTCATGAGTTCTGCAAAACTTGCCGGACAGCTGGAGGGGATGGTCAGCCTCTAGATACAGAGACACACAAAGACAGAAGAGGTGGAAGCCTTTACTTTCAACATAAATCATACAATCCCGACATTAAAGGATGATTTAGCTCACTAACAATCATTGAAAAGTCTCAAATAACATTTAAAAACAAATAATTTTACAATGTGATAAAAAAAATTCCCTGTGAGGTGCTAATTTGGCCCAGCAGTCGAGACGCATGCCTCCAATGAGCTCGTCATGTACTGTATTGCAACCAAGACAACCATTTCTCCAACAGTATTTACATTTTTCTCCTCAGAGGTCAGGAGTTTGAGGCCCCGGGGTGGAAGTTTTATTAAGCTAATACAGTAAGTTCTTGGTCTACCACTCCAAAGGTGAGACCACAGTCCTCACCTTTCTGGTCGCATACAGGAGTAATTCTCAGTCACTGAATGTTTATTGTACATCATCACCTACCCTTTGCCCTAAACTGTCCAATCAAATAAAGGCAATAACCTCCCGTACAAGGTTCTCTACAGCCTTTCATAACTGCGATTATTACGCCACAAAATCTATACAGAGTACACACTAAGGGAAATGTGTGCGGCGAGGTGGCTCTAAAACATGAGTCTGGTCCTCCCCGTGGTTTCTGCCTGTAAACAGGAAGCTTTTCCTTACCACTGTCGTTCATGTTAGATGAAATGGGTCAAATCTGTCCCATCTTAAGGTTGGGTCTTGGTAATTCATCAAACAATGAGCGTAGTCTAGACTTGCTCTTTTTCTTTGGGGAAGTGTCTTGGGATATCGACTGTTGTGATTTGGCGCTACATAAATACAATTTGATTGATTGATTGATTTTTCTGGAGATGAAAACAAACTATGGTTTTATAGTGATGCTATAACCAAGTTGCCAGCTCTCAAGGCTGCATATTGCGCAGTAGAGAGATTGGATAAAGTGAATTTTAGGGTCAGATTCATGTTTGTGTACAACAATAACAGAGCTTAAATGCTGTTGTTTAGCAGGTAAACAATAGACATCATTTGAACACTATCAGTAGCTCTTAGGAAAAGAGGTAATGTGACAAATATCGGACATGTTACTTAATTCAAAAAGTTGAAGAATCACTGAAGTTTTAATTCACAAGTTATCCTGATGGAAACCAATGTCATGGCACTTCTCCAAAGAGGACAAAAGCTGCAGGAGCAAAAGTGCTTCTTCAGGACTGTGTTTCTGTTTCATTAGATTTGATTGGCAGACCCGGAGACGCGAGCAAACAGCCGCACAGCTGTTGCCTCACTGACTGTGACACGAAAACAAGTGAACCGAGCACACTGAGGAAGAAAATATACGCAAAGGTACATGCTGTGTTTTCATAATGCATTTAAAGTGATCATTTCTTTAACTGCAAACCAAATATGCAATGACCAGTGCACATTAAAAACATGTACATTTAGAAGCCATGGTCATTTTTGTATAATATGTAAACAGTAAAGTAAAACTACACCAATATAATATTCCTTCTTTTAAAATCTCTCAGAGTCACCAAAGATCTAAATGAGCCCAGACAGCTACTCAGAATACCATACTAAGTGGAAACACTTTCCTCCAGGGATTAATCTTAAAATATCACCAACTCTGAACTGAGAGGGCATGTTAGAGGGTCAGGAAGAGAGGTATAGCAATGGAGGGGAAAAATCAGAGGGAGACTGGGAAAGAGAGAGAGCAAGTTATTTAGGGAGAGTATTTGGAGATTAGCCAAGAGCTACGCAGGAATCATATTCTCGGAGTTGTTTGTTGGCCCCCCGTGTGAGCGCGTGTGTTTTTTATATGAGGCTGTTGAAGGGATTCAAGCATGTCGATAAGCGAGACACATACACCGTGTAAACGTCACCCCCCTTCTCCCTTAAAGCTCTTGAATCAACCGTCCTATCACTGAAATCTTTCCTTTTTTCTCCTCTCTCTCTCTCTTTCTCTCGTAAAGGCTTTAGCCAAGGGGGAGTCTGGCCCGGCTCCACTGCTGTGTATCCAGGCCTTACAAGAGCAGAGAACTGACATCAGGCCTAAAAATATCCAGCCTCAGCCTCACCAGCTCGCAGTGGAAACCATGAGAGCATCACATTGTTCCTCCAGCTTTCTCAGACCCTGGTGCGTCTACATGCTGACAGTGTTGTTTGCAAAAGTGTGCGCATGTTTGTGTCTTTCAGGGGTGTAGTTACCTCTTGTTTTTCCACCACCAGCCATGCAACCTGCAGCCCTTCAAATCCTTTAAAAGGAACCTCCCGAGTCAGCATCTCCCACAGCACCTGCAAACAGAACAGAGTGAGTTAGTTCATTCAGACAAAATAACATTTCTGTGACGCTCTGGTAGCTGTTTCATATGATTTACATTGGGTTTATGTAGTAGGTCACCTAAAAAGAAGAGCATCAAAATGTCTGATCTATCACTAAATACAGGGTAAAGGACTGTTTAAGGTTAATTTATACTGGTGTTGGTACTTTTGCAATACTTTTTTTTTTTTTTTTTTTAAGAGAAGTTACTGATAACTTTGGTGAAAATAACATTTCTGTGAGGATAAAATATGAGGGCCTAGTTAAAAAAGCAATCTGATTACAATTTTAGGATTGAATCAAATCTTTTCAAATTAGATTTTCAAAGACACAAATGGAAAATGTGAAATGGCTTTATAACCAAGTTTTGTTCTCATTTGTGTTGTTGAAAACTTTTAAATTGGATTTGAAAAACAGTGATCCAAAAATTGAGGATTATCCTGATCCTCGCAGAGGGTTGGATTAAAAATAGATTACAAGAACAAACTGTAACACTGTTTTGAAGTAGCTCAAATAAAACTAATCTTAAAAAGTAGCTTATATATTTTTCAATATTTTGAACTTCAATTGCTAAAGTGCTACTGTGACAGTTTATCCAAAGTAGACATTAGGACTGCAAAACAATAAAGACCCCGTAAATAATTCACCAAATAGCATCAATATAAAACAAAGTATTTAAATAAAAGTAACTGTGAAGAATTTTTGGAGTGTGTATATTTGCAACTCCTGTGGACAAAATATTCTGATCCATTGACAGCTCAGCTAATCCAGATTCTGTAAAACTAACAGTCCATTTGTGTTCTTTAAAGCTCCAGTAAGGAGTTTTTTTATGTTAATAAAATAGGCTGGAATTCATACTGGTGACTTTTCATGATTCACAAAATCGAAAAGGACCATTTAGGACAAGATTGAGAATTTTAGAACTTGCATTTTTGATGCCTCAAAACTGGCATGAAGGAGGTAGGTGTCAGTGGAGCGGCTGAAGACACAGCCCTGTTATTAGAATTTCCACTTCAAAATGTTTATATTAGACTGTTTTGTCAGAAGATTCAACAAAAGACACTAGCCAATTTAGTAAAAGACAAGGCAAAGACTCAAAAACCAAAAGTTCCTCATCAAAGCTTTTAAAAATTAGGACAAAAGGGTTACCTGATTCTGGATTTGAAAAGCTGCTTCCCAAATCCAGAAAATTTCAAACTCCATACACTGTGCTTGTTTCAGATGCCTCCCAACAATTCTTCTCAAATAAAAACCTCTAATGATTACTAAATTGTTCTGAGGGTTTGTCTGGTAGAGCGATAAGTGTATCAAACAACAGTAACAACAACAACAACTCTGAGCAGCATTTACTCCCAGCTGTTGGAGCTGATCCATTAATAAATCTTATATAACGCTGATATTTGTCGAGCACTTTTATTCCTCACCACACCATAGGAGTAAGTGTCACAAGTCTCAGACACAGGCAGACTCTGAATGACTTCAGGCGCCATCCAGGGAAAGGTGCCCACCACCGTCATATGGGTGGTGTGAGACAGGAATTTAGATGCTCCAAAGTCACAAATCTGAAATCCCAACAGAGAGAAGGAAATACAAAATTACCTCTGAGCCTCCATTGATTAAAAAAAAGATTTATGTGTGATTCCCTGTGCGAGAACAAATCTACAAACCTTCAGCACTTTGTCTGCTGTCATCACCACTGCAACAGAGAGGTGGAGAAACAGGTCAGAGGTTCATAACACAAACCTTTATATGCTAATATGATAACTGATAATAGATATACCTAGGGTTCAATAAACAAATAATTGTCTTTTGCGAGTTACCATTTCGTGACTTGAGGTCTCTGTGAATGACTTTCACTGGAGCTTCAGCATGAAGATAATGCATCCCTGAGGAGATGCAGAGAGACGTCAATCACTGGCATGATAAGGAACTTTCTCATGTCCATTCTGGCTTGTTTTGAGTGATTTCAGTGTGAATGATTTTGTTTTAAGCTCAGTTTGTGTTGAATGAGAAATCCTCTATATAAAGGGTGAACTAAAAACACAACCATCCCCAGCAAAGTGAGTCAGAAATAAAGTGGTCACCTCTGATTTTTGATGCAAGGTTGACTATGTTGATTCAGAAACCATTGACCAATCAGGATAGATAGATACACTGATCAATAGCCAATGATACAATGAAATGGACGTAAAGTAAAACCTCTTGTTTATATCATCATCTGTGGTTATTACCACTTTCTTCTGTGTGATCCTTGTAGATCTTGTGCAATATTTGACTTTATTTCCACAGCTGCATTTGGTGGAATGGTAGAAACATGATGAAGTTTATCTGAAGGGTAGTGATTACTGCCAAAAAACTTAAGTGAAGGAATCATATCAAATCAAGCCCTCTACCACTGGTTCTTATCATCTTTGGTTTGGTCATTCAACCAAGACATTTTTTTAAATCTCATTTTTCCAGATGTACCTTTGGCTATCTGTATGGCCCACGTCATGATCTGCTCCATGTCCATCTCCTCACTCTGCTCACTGGACAGGTACTCGTACAGAGACCCTCCGCTAGCATACTCTGTAATAACACACGGTCAGCACAGGAGAGAGGTCAATCGTACAGTTCTGTGAGTTAATTCTACTTAAGACAGATACACATGTTGACATTAATAATCCTTAAACACAACATTGAAGAGCTCATATCAGACTTTATAGTGCAGCTCTAGCTCATTAATGTTAGAGTTAGCTGGAACAGTTAAGCCTGACCCACAACACAGACCTGCACTTAGTGGAAACACTAACAACCTTTACACCCTGACCATCTAATCCAGATTATCTCTGACCTTTAACCTTTCCCTTTTTCCTTTTAGAACTAACAGCTCAACGAGACAAGAAAGACACAGGGAATAATAATACTGAAGCAAATGAGCTTCAAAATGTTCTTTAACCTAGACCAGCATGCAGCTTTTGAAACGTTTCGCCGGTTTTCCTACTGTACTTCTTTATTTCGAGTAATCACTCGACACATCTGTAACATGAATCATTGCTGCACTGTCCTAATGTCGTGTGTTTCACTTCATCCTAACTATACGACCCCATCCAGGATTACACCTACATCCAAATATGCTGGTCTCAGTTTCAAATGTCCTGCCAGGAAACACGGCTAGAACCGGCACCCAGAGTAGACACAGACTCTTCAAAAACACACACATAAACACCAACCAGCCACTGGAGCATGTGCTAATGTGTCCTTAAGTGGCACGTCTAGGATCAAATACACACTAATAAAACTCATGTTCGTATAGAGCTGCTTATAGTTTTATAGATGCATATAAAAAAAGACAATAATAAACTCCTGGATTCATACAGGGCTGTGGAAAACATAACACAAAGAGAAGATAAAGATATAAATGTAAATGTTCAGGTTTTTGTTACTGTGAAGACTTCTAAAAGTATAAGTGATTCTCACAGACACACACACGCACTCATGGTGTCTGACCTGTGACAATGCCATAGTTGGGAGATTCCAGCACGGCTCCATAAAACTGAATGATGTTCTTATGACTCAGGACACTAAGAATCTCAGCCTGCATGGAGAGAAGAGAGAGAGAAAAAGTCAAACTGAGGCAAAAGAACAAATTTATTCCCATCCCCTCTTAGTTTTCTAATATCTGAAACTCGCAAGATAGCAAGACTTTTCAGGAAATAGATTTGAAATCATTACTCATCCACTCTACATAAACCTCATTATCCGGAGCTTTTGCTTGTGTTCCGGTTTAAAGTTTTCTCTGATGGTGTTTCCCTGAACTAAAGACTGACCCTCTCTCATACCTCAGGTTGACTCTCAGAATAAAGACACTCCACACGGCAGTGACAAACATGCCATTAATCAGAGCTGACATACAGGTCATACCCTCTGTGTGTGTGGAATATGCAACTGTTGCCAGGCAACACAATACCCCGCCATAAATTATGAAACTACAACAAAAACACTACAATGTAAATACAGAATAGATTAACTTTATGCTTGGTTCGGTTTTCAGTGTGCACAAGCATTGGTGAGGTGGTGTGTGTAGATTGTTAGTGTTGTGGTCGAAACAGATGTTTGTTTGATTTCTAAGATGTTGTTTTTAATTGAGTTTCTCATTACATGCTGTTATTTATTTTTTTAACTCCACTAAAATATTTACTTCCCAACTCATACCCTCAGAAATGGGGTATTCAATTTTTGGCCCATTTTAGCAAAAGCAGCTGCAAGTTGAATTTTAAGTGCATCAAATGTAACACAATATTAATATCAATAATAAAAATAACATTATTATTATTATTATTATTATTATTATTATTATTATTATTATTATTATTATTATTATTATTAACAATAATAATAATAATAATAATAATAATAATAATAATAATAATAATAATAATAATAACTTTATTTTTATAGCACTTTTAAAAACAGAAGTTTACAAAGTGCTTTGACAAAAAGTCAAAAAGCACATGGAAATAAAGACAAATAAAAACAAAAAGCTCAGTTAAAGTGGAACTGAGGGTCATTTTTATTTGTCCCAAGGAACCCCATCCGTACCAAAGCCATACAACATAAAATGAGACCACGAGGACCGAAATGAAAAATGAAATAGGTAAGAAAAAGAAAATGCTCTGAAAGGGAGGGTTAAAGCAGAAAACAGTGAAGTAAATATAAAAGACAAAAATAATAATGATAATGAAAAAATAAAGTAATAATGATGATAAAAGTAATGATAAAATAGAACAACTAAGCAAGAGACAAAACAATAAAAGCCCCTAAAAGGTTAATTAAGAAAAGACTCTAAGTATAACAAAAGACAAAAAGAAAGTAAAGCTGAAATAAGATAGAGGTAAAAGAGATAAGAGATGTCAGTGTAGGTTCTCATTCATCCAGGTCATGGTTATCCAACTCTTCATTGACTTGCTCGAAGTTCTTGAAGATGTTTTGCCTCTCTTTCAAAAAGCTTCTTCAGTTCTAATGGGACTTCGGCCAAAGTTGGAAATGTATAGCCCTCGTTGGCCATCCAGCTGTGAATGGGCCTGGTGGTCACCTGAAAGTTAGTTCAGGCTAATGACGCTCAGGTGACCAAGCTGTGAACCAAGAACCTCAAGCTGGTCCAGTGGTCTTTTCTACAAAGAATCAGATCAATTGTGATAGCTTCCAACTTAGAGTTTCAAAATGAGTCGCCTGTAAGTCTGGTCAGGATGTGAGCTGCACTTCTTCTATAATCCATCAATTTTGTGTTTACATTTGAACTGTACACACTTGATGTGTGCGTCTGTGTGTGTGCGTGTGCCCTCCCCACATGGGCTTTGTGTTTGTTTGAGAAAGAGAGTGTGAAAGAAATCATGTCAACACTTCCCATTAGATTGTTTGACTCTGTTTGCATCGCAATAACATTATCCCCATCTCACCCACAGGTTACTCCAACTTCACATTGTCTCTTTCCAGTAACTTGGAAGGAAATGATGCTAAGAGGGACCACCAGGGCCATACCCATGGAGACCCACTCGGTCTGATCTGAAGTGCAAGACGCCCTGAGTGACCACACACCTCGACCTGGAGCACAATGGGAGGAACAGGGGAGTGCTGGCATAAATAAATCTCTGCTCCATCCACAAAGAGAGGGGGGAGGAGGAGGAGAGGGGCGAGGAGAAGTATGTTTAAGATAAACACAAATCCAACGGCAGACAACAGAGGAGGAGGAGGGGGGAGGCAGGGAGGGACAGAGGGGGTTATGGGAGTATGAGTCCAAAGTGATCATGAAAATTAAGGGAAACTGATTCATGTTGAATTTCAGAGGATGGGTTCAGATGGGTTCATGGAAACCCTGAAAAGTTAACAATAGGGATCTTAAAGCATTGTGCTGCAGAAGTGTATGGTCAGTCAGTGTGTTTGTCCTCGTGTATGTTTGTCCTTCTTACCTCTTTGTCAATCTTAAGAAGCTTCTTCACAGCCACCTCCTTGTCCTGGGAAATCCAGAGGGCTCTGTAGACGCTCCCAAAACTCCCTCCTCCACAGTTCTCATAGTAGAGCAGGTCCTCATGCTTTATCTGCACAAACGACGAGCCAGGGGACGACATGGCATACTGACTAACTCCAACATACACACATTCACCCACACACACACATACACACACACACGCTCACACTCACACACACGCACACACTCACTCAACAACCCCAAAAGTTGCAGGCTTCACCCACCGACTGTTTCCCCCCTCTTGGAATAAAAAAAAAAGTCTCCCAGACCAGCTAAGAGCAAGAGAAGGAAAGGAAATAAGCAGAGGCGGAGAAGTTTTACTCCACAAGGTTGGAGTGGATGTTGTCAGTCAGCAGAACAGATTGTCGGGGAGAAGAAACCAGAAAGTGCTGGAAAGAGAGAGAGAAGTTTGGCTCCCAATGAGTCAGAAAAAAAAAAAAAAGTCAAAGCCCCCCTGTCACTAAAAGAGAGGTATAACATTGCCTGATAGTGGCGATCTAGTGTAACTACAGCACCAAAACTCACACACAGACACACACATGTATAAGCACACAGCATGAAGATGAAGGGGAGGTGAGTGTTGGAGTGTGTGTGAGGTACAGTTTGTAGTCGGTGTGTGCAGACTCCCTTTAGCAGACACACTGTTCAAATATGGTCACTGGCATTCAGGGCATTCCTCCTTCCTGGATAACTGTGGCTAAATAAAGCTTTCCATACACTACACACACACACACACACACACACACACACACACACACACACACACACACACACACACACACACACACACACACACACACACACACACACTTACATAGGGATATACAGCTCCAGCCTATAGCATGTCAGACATAATGAATCAGCCAGCAACAAGGCTGACTTCCACAGACACTCTGCATCTAAAAGCACTCACATGCACAGGGCAGTGACAGTGTGTTACTCAGCTAGACAGAAATTACACGGTGACATCATCAGGCGAGTTAGCCGTGCTGACATCACTGAGTAGGGACAGGTGAGATCAGTCTGGGAAAGTTGGGACACTCTCAGTTGTTGACAGTGATGGAGAGCAAGAGGAGGCTTAATAGTGATTCATAAGATAAATAAAACATGGCTGAAAGTGAAGGCCGCCTACAGTAGTGGCTGAAATGACTCATTCAGGCCATAGTACAACCGGCGACACAAATGTGTGACTACGACATGGAAATAGGTTGTGGAGTTAGCTTATTCAGAGGGGTTCATCCTCAGGGGAGAAGATGTGGGCCTAACAGTCAGCTTGTCACAAGTTTTAATTTATCGCTTATTGGTAGTGGAAGTTATGCTTCAAGGAAAGCTTATATACAGAGGCGGCACTCTTAGGGGTAGTGGTCACTGGTTCATATCCCAGTCATGACCCTTCCCTACATGTCATCCCCCACTCTCTACCCACCACATGTTCAGTCTCTCTTCAGCTGTCCTGTCAATATAAAGGCAAGAAATGATCTAAAAAGGTCGTCTGAGAAAGAATAGAGGGAGGTCAGGGGGTAGAATGTGACATTTATAAAAAGGTTTCGGTAACACTTTATTTGATGCCTATCTCTATAACATATTTAAATATATGTATAATGTGTTATAATCATGTTATAGCACTGTTTAACTATAGACACTCATAAGTTATCATAATGCTTTATAGCAACAATCATAGCACATTATAAAGCTTTTTAACATGACTTACAAGGTCAGGTATTATAATGTGTTATGCTTATTGTTATAAAGCCTTATGATTATTAATGAGTGTTTATATGATAGTTATACAAGTTTATAAGCAAATTATAACACATCATAAATATATGTATAATGCATTATATATGTGGGCATTGTCAGTGAGTTGTTAACAGTTATAACACGTTATTATTCCTGACCTTGTAAGTCATGATAAAATGCTTTATAATGTGTTATGATTGTTGCTATAAAGCATTATGATCATTAATGAGTGTTTATAACTTATACAGTGCTATAACATGATTGTAATGCATTATACATATAGTTATAATGTGTCATAAAGATAGGCGTCAAGTAAAATGTTACCAAGGTTTCTCCTCTAGGAACCATGAAGGAACTAAAACACAATTCAAACACAAATTTCAGGTTTCGGGTTTGCACAAGTTAAGAAACTGCAAAATGGATATAAATGTATGTGAGACCAAAGAACTGGTTTCTGATTTAGGATGGGGAGGGGGGGTTGCTAGTTTAGCTTACTGGTTCAACTGTGTGCCCCATAAACAGAAGATGTAGTCCTTAAAAGCAGATGGCCTGGGACAGGAATCCAGTCCAGCCTTTTGCTGCATGTTTGTCCTACTCACACAGTTATCTACTCTATCCCTGTCCTACCCTCTGAATAAAGTCATGAAGTCCTAAAACAAGTAGAGAGAAGTAGCACAGGGGTGTACTACAGTTCAGAGATTGTAAAATCAGACAAATACTTAAGGATTTGCAGCATTTTAATGAACACCTTCGATGTGATTCACAGTGAGGTTATTGTGAAAGAGAGAGTAGCAGAGTTCACCTTGAATGGAAACTTAACTTTTTTTCAATCCTAAGTCATTTTATTGGTCTTTTCTTCAGAGTCGTCTTTGTTTTGTCTGTTTGGATCATTGCTGTTAAAATCTGTTCTTGGATAATAACAGTGAATCAAAGGATCCCAGTTCTTTTTATAACCAGCAGATTCTCCAGGGGGATAAAAATATTTTGGCTGTCCTGAACAGGAAAGCCAAAATATTTGACCTGTTTCTAAAGCTACCCTCTGTTGAACATCATCGATCCCCTCTGCTATTAGACCAATGCTCTTTGGGTTTTGTATTTCTTCGCAGACTTTAAATCCTTTTACCACGACTGTACCTTTGATCTTTTTACGAGGACGGCTAAAGAGAGAAAGACAACGTGAAGTTAAAAATCTGAAGAAGACATGCAGCATACTGTCATGGCCAGGACTCCAGTCTCTATGCCTGGGACCACTTAAACTGCAAGGTCAGCGGCGCCCCCTATAGATTGATCTTTTTCTGTCCACTTCAGTTCATTATTGTCTCTGTCTTATTATTATGTTGCTGCCAGAAATCAACATTTTCTATTGCAGAAAAAATTCTTCCAAAGCTCAAACAAGATGATATAATGACCCATGATATCAGATTACAACATCCGGATTAAGCTGCAGGATTACCATTACCACAAATCTGAGTATCATCTTGATGGCATGTGTAGAATTTGAATGTGACAGATTACCCTGGAGTAAATGTCAGTTGCTGTTACATGTATCCATCAAATACTTTTGCTCTGGCCATCTTAATGACATCCATTCTGCCAGCTAAGCACCCGCCAATTTCTTCAATTTGAGGCTCATAAAGAAAGCTTTCCGAACCTCCTCCTCTGATGTCCATATTGTTGTATTTTCAAACCTAAAAGCTGCTGTCAAAGCCATAGAGGATATTTTACAGCTGCTTTGACTTTGAATTGAGTTAAAAGCCCCCTTAAGTAGAGGCGAGTATTCACTGTGTTTATGTTGGAGAGAGATGTTTCAGAGAAATCGTGCTTGTTGATGTGCCGACGCTCTGGCTAGTGAATTAAAGAGAGTTTTGAAGAATGTCCTCGAAGCATTAGCACTGTTAAATTAGCCTTTTTTTATTTACAAGGCAGACCACACATACAGTACAGTTACAGGCTGCTCTAAGGAGAGCCAGCCTCACAACAGTTCTCGACATACAGTCACATCAAAAGCTCCTGAGATCAAATGAAAATCAATGACACTTGTCAAGAACACGCTCAAAAATCTACACCATCACACAGATATAAAAATAAAATCACACAGACTGATCACAACTGGTAGAGATGAGAAGAGTTCCCCTTTTAGTGGGAGTTGCGCCATAACGTTTGAGATTCAAATTAAAGGAGTACAACTTGATCATAAAACTGACCTCAGAGCAGATTATACGGAGCATTGACTCACGTTCTTTAAGAGTTTAACTCCAACTGAAAAATGCAATACTGCAATGATGAATTTAAGATTTCCCAATACCAATAGGACTTCAATTCAACTAATACTCTTTTAAAGTAGTTTTGAAGTGTCTTACTATTTTAGAGAACACTGATATTTACCTAAAATACATCAAATCCTAGTTTTTTCAAGGCCTTGAGTATAATCATGTAGATAATAAAGTAAATGAGTACTTTCACATTTTATATTTAGCTGTATATTTCAAAGAAGTAATGATGAGTCTATGTTACTATGGTTCTATGTTTTTCCCTCTATGATTAAGACCACCAAGAGAATACGGTTTGATTTACAGGCAGGTACAGTAATGTTTTTGTAAACTAGGGCTCATCTTAGGTACCACAAAATTACAGGGCACTCTGATAGAAATCCACTGTATAGAACACAAAGCCTATAAAGTTCAGACATGCGGGATATTTGATCAAGTTCTATACATTACAGTTCTATCTAACAGGTCCCAAACAGTAACAACCAGTAAAGTTACAACCCTCAGATTTGGGGAGCTGAGACACTGCAACGAGATCAACTGAACACGTTCTGTTCAGGAAGGAGACGAGGCTTTTAATGGCACAGTTTAAGTCCTTTATCCATAAGAGTCCATGATAGTGCTAGAATCACTGACTGTTGTGATTTGCTACTGTACAACCAGCTGCGTTGGTTACTAAATCCAGGTAATATGTGTATTTTTTATGCTAACGTCACAAAGAAGGCGATAATGGTGGAAGATCTGGAGTTCATGTCCGTCGAGGCTCGACCCTGTAGGAGAGCTGAGTCAGCGCCCTCTGGTTGTCAATCACACAGAGCTTCCTAACGTAGCCCCGCACCTCGGCTTGGTTTTTGTTGGGTTGGCATATGTCTGGATCTAACACAGTCGGAGAAAATCGCAAACATGATTGAAAAGATGCGTATCAAAGTGTGTGATGAAGAAAATGTGCCGAAATGTAGCATGCGGACTTACTGAATGGTTGGCTTCTACAGTGCCTCACTTGCCTAATTGTGTTGGCTATAATACGCTAGAAAAAAATTAAAGGGAAGAGAAACTTCAGAACTTCAGCTGGTCTAAGATTAATGTATAAAACAAATCACAAAAATGGAGAGTTTGGATTTTTGTGTGCACAGATGCTCACCATTTTCTCAAAATTGACCATATTGTCAATGAATGTCTTGTTGCCCTCGTGTGTAAACGTCATGTCTGTAAAGAAATTAATTACATAAAAATTAAATCCAGCCATATTCCATCCAGAGTGCAATATCCTGTGACAGAAACATGTGTTGTACCTTTAAGAAGGAGGGGCATAAAGGGAATGATTGGTGGTTCCAGTTTGGTGACAGTGAGACGGTAAGATCTGTGGTTTCTTGAAGGATCCTGTTCCCAAATTTATATAAAAGACAAGATCCCTTAGACAAGTAGCACAGTAAAAAAATTGCAAAATATTTGGATCGGCCAGTCAGGATATTTTGGTTTCTTTGAGATATCTATCCATGCACATTTAAGATATTGTAGTGTAATAAGTACACCCATGCTGCCAACCCAAACATAATGAGGAAAATAGACTTCAAACAACTCACCATCATACTTTCAAACTCAGCATAAAACTTCTTAAACTTGGTGGGAAGTTTCTGCAAGAGAAAAACATTTAAAAAAATTGATCAGAACTTCAGGAGTATGGAGATCCACACAAACACTTAACAGTTAAAATGAAAAATTTACCTCCCATGTTTGGCTCAGTCTGCTTACAGCAGGGTTGCTCATCCCCATAATAATGGCGAAGAAAGAGTTCAGGTTCTTAAACTCTCTACAACTACAGAAAAACACAAGGAAGACATAAAGTGAGTGCTCTGACAGAAGGTTGAATCACTAAGAGCTTTTTCAAACAAACGTAAAATGTGTACGCTCACTGTGCGGCTATCTTGATGAACTTCTTCAGGAGCTGGACTCTCTTGCTTAGCTGTCCACACAAGCAGACCTCAGTGACCACCCACAGCTGGACCTGGTTGAACCTCCGCAGAAACAGGTCCAGATTGGCTGTGGTTCTCTTGAAGCTCTGTCGGCCAAATGTGTGATATAGCAGCTCATGCTGGGTGGGGGAAAGAAGGAGATGTGAGATGTGACAGGTTTGCAGGATGCATTTTACTCCAGATGGCGTTTTCTTATAAACAATGATGCAGCAGCAATTCCTTTATCTGCAAATTTCCCACCGTGGGATATAAAAAGGTTTATCTTTCGTCAAACTAGCTTCTGAGCTTGTGACAGTTTTTTACTATAAACCTAAGCTGCTTTTGAAGTGTGCATGTGCGTGTGTGATACCTCATGCACGCAGCTGAAGAGCTCCCAGTCAAACATGGTCATTTGGTAAGCGAGGTCCTTAGAGCTCATCAGCTCAAAAGTTGACATGGAGCCTGCAGTGGGTCCCTCCTGATCTGGAAGAGTCGTCTGAGACACACCAAGTATTCACACTAACTCGCTTTTGAAAAAACACTCATGACAAAGATCCAATATTATGACGATAATTCAGGAAAAGCAGTTTGCTGCTCACTCCCTCAGGGCTGTACACTCTGTACTTTGCTTCAGACATATTTCATCACAGCCAGAGTAGTCTCAACAAAGAAATTGTGGTAAATATCACTGTCAACTCAATTTATGCACGATGAAGATGTTCCCAAAAAAAAGAAAAAAACCTTTATGTCTTACCATATTGTTCAGCTGGTCTCGGGGACAGGCAAATAATCTTCCATTGATGCTCACAGTAGAAAACACCGACACATCATTGGGCTTCAGGATCTGTTTTTCTGGGATTAAAATATTGACAGTCAAGTTTTCGTCATCACAGACATGCCCTACGACTACCTGAATGATAATATCAATATTAAGGATGGTTATTTAACACTGCATACTGCCCTATAACCCCTGTTTGCAAAGTTGAAATGCTAACACTTAAACACAGTCCCTAAAATTAATTGTTACTGTATTCCTTGTTGAAATAAATGATGATCTGTCTGTCTTCTTTGTATATAAATTAAATGTTTTTCTTACCTCCAGCAGAGTTCAGGTGGACCAAGACGAGCTCATCAGTGGTGCCAAGTTTGTCAGCCACAGCACTGATCACTTCTTTTCCTGTAGCTGCCACAGCAACGCGGATTGTGGAGTAAGTATGATCACTGCAGTACACCTTCAACAGGACTGGATACACAAACACAAATTATAAACACTTTAACTTAAACTATAGTGTTACAAAAAAGGTTATGATTGCTTACTGATGCGATTTATCTCCTGAGTAAGTGAGTTGAAACATTTAAATGTAATCTAACATACAGTTATCAAACATCTTGATCGCTACATGCTCAACAAAACTTACTGTCATCTTGATTCCTAATGGGCTGTTTCTTCTGCAGCCTCTCTTCTCCGTTGCTGAACTGTCGTATTAAGGTTTTCTGTCAAATTTCACACACACACAAAAAAAAAAAGTGCAGTCAGGCTCTGTTACCCAGTGATGAAGCTAACATGTAAGATTTTCTTCTCCTAGTAGTCTAGACACACCTTTTTTGTGCCTTTCGCTTCTTCTGAGCTGCAAAAGCAAAAAAAAAATGAGGTTCAAAAAGTCTGGCTGGCATAGAAAAATGTGCAGTAAGAATAGTGAGTGCAGGAGCTGATGAACATACTGTAATTTAACAACTTTCTCTAGGTCAGGAACCAAGTCTTTCAAAGCTCTCAGTATCCTGGAATCATTAGATACACTCCCATACAGCTCCTGAAGAGACAAAAAGGAAGAACCATATTAATACTGTGCACATACCGCATGTTCTGGTTTTTACCCGAATGAAAGCTCACCTCAAGAAAAGGGAGTGCAGCCGGCTCCTCTTGTAGCAGGTATGAGTGTGTGTTAGCCCAGCGCAGAGCCAGAATCAGGGCCCGTCTTTTACTGTTGATTGCATACTCCAACCTCTCCTGTTCAGAGCCGGGTGGAGCCGCCGCATGGTAGGTGCAAATGAGGTTAAAGATAAAACTCACTGACAGAAAGTAATCTGTGAACGGGGTGGGATTTAGGGAGATAAGGGTTGTCGTAGATGTCAACAAAACAAAAAGAGCTGTACTTCAAACGGTTCATTTGAAACTGTGAAGAAACAGTCCACTCACTCTAGAGCAGGACAGGCTAATATCTGACAAGAGTACCAGGTTAAGCCAATGAGTACTATCCTTTGACAGCTGTCAGAATGATCGACAGTGAAGCCCGTCTTTTCACATGACAAAGGGCGACTGATCTGTCTGTTCCCATGTTAGCGGATCAGCCAGTCATTCATATACTGGAGGGTTAGCACATACGCATGAACCACTTTTGCTGTGCTTGGCATGTAAACAGGAACACTTTTAGAAATTTGTTCAGCCATCGTAAATCCAGTCCAGTCATTCTCCCAAATTGGTCTGATCAAACTGGGGACAAGCATCAGAACTGTAGATCGTGACTATGAGAAAGAAGTGCAGCTACTCAAGAGTCACCCTCCCCAATAGTTCAGGGCTGAGCCATCAGGACTCTGTAAGTACCACAGGCACCAGGACAAGCTGACAGTCAGGGGTAGTTGGTGTCATAACCCTCTTGATGTGGAAACCTCAGTCGAAGCGTCTGTCCTTGAAAACTGGCAGGCTGCTAAAGGGGTTTGTTGTCTCTGAATTTCTTGGACCAAAGCACTGTGCTAAGCCACATAGCAGCCCTGAACGACCAAGAGATTGCAGTCTGGCTCTGAAAGTGGGGACAATAACTGGCGGCACTCAGGATAAGTATCGCTATCCATCTGCTGAGCTTCTAGGTCATTGGGGTAAAAATCAGCGGGGCATCATTGAAGCTCTGGATGGATGTATCCATGACAGGGCTAACTGTATGCTACAGTTTCAGATAGTGCACGTGCATGCTGCTGCTGCTGCATCATAGCTCTCATAACTCTACTAGACAGCCATCTCTAACATGACACTGTCGTTTTCGACTGTCAGCATCATATCTCACAGCCTCATCAGGTGACACAGTGGGGGGGGGGGGGGGGGAGCTGGCTCTGTGGATGGCACTTCGCCAAGACCCCTGGCATCCTGAATAGAAGCCAAGGCCCTGTCATGGTTAGTGTGGTGAGGCAGACTTGAGGTCTGGTTAACTCTTGAATGTGTGGGTAAGAGGGCAGCATAGTAGAGCTGTCCTTAGAAACCAATACAGACCTAAGCAGACCACTAACGCAACAGTAGAACCATAACTGGGCTGATTGAACGTTGGGTAAAAACACTCAATCTTAACACTTAATGAGGCAATACAGGCTGGTAAAAGAGTCACTTCCCTTCAGTTTATAACATCCAAACAGATGGGGCATTGGTATCGGCCATCTGCAGCTAACAGTAGAGCCATGCATGGATAGGTTACTTTATGGACAAAGCACACATTAGTAGCAGAGCAGGGAGCTATTAAACCGTAAGGTGGATAAAACTGGAGTGTTCTGAAACTAGAATCAAACAAACCTCCTCAGTAACAAGCAAAAACACTCATTGAGGAGCAGCCATTTGCTCAGGAAACCAGGCGGCTCATGCCATTAGTTTTAATGAGTGAAAGCACTCGCCATGGAACAATAACTATGAGGTTAAAACAGAAACATGTTAGCAGAGAAAGTGGTCCTGGTCTGGCCTGTTCATTAGTGCTGAACAGTCAATTGCTGCCACAGCACAGCTCAACATGGAAGTCACACAGTCTAAACTCTGTCAGTGAATCACCAACAACAGACACATGCATGGGTGGGCTGTCATGTTAATGCAAGGGATAGAGTAACTTATTTTTGAGTCTGCTTACCTTACAAGTGTGTATCATAGACAGCACATATTAAAAAAATAAAAGGGAATTAGGTAAATCCATTCAGAGAAGGATATTGGGCCATGAGCAGGGGGCACAGCTGGCTGTTGGGCATGAAGACACAGTGCATGAGGGCAAAATCATCCACCGCTGGATCTGTAGGCAGCAACAGATGTGGAGGAAAATCATTGAGGTCAAAGATATAGAAATTGCAGTAACGCTTTATTGGATGCCCATCTCTGTAAGACATTATAAATATATGAATAATGTGTTATAATTATGTTTTAGCACTGTACAAATATAGTTATAAACACTCATAAATGATCATAATGCTTTATAGCAATATATAGCATAAAAATGCTCTTTTCAAACTGCCATTTAGGTAACACTTTATTTGACGCCTAGCTCAATATCACATTATAAATATATGTATAATGTGTTATAATCACGTCATAGCACTGTATAACTTAAGTTATAAACACTCATAAATGATCATAGTGCTTCATAGCAATAATCACAACACATTATAAAGCATTTTATCATGACTTATAAGGTCAGGTATTATAATGTGTTATAACTGTTAACAACTCACTGACAAAGCCAACATAGATAATGCAATGCAACTGTTGTTAACAGTTATAACACATAATACCTGACCTTGTAAGTCATGATAAAATGCTTTATAATGTGTTGCTATAAAGCATTATTATCATTTATGAGTGTTTATAACTATAGTTATACATTGCTATGATGTGATTATAACACATTATACATATATTTATAATGTGATATTGAGATAGGCGTCAAATAAAGTGTTACCTAAATGGCAGTTTGAAAAGAACATTTTCATGCTTTTCTTTCTATGCATTCTCCATTTCTATCCTAACTCATTTAGTCTGAGGAAACATCCATCTAAATGTAGGCCTAGTAGCCCTTGTTTTTGACTTTAGGGCTACCTGGTTCACTGTGGTGTATGTCCATCCTCATGGTCTCCAGGAAATGCTCAAGAATCTTCTCTGGAGTTCCTGAAATAACAGTGTACCTGCAAAAGGCAAAAATATCCATAAAGAAAACATGTACCCAGTTTTTACTAGACAGCAAAATAAGACTGATATCCTACAGTTCACTTGTGTGTTTGCCAGAGTCTTCACACATACTTGATGCTTCCCAGGGTGGAGGCACGGGGACTCTTTTCTAACACCAGCACAGCTTGATCATGCTCTTTCAAGCGCACAGTGTTGGCCTCGACATCCTAAAAAGGCAACAAGAGTAAATAATCAGTTATATCATTTAATGTTGAAGGCAAAAATGTGTTACTATAAATGTAGTGCAGCTTCTCTACCAGCGGAGGGAGACAAACAATGTAGTAGGGCAGCACAAAGTCAGAGCGTGTTTAGACGAATGCATCTAACTCTTGACTTTGCGGTGACTTTGTAAACACACACTGGCTTAAAACCATGTTCATTTCAGTGCAAACAATGGGAGTGATTTAATACTACTCGTCTTGTACCCTATCCCAGGATAATTGTCCCTCTCCCCCTGCCCACCCTGAGTATCCTGTTGAAGTCTTCCTTGTCAACACGCAGGAAGTGGCAGTTGTCCTCCCTCAGGACGATAGAGGCAGCACGAGGTGAATCTGTAACCAGGGCCAACTTCCCAAAGTCATCGCCCTCATGGAGCGTACACACCACACCCTAAGAAAAACACACATGGACACACGTGTTAATAAAAACCCTTTCAGATACAAGCAAGTTTGGACACAAACACAGTTTCTTAGTCATCTTAATCCCTGAAGAGATATCAGAAGAACAGGAGCCCTCAAGCCTAAGATGACTCATTTGTACTTGTCAGTGTGCGCTTATAGTATGTAAGAATGTATGCACACATGGGATTAATGTGTGCGCACACATGGACATGTGGAGTATCTCAGTCTGTACTGTGGTTGTAAATCAGTGCATAGTGTGAAATTGTGCATGCATACAGTCCCCTAAGCCTCTTAATCATAGTGGTGAGTCACAGTGAGATGAGCAGAGTTTGCCAAACTCCACTGCTGGTGTTTCCCAGCCCCACGGGGGACACACTGTCAGTCTCATCATACAGACATGAACATCCAGGCGCTTCAATCCATCACATTGAGACACATGCTCATGAGTCAAAGAGAGAAAAGCTAAACATGGAGGTTGATTAAAGCTTTCAAGCAAACACACACTCACCTTTCCGTAGATGACCACGTTGACAGAGCCCTTCTGAATGATGTACCATGATGTTCCCTCCTCTCCTTGGTTAAACACTTAAGGAAAAGAAAAGAAGAAAAACACATATTAGACCACCATTTTTTCACAACACACATATCTGTGCTCTGGCCAACTTAGGTATACAAAGGAGAACCGGAGGTGTAGCAGAGGTAAAAACATAAGGTCTGCAACACAATTCAAGCTACTGTTCTTGGAGTTACATCTCAAATCTGAGCGCACAGACATGATAGACACGTTTGATGATTCACTGAGACTTACACTTACTCTGAGGCTATAATCATTCATCACAAATGAACATCCATGAATCTGCTTAGCAATCACAGATCAAAGACAGTGCCTAAGGGTCCTCATAGTTTTAAGTCTCCTTCAACATTCAAGTAACTTAGTGGTTGTCGTCTGTAGTCTCAGACCAAAGCAGACTCAGTTAATGGTAACTTTTTTGATATATCCCAGAGAAGAAGATGGGAGGTTATAGGGTGCAGGGGGGAAACAGCGGGAACAGACTTTAAAATCATACAGGTGCACACCATATACATAAGCAAAATGCATTCTGGGACATAGTCATAAAAGTGAAAACTCACACACTGTTCCAGCTTTTGCATGTGACTCGAAGATCACAACACTGGCCAGTTCCCTCTTCACCTGTAAACCAGAACACATCGCCCAACAAACTAGGTTTAGCTATAGTGCAGAAATGTGCTTGAGAAAACGTACAAAAATCTCTTTTTGGCAAAGATTTGTTTAAGAGGCCTGGGGCTGTTTACACCACATCACAACAGAAGATATTCAAAGTTTTTTATGAATAGGCATTGTGTTAAGAGGTAATGAAAGAGAAATGTTAGAAATCATCTCCTGGAATGTGATTCATCGGACTTTTCATTATGTAATAATGAGACCGCATCTAATACTATCTAGTCACCCTGATTAGATGAAACCTGATTCTGATGGAGTGTGCTTGCTGGCACAGGGGCTATTAGTGTAAAACTGTGTACCATTATACTGATAAGAGAGATGCTGACAGTTAGTATCATTTCCCCCTCTGGTCTTACAAACAAAAAGACTAGAGTAATTGGCTCTGATGTAATACCAGCTTTTTCAGAAGCCTGCACTATCCCTTTAAGAGAGATGTGGACGGGTTGACTCACGGTGTTGGAGAGGTGAGCTAAGGCCTTGATGTGAAGCAGCTCATCATAGATGATCTCTAGGTCGTCTCCTGTCCTCTGACCAGGCCTGCAGACACACGCAGAGGTTAGTCAGTATGAAATATGGCACACTTCACATCCTTCATTTCTTATATGCTGTACTAAGATGACATCCTGATACTAAAACAGTGCTGTGGTCACTATGATGATAAGTCACATGTCACATGACTCTGGATATACTGTATGAAGTTCCAACTCACCCAGTTAATTATGACTATGTAACTTGTGTACAGGGTGATTCATTTGTGCTGATTATTCTTTTATGTATTTCTGTTACTCACGATTTCCTCAGGATCATGCGCAGCAGTGCGTCAGGGCCAATCTGAGCGAGGAAGAGGATTGTCTCTGGGAGCTCTTCTTCACTCTCTCTTTTCTCCTCCTCACTAGGCAATGGTGTGTCCTCTTCCTCATCATCAAGGAAGCGGTAGAACAGGTATTTGTCTTGGAAGCCCAGCTCCTGGTCCACTGAGGAACAGACAAGCAGCGATAAGATAAGATGTGCTTTTTTAACTCTGAGTAACATTTTCTCTCTGAAGTGCAGGAATTAGAGATCAAGATGTAATCTATATTTAATGTTCCAGCTTTGAGTCTTTTCATTAAATTTCCATGCTGGTATTCATACTGACAATTAAACAGTTATTGAAGTTCAGCTTCAAAGAGTCAAAAGAAGAACTTAAAGAGCTGAAACTCAATCACTCAATACTTATTTGAATCTTCAACAACACACACAGTGAAACTGAACTGTGATTTTGTTGCTGCCTTTAAAAGTGGGGTAGGCAGGAATCCGTTAAAGAAGCATCATTTTTGTGGTGTATATACAAAAAAGCTTTTAAAATCAGTCAATAGTTATTAGTTATTGATGACATTTGGTAAAATAACAATATCGCCATGTTTTGTTATGTCTGTGTAGTCAACATTTAGAATTTTTTGAGTGGCCCACTCTTTCTGACTGTTAACAGAGCTATTCTCTGCCTCACCCAACCTGATTGGTTGAGAGGCAGACACTGCTCCCCTGTGTCGTTCACGAGCCCAAACACAGTTTGCGTGCTACAATATCGGACAGTAGAAACCAACCAGAAAGTACGGGAAATTGTCCGAATCCTCCTTTAGCCACGACTTCCAACACAAGCAAGAAAACAAAGTAAATACCAGAGACTCTGGCAGAGCAACAGGTGCTTAAAAAGGAGGTAGACCAGACAAGAGCTAAAAACTCAGATCAACATCAATGATTAAACCATGGGGGAGGCTTCGTGATCTTACAGACCCTGTAACCTTTCTACTGGACAGGTAAACCGCTTTAACAAAGTAAGCCAAGTGTCTGTAACAAAAGTGTTTCTTCTGCATGTTGAAGCGCCACTTAACTGTTGACCTCGGGTCCTGGAGTATGTCACTTTATCCTAGTTGTAGAAGTCCTAAAAACATTGTGTTTGCTGGTAGTCTGTTGGCATCTACAGTAGCACCAATGTTTTTTACTTACACACTGACTGGGCCCCATTTGTAATTATCTGAAGTATTTATCTGCATTAAATCGGAATTTAATTGAAACGATACAAGCGAGCAGGAGCATCTGTTTGTGGGCGGGGCTTGCTGGAGCAGAGAGGGAGGGGAAAACTGGTTGGGAGGGGTAGAGTTTACATTCAAGATTTCTCCCAAAAACTGGCACTTCCTTAGATCCTGCCTACTCCACCTTTAAGTAAAGTTTCGTGGCTGCATGATGAAGTTAAAGCACTGACCAAGCCAAAGTTATACTTACCATGGTTGAGTCCTCCCTCTTCAAGTAGTGCCTGCCACATCCCAACAGCATGAGACCGTGTGAGCACACAAGCACTCTGCAGCACCAACCAGTCTACCAGCTCTGTGCCTACACAGCATTGTCTACAACATACACAAACCAAGAGGGTTTCCAGATATTTTGTTCATCCGTTGCATATTATGTTCTGTGCAAACAGGTGGGTTTGAGCAGAAAACATACTCCTACCTGTATGTCTTGAGGTGGTATTTCCTATCTCTAATCATGTGGGGGGCTCTGGACAAGATGGCATTGCGGAGAACCTTCCCTGCTCTCTGCAACTTTTCTGAAGGAATCTGCAGAAATCACAGGGAAAGGGGTTGGTTTGTGCTCCATCATCTGCAGTAAGAGTCAATTCTTTCAATTGCTGCTCTAACTCCTTTGACGAGAGTCCAGACAAACACCAATCTGAGGTCATGTTTTAAGTATAATTTGAGGAAAAAGCCTAAAAATCATTCGATCCTGAAAATGAGCAAAGAAACGGCAATATTTATTCTAGATGCTGACTACAGTGTTTCATCAATCTCATTTTCAATATAAACTATCCTTGGTTATTTAGCTCAATATCATAGGCCATTGAAGTTTAACAAATCTTATGACTGTCAATAAAACATCCCAAGGTCTGCACAATAATGTGTAAGACACAAACTCAAGTTTATAGGGCCGACATAAAGCACAGCACTGCATCGTCCTCATAGATGTAAATCAGAAAAACAAACACACACACAGGGTGCAGACAGACTAACACATCCTTTACAGACCACACCTGCAACTTAAAAAAAGAGAACATCAGATGTGTACGTGCACACACACAGCTGCATTTGAAAACAACAAAGGCTTGCATGCTAATTGGACAGATGGGACCTTTCTGCTATGAGCATGCATTAGCTAGCATTAGCATAACTACAGAGGATCACGGCTGTGAGTCATCACTGTCTCTTTTTAGAGCACACACAACTTTGTGATTCAATCTGGCATTTTGAGTCATTGACAAACATGACAGTATGCAGCACCAAACGCACTATGTTATGGCAATGTGTCAAGTTTACTATGTACTCATATGCTACTTGCTGAATCCAAGATGTGTTTTTGTATAAAACTGAGATTTTTTTTTTTTTTCGGTTTCAGATAACTTAACAGCATTTTTTTTTGTTTCGTTTGTTTTTGTTTTCCAGTGAGACTAAAATCTTTTTTTCTGAACCTCGTATGACCTCTCCAAACAGATATTCTGACCAAAGCTGGCAAGAGAGGATCAAAGACAAACAGAGGCTGGCTGGGCCACCATGTGTTGGTTGTTAGTTTGGTCCATTCATGCTTTGTCTGCAGGAGGAAGGGCACAGCTCCCTGAAACGTGTTGGCAGAGGTTATTTGAGGGATCAAGTTGCCATGCTGAAGTTTTTTTTTTTTCTTCACTTCCTGCAGGAACCTAAGACAGCCGTTTGTGTTTCAAGTGAGGAGCTTAAGTATTTACCTTGTTGTGCGTTTTGTTTGCAGAATCTGAGTTCATGTTGTCTTTGTCCGAGAGTCCTGTGGAGGAATTGAAAATTTTAACAAACATCCACATTTTCATTGTCTTTCCTAATTTTTTTTTTTTTAACTATTTTATTGTATAATTGTTATGTAGTGCAAGAGGGAAGAATTTTACTGCTCGACATTTACTGATGAACATCATGTGTAACACATAAACAATAAATACAGACAGATACACAATATATTCTCAATTTGATGAGAAAGAATAAATAAATATCATGATCCTGCTTTATCTCCAATAATTCAAAGTAAAAATTTAACACAAACACAAAACACAAAGCTGCTCAGAGGAGCCTTGACTTGATTGATTTTTGCGCCCCCAATAAACAAAGTGATAAGCCTTATCCCTTTGCCAGGTTTGTCTTGTCTGTGAACTCTGATGGTTTTCCTTTTTTAAAAATTTTTTGAGACTTTTTTGGCCTTTATTTTTCAGCTTTATTGACAGATTGAGGACAGTGGATAGAGCAGAAATCAGGGAAAAGAGAGCTGGGAATCGCATGTAGGAAAGGGGCCACAGAGTGGAATTGTACCCTGACAGCTTGTATACGTAGGCCCAAAAGTATTTTTCTTCTGATCCTTTCTTTCTCCTACCTTCCTTCCTTTAAAGAATACTTAGCATATTAAGGATTCTTGATGAGAATCCTTGATATGGTAAGTTGCACCATCTGACACCTACTCAGGAGCTGCATTTACAGGCATTCATATATAACTGAATAGGATTATTCAACCTCTGTGTTGACATTCTGGCTTTCTTTTGTATATTAAAGAGGCAATATGTTTCGGCAGCAGCTACAAGGAACTTCAAAATGATCAACTTTCCACTGTGTCACGGTAATATATGACTATTCTTGTTCTTTTATATAAGATCAGACGCATAAATAGATGTTTTTTGACTGTATTGCCTTATTTATTGTACTTTTTAAATCTAGAGTGTATCCGTGTGTGTGAGTGTGTGAGTGTGTGTTTGAGTGTGTACTCACTGTCATTGTTGGATCCACTCTCCATAGCTCCATAAGGAGGGGCCAACAGTCCCGCCAAGCTCTGACGATACTTCTACAAGACAAAACACAAGCACACAACACAATTTATGTCGGTCCTCACAGATTTAACACCTCTGCTATGATCATATATTTATAAGACAACATCATCTATTAAACATCCAATCCCATCGCGTCTCTCTTTCCCCTCTCTAACTCACACACAAATCACAAGTACCCCTCAAAACAAAGCCCTTTGTACGAGCAAGATCATTTACATGCACAACAACTAACATTATATAACACGCACGCACACACAGAGACACACTCATCCTCAGAGAGGCATTTAAATCAGGGTTAATGAGAGCAACCAGAGCTGCTAAATGTGTACAGATGTTGCTTTTACAGCTGTTACAAATGATAAGATGTGTGAGCATTTCAATAGTGAAGACACGAGGCAGATCATTATAAGCCAGCATGTGCTACTGCTTTTCTGCAAGGTCATTACCTTCTGAGGAGTGCTTGAAACAACCACACACATGCACACATGCACACACGCACACACAGGGAGAGACAGAGAGAGCATCTGTTTGACCCAAAGACACATAGTCCTGATGACACACTCAAACACAACCGGCACAAACACTCCAAAACAATTTTGATTTAGAGTTTCAATCCCATTTCTAACAAACAAAAAAAACAAATAAATGATAAATATGAGCAACACAATCTAGCCCACTTTAACACAACACACAGACACACAAACACACACTACACAGTGTTATAGTCAGAGAGTAAGACCTACCTGAGGTTGCACACTCAGCTGGCTAATGCTGGAGGGACTCAGACCCTTGAGAGCTGCCCTCTGCTCCTTTACAACTCACACATAAGCTACCGGATAGCATCCTGCTCTAAACAAGCTTCTCCCATCCTTTCTTTCTTTCCTTTTTCTCCCCCCACTCTCTCTCTTTTTTCAAACACAGTAACCCCACTGTCTCTCCTAGTCTCTCACTCTCTCTCTTTCAGCGATCCAGCCAAGACCCAAACCACTTTCTCTCCCAGGTTACCACGGTGATCTGTATGACTGAGCTACTCCACAGGAGGAGGAGTAAAATGGAGGGAGGGAGGGAGAGGGAAAGAGAAGCATAGGATGGAAGAAAGAAGTACTGAGGGTAGGGATGTAGAGGGAGGAGGGAGGAAAGGATGGAGGCTGGCAAAAGACACAAGAGGGGCCATAATGGAGAGAGGAAGTGGGCAAGAAAGATGGAGAGCAGGTAAAAAAAAACAAAATAAAAGGAAAGACTTACAAAACATGTGCCAACCAAGCATATAACATCTGACACATACAACAACACGCTGTTTTTCATCTCTCTAACCCACTTCCACTCGGTGTTTGAATACGGTGCAGCGCCTACTTCTTTCATCCTTTCATCAAACACATGATTACATTCATCCCTCAGCTTTCTTGTCCTCACCACATCCATGCATGCGCTCTTGAATTAGCACACACGAACAAGCAAAAACACACAAACATGCGAGACAAAAGTCCTTTTACTACAAGCTGAATGAGATTCAAAGAAGGACAACCTCAGGCTATGTTTTCTGCTTTATTTCTACTGTCCAAAAATAGACAGCAGGGAGGGGGACTCAGTGCACTTAGGCAACAAACACACACACAACAAGCGTGATAACAGGATGGCACACACATGCTTTCATAAACAGTTGTTGTATATAACAGGCTGTCATATCCATATCCTCAAGTTCTCATGATCTGATGTAGAAAATGTGAAAGTGATCAGAGTTATAAGAATCAATCATGATTGTTTTAAGAACCAATATCAGATGCACAGAGGAATAGCTCTGCTCTTTACAGCTTTAAATGAGAAATAGTGTTCATATTTATAGTGTTCAATCAATGCAAAAGTGCAAAAAACTGCAATTCCCTTGAGCCCCCACTTGAGGCTGGCTGCATAAGCCAAGGAGTGTCCACTGGATCTCATGTTAGAAGCAAAGTTTTATAACAGAATTAAACATGTGAACAGCCTGTTACAGGAAACATTTTGATCTAAGGTGACTTTTTTTTAAATCTCGTTTTTAAATGATAATTTTAAGGCTTGAGTTATGCTAAATTTCCATTATGTGCATGACTATGAACATAATGGAGATTTGTACATGACTCTTGTCTGAACCCTTTTTTTGCCATTTCTACTTTGGCATTTCATATATGGCAACCATTAAAACACCTCTTTGAATTAGAACAACACAACTTTGTATAAAGTCATCTGATAGACCCTTAAAAACCTTAGGAATATGCAAAACGCTGCATATTCTAATCAATATAATTTATAATAAATGCAATAAAAAAACAATACACCAAAATCTTGGGTAACAACTTTCCACTGCTGTGCAGGGTGAGTGATAAACTCAATCAGAGAGGGAAAGGCAGTTTTAGGTTCCCTTAAAGTAAGAAATAAGTCAACACTTAGTAGCCACCCATTTAATATTACAGTCCTTTATATTTTTTGTATTCAAAGTATTATAATTGATATATCTTTTTTTGTTTAATGTAGTCTTCCTGCTTCTTAAATCCTTCCTCAATCATAACATAGCTGCAGATAGTTTACTTGGAGGTGTGCTACAGCAACTGCAGCAACAAGCCATGAGCCCTAAGCAGAGGGTCATAGTAAAAAAGGAGTTCCCATCTCACCCCAAGATTATTTTATTTCCAGACTCACAGCCTTCAGCTCCAGCCATTGTCAACTTCAGTGACTTTATTTGAAAGCATTGTCAACAGACTACACTGAGCTCCTTTTGTGGACAGACTGGCTTTATAAAATGTCACAAAATAAGTAAATCCTGCTTTCCCATGGGGAAGGCGGGTGTTTGGATTTGATACAGAGTAAGATTTGCTGAACTGAAATAACAGCCCAGATACTTGAAGCCTTTAGGTGCTGAATATATGAAGCTCTAGGAAACTCATCCACTTACTGTGTACCATATCAACTCATGAATAGAGAGGGAAACACCAGCATGGAGGCAGCTATAGAGCCAACTCTCATAGAGAATGCCTGAGTCAGGTAAAAGCCATGAGGTCAAGCAGTGATTTTCCAGTCTTTATTTGCAATACTTGAAATATCTTTCAATACCCTGAGAGTGATTTCTCAAATCTAGCAATATTGTCATTTTCTCCTCTCAGGAATACTATACAGTGATGAGATATGGATAAAAGTTATATAACATTAATATTGCACAATAAAGTAGAAACAGAGAGCACTGCAGCAGCATCTGTCTGCACTGTTTCTGCAAAGAGTCAATATTGTAGGGGAGACCAGAAGCTTATTTTAAATTATATATATTATATAAAGTTAAAATTTTTCACTTTAGGTTGTGCAAAATGGTGAATTGACTCATCTCAGCTCACAATGTGCTCTTCTCTTCTCAGACAGGACACAACCCCTGACCATGTATAGGAATAAAACTAGTTCTCCACTTTTTAGTTGCGCCCTCTGGTGGAGAAGATAATTGCAATATGACAACTTGCCCATGTGACAACATGCCCTGGTCTCCCCTACCATACTGTTTGTGTCTCTCAACAGTATAACAGATTAGGTAAATGTCCTCTAATTTCCTTCATAGTGTATTTTTATTTAACATCATCAGTCATCAGAAAGGAACATTTTGACTATTTATTTTGAGAAGTCACTGCAGGAGAAGCACAGGTGCAAGTAATGATCTTAATTACAAGGCTGGAGAGTCAAAAGAATGAAGCCATTAAAGTGATTAATTACACCTGTTCTTTTCCTGCAGCGGCTAGTCAAAATTTCTGCCATGAAAAAGGCAGTTTGAATATATCTTTTACCTGCTATAAGCACACAGGGAGTTATATTGTGGTTAATGTGTTTCTGAGTCAGATGGTGAAGAGTACCCAAGAGATTCCTGTATTTAACTCTCATTGTAACCACTGCATTAAGCATGTCACACAAACATTGTGATGCATCATCTTTTAAACAGCAAATGCAGCACAGAGCCATAACACACATCTAATACTCCACACAAGCACACACTGGCATGTACAACACATAAGCACTCTTTTCATGCCTTAATCAGCTTAATATCAGGTGTCACCTTAGGTGTGTATCTAATAGGTGCAGAAGCGAGCACAGTAGTGGTGGACAGCCCCCATGTGGTTAAATACACTATTACAATGTAAGACTTGTGGAAATGCAGTCTAGAGGGAGACGTTATCCAGGAGATAAAGTCACAGCTGCGAGTCAATGCTACACAAACTTGCAGCTACACGACAGTCTATAGTAAAACTCTATCTTTGTCTCTTACCTCCCAGAGGCTCTTGAACTCCCTCTGCTCAATGCGGAGCAGCTCACTGGTCTCTCTACTGACAATGGTGGCATGACGTGGTGTGTTGTCCAGGATGGATTCCCCAAATGCTGTCCCAATCCCCAGTGTGCAGATGGTGACTGCATCCTGCACACAAACACATCATTTTTTTTCAAACAGCTCACTTTCGAGGCAAATATTGCTCAATTCATAGGACAAGGAAGTGAAAACAAGCTTTCCCATGCAGGGATAATTGTTGGTTACTGTAGTTCTGCTTGTTGCTAAATACTGCTTGTCAGCTGTGACTATCAGAGCCGCAACCAACCATGTATTTCATAATCACTTGATCATTATATAACCATGAAAAGATTTTTTTAAATGTGCATTTGCCCTCCTCGGCATTTGAAAACTGCTTGTTACAAATTCTGTAGAGCCAAAGACATATTTAAAAAAAGCCTACCATTAAAATAAAATGAACTTGGCTGCAATGTAAGGACAAGGACAGTTTTAGGATTCAACTAGAACATTTGTCTCTTCTTAAAGACAGTACAGGAAGATGAACACAAGATAAAAGTAGCAGCATTTCACATTTAACCACCATAATAAACTAATTTTAGCCAAAAGCAGTAGCAACATCATTTACCGACAGGTTTGGTTTTAATAGACAGACATGCAGGGCAGACTGATTAATTTATGGTAATAGATGCAAATGAATTCACATATGAGGGTCTACTTCACAGTCTCCAGTATGGAAAATGTCCCAAGGTGCTTGAGATAATTGGACAGGCTGGAAGGGGGAGAAAAATGCAAACCCATGCACAAATGTATATATCCACTGTCCACTAATTTGGACAAATATTCAACATGCTATGGAAACCTTTTCATCCATCCAATGTGACAATTCAAATATAGCCACAGAAACTAGGCCACCACCGGTTCTTTAGGGCTAAATACATGGAAAGGACATTTTGAGGGGGCTTTGTATCTCAGTCCTTTACTGGGAATGAATCCTCTGTTTTTCTTTTCCTCTCACTCTCCTCTTGGCGGTCGACTACCGACCGTCAATCCTTAACTCGGCATTTTTTAACTGTATATTTTCCTTTGTCTGTTTCTACCTTTGTTTACTTCTTCTGTTAAAGCACTTTTCATTCATTATTATTAAGTCATTTTTATTATCATTATCTTCTGTAAAGGGTATACAGAAGCAGAAATCGTCTTAGTGGCTGTTTGTTTTTTTTTTTTTTTTCAGTGAAGTGGCATATTTTTTTAACTTTTGCTCATTTAAGCCTGTAGACATGAGCTAATGTCCCAGATAAATGTCAATATCAAAGAGCGAGTTGCACAGGACCAGCTCTCTAACATGGGCAGCCTGTATCTTCATTAAGAAGGTCAGGATGAAAACAGTGGCGGTGCAAGAGGGAGCAGGAAAATGGAAGTCATAAAAACAGCAAATTACAGGATGAATCCCACAGTGTCTATGATTTAAGATTCAATTCATTATTCATCCCTTCATTCACTGGTGATTCAAATGATTTACAGCAAGCACAGATGAGACACACAGGAGCAACAGAAGTAAAAGTAAGCAGAGTGAGTTATATAATAGAAGCTTGAAGCTGACTTAACCTGATGATTAGCAGTTTCTGACACTTTGACATCCAGCGAGCCAGACAGGACAGCGTACCAGCTGGTGCCTATGTCCCCCTGTCGAAACACTAGAGATGGTAAAATATATTAAAGAATATTAAATGCTGATAAAAAAAGTTGACAGAGTTTACTATGAATAGAGACAATAGTAAAAAATACAGGTTACATTTGATTGTATTTGTACTGTATTTGTACACAACAAAAAACATCCTGTTGTTGTGAGAGGTTTTTAGCTGATTATGAAACAGATCTTCATGTATCCTGACCTAAAATGACCTAAAAAACTGGTCAGACCACAGCCAGATGACTGATAAGATCTGTCTATTTTATATCTATCGAAATATATCTGTCTTTTATGAGTTTGACTGTTGTCATGGGGTCGATCTCAGCCTTTGCTTTCATTTTTAATTGGAAAATCAGCTTAACTTGACTGACAGTAGGAAATGTTTGGTCAGAAAACATTCAGCATAAAAGGGTTTCGTCACCCTTTGTACAACAGACTGTAAAAAATTCACATAAGTGCTTTAACATACCTAATGTCACATTTGTTCCCCAATACAGTGGTAACCAAATAAACAGGGTCCGTTTTGTTAGTCTTTCATTAAGACAAAATGTGTTCATATTATTTACATAAACAGGACATGACCATGTTTGCTTGTTTAAATCTCCTCTTAAATAAATTATTCCTATAGGATAGTCATTAATGCATTAGTCACAAATTGTATAAGTACAAAGGTTCATTCAGGACACTTATGTGCTAACATCTTACAGCAGTGAAAGGCTTATATAATCTGTGTATGCAGAGGTGTGTAAACAGGAATAAAAATAATCACAGCTCTTTGCATTCTAATGCAGCATACTCGAGACAATGAAGACATAGCAAGAGGCTCTCCTGATGTAAGCAGACTAATGCTGACATTCAGTACATACACTTTACCCTGTTTCTCTACAGAGGGCAAGCAAGAGCCTGAGAACCCCAGAGGCAAATTATGCAATTCACAAAACAACACTTTACAATCCAACTGGACTGTGACACTAATGTTTTTGAGTGTGTTTGTGTTAACTTCTACTTACATGTGATGCCTTTCTCCAGGCACTCATAAAAGGCACAGGCACAGATCTGGAGTAAGAGAGGAGGAGGGAACCTCTGGAAGGCTTTGACCTCTCTCAGTCTGGTCAGAATAATGTCCACATCCTCTCCAGACCGCTCTGAGGGCCTGATGACAAAAAAATAAATAACATCATTACATCTGACATTAGTTTAAAAGAAGCATTTGGAATAACTCAGAGGTAAATACTATTGGCTGCATCGAAAAAAAAACAACTGAATAAATGAGCAGATTCTCAAGTTCACCTCTTCATAGAGGGAGGAAATGAGCTTAAATTTGTGTGTGTGCGCGTGTGTGTGTGTGTGTGTGTGTGCTGCCTTATTGTTCATCCTATTGTCTTAGCGATATCAGTAGAGGACCGCAGGCATTACTTCTCCCGGCTTATACTCCCCACAGCGCGTTGATGTAAGATTTCATTCATTCTGCTACTATTTCTAATACCCTTAAATCCGGACACACGCACTTGCACACACACACATACACACACCATTGTTGGACATCCATGAACACACACACAGGACTGATCCCCGAGCTTAAACATTCTGCTCTGCAGTGGCATGGTGGTACAAAACTACAAAGCCCAAACTGTCTGAGAGTAACACTGACGCTGCGGTTATCCCCGTTCATTCATTTATTTCGCCTTGCTTGTGACTCATCCTTGCACGTGCATGCATGCGTGTGTGTGTGTGTGTGTTTGTGTGTGGGTGTGTGTGTTCACACAGAATAGCTAATGCTGCTCTTTCTCCACAAACCAGAGGCTGTCTATCCCCTCTCCTCTTTCCGCTCCCTCTTCTCCTCCTCTCCCTGCCAACTCTGTCCTTCCTTTTTGTCTGCCTCCTCCACTAAACATTTCTCTAATCTCCTTCCATTTCCTCCTCTTCTTCTCTGCTTTGCCTGTTTCTCTTTTAGGAGCATGATGGATAGGAACAAATAGCCTGCTTTTTCTTGAAGGTATCCATTCTCTCCTTCCATTAGTGGCTTTTCTAGCCATTAACACACACGCACACACTATCCTCCTATTATTATCCTCTCTTTTTGCTTTGAAGCTCACAGGCAGAGACACCCCCTTTTTTACACACGCACATGTACATACAGAAATAAACATATATTTTTGTCCCCAAGCTGAGCTAGATTGTCCTCTGCATCCCAGTTTTCCCAAATAAACACAGCCTAGAGGGTCGCACTGTACAACCCAATCTCGAGATCCACAACATCTGCCACAAGCTCAGGGCCATAGATGGGGATTGTTTTTCTCCTTTCCATCTTTTTCTCCCTTTTTTTGACTCTGACTCATCCCACTGCCTACGTATTCAGCCCTGGGTGCTCAGACGCAGTGTCATATCCCAGTGTAGGCCGGGTTAATGGTTTAGACAGGTGGACTCCCACACACCGCAACCAAGACAGACAGGGAGGTTAACTCTGCAGGGTTGAATGGGTGCAACCAGCATCACCCCTCACCTAACTCTCTGCAGGGAAACTGTAAAGATGTGTCAGTAATAATCCCCCTGTTAAATCCCTGTTTTTTCTTTACTGCTGTTTCTCAGGTGTTTAGTCCAATTCCCGTCTCTTCGAGGGGAATCTGCCCCGTCAGATTGCCTGAGATCACCCCCTCATGACACTTTTTATCCCTTACTTTGCTTCTCTTTATCTCCTCCTCCTCTACTGTCCTTCTCATCTTTCAACCACAAAATATGGTCCCACACTGATGCAGGATTTTACATATTGACCGGCATGACACACTGAGAAGGAAACCGAGATAGCAGAAGGCTTTGCAGATTGTTACAGGAAACATCCATCTGCGAGAGTTCTGTTTCTAGACAAATAAATCGTAGGTGATCCAACTGAAATGTCACCGAGTCCCAACGCAAACACATTTCCAAGACTGGCGGATTAATGTAGCAGACAGACTTTAATGGACGCACAGCTTCATCAGCACACAACTTTATCACCACTACAACCTGTGATCCTGTTAAAAACACTGAATAATACATCAGCAGCAGCAGCATCATTTCTTATTTCTCATTAACAGATCACTCTACTCATCACTTCTCAACCTCTAAGGTGAAACCAAATAAAGCCACGCGTGTAAAAGAGTTTGAGCTAGACACAGTGTTTTAACTTGCAAAAAAACTTTAGCCGATATCTGGACCGGTGCTGTGTTGGTGTGTGGGCTGTACCGCCTGAGGCTGACACTGACCAAAACAAATCAGCTGTTATCTAACATACTTCACACCAATGGTCGTAAATGTCTTCAGACAGATATATCACAGACAGTCGTATCTTAACCTCTGTCTTTTGTACCTTCCCCCCTCTTCACTTGTCTTCAATCCAAACATCAACAGCTACTGTAGATGAACGCTCACACACACACACACACACACACACACTCAGCTTGATATTGATTGAATCTGGAGGTGCATAGCTGAGGAGCACTGAGTGCTCTGCAATAAGATGCTGTCCAGTCTAATCTTACAACCAAGACTGCACTCGCTGACACCCAGCTACTACAGCACATCAGCTGCATTTAGACTGACATCCTCAGCTCTGTAGTTTGCTGCTAGCTGAATACCAGATTGGATAATGACTATAACATTCCAGCTAAATAAGGATTAAGACCCTGGTTTTGCATTGCATTTAACCCGATGCATCGCATTTTAAAGATCCTTTGAGGAGTATGTGCCAGTTATGAAGCACACCATGATTAACAAAATGACCAGACTGATCATTTTAATCTTGTTATTTTAATACCTGTAATTACTGCTGAGGGGTAGGTGTCAAACTAAGTACCCTGCCCAACCGCCTTTGTTTAAATTTCCAATGGAAATGTACATAATGAGTTTGACTGATACAAAAAAGGCAGGATGACATTTCTATCAGAATACAATACCAACATGTACAGGTGTAAAATGTATTACTTTGTCCATGGGGAGGCGCCAAAATCAGCGAAATTTGAAAAACTGTACTGTAGCTTTAAATTGATGTCTCTGTATGGCCAAATAGAGCAAACAGTAGCATCAGAAGCAAGATGATTATCCAAATACAGTGTTTGTTTCAACAAGTTTCCACAACAATGGATCTCAATCAGAGATGCATTTGATAGTTAGTGCATTGCAAAATATTTGTAATAGTGTTTTATCCACTGTGGTCAAAAAAATGCAAACCAAAAGCCTCAAAAATAAACACTAAATGATGCTAAACCATTTGACAGAACAATGTTGTGGTTTTGACATCTTTTGCACCTTGTAGAACCCATAATGCTGACTTTGCCTGAGTTCATTATTTGTTTTGCTGCACTCTTAATTGGGTAAATCCCTTCCAGTCATCAGGTCTTGGGTGTGGCGTCCCTATTAATATTTGGTAATTTCAGTAGCAGGTATAAGACAAAAGAGAGGACTGGGTTTGGATATTTTCCATAGGCTGTGACTGCAATCAAGTCAAATTTCTTGCTTTTTTTAACATGAATTTTGTTTCAGGTTAATTTAACAAACAGATCAAACTTAACTATACTTCTTTATGATTTTGTACTTCTCACCAGCCCACATAAGCTCTTGTAGTACCTGTAGATTTTTGGTTGTTACAAATAATTTGATTTGATATCTCTGTTTGTTTGTTTGATTGGGCATTTTTCCACATTTCTAAGATTAAAGAGCATGCAGTTTGACATGTTACAGAACAACCATGAGATAAATCAAATCCCAAATTAGCCACTTTATTCCATTTTCCCTTCACTTCATCAAAAACTACACACAATTGAGATAGTGTATCCAGGTGAGGATGAGGAGACAAGATGGTAGCTTGGGTTGTCAATGGTAACTTAAGGATGTGTCATAGTGACGTGTGTCCAGCATGTGTGGCTGTCAAAGCTGTGGGGTGTCTGTCTATATGGCATTGTTTGTGTGGAGTATATCACCCACAGTAATTAGCCTAAAGGCAGCCATTTCATCTTGTTTATTTATTTAAGCCCTCTCTCTGGGGTGCTATGCCTTTTTTGGCACAGTAGTATGCCTGCAGCACCAAACCTGTATTGTTAACAGAAGAGATACAGCAATGTGTTCTATCTACTGCGGCACCTGGATGTGAACTAAGGGTAAGAGTTGTAAATGAACACTCTCTAAATTCTCTAAATTGTCTATCCATTCATTCAAACCAGACACACGTCCTCCAGCCTTTCATGCAGCAATGAAAACACAAAGCATTGACCTGCTTTAATCCCCTTTTCGAGGAAAGCACTATCACTGTAGTATTTTAAAAATGTATGGGTGTGTGATTTATCTGACAGAAATAAACCATGTGCGTCTTCACAGCCACATTACATCCAATGCGGTGCGCAGACATCACCTCGAAGCCACCAACGCCTTTTTGACCGAGGACACACAAAAACAGGAATATTGAAAACAAACACAAAATACGGGCATGCATTTACAGCATTTACACTCGTCAAACGAGGGATGCATCAACAAAGGAAACGGCAGGAGGAGATAGTCGGCTATGCTAAAAACAGCGAGTATCGTGCCGTTGTTGCACTCACACACACACACACACACACATACACAGAAATTGCACGCGCACCGATCGCCGGTTGCGATCCATCACGTTGACGCGGGTGAATGGGAGAAAACACGGTCACAGCAGCGCGTGTGTGTGTGTGTGTTTCTCAAAGTGTATTTTGTTAACGCACCTCTTATCCAGGCAGCAGATCCATTCTGGCAAAGGAGACGAGTTAGGGAACGTCTGTACCGCGACCATCTTTTCCGGCCGAGCGTGTGTGTATGTCTGTGTGTCCGCTGTGCTACCGGGGAAGAAGGCTTCCCGGTTTGACGGTGGTCGTTAATGAATGTGAGCTCTGACTGCGCCCCCTCCCCGCCCCTCTGCTTCCAGCTGCCTCACACAACTACAGGCTGCTGCTGCTGCTGCTGCTGCTGATGATGATGATGATGCCTTCATCATGGCATGTAGATGAGTTGTGTGGCCTTAATGGGCTTTTTAAGGGCAAAAGAAGGGCTCACTAACAACTACGAGGATGATATACTGCAGTGTTATGCATAGAGAAATGAGCAATTAAATCATTGAACATGACATTTCAATATGTTATCTGTAGAGCAGGGTTTAAAGATAGGCTACTTGTAAATAATGCCTTCATGTACAATTTCAGTCCACTGTTGTTTACAGTCAGGCAGGCATTATTCATCAACTCAGATATTTTATCTCACAAATTGATGTTTTGTCAGATGAAGGTAAGGGAGACCAGGACTTGTTGTCACACTAGTAAGATGTCACATTGCAATTATCTTTGCCATCAAAGGGCACAACTAAAAAGTGAAATACTAGTTTTCCTCCTTTACATGGTCAGGGGTCGTGTCCTATCTGAGAAGAGAAGATCACATTGTGAGCTGAGATGAGAGCCAATTAACCATTTTGCACAACCTAAAGTAAAAAAATTAGCTTTATATATTTTAAAATAAGCTACTTCCAGATAAAAATCCTAGCAGTGATAAATGTGGACTTGTTAGAGGAGAGATTAAGGCATCCTGTCATACCTCAGTCATTGTTCTGTTTTAAGATAACTTTAAGCTAGAGCCAGAATTAGCAGACATGGTAGTTTGGGGCTACATGTCTCAGTAATTTTGGGGTTAGTTGTGAGATGTTTTAAAGTTAGAGTTAAAATTAACATAGAGAGTCTGCTTATCAGCAGATGTCATATTAAAAATTTTGACTTTATTTTTACAGTGAAAAGAGTGGTTTAAAGGAGAGGAGAAAGCTAGAAGACATGGTCAGGAATTACAAAAGAAAAACAGAACATGGCAGTGCAGTACCTGACGTGATGCTGAGGGCAGTCAGGCAGGTGATCCTAGCTAATAAATCAAACTGGAGGACAATAAAGGACTTTAATGTCAACTACCATACCTTGGCTCTGTAATGCAAAACATTCACTCCAAGAATGTCTCATAATGTTTTATATAAACCTTTGTTTAGTTGCTATGTTCAACGACTTTCTCAATGATAAACATTTTCTGTGCCTGACTCTAATGTTCACTTTCAAGTAAAAGAAATGAGAACAATAATTTTGTCCTTGTTTTATTAGCTGCAAAATTCACTGTGACATTTCACCCCATATAGTCAGACAACTTACCTGATGGTGGGGCAACATGTCACATGTTCACAATCTCTATTTGATTGCTTATAACTCTGCACTGACACGAGATATGAAAATGACATGAATACAAAAAATATAGCTGAGACTTTGGTCTTTCACCTGGTACACAAATCTAATTCTTTGTGTTTCTTTGACAGCCATTTCTAGTGTGTTTTTCAACATGTTATCATCCTAATGATAAAAATTGCCCAACGGGCAAAGTACCCCTTCTTTTTGTACAGCCAAGTGCCTCTCTTTTTAGCTCTGACACAAAATATCCAGGGGCAGCTAACTTGGACTCTATAGTCATTGAGAACACAAACAATTACAAAATTATTTTCCACCAAGAGACTTGTTGCTTAGGGGTAAGCATAAGCAAGCATTTTCATGGTACAGTCACAAACAGTGGCTGTGTATTATTTCTTGTTCTTTCTACGGTCATTTGCAGATACATCTGTGGACCAACATGGCCTTGACATTTTCAGGACAAGGTCATTGTGCTGCATTAAGTCTGATCTTACATCAGACAGTGACTCATCTCAGGTCACAACTTAGCCAAAATTTCCCTCATTATTCCCACCTCGACTGAAAAAGGCTGGTTGGACTCATGGCTGCATCGTATAAAAGATGGGTCCATCAGGTACTTTAACAAACTCATGCTTTCTACATTATATAGACTGATTGTCTGAGGTCATTTGTGCCCGTTGTGTTCTCTTATCCTTTGTCTTGGTGTTGATCTTGTGTCTTTTATAGTCTTTTGTTTCACTTTGAAATAATTTTGTCATTTTGAGTTTGCTCTTTGCAGTGCCTCTGTTTCTCTTTGAAGTGTTTTTGTATCCCAATCCACTGCTGCCATTTTGTTTAGGTGTTTTTTTATGGTAATTTTGTGTCTCTCTGTTGTAACTTTGTGACTCTTTCAATCTTCATGTTATGCTTTGTTGATTTTTTGCATCTCTTTATAGTCTGAATATTCATCTTTGTTGTCCTTGTTTTGCCTTAGTGGTTGAATAGTCTCTTTATAGTCTTTTTGTATAGTCTTTTTTGTGTTACTCTCTGTATTTCTTTGTGTTTCCGTGATCATTACTGCCTTTAACAACAAATATTGCACTCACTTTAAGCAGAGGCTCTTGTCAAGGACCTACTTGACTCCCCTGCCCCTCGGCAGTGTGCGCAGTAGCCCCTTTCAGGAATCCATCTAGAGTAGGACCAAAGAGTAGTGTTACATAACATCAGTAAGTCTTGGGAATGCGTTTCTGGGTCAAAATTCTACAAAGTAGAAATGCTTAACAGTGCACACCACAGCATATGCGGGGTCCTCTTCATGTAGAAGAGAATTTATTTTTTGAACTCTTTCCCTTGCCGCTAGACGAAAAAAACAACCCAGTGCAATGCCGCCTGAAGAAATGTTAATTTCTTATTAGCTAGAATGTAACTGCTTATGTATGCATGGAGTAGCAGAAAGCACCATCTAGCATGTGACATGAAAAAAGGTAGCAGTATGTAAACACATATATCTTTTATTTATCTGTACCAAAAACTGTCAAAAAGCTGCAAAGTCTCCTATTAATATGAGAAACTGAGAGGAACATAACAAACTACAGGACTTCAGAGCATCGGTACAAATAATGCAGGACGCAAGTAGCAGAAAGTGTATCTAGAATTTTCTTTGAAGTTTTCCTTTACATATTGCTCATCTCTGAATGCTAATTTAAAACAATTATTATTATTATTAATAATAATAATAATAATAATACTAATAGCGAGGACATGGTGACAGGGACATGGTGTTGGTATTGCAGGCTCGAGAATAACCAAACAACATGACTTTAATTAAAAATATGTCATCTACATCACAATTTTTGTTAATTTGCTTCATCTCTTTTTATTTTTTTTTTCCCTTTTATTTAACAGGACATATAGAAGGACAAGCAAGGGGAAGGCAGGCATCAAAGGGTCAAAGATGGTAACTGATCCTCCAATCAATGCCTGAAGGACATGGGATACGATATATGGGACGCCTGTTAAGCAATGCTCATGCTTAACTAGAAATAATAATATTATATGTCTTAACCTTAAGTATTAGAATGATAAATAGGCCAAAATTGAAGGATTAAAAGGTAGGAATGTTGTCGCTTTTGGGAAACTCAAATAAACCAATCTGGCACAAACAAGCTGCTTCTAAATATTGCTTCTGCATTTCAGAGGCTCAGATGTGACTAAATAAAGATCAATGCGAGGCACGCTGTCAGCGAAATGGTGTATAAACATCAGCAAAGCAGCAAGAGTTTCACTGGTTTTGTTTCAACTCGAGTGATGAGAGGGAGAGACAGCAGCAGAGAGGCAGCCTGTCACATGGATGACCGCAGCCACCGTAGCTAAGTAGGAAAGAGAGGGAGGGAGGAAAGAGTGAGGCAGGAAGTGAAGAGATGCAGGGAGGTTTTTAGCTTCCACGGCTGCCTGAAATCATGACTTACATCCCGTGCCTACACCATGTGAAAACAGAGGGAGGGCAACAGAGGAAGACTAACAGAACATGTCAGAGGAATTTAAGGAATTATTTTATGCCTGAGTGACAGAGGGGGAGATGCAAAGAAAAGGAACTTGGTGACCCAGTATGAAGGAGGGCAGGAAAATCAGTGTTTCACTTTAAACTTCTTCAATGTTTTGGACATCTACAGTTTTGCTCCACCCTGCATTTCTTTACAATGTTTCTACAATAAGATCTATTACATCAAGTGTATTACAATGTGTGAATGTGTGCACTTGTTGCAGCTTTATGTACTTGCGTATGTGTGTATCCAGCTGTCTTAGAGGGTGTTGTTCAGTTTTAAGATGTTATTTCTGCAAAATTTTGGAGAAAACTAAGCTCAACCTCTGAGATCTGAAAGGACAGAGTTATCTTCCCAAAGCAAATCTCAGTGTGGTTAAGATCTGATTTCATCATGTTAAAACCATTTTCAGATTTGCTCCAAGGTCTGATTGATGATGTTTAAATAATAAATGGGCAGTTCACAAATTGGACACAGAGTGGCAGTATTATTGTTTACAGACTTAGATGCGCCAACATTAGAGCTCAATAAACTACACCTCAGACTGATTCACAGCATGTTGAAAACAAACCCCTGCAAAGCTGCAGTGATGCTAGCATTGGAACTGCTGACCTGCTTGTTCATCCCAGCCATGGCTCAAACAGAAACGCTGAATGTGTGTGTCTGTGTGTGTCTGCATTTAAATTTTTGTACACTGCAATTCCTTCCTGAAGCTGGGGAACTCTACATGGTTGATTGAACAGATAACCATATGGGGCATGACTGTCTGCCAAATGCGGTCTACGTGGCACACACACACACACACACACACACACACACACACACACACACAGATCTGATATTGTGAGCTGTCAGACAGAATCTACATCTATGAAGAAATTACTGACCTTTCAGCCTAATTACACTGTTAAATACAAGAGTCAATAAAATAACCGACATACGAGCAGGATTTAAAACCTTTTGATGTTTTCCAAAAGTGCGGTTTCTAATATTCACTGTTTAAAACCCTTTTATTAACACAGAAATTGCATCTGTGTCACTTTTCCAGCCAAGCTCACCTCTAACTGCCAGGTAGGTAATGGCAAGCGGCCAAGGAAAATCCTGACTTTACCTGCTCTAAAATTAATTCATCTCTCAGGAATAAATTAGCAGTGTGGAAAGATTTTGGATTTCAAAGACAAGGTAGATCAGTATAAATTTTGCATGCACAAACAATGCTGTTATGAAATACAATAGACCACAACAAACCTGACCTGGAAAAGAAATAAAAACATGCCATGGCCCTCATTGCGCTGCCTTACTGTTAGGACTTCAAATTTAGAGATGTTGAAGATTCTAGTTAAAGACAGAGGCTCTAACATTTTTCCTTTTAATTAAAAAAAAAAAAAAACATAATTTTTTTGATCAAATGAATGAAAGTTAATTCATTTCGAATATGTTCAAAGAAAAAATTAAGAGAAAAAATACAGAATGATAGTAATGGAAAGGAAAAATAAGGAATATACAACATATTCAAAAAGGAGTGGGAGGAAGTAAAACTTACCAAGTCACGCCCCTTCTCCATCAGCTATTCTGCAAAAGTGCTTCCATTTATATATACATTTTTTTTTTACAAATGAAAACATTCTATACACCATAATTCAGTGGGGTTTAAAAAAAATAAATAAATAACAAAAGCCAAAATAATTCATAATTTGGTGCAATACCTTCTGTTTCATCCCTATATCTACGGAATATTATTTTTTTTTGTTTGCATAAGTTTAGTCATTACATTGTCAAATCACATTGTATCTTTTTTAAGGGGATTTGATAAATTTCTACACAACTGATTTAAAATATCTGATTAGATTCTCAAAAGTCTATCACCTGCCAAAAATGTAACTTGATCAAAGACCAAACAAGACTCATATGGCTATTTGATTAATCTAGTAAAATGTGTATCTTGGCTATTGTGATGTATGCCCTTAATTTGTGCCCAAAGCTTAAGTATTTTGTATCAGTTGTAAAGTATAATGTAAAGGGTATCATTTGTACAGTGAATGGGTGGTTCTGTGAAGTAGAAATCTAACAGGTTGATCAAGAACTCAGCACAAGCCAAAAGGTCTTGGCATGACTCCCAAGACCAGGCAGAAACAGAAACTCAGGTTTTTTTTGCCACATTGTTGAGAGGCAAGGGTCAAGTGTGCCATTTTTCTTTACACGGATTACTGTTGTTGGGGGGGGGTTGACCCACATAATTAAATTTTCAACCTAGCCAAGTAATAACAGCAACTGAACATTGCAATTCTCATGAATTAAAGATACACAGCATGAAAAATATCCCAGTGGATCATTAATCTGTGTTCTTGGTGTAGTAGGGAAAGACATGATTTGATTGCCCTCATTAAAAGGTGTGGCAAAGCAAAAAAAAAAGCTTTGTATCTGAACACTGTGATGTACTAAACAGAGGTGCGCTAAGTCTTACATGTAGATTGGGCTGTCACCATGCCCAGCAGTCAGACAAAATCCTTATGTGAGCCTCTCTAGAAGTCAAGGTGACCTGCAGCTGCTGCTGGTGAGAAAAATTGGAATTGAGGATTAGGTCGCCACACAAAGATGTCTGTCTTTTTTGTTGTGCCTGCTATAAGTTATGAACGCCACAGCTGAGTTACATACAGCCAATTTGCGATTATTCCCCAGCTGATGTTAAACCTGTACTTTTTTTATTCACTTTTTGATTCACATTGGTAGCTCAAGTCACATGATGTCACATTTGTTTAGTAGGAATCCAGGTTAAATTTCTTCCTCCATCCTTTGTCTCCATCAGCTCCGCCTGCTTTGCAGAGCCCCTACCTCGCTAAATTTACTGTACCACCCACCCTGACATCACTCTCTCATTTTCCATCTACTACTTCAAATCACTTTCTCTCCCTCCCCTCCCTTTTTGGTTAGCCTCATTCAGAACAAGGCTTTTGTGATTGGCCAGTATTTATATCAACTAGGTCCCAGTGCCACCTGGGACAATGGTCTCCAGTCAGATCCAGGTCACAGCAAGCAGAACCGCTCTTTGGCTCTGCATGTCTCAGTCCAGTCCAGTCCACTCCGGTCCAGTCCATCTGCCACACAAGCCAGCTTCACAGACAGACAGAGAGCTACTGCACCGACTCACCCACTGGCATCACACACACACAGGTAGGGAGGCACACACATACGCCAGCAGGTGCTGCATCACTGCTCTAGTCTGCCTCACACATACAGGTAGATAATGGAAGATGTATCTGACTGCACTAACCTGCATCATGCACGCAGGTGAAGAATATCCTCACGAAGCTTACCTCTGAGCCCAGGAGAGCCAATACAGGGACAACAGTTTTCACAGAGGATGACAACACTGGCAGTGATGCTGAAAGACAGGTAAAGGTAAGTGAATGGAGCTGCAACCTGCTTGTTGATAGGCTTATAGTGTGGATTGTACTAATGTATGATACAAAATGAAGGAGACAACCAATATTTCCTGAGATGGATTATATTACTAACAGTCGATGAGCATCTTCATTTTATTGCACATGTCAATATCAAACAAACTTCTACAGGCTTAAGTCAGCACTCTGTCTGATGCCAAGATTTCCTACTGTGACTGTAAACTAATAAGACAAAAGAGCGTAGATGTAATAAGTGGCCTTCCAAATAAAGGCTACCTTGACCCAAAGTTGGTACTCACTCCCGTCAGTGTTTTCACAGTTAGTAGAGTAGTTTACACAGGATTACATGAGGATAATCCATTTACGGTATTAGGAGACATGAGTCGCCATCTGTCTGTATTTATCACCGTGTGGAAGCCGCCAGGAGAACAAGACTGAAAACAAACAAGACAGAGAGGCTAATATTGTACTAATAGTTTGGAAAAATATGACTTAAGTGAGATTTGAGCAGAGCTTGGCCTGTTTGACCCTCACTAGTTTGTTATTTACGGTAACCCAACGGTTGTCACGACCTTTAAACTGCGCGCGCACTACAGTCAGGTTGGTGAGATTTGCTGCCTTTATATATAATCGTAAATTTCAGTATCAGTTAACACGCATGTAGAGATGCTTTTTCAGTGTAAAGCTAACGACAAAACTATTAGTCAAGTAAAATCAAGAAATACATGAGCAACTCCATTTTACCGAACGGTTACAGTGACGAGAAGACAATACACGCCATGAATAGTAGTTATGCGTGACTATTTAACTTATTGGTTGCAAGTTGCAACTAAAATGGTGGTGACAAAAAATTTTTAGACACTGCTTTTTTCTTGTTAATAATTCCAGGGCATAAGATAGTCTGAGAAGTAGACAGTGGAGTATGTACGTTTCTCCTGATAGCCTGTTAACCACGCCAAACTGTGCACTCCTCAAAATTTCCGACAGTACCTGAAGGCAGCGGTCGCCCAGAGGACTTCATTGCTGCTGCTGCTGCTAACAGGTGAATTGGAGCAAGCAGTGAAAGAGAAAATCTGCTGCTCACGCTTGGAGTTTTTCACGAAGCAGGCAAACATTTCCGACCTCAAAGTGAGTACTTCGCCTGAAAATGTGCTTTTTTAAATTTAACCTTGGAAGCAGTGAGTCACCAGTAAGTTAAGCTTGTGTGCAGTTTGTCTGGGCAGTAATTAAGTTAGCGTTAATGACCTGCTGGGTCGTGTGAGTTCGCTTTAATGAATGTCTGATGTGCTCTGCCTTCTCTCAAACCACTCTTCCAGGAGGAGCGTGCAGCAGTAATGGTGAATTAATTTCTGAAGACCACCAGGGGAAAATGAAGTTCTAAATCAACAGCTTATTCTACTGCAGTCACCAAACAAATGCAGTGACACAATCCACCAAATTACCAGCTCTTACACCCAGCATTTTCTTGCCTTATTTTTGCTTTTACACCATACCAGCAAACTCAAATATATTATCTACCTGCTCTGTATCTGCGCAGGTGCTATCAGTGGCTGTGAAAGCTTCTTCCTCAGCTTCTCCAAAGTTTTTTTCTTTCCTCAGAAAACCATCATATCCAAATGATGCGGACGGACAGCAAAGGCCGAAGTGCCTCACCTCACAGGATAACCTATAAGTCTGACTTTCATGCCATCAAATGTTCTTTTGACACCGGGTCCAGTCTAACACCAGCGAACAAAGCTGCAGACAGACTCCCATCCAGCCTGTCAGATGTGACATGTCTGTCCCACACCAGCACCAGAGGAAGAATCTCCAGCACCAGAGGGACCAAGATCAGGGACAACATCTTTCTGCAAATGGACAACCAGCAGCTGAAACAAGATGGAGGTCCAGTGTCAAGTTGTGGCTCCACTCCCCTTCTTTCCCCCCATAATCCTAATCTACAGATGCAGATTTCACCTTTTACTGGATCCAGACCATCATTCAGCAGCTCATCAACTTTACAAGATAAACCATCCAGATCTGAGGAGATCACAGATATTGAGAGAGCTGCCCTCGCCCAGAGGTTCTCAGTTACCCGGAGGTTGTTTGAGACCAAGGTGATGGAAGTTGGTGGAGGTGGAGGGCAGGTTTTAAAGGGAGTTACCAGCAGGGGAAACAAAGGAGTAGAAGACCAGAAAAGAGAGGTGTTGGAGGGGCAAGGCAGCCAGGGGAATAAAGAGGAAGAGGCGTGTGGGAAAAGAAAGCACACAGAGGAGGATTGCTATGATAAAGAGGAATCAATAAACCTGCCTATCATAAATAATCCGATGCCAAAGCCTCCTGTAACAGCTCTCCTGACAAGCCACCCTAAATTTTCTGAATTAGACAGCCCTGAGGAAGCATCCAACAAATCTGCCTCCTCTACTGAAAAAAACGATGAATCAAAATCAGAGGAAAAACACACAGAAAATGGCGTATGCTTGACCGAAGAGCAGTCGGTGAGGGCAGAGTTGGTGGATGTGAAGACTGAGTCTTCAGAGAGCGATGAGAACGAGGAAGAGAGGGTCAGATACTGGCTTGAGAGGGAAAACAGGAACAGAGTCGTTGGAGAAAGTGTGACAGACCTAGATGATGATGTTTTTGAGGAACCCAGCATGGGAAAAATCAGAGGAGGATTATGTATCGTGGAAGACAGAGAGGAGCCAGGAGAAGGAGAACCTAGCCCTCAGCAGGATGAGATGCCAGCTAGTATGTTGTGTAAAAGAGAAAATATGGTTGTCAGAGAAGGTGGTGGAGAAGACAAGTATCAGCAGGTGAATGAACACTGGGAGGGGCACAGCAGAAAGTTTATTGCACAGGCTCAGAAGTCAACAGAAAAGGCAGAAGACTTGGAGAAAATGACAGATGCAGCAGTGGAAGAAAGCACAGAGGGAGGCATGATACAAGAAGAGGACAAAGAAGTTGAGTGGTACACTGTGGGAAAGGGGAAAAGTGAGAGAAGAGACAAAGAAGAATTCAAAGAAAGCCAGACTGAAGAAGAAGAAGAGGGAGAAAGTGAGAGAGGAGAAAGTTCAATATCTGAGCTGCAGGAGCCCAATGAGGAGTCCAAGCAGGAGTCCAGAGAAGACAGCACAGGAGAAGAAGGAGGCTGTGGAGACCAGACAACATCTGAAGTCATCTTTGGGATTGAGAATGCAGCTTTTGTGCATGAGCTTTCACCAAAACAGGAACTGGGAAACTCTACAAACGAAGAGAGTCGGCTTTGCTTTGAGTATTCAGAAATTCCTGGAGTCCCTGAACTGTCTGATGAAGAAGATGAAGAGGAAGTGAAAGCTGCAAACAGAAAAGTCAAGTTCTCCTCAGCGCCAATCAAGGTAGAAATCTACACAAAACAATCCTTTTCAGCATCCATTATTCACAGCTGCAGGACCACTTGTCCTTAAATTCAAGCGTTAAAGGAAGCTCTTCATTTGTAGATTTGTGTGACTGTCCATTTAAGCTGGTGTTTGACTCTGTAAGAGAGGTGTTCGCCCAAAGCCATGTTTCTAATCTATTGGAGGAGGAGGAAAGGCAAGACTCCACTTGCTTTTCTCTGTGAGCACTCAGCCCAGAGTCACCCTGACATTAAAGCATAGAAAACATTCCTGTGGCTCTGTAAGGCTTTCAGCTGGCTCAATTCCTGACTAACCTGTGCAGTTCTGCTTATAAGAAGTCGTGTTTACATTGAGATTTATTGCAATCCTTTTATTATGCTTCTACATCATTACATCTCACTTTTTCTCTCTGACACATTTGCAAGTATAAACTGTGTGCTCTTATGTAGATTTACAGTCTGTTTTATCTGGATCACAGTGTCATGTTTAGACCTTAATTTGACATAGGTGTTAAAAAAATAAGCCAAAACCTCCGCAGTGACTTAAATATTTCCTTTGCTTCTGTCCCGTAGGTGTACAACACTTATTCTAATGCAGAGTACGACCGACACAATGAGGATATTGACCCGGTGTCCGCCTCAGCAGAATACGAACTGGAGAAGAGAGTGGACAGGATGGACGTGTTTCCCGTGGAAATAGAAAAAGGTGCGTACTCTCTTCAAACAAACACCTAGAAAGAGAAGAAAATAATGTAACCAGTCATGTAGTCTCTGAGTTTTGGCACAAACAGAAAAATATTTTCCAGCCTTTGTCCCCTCAAACAAGTGAGGATGCTGTCGATAATTTTAAGATATGACAACCTCAAGTTTTTTTTTGCACAATTTGCGAAAACACAACATAAAACATAATAGGTAATAATAAAACAGTGCAGGGAAAGGCAAAAATCCACGGTGGCCTTACTTGAAGCCTCCACCTATAATAACCTAATATTAATGTTACAATTTAATGTACAAAAGCACAAGATAACATGAAAAAAAAATAATAATAATAATAATAGCAACTGACAACAATAATAGAGAAAGAAAAAGAAAACAGAAAATGTAAGTGTGTGATATAGTCTCAAAATGTAGTAGATAATGATTAATTGGATACAAAAAGGAAAAACGTAAAATACCCCTTGAGTGATTACTGGTAACAATACAAAAACTTTTTAGCAAGATTATTGCATCTATTAACAACAAACATGGGTCAGAGTAAAATTAATTTGATGCAACAAAGGAAAAAGTTTCCCAACCACTCGAACTTTACTATGAAAAAAAGTTTTTAAATATAAACCACAAACTTTAAATATGTGTCAAAATGGGAAAAAGTAAACGTTAACATTCACATAATTTTAACATGTTAAGAATATAAGGATGACTCAAAATGAATTGACACACTTCAATATCACAGTGTACCAACTTTTATTAAGTTTCTCCTGAGAGGGTTTTTCCCTCTTTTACATCCATTATGCCTCTTTCCAGCGTAATTGCACTTTTCTCATTGGTTCAGAGAAGTTTCTGTTCCTCTTTTCTCATAGGTGAAGAAGGTCTGGGCATCAGTATCATCGGGATGGGTGTAGGAGCTGACCAAGGACTAGAAAAGCTGGGAATCTTTGTCAAGACAGTCACTGAAAGAGGAGCAACTCAGAAAGATGGAAGGTACATGTCAGCCTGAGTTTTTGTTTGATGAGGATTCAGCTACATTTTATTTATTTATTTCCTTACGTTTGTTTGTTTGTTAGGATTCAGGTGAATGATCAGATCGTGGAGGTAGATGGGGTGAGTTTGGTCGGAGTCTCTCAGCTGTTTGCGGCCACAGTCCTGAAGAACACATCAGGCCTGGTCAGGTAAGGACGTGTGGACTGGATAGCTCATCTCAAGCGCTCTTTTTAACCGTGTTTCAAACAAATGACTTCAAGAAAAGATACAAAGATGCATTTTTGGTACAGTATTTGATTTGTCTGTGAAAAAAAACATTCAACTGCTCAGTGACAGAGGCAGACTTCTGTTTGCGACATCAATGAAGTTATTTATAGAGGAAGATGAGGAGTTTTTTTGCCCTTAACTGAGTGCATGTGATACATACTGACGTTGCTGCCAGCTATTTTTCTGAACATATGTTAAGGTTGTCTGGCGGACTTTGAGAAACTTTAGATTGTCTTGAAATAAACAGAGTTATTGTAAATAATCTGTTCAATATCTGCAGCTATATTACAGTACAATGGCAACATACAACACAATAGAGGACATTTCTGCAGGTCACCATTGGAGAAAAAGCCCAAAAATAAATGATGTGCACACTGGCTGTCATTAATAATTTAGCTGTTGTGCATTTTAAAAGCAAGACCAGTGGTTTACCTGTGGTGACAGGTTAAAGCGTGTGCCGTTAAAAAAGCCCTAACCCTCTGCTGAGTGATAATTGCCTACCGCTTTGATTTGTTTCTCTCCCTGGTTGCAGGTTTCTAATTGGCCGAGAGAAGGAGGGGGTGGAGAGCGAGGTGGCGCGTCTGATCAATGAAAGCCTGGAAATGGATAAATCATCCAGACCGGTGCATTTTCCAAAAAAGAGGAGTAGAGTTTCGATCGCATTCACCATTCAACTGACTTTGACTGAACTTTTTTTTTTTTCATATTTGTTTATTTATGAAGAGCGGAGACTTCGGTGGAGATGAGGATAACAATGGACCCATGTCAGAAAGGGGCTCATTGGCTGAAGAGGAGGAAGAAGATGAAGAAGAGGATGTGGCTTTTCTCTCCTGTTTGGACCATGATCAGCTCTGCGTCAAATACCAGCAGGTACTCAGCGTTCAGGTCCATAAACTGACATTTATGGTAGAAGATAACCCCACTGTTTCAGATAAGGCCAGTGTTTCATTATTTTTGTGTTAATCTATGCTAGTTTGTGTTTTGTCTCTGTTTTTGCCTCTAATTTTATCTGAATTATTTCACACTTTACACATTCATGCATGTTTGTTTTTCCTCTTTTATCATCTTAGCTTCATTCAAAACTACGAAGCACAGCAGCCCAACTTCAAACTGCAAAAGCAAAGGTATGTAGCTCAGCTGAAAGTGAGATTTTGTTTCATATTCAGACTAATTACTGTGCTCACATTAATGCGCCACCTTTTCGAATCCACATTTGGAACAGTCTGACCCATTTAACTGAGTATGAGTTGGCTCGCTGCGGAGTTACTAGGACACGGGCCGCGATCCAGTACTTCTGTGCGTCTGCCCTGTTTTCCTGCCTTTGCCTTGAAGTAATCACGGCTCTGACATAACTGGGTTGGCTAAAGCCGTTCAGAAGAAAATGCGTCTTTCTTCTTTCCAGCGGTGTTAGATCAGTGCATACTTGATTTGCTGTTTCAAAAAGATTTTGATGTAAGAGGATTGGAAAAAGTGCACAGTTTCTGCGTTTCCAAGAATAGTTTTAGACGTGTGATGCTAGAACAAAAAGGCTCTTTTTGGAAGCTATTTCTTCTTCTTTCTTAATTTTTTTTTATACAAGTAAAGATATTCCTTTCTTTTACAAGTTAAAAACATGGGAGGAGCGACAAGCCTGTTGGGAGAGCCAAAGGGTTGAGCTGGAGCAAAGAGTGGAGGATGAAGAGGAGAAATCTGACAAACTCGAGAAGTATGATGACCTTTTTTTCTAACATTAAAGTTTATCCTCGTATCAATCATTTTCACAAATATACAAATCAATTCCTTTGCCGAGATGGAAGTTCAGTTCTGTAAAATCATGTGAAAAAACATTACAAGAATGATATTGATGGTTATTAGGGTATAAACGCCCCTCACTCTGTTTATTAGATACTGGCAGGAGGCCCAGACACTGTGCAGGGTGGTGAGCCAGAGACTGGCTGATGCCCAGAGCCAGTCGGAAAGCCTGGAGATCAAATACAACAAGGCCAAGAAGCTGGTTCGAGAATACCACAGCAGGTCATTATCTGTTTAATCCACTCAAGTTATATCTCCTATAATCTGGAATATAGAATAATTACATCACAGGGAGCCTATTTTGTCAGCTTTAAAAAGTTGTTGCAAGTTTAACATTTTCAAGATATGAATTAAACCTGTTTAATCTTTTTTTTTTTTTGTATTTAGAGAAGAAGAGAGGGAGCGAAGAGAAGCCGATCCAAGGAGAGAATTAGAGGAGAGAGATAAGCAGCACAGAGAAACGGTTGAAAGACTGCAAATCCAGGTGAGAGCAGACTTCTCAGTCCTGTGTGGATTTGCATTACTGATCCTGTCTGTTCTCTCTAGTCAATGTTCTGCATGTTTTATCACAGATAGCACAGCTGGAGAGAAGAGATCCTGCATCTGAAAGACTGAACCACTCCATGGACCCTTCAGCAACTGGTAAGCAGCTCAATCACTGTAGCTGCCGAGCATTCATGAGGCTGCGTCCTTGACTGTGTGTCGCTCATGGCAAGTTAAAAGCACAAATCCGTGACTGTGAAGTGTTTTGATGTCAGATTATTTTTGAAATACAAGTTAAGTGTATGTCCAGAGAGTGCGCTTAGTTATGAATAAAAATGATAATTTTGACTGAACTTTAATGAGTTGTGTTTGTGCCTCAGGTTCAGACTGGTATATTCCAGTTCCTGATACAGGACGTCTGGACTCCAGCGCTCACATAGCCAGAGCTCAGCTGGCCCAAAAATCGAAGCGCCACCCGCCATCTCGAGACAAACTCAGAGAGAGCTTCAAAAAACGGGTAGGACAAGATGAGTAATTCACTCATACGCAATACGCAATTTTGCTTCATTTTTTCTAATAAAAGGAAAAAATGAATTTTCTGTACTTTTTTGATTTTTTGACCTGCATTATAGAGAGTTTATGTTGTTTTCCTCAAGCTAAAATGTTTGTAATATTTTCTGTGTCATGTTGTTTTGATTGCGATTACAAATTGAGATTGTCTGATAATAAGAGAATGATTTTAAAACAAGATTTTTTTTTAATCTTGAAACTTTATTTTTAAGGAAGAAGAGATTCAGAAACAGGACAGCACATCTCTGTCTACCTCTACGGTGGCTCAAAGGTTTAGCAGAAACGACCTCTCCAGTTCGTCGTCTTTCCCATCTCTCAGTCCTCAGCCTCCTATCGGCTCCACTTTTACACCTCCTGTCTACATCAATGACACCGTCACCCCCTCACCCTGCAAATCTTCTGCCTCCAGGAGGTCCAAAAGGAAATTTCCCGACTTCAGGTGCAGGGTCTTGGACGGGAGAGTAAAATAATCTGGTGGCATTTTTTCCCCTTGTTGTTTGAGTTAATTTGATTTAATTCTGTTTCAGTGGCATTCGAAAGTCTCTCAGCAAAAGGAAAAACCAGAAACATCGCAAAAGGATGATGAACAACAGGTTAGATACTGTGTAATACACAAAGAAGAAAACACAACATTGAGCTGTTTGAATGTTATTCTGACTCAAACTTACACACTTTTGCTCAATTCCAGCACTATGAAATTCAATACCATTGATATTTGAAAGCATCTTTTCGACTGAATCATCAAAAACAGAAATAGACTGCTCAATGTCTCAGAATATACATGTTAATGAAATGAATTCAAACAATTCATGACATCTGATCTTTTCATGGCCTCTAATACACATTAAATTATAGAAGCTGATTTCAGAAGATGATTTTATACTCTCATGAAATGTTAATTTAAATAGTTGTAACCTGTTATTTTTCTTGCAGGGCGTCCTGTGGTGATCTAGTAGATGAGCCCGCTGGAGGTTCTCCATCAGGCTCGGTCACCTCCATGCCTTCCTGCCTGCCTTTCCCCTGGTTCGGAGACAGGGGCAGAGAAAAGGACACGGATGCAGAGAGAGGCAGGGAGAGACTCCGGTCTGTGTCCAGCAGCAGCCTGCCGTACCTGACCACCACCGGGAGAAGAGATCAGGTGAGTAAAGCTACTGGTGGGGGCTGAAGAATCGAACACAATAACTTTCTCTCTGTCTGGGCTTCATTTTTGCACACCACATTCCTTTAAAATGAAAACACATGCATGCACCACATGAAATCACAGCCTGTAGACAGTCGAGGTGCTCTTCTCTTGCTTCCAGAGTATTGGGTCTCCGGTGCGCAGCTCCAGCATGGAGGGTCATGTCTCTGATCACTCCCTCTCTGGACACTCTTATACTTACACCTTTTCCTCCACTGAGGTGAGCCTGTCCTTCCTCTCCTTCCTTTTCTTTCTTCTTTCTCGTCTAATCAATGTCCCCTCAGGCATACTCTCTCCTCTACTTATCGTTATCTCTCCTCTCCTTTCATTTCATTTCATCTCCCTGTTCTTTGATGTTTTTTTTTTGGCTCCGGTGTCCTCTCAGACATTGGACGATGACCCAGTCCCCACTAACAACAACAACCAGTGGCAGAGTCGACCAATGTTAGAGTGGAGCAACCAGCAGGTGTGTCTGTGGCTAATTGCCATGAACATGGACCAATACACCTCAGCGTTTGCTGCCAGAGGAGTGGACGGGACACAGCTGCTCAGCTTGGACAGTGAGAAACTCAAAGTGAGTATTTAGAATAAGGAGATATTGACATACTAAGCTATTAACAGTAGCCACATTTGCATGGGCAAAATTCATGCGATCATGACGTGCACAAAACTTTATTCAGATTAGAGGCATTTGGATATGCGCAGAATTGTCTGATTTTGCTAAAACAACTGCAGAAAAAGGGTTGTATTTAAGCCTGTGCTATCAACAAACCAACAAGAGCGGTAGTGGATCCAATTCAAGAGTTTTTCCTCTGTTAAATGTTGTCACTACATGGCGCCCTTGCGTTCTCATTTTACTGTTCTGTCAAAGGTTGCACTGTGTGTGCAGATGTGACATCATTATGCTGTATGTACGCATTGTTATGTTACTGGAGGAGCAGACACAACACCTGTGGTTGTGTTTTATGCTAAAGTGTTAATAATGAAACCTCCTGAACTGGCCTCAATGAAAAAGCCAAAGGCTAAAGAGTGAAGATCGAGTCAGGTAAATAAGTCACGATCCTAATAAGTGTTTACATGGACACGTTTCAGAATAACAATCGGCATAAACCTCCCCTTTTGATTGGAATACAATTTCTTTCCGATAGAGCAGAATTGGATCAGAATCATCCGATCGACATCGTTGACATGACGCATTTTTATTCCGATCAGGCATTTATTCCAATTATTTGTGCCCATGTAAACGCAGCTAGTGAGGGGTATCATTCGGTTTTTGTTGTCTAATCAGCCGTACTATTTCCACATACACTCACCGGCCACTTTATTAGGTACACCATGCTAGTAACGGGTTGGACCCCCTTTTGCCTTCAGAACTGCCTCAATTCTTCGTGGCATAGATTCAACAAGGTGCTGGAAGCATTCCTCAGAGAGCTTGGTCCATATTGACATGATGGCATCACACAGTTGCCGCAGATTTGTCGGCTGCACATCCATGATGCGAATCTCCCGTTCCACCACATCCCAAAGATGCTCTATTAGATTGAGATCTGGTGACTGTGGAGGCCATTTGAGTACAGTGAACTCATTGTCATGTTCAAGAAACCAGTCTGAGATGATTCCAGCTTTATGACATGGCGCATTATCCTGCTGAAAGTAGCCATCAGAAGTTGGGTACATTGTGGTCATAAAGGGATGGACATGGTCAGCAACAATACTCAGGTAGGCTGTGGCGTTGCAACGATGCTCAATTGGTACCAAGGGGCCCAAAGAGTGCCAAGAAAATATTCCCCACACCATGACACCACCACCACCAGCCTGAACCGTTGATACAAGGCAGGATGGATCCATGCTTTCATGTTGTTGACGCCAAATTCTGACCCTACCATCCGAATGTCGCAGCAGAAAATCGAGACTCATCAGACCAGGCAACGTTTTTCCAATCTTCTATTGTCCAATTTCGATGAGCTTGTGCAAATTGTAGCCTCAGTTTCCTGTTCTTAGCTGAAAGGAGTGGCACCAGGCGTGGTCTTCTGCTGCTGTAGCCCATCTGCCTCAAAGTTCGACGTACTGTGCGTTCAGAGATGCTCTTCTGCCTACCTTGGTTGTAACGGGTGGTTATTTGAGTCACTGTTGCCTTTCTATCAGCTCGAACCAGTCTGGCCATTCTCCTCTGACCTCTGGCATCAACAAGGCATTTCCGCCCACAGAACTGCCGCTCACTGGATATTTTTTCTTTTTAGGACCATTCTCTGTAAACCCTAGAGATGGTTGTGCGTGAAAATCCCAGTAGATCAGCAGTTTCTGAAATACTCAGACCAGCCCTTCTGGCACCAACAACCATGCCACGTTCAAAGTCACTCAAATCACCTTTCTTCCCCATACTGATGCTCGGTTTGAACTGCAGGAGATTGTCTTGACCATGTCTACATGCCTAAATGCACTAAGTTGCCGCCATGTGATTGGCTGATTAGAAATTAAGTGTTAACAAGCAGTTGGACAGGTGTACCTAATAAAGTGGCCGGTGAGTGTATACAATCATGATGAAGTCCTAATTAAAGTAGTTTCAAATAACTTCCACAAGGACTTGCTGTCCATTTATGAACAGACATTTTCATTTTTTTTACACTTATGCAGGAAATCAAACACATATATTCATACTGATATTGGAAAAAGATAAATGTAGACTATTTTCCCAACCATCTCAGTCAGATGCAGCTCCAAGGCCAATTATTGTACCACTATATGAATGTATTAATAGTTTTTTTTGTATTTAGATTGAAAAGCTACAGTTTGCTGTGACACTAATTTAATTTGTTTCTTGTACATGCCAAAGTTTCTTTTTTTTGAATAGGCATGGCTCAGTTGGTTTGAGATAGATAAATACAAATGTTGGAGAAAAGTTCTCCCTAGTGGACAAAGTGTGTAATGTCCTCACTGTCTGAATAACCTCATATATGCCTTTGACTTTACCGCAATTCTGATATACATAGACATTTAATCTAATGTGATGTTTGTTGAGGTGTGGCTGATTCTTGACTTTGTTTTTTTTGAAGATTTTGGTCACTTTTTTTTTTTTGGCTTTAACTCTGCTTACTGAAAACTGCAAAATTACTTTCTGGAGTAAAACCGAAATGTTTGAATCTATTTTTATTAGGTTATTAGTATAAAGCAGTAGTGCAGCCATATATCTTTTGTTTGCATTTACATCTGTAACCCAGATTCTAACCCCCCCACTCCCCAGGCTTTAGGGGTGTGTAGTCATGGTGACCGCTCTACACTCAAGAAGAAGCTGAAGGAGATGAAGAAAAGTGAAGAGAAGGAACAGAAGAAATGTGACAAGAGGCTGAAGGAAAGATCAGAGAAAGAGAAGAATGTTATTTTGGAAAAGGACAACGAAGAGAGAGGGAGGATGGTTCAGGAGGAGACTAGGACTGTAAAAGATGTCAGGCGTAGTGGGAAAACGATAAGGACAGAGTCACTCCTGTAGAGGTAATGTGACAGAAACTCCACCAGCACCAGGTTGTTTGCAGTCTGACGCACCAAAACACACACTTGAACCCATTTCTACGCAGTTAATTGGAGCAGCTAGATGTACTGCACACATCCTCTACTTTTCACAGTTTAATATGAACTATTTAGGATAAAGAACACTTACTGGATTTAACTGACAACTTATCTTCAGACCAGAGCAGAGGTCAACTTGAGCACCATGTATCTGTCAGGTGTAAAGTGTGTGACAATTTGCTGCACTTTGTGTTTTTTTTTAATCATGAACTTTAAATTATGAGTACAATAATTTTATTATTTAATGTGTGCTGGTTTTAGCACGTGTATTTGCTGTAAATACCTTTTTTAAATGTACAAATAAATGCTTGAAATGTCTTCCTCATGCCTTCAACTCTTTCATTTGTTTTTAGTAAACACACACACAGACACACACACTTGGATTTGACAACATTTTATTAAAGAAACTCTTGTCATATCTCACTTTTACAATTTTATAGCCATTGATGAAAACTGAGTCTGGCAGTGGCTTGATAATTCATTTACAAATTGATCTCACAAGTGCTGTAGATAAACCTCTGTTGAACCTTTACTTGATCCGCATTGAGCACAAAGGAGGGGAAAGGCTGTTTTATCCAAAAATTCAGGTAGATTCACGGTAAGAAAATAAACAGGAAAAAAATATTTTTTAAAAGGCAAATTAACTGTTTCTACAACGCTGGATTCTTGAGCCTGTCGGGCACGTAACATGAAGTACTCCTCACAAAAATAAATAAAAATAATTCTGCAAAACACTGAAAAAATGTACAGAAAACCCAGAAAACCTCCCACCCTCAGCCCCCCAGTCAACACTATGAAAGTAGTAAATGTACAAAAACAAGCTCAGACAGACTGTCTGTGCAGGACCGTCTCTCAAATACAACTCTCCTTCCAGTGATTCAAACAGACTGTTTCTAAAATCATGTCAGGCCCTGACTCGGAACATTCAATCAAGTATTAGGTCCTAAAAAAGCTTTCTTTCCATACATAGTTGTTTTTTCTATATTTACAGACCACATTGTGCAAAAGATGAGGCAGGAAAAAATAAGCAAAATTGTGAGTTTTTCAGTAAGCAACAGGAAGTTTTGTGGAGTCAGATCTTGTCAGCCGTTAGTCATCCAGGACTTCTTATCTGGGCTTTCCCAGGTACCAATTCCTGAGGTTATTTCCCTGTCCTGCCGTTTGATCCAAACAGCGCTGTAACTGGGAATCTTCTCTCCATAGTTGGCACGTTTGAAAAAGCCACACTGTCAGAAGGAACGGAAAAAAAAAACAATTATTAGATAAAGCATCAAAGACTTTATGGTGTTAAGAAAGAAAAGGAGGCGGATGAGACATTTAATGTTATCAGTCAGTTTTGCAAGCATAAGGCGAGATGCAATGAACCCATTAAAAGGTGTAGATGCACCTCTCTTGTAGAAGGATACATGAATGAAGAAAGAAAGAAACCTCCATACCAAGTGACGGCATAAGCGAGAAAATAAAGGAGAGAAAATCCAAGAGGTGCAGAGGAGCCCCCATGATGTTGTTCCTCTGAGCAGTGAACAATGCAGAGTTACTTATAAGCCAACGCCTCCTCTGGTCATGCAGGTGAACAATAATCCACACATTATCATGAGTGAGAAACTTTAGAAATGAACTCCACAGAAATCATCAGTCAGCTTTATTACAGCATTTACGGTAAAGGGTGAGAAGTGCCCACTGGTAAACGACAGACAGCAGAGTTTCTGTAGCATTAAGGAGGGAGAGAGAGAAATATTGAGCTCATTCATGGGCGGCCTGGTTATTTTACCCTCTTTCTTTTCATGCTTTTGATGTCAGTCTCTCATATTGACGAGTCCGCTTTCTTTTTCCTCATCATAAACTGAGGAGAGGAACATTGTTAGAAAATGTGCCTGATGTTTCGTGTAAATCTGTTATTTACTGAAGGTATTGTTAAAAAAGACCATCAAAATATGACGGTGCCCTGCTACTTTTTGAATAAGGGAAGAGGGTCCATGTCCCTCATCCTTTGGTCTTACCTTCCAGAGAATATAAGCCAAAATACCCAGCAGCAGTAATGCAAACAGGATGGACAGAAAAATAATCCACCACGGCACCCCTGCGGAAACTGCCTCTGCTCGTTTATCATGGTACACCTTCATTTTCACCTGAGGAACACAACACAGCAGCAGAACATCCACATTATCAGGTTTGGGGTATTTCGATGGATTTTTGATATACAGTATAGTAACATCAGCTGTTGAAATAAAAAAAACTGTGTCTTACAGATGTACCAGCTCTGTCGTGTCTGATTTACCTGCGTCGCAGCATTTTCCACCACTGCGTTCCTCGTTGTGCTGTCAAACTGCAGACTGGCCTGTACCACCACCTCCACTGGACTGAACCCAGAGAATTCCTATTTGGAAGGAAAAGGAAGAAATTCAAGTTAAGATAAAGCTGTTAGAAAAATCAAAAATAAAATAGATTTGATACATATGAAAGATTTATTCTGTTAAAATATACATCCTGAAATTTACCACAATTTTCCCATTACAATGCAGTGAAGCTGACTCATAGCAGTCAGTTACAAACATTTAAAAAAGGAAAGAAAAAAAAAACATTTGATGTTTTTAGGACCCTAATGGTTTGGTCATGATAACAGCACAAATCCAGGAAATCCAGCTGTCACAACCCAAAGAAAAGTTTGTCTACATTCATAACTCCTATGGAAAAGAGTATTTTAAATTTTAAAACTATAACAAAAACGTGATAGTTAGCTAATTTATTTATTTAAGTGTCACGCACACAAAGTGCCCAACCCACGCGCGTTTAGAAGACACTAAATAATATCAACAGACAGCACTGCATAGTGTGTAAACTGTAAAAAAAGAGGGAAAGGAAAAACATACAAGTATACATACAATTATATCTACACCTGTAAGCTACATAAACTCAAATCAAACGTACAACACATTTTTTTCTCCTTTCCCAGGCATTATAAATAAAGGAAGCTGTATATATATATATATATATATATATATATATATATATATATATATATATATATGACAAATCAGCATGTAACATGTAATTTTTCTGCAGGTAGCTGTGTGTTACCTTTGTGATGGTGCTGTCCCAGAGGTGAGCGTTCAGAGTTATGACTGCGTTACTGCCCAGCTCTTGTAGGGAGCACTGTATCGTCACACATTTAGCCCCATTGTCGCAGGACTGTCAGGGAAGAAAAGAGCAGAACATTTCAACTATATTCTCAATTCAATTTCAGGAAAAGCCAAATAAAGACTACAACATAAAAGGAAAATAAGGCTTAGTCATGTATTACCAGAGTTTTTTGTTTTTTATTGTCAACTAAACGGGAAATTGTGCCCTCCCACAGGGAATCATCGGTGCCTCTTTTTGCCCTGGTGTTCACCTCCTAAAAAAAGAGAAGACATCAGTCTTTAAAGTTACAGTTCCTTAAATTTCTGAATTACCATTATCTTATAAATCTAGGCATTTGTCCTCTTAGCTGTCAGATGTCTTGCTGTGATGCATTCATTGACCTTGTTCAGAGGGTTGATCAACCCTTTAGGAGTGCACTGCATCTGCTTCACCCCAGTGGAGCTGATCTTCATCAGGTAAAGCAGCATGTTCCCTGAACTGGTGTCCTTTGGCCAGTGGATGTTGAGGGTTGTTGTACCAAAGCCTGCCAGTTGTTTTACCAAATTACTTATCTGTAAATCGAGATCACACATCATAATAATAAGAATAATAATCAGACTACAGCATATTTACATTTAGAATCAAATCAAATGAAGATATAACAAAACTTTTAAATCAGAAATCACAATGCTCACCCTGAACTGGTATGTGACAGCGGCACCAAGAGTCTTATCAGTCTTCCCGGCTGGTTCACCTTTGGCCTTTCTTGCTAGGTAAACCTGAGATGGCTGGGCAATTCTGGAGGCACAGGGAAATACCATTAGTCATGCGGTCTTTTACATATTTTGAATTTGAAAGAATTTTAAGATGGTGTTTCCTCAGTGTGAACATTCCTGTTTCTACGAAATGGAGCTCTTTTTAAGTTGATGCATTTTGATATTTGTTTCTGTAGTACTTAGATTGTGGGGTGGGAATTCTTGGATATTCTTTGTTTTTTTTGTTCTTCTGCTACGTAAAGTACTGCGTGCTACATGGCTTTGTGCATGAAAAGTGCTATACAGATAAAGATTGATCATGTAGGAGCCAAAATATATATTTGTGGAGGATATGATTTCTGATATATGTGACACTTCCAGGGATTGACACTAGGGGGTGTGGTTTCAGGATGTTTGGCGGGTTATTTAAAAACACTGGTGTAGTCAGAGACAATGGGTTTTAGTGAGCTCTGATAATTTTCTGTTGACCATTTATCACTCATCCTTCTCCCCTTATTTCATCATATCACTTTACATTTGAAGGCTTAAGTTTGGACCTGGATCAGTGTTTTTTAACTGAATTAATTGAACGAGTCACAGATGCGAGCGCACCTAAACCCCTGCGGCCTTTTGTTGAAGGAAATCAGTCGCTACAGATTGATTGATTGATATTGTGTGTTTGAATCAAAGGATGATCTGTAGAGTATGTGTGAGGGTGTTTCTTACCCCGACACAGAAAGCTGTAGTGCGATGGTCACCTTCGCTTTTGCTTTCACTGCAGGTATTTTCTTCTGCTCACTTGTCCTGTCGAATCAAAGTTTGTGAGTCAGCAAGTCAGGCTTTCAAATATTTTACACCCTCCAAAATCTTTTACTCTGAGTCGACCGCTTAGTATCAGTGAAATAAGGTGAGTATATGTGCTTACGTCTCGAGCTTGAGATCAATCTCCACTTCAGTGTTGTCAAAAGAAAGGCTTGATGTGTCCAGATAAATGTAGACGGTTGCCTGCATGCACAAAAAAAAAGATAGATCAAAATTCAAAATGCCACCTATGCAGAGGAGGTTAACCTTGCTAGGAGATTTTGTCTCACCTGTGCGTCACGTCTGAAGGGGTTTCCAAGCTCACAATCAACCATAGAACCATTCCTATTTGCAGTGCAGGCAACCGGCGGCCCCTGAAGTCAAAGATTAAAGACATTATTTCCAGTTAGAACTACAGCCGGGCATGTTTTCGTCTGTTGGTGTGGGTACAGCAGAGACAGAGAAAGAGACACTCACATTAGCCATGGAGTCGTAAGATTCATAGGAAAGTGAGCGTGGGAAGGAGGCAATCACAGAGGCTTCGTGTGCATCATCCCCTCCCTGATTGGTCACCTGAACTTCTAAGGTGATTTGCTTGTGCTCGTTGGGTGAAATCACCGGCAATCCATCCTCCCTTCAGACAGACAATCAAGTTATGAATCCATATACTTATGTGTGCGCCTGTGTATTTAGCTTTTCGCCCTTAAGCTCTCAACACAAACATCTCTTATACCCATTCCTTGCATTTTCAAATTGGACATCACATTTATGCTTTTAATTTTTTGATTGGAATTTTGCGTCAATGGAAAATTTCATTTTTTTTTTTTTTTTAGATTGTATGCAAAATTTGTGGCCACAGTGGTTGTACAATGGCTTTATGGAGGTCTTCTTTTCACTCCACTTAGGATTGCTGTGTTTTATGTTACACATGTGAGATACAGGTAATGTACAATATACAGTGCTCAGCATAAATGAGTACACCCCGTCAGAGTTGTCAGAAAATGTAGGCCCCCAAATGTAGACTATTGATTGCAAACAAGATTGTTTAAGTTACATACAAAAAAGTATTTTTTAAATTTAAAATCATGATGCAAAAAATAAGTACACCCCAAACAAAGTTCTGGAGCAAAGCTAATTTTTTGTTACCATATCACCCTTATTTTTATCTTATTGTAAATAGAATGTTATGTTAAACTTTGTCAAAACTTTGGAAATTGTACTTTTGCTCATCTAGATATTGAGTAATACATTACTTTAAATAGGGGGTGTACTGACTTACACAGGGTACTGTATGTTGTTCATGGTTCATGGTTGTTTTCATTGCCATGTACTCTTGTTCAAACTGTTTTTATTCCTCAGTTCTTCTGTTAAAGCAGCTGAATGCCTGCAGCACTTGAGATCAAGTGTTTTGTAATTATAGGATATCTTATTGCATGGTGAAATATGGTATAGGGTGGTACCCCCACATAATTTACATACTATCAGATTAAATCTAGTGTATGGTAATTGATGTATCTTAGCGTATCTTAATTTATTGGTTGCATTGTATCACATTGTATTGTATTGAAAGTTTGGTTTTAATTTACTGTATTACTGTATTTACTGTATCTCAAGGCCTGTACTCTTCCCATTTTTGCTTCGGCAATGCATGACTATCTGTGTCTTTTTGGTGTGTCTGTGTGAATGTTTGTCTTCTCACATTGGAAGAGGTTTGAACGGTTCTCCCGCCTTTAGCATATGGCCGTAGCGATAAGTCATCTGCAAGTTGCTCTGACAAACACTGTCCTGGCCACATCCCCCCTGCAGAAAGTTCACCTAAAACCATATTAAAAAAAACAGATTTTGATCATATGAGTAGTTTTGGTCATTTTTTAAGTCAAAAATCCAACATTTGTCTTATGCAGATTTTGATTTGAAGTGATTTCTTCCTTTTCTTGTCATTTACGATGGCAAAGGCAGAGTATTTTTGTTTGGGGCTGTTGGTTTAGCAGAGAAAGCAATTTCTTGAGGTCATTTCAGGTTCCACATTTTGACAAGCTTTTGTTCACACTATTTAAAAATTTTATATACTTTCAAGATAAAGTGCAGAGTGAAGTTGCAGCCCTACATAACCCTTATTATTGTGTATTATTACCTCAGAGCGAGTTGTAGCATGCTCCGTGGCATCCAAGATCGGTGTCGGAGATGTCGAGCCCTGTCTGCGTTTACGTTTGGAATCCTGGATTTTCACAGAAACATCGACGGGGATCCCATTCAACTTGTCTCGAATGTCTTCCTGTAGAATGATATTTAATAACTTTACACACCACCAACAAAACACTTTTATGGAAAATAAGAGGGAAAAATATCCAGAGCGTCAATACCTGTATGGTAAGCTTCCGCACCACGCATTGTTTCTTTCCTTGGCCGTCTATGGTGATAACTCCATTGGACTCAAAGCTATTACCTGAAGGACCAGTGAAATACGCTCTGGAGTTCAGTTTTTTTCCCCTTAGGTCAGCGTCAGCTTGCATAGAGTACGCCACGTCTGGACGAACACAAAGAAGGAAAAAGGATGGATAAGTGACACAAAATTCAAAACAGAAGCAGAAATGTTGTTCTTGGTTCTTATTTTAGGTTTGCTTGATCTTAATTTCTCAGGAGTACATTTCTGTTTATTTATATGACATTTTCCCTTTAATAATGAACGGCTAACTTACTCATTTTTGTGGATACGCTCTTCGGGTTCGCAGTGTAGGTGAAGCATGCTTCGACATCCAAGCTGAGAACACAGTAGAGTTCATTCATAGACTGATACAAAAATTTAACCGCTTTGTGTAGAATCTTTTGATGAGTTTTGTGTACAATTAGATAAGAGTATAAAATTCAAAGACTCATACCAGAAGTTGGGCTCGCAGTTCTTTTTGGTGAAATCGATTTTTTCGGGGGTGAACGTGATTTCCTTCTTGATGCTGATGACTGGACGTGTTCTGAGAGGGCAGAACTCAGTGAGTACTTCAATTTATCACTATCTGAAATATCAGGGAGGAATTGTCACCAGTTCACTCACTTGTAGACAAATACAGCATCGGATAGCGATCCAATAGCCAGGTCGGGGTAAGAGTTTTCATCCAGGTCCATGTTGCCGGCCAAAGAGTAACCAAACATCTTGGCTTTCACATCCCGGCCAGAGACAGTCTGGAGCGAAAAAAAAAAAAAAAAAAAAGGTAAACAACTTTTCATTACAAGAAATAATTTCAATGACTTACTGCTGGTCAAGATTTGATCAATTTCTCTAACAAGATTTTAACATAATGTTATTCTGTGTGAACCTGTAAGGACTCGAGCACTACTCTAATTTTGATTTAATGTTTTTTTGGTACTTCATTTTCAAGTAAAACTTCTTTGAAACATAATTGGTAAAAAATGTTTGATAAAAAATGTTGATAATTTTCTTAAAACCAGTTGAGGATCCCTGCTAAAGGAAAAAAATCCCCCTCACTGCATACCTGTACAGCTTCTAGAGATTTGAGTCCTGTCTTTGATCCATGAAAGATGTAAACCTTCCCAGCGCCATCGTCGTCATAAGGAGCTCCCACTGCGAAATCTGACAGCAAAAGGAACAACAGTGACTTTACAGCAGTGGATATACAGGTATCTACATTTAACCCAAGGATAGGGACACATTTGTATGAAAGCAAATATTACAGCCTCACCACTATAGCCATCCTGATCAATATCTCCCAGGTGTTTGACTGACAGGCCAAACATGGAGTTTTGAGGTCCATCTATTCTGATGGGTTTGACTGTGTTCCATTTTCCTGCTTTGTTGATGAAGACATATACGGCTCCTCCAATTTCTCCCTCCTTCTCAAAGTACTGAGGCGCTCCCACAACTATATCCTGCCAACTATCAAACAAAACATGATGTTTTCAAGAGTGGAGCGATTTTTAAAAGGAAGTCAGAGGTCGTTTGAACCAGCCTTACCCGTCCTTATTGAGATCCAGCACGGTTAGATCATAGCCAAAGGACGAGGCTAGCCCTTCTCCTTTCAGGGTGAACTCCTCCAGCATGATGTTACGATCTACGCCTTTTTTCAGCAGCACTACTTCCCCGCTGAAGTGTGCTCTTGGAGCCCCTGCCACCACTGTCAGATCGCTGTCTGTCAGCCTTGACCCAGAGTCCAGAGAGAAGCCTGTGAGCATCAAACCAAAGCTTAACTACATGGTCAGATACACTTGAACCTGAATTTTAGGAGAACTAAAGAAACAGGGTTTACTTAGCAGTGAATGGAAAGAGCAGGTGGTAGTTTACCCAGATAGCTGTTGGGAGGACTGGGGACCAGATCAGGGTTCTTTTCATTCTCATCTCCAACCTCATAAGGACCATCGTCATAGATACCCATCTCTAACAGCGTATAATTTTTTTGTTCCAGGCGTACAATTCCTACAAAAGACAAACAATGCATGAAGAATTCAGAGTGAAGAAAAAAACATGCCTTAAAGGAAAAAATTTTGATGAGCAGGAAGAAAAATTTTGGGAATAAACAGCTGATTACCTTTCCAGTTGTACGCTCCAGGAGCTCCAAAGATGAGGTAGTGGTACCGTTTGTCAAAGGTGGCAGAGACGCCCTGCTGGCAGGAGCCAAACATTTCATGGCCTCTTGGCCGGCTCTCACAAAAATGCCAGTTATCTCCTTCCTCATCTGTGCCACCATCGATGGTCAAGTCCTCACCCAACACGACACAGCGGCCAATAATGTCACGGGTTTCGAGGCCAATATTGCCAACATTGGCTCTGCGCTGGTATCGATGGGCACAGGTCTACCGGGAGAAACAGAATCAGGACCATCACTGAATATTTTCTTCAAAAGTTAAATACAAGATGAGCTATAAATCATGTGTTTAATACAGTATAAATCAGCATTTTTAAAAAAAATTTCACTTCTTTGAACCATTGATTAAACAAAACACATAACCTACTAGTTTCAGATTCTTAAAGAGTAAGGGTTAAGGCTGAATTACTTTGCATTTTCGATGGTTTGTCGGATAAAACGACTAATTTAAATTTGTGAACTTGAGCTCTGTGAATTTTTGACCTTTTATTTCAATTGCAAGACTTAGCAGTAAGTTAAAATAAAACAAACTAATGATTGTTTCCATTGTGAAGGACTTTGCCAGTATTTTAGTCAGTGAACCTGTAAATGTCCTCGCTTGTTGATCGCATTGTATTTTCAATGTTGTAAAAGCCACAGGAAGCTGACAGAAATCAAAATAAATCAGAATCAGACGGCTTAATTTATCTTGGGGGGAAATTGGGTAAATTTGCTGATTAATTACCAGATAATCAAGTTATCCATCATCCACTTGATGTTTGTGCTGATCAGCTTATTTTGTTCTACCGAGCTGAAACTCTTGAATCTAAATATTATAGTTCAATACACTGAAACACAGTCTTACCAAAACTTTTCCTCCTGGTCCTTGACTGCTGACTGACACCCCCATCCACTGGTTGTCCTTACTCTCTTTGGTTCTATCCTCTACACAGGAGTAAGTTAGAAAGACACAAAGACATTCATAAGACAAAATAGTGAGAAAAAAAAGAGTAAATTATAGTAAAAAAAAAAAAAAAAGGTTTAGGTGTCACCACTATCGTTATCTCACCGCTGTTGTCAAATATAATTCTTTCACAGTTAGGCGAGTTGACGCTCATGTCACATTTGTACAGTCCTCCCGTCACGCTGGATTTTTGCCCTTTCAGGGCTTTAGATCTCGGGGCTCCTACCAGTAGCCTGCAACACACAAACACACACAGACACATTGATTTCAAGCATTATTGTTTATTTTGATCATCACCATTTTCAGGTTTCTCACACCTCATTTCATGCAATCTGTTCAATTAATTGTCAATTTTCTTGTGGTGCAGCATATCTTACTTAAACTCTTACTGCTACTTTAATTTTACTTGTTCCTTTTTTGACTCTCACTTGCTTCAAGCGTTAATTTTGGCTCTTCCACGTTCAGTTATTTCCCATATATTTCACACTCAGAGCTGTGTTTCTTGTTGGCAAAATTTCATACCAAGAAATAATTTTGACAAACGAGTCATTGATTTCTTTATTTGTGAAAAACAGCAGAAATCATGAGTCATTCAGGGCTCAGAAAGTGAAGCTTTCTGGCATTTCTCCTGTTTTGAAGATTATGCTAGTATCACACATTCCAGTCACTGTCACACAGCAGCCATACTCACACACATAAATGCAACCAAACACAGACACACACGCACACATCCGCATCCGCCACCAAACTGATGTTCCATGTCCTCGCCGTACGAATAAGTCAAAGACCTCTTTCAAATGCCTGCTGGGCTGGGCTGAACCAGGCTTTCTATCTCTGTCTATATACACATACACACACACACACAGTGGCTGCTGTTGTAGACAAGGACAAGGCCAAATGCCACGCCCGAGTCTTGAAGATGTGCATCCAGAGTTTCCTAAGGAGTAAATCAAACAACCCAAAGATGTCAGCTCGTCAACTGATGCTTTGTGGAGCTTCTACAGCACAGATCACGTACAGTCACACACTGTCTCCAAATGCTTTTCTCTCTCTATCTTCAGTCTGGCTTGCATTGACCTTCATGGTTAATGTAGAACAGCACACTGTCTTCACTCGATAAGATTAAGCAAAAGCCATTTTTAGCAGGAACGCTAAGAATTCTCAGACACACAACATCTGGGAGAGAGCGTTCAGAGACATAAAGTAGTCAGAGTGTGGAGCTGAGGTTTAATGCGATCAGCATGTCTGGAGAGAAGACCTCACCACTAACACTGTGAACACTTACTGCACAGACAGCAAGTATGACTAAGTAATCATGAATATTGACTACAGTAGGAATTACACAGACTTGCAAATTTAGTTAAATCATTCATATGACATGCAAAAGGCATTTTTTACATTGTAGTTTTTAGGCATTTTCATGAGATATTGGGGAAAAGCAAGAGAGAGTCTATTTCATCAAATGCAAACAGACAGTTTATCACAACAGAAGCGATGAACTTTGTTTTGACACTGTTTATCCCACTGTAACCACTGGATCGGTTTGGCTTTGTTTCCAAAACCAGAAAATGATCATTTGTGCAGTTATCCTACCAATTAAACGTCCAAATCAGCTTTCTTCAAACCACAATAGGAAAGACACCAGACACTAGTTACCACACAGACTGAAAGTAAGTAACTGTGACATTATTCGTGCAGGAAAACAAATATTCACTCGCAGTAAAATTATTAAAGCTCCTATGAGGCTCTTTGCAATTCTTTACTGATCTAGTGTTGTACGTGTGAGGGTAATTTTTGATCTAATCCTCGTTTGTAGTCACAGTGAAAGAAATTATCGCCATGGAAAATGTAAATGAAGAGCTGTTATGGAGCCGTCAATCACCTTGTGTGTCATCTGAGGCTGCAGTTACAGGCAGTACAATACAAAACTGAAACCAGCAATCTTGTTGCTGTTGACATCATTTGCTTATTTTCATCACAAAGAAGCATCACTATTCTTTCTAACACATTTCAACCACAAGTTAAAAAAGGCCTCACAGGAGTTTCGAGGCATGTGCCTGTCTGTCAGAGATGAGTCAAAAGCAAATGAGAAATCATTTTGAAAGAAAATAAAAAGCTTTGATAACTAACAGTGAATCCTAGGTTGGCACATCTCCATGATAATTATCCTCTGACGTAAGGGTGGATTGTTCATCGGCTTTAGCAAATTATCAATGGGCAATATTCAGCAAATGACCATTAATCTATATTTTACAGATGGCCAATAGAATTAATTAATTAATTAGTGTGCTACTTAGTATTATAGAGGCGCCTTGTATCAGGAAAGGAAATCATATCAAAACATCCCAACTGATTATTAGTCAATCAAAGGTCAAGTGAAGCTGCTAACACATGATCCAAATGATAATAACAAGCCTTCTTTAAGAGTGTAAAGTTGAGACTAATCCAACAGACATCTTTATCTCAGTGTAAAATAACTATTGTGGTTGTTTGCTATTGAGGAGTAAAGTGCTGAGATGATGTGTTAAGGCCTGACACGATGTCTCTCTAACAGTGACCCTGCTGTTTAACTAATCATTTACCACCAGCAGAGGAAGCTCCAGCACACAGGCTTAGACTGCAGGAAGGACAAAGACAAACACAGAGAGTGTGAGTGACTGTAAAGTAGAAAAACACAAACTCAGAGGGACACAGGTCGTCTTTCCCACCACAGGGCGACACAGAACCCAGAAACATCCTATTGAAAAAGGCGTGTTTTCCTCTTATTGCAGAAAACTGGCCACCAGCAATGGAAACAGCTTGTTGCCTAGTTACACCCAGTGCCATCCAATCAACTAGAGGCGTTCACCTCTAAATGGGTTGCAGATCTAGAAGTTCATACACTGTAAAAAGCCCTTCGATGATACTGTTAGAAAGGAGATTTCTTCCAATAAATACACTTTCTTTTGGTTTCTATTTAAATTTGCCATCAACTAAATTTTGTAATTCAATCATATTTTTTCATCTTCTATCATAAATGGATTTTAATGAACTTCTCAATGAATTGATTTTACCTTACTCAGCTTCAGGGCAAATCAAAACCCACCCATATGCAGCAACACAGGACTCGTCTAGACATACTTGGCACTTGATTCTGACCAAAACCAAAACATTTGTCCTCAAGAGGAGGGGGAGATTACTCAACAACTTCTGTAAGTAACCATTATCATCACTTGAAGTTAGATCCAGTTGAATGTGACTGTATTCATAAAAGTGCTGTTGTTTAATGTCCCAAACATTTAACTTAACAAAGACAACTTTCAAAGACTAATGCTTTTTCAACTTGTATACAAAGTTCTTGTCAGTTTATTAGTCCAAAATGTCTGAAAAAAGCCCTGCATGGCATTACATTACTGTAAGAGTAATCACGGATGGTCTTAGGTAGGCTGTGAATTCTAAACCGGGCAGGGGTTTCCTTTCCATGTGGAGCCTGAAAGTCCTGGGTCCTTGGGTAAGAAATGAGCATTTGAATCACCATAATCTCTAAAAAAGCAGATGACCCTGGACAAGTATATCTTGCATAGTGTCACAGGGAGCATGGATGTCCCAACAATTTTCAGCCCTTTGGTTCAAATCCTAGCAATGGCTTGTATGAAGCAAGTATGGCCTGGAAATACCAATGACGAATGCCTTCAAATCAACACAGTGCAATGAAAAGGAGATAAACCTGAACAAATAAAAAGCACCAAAGCAGCACTTCAGTGTGGCGGGACAAAATAATGTCTTGTGGCAAGCATGGAGAAGTGTAAACTTGGCTTTGTTTTTGAATCACCACAGTGTGAAATAGAAAAGATAAAATTAAACAGTAGAGCCCTCTAAGGCGGGGCCAAATGCTGTCCTCAATCTGTTTGAGCTGTGCTGTTGAACTAACATAACCCAATTGTGATATAGAAAGACAGAAAGGTTACACCTGCTGCTTTGAATGAAATGGTCCTGTGTTCAAACCCAGTACAGAGACAGCTCAAAGTTTAGTCAGGATGAGGAAAAGTTGGAGGTAGGTGGATATAGATGGAGGAAGAAACAAAGAAAAGAAAAAAGAAAATAAGCTAAATTTAATTCTCCTTCCTTGTGAGAGTAGAGGGTTTGACTTCAGCAACAGTTTTTTTTACAGTGTATCATGTCTTAACTGACTTCTCTCTTCTATCAAGAGGGCTGAAATCTAACAGTTCGTATTTGGTGCCCAGATGTAGATCTGATTTATGTGCTCTTCTGCATTCCTTCAGTAACACTTTTTAGATTTTTTGAAGATCATTTCTCCCTCTTTTCCTTTGATGTTGGTTAACCTGAAGTAACCTCAGAGGAAGAGAGAGGGAAAGGACTCTTACCTAGTCTAAGCTTTACTTATCAAGAATCCCCTGTGGTCATTTCTTGTTTCTACAAACACTTTCTTGAACCGTTAATACGTCATCTCCCCCCTTTTCATCCCTGCATTTTGTGCTTTCCAACTTGATTTGATGATAGATACAGCCCCACACACTAGTTACAACCAACTATGGAATGTTTCTGGCAAACACAAACAAAAAAAACATACATGCATGAACACAATCCCATCATCTCCTGCGGCTACATGCAACCCTCATCAACGCAGGATGTTTTCTGGCATGCAAGGGTGGTAAAGGGTTGTGACTCAGTGTGCACACCCAGCAGTGAGGACACACAGATGTTAGGAGGGGGTCCCGAGCACACACGCCTTCCTCTGCGCACATGTTGCTGTAATGTATGTAAACCAACTCTGCCAGGAGGAGAAAATCCCTGTCAGCGCAAAAAAAAACTATCAATCAGTCCATCTTTTTTTCCAACCAACTCTTAGGTTAGAAACGTATCAACTGCACTCTGAGCTGTCCTGACACTCATCCAAGTGACTGACAACACGGCAACGCCTCAGTGCTCAGCCGCAGCATGCATCAGCACTGTTGGATCACACACACACACACACACACACACACACACACACACACACAAAGACAGTCCACGGTGAGAGCACATTCCTCCTTTTTAACTCTACTTTGAGCAGCTTCACCTCCAAAACAAATAAGACTTCTTGCTCAAACATGTACACACATTTAAACTTGCCTTATGAAGCAACAAATGGCACAGCTAATCATTCAAACTAGTCAGTGCTGGTTAAGACAAGCTTATATATTGCACAAGACTTGTTAAAAAACGAATCAACATTAGTAATATACCAGAAACCACCAGAAACCTGTGCTGACTTACACAAGTTTTCATTGTTTATTTATTTAAGATTTTTTTTTTTATCAATAATACTAATTATCTGATCCTTTTCCTAAATATTCCAGAGATTAACCGGTTAATTTTCTGGTCAATAAAATATCTGTTAATTAACAAAAAAAAAAACCTCTAAAAAGCAGCGCAAGATTTGTTAGAATTGCAGTCAAAACTTGAAGAAAACAATCATATCTTAAGATTTCAAAATCTGGAACTTGCTGGTGTATCAAACATTATTAAAAATTGTGTCTTTCACTTTAAACACTTGAGTAATTGTCACCTCCTAACAACTTAGTACACTTTATCTACACAACATTTTGTTCTTTTTGGGGTCAAACGACCTGAACTGTTTTCTCATATCCATTTATCACAATTTGACGCCAGGTATCTCTGAGGTGGCTTTGGTCTCGTGCTTATCACCATGTGTCTCCCAAGACTAGGGCACATGCTGTTACTGTGTGGAGTTGCACCAGTAGCCTGTAAATACCCATCCTTAAACAGAGGTACTGAACCTACTTGGGATAGGACAAAGATTTGGGGCTGCAATACTCTAACCACATAGCTTAATTCAGTGGTCTCAACTGGTCTCACTCTGGGACCCACATTACCCACCTGACCCATTTTTATAGAATTCAAACCAAGCAAATTAAATTTTTATAAAAAAAACTTTAAGGACTCTAATGTTTAACATAAATCCACTTGTTTCATTGCGTAAAGTGCATTTCAGAGCACATGAAGGGGACAACATGAGGACGACAATTACTGAAGTTGCACATACAGAAAATACTGAATATCTAACAAATATCGCATTAAAAATTTACTTTTTTGACCAGCTGTTCGTGATGCATCCAGAACGTGTCCGCAACCCACTTTTGGGTCAGGTCCCACCAGTTGAGAACCACTGGCTTAGTTGATGGAAAGTAATATGGTTTTAGTTATTATTTACTAATGCTATAGAAGATGTATTGAAGAGCAATACTTTTCCATAGGAAAAAAGAGATTTTAAAAGTCCAAGTAGGCTACTCACTAAAGTTAATCAATCACAGTAGACTAATGAGAATACATGTAAACAGTTACTTCAATCCCTGCGTGCTTAAAACATTTGCAGTTTGATATCTTTACTATAAAGGGGTCTAAATACGCCCTTCATCACTGACCTGATCACAACCAAAGATTTACAAGTTACTTGAAAAACAAACCTGTACATTTCTGACTGGTCAGTTAATATTCAGCCTATTCAAACCAGTGAACACTTGATGGCAGTTAGCCTTTATCGGGAGTGACAAAAGCCCCTGACTCAATGTCCATAAAAATGTCCTGAGTGATTAAATGGCGTGTTTTGGACCTGGGTGCCCGAGGCTCGGTTTCACCTCGAGGTACAGTGAGAGGGAAATGTAAGTAAATGTAAACGATATGGGCACGTGGGGGAGCATTTCCATAAAACTCTAAAATGAGTAACCTGGAGGCACAAACAGACAAAGATTAACAACCTGTAAGCCTACTTAGTAGGCTATGGTAAGTTTTACTAACAACCGGTGAATAATGATTAGTACTTTCTTCTTCGGTGTTAAAAGAAAAGGTTTGTTGAGATTTTTCAGTAATACTGTCAGGAAACTACCTGCGACACAGCTACCTGAGATTGAATGGTTAGGCTAGATAGGAGGTAGCACCTTAGTATCGGAGGTGGCTTAGTAAAGCTCTCAAAAGTAGGTTTAGTGAAGATATTTTATGTCGTGTAGCAGCAACTAAAATCCAAAATACACTTTAAGCTGTCTACATTGCTGTAACATTTAATTACATGGTTACAAAACTTATTTAAATGACATGTAAGAGGTTTTATTTCAGAGCCAACGCGAGGCACCGTGAGATAAACCGTCTCCAAACTCATCCTCCTAAGAGAACAGATGTGTGGTTCTTACATTTTCTTATTCACCGGCTGAGTCTGCCAGTGCATAGCGAGGGAGAAGCCGAACAAGCTGCCCGGTTCCCCGCTCTTCTTCAGGACGTTGTCGGTGTCCAGGTTGAAACCCGACAGCTGCCCACATCCCGCGAGGAAGACGAACAGCCAAAGTCCATAAGTTATCCCGCTGCCCTCCATGAAAGACCAAATTGAAAGACTAAAAAAGAGAAAAAAAAACTTCCTTGGACCGGTGAAAGGTGAGTCCTCACTCAGGGAGGTGCAAGAGTGCGAATAACCGATTGTAGGAGGGCTGAATGTTGCCCACTTAACTTGCACAGCCTGCCCCTCCCACTGGTGTCCCCTGGCACACACACACACACACACACACACACACACACACACACACACACACACACACACACCATCCTACCACCTTTTACTTAAACCACATACTGTATAAAGAAGACACTTCACTTTGATAACACTGTTGGTCTGTTTTCAATTGGTAGCAAAACACTGCAACTTCAGATCAATCATGCCATGGGCTCTGTAAAAACAGAGCCTAAGGCATATAGATAAAAAAAGATAAAATGGTCCAACAGGTTATACAGTTTTCAGCTTCCTTTAGTAGATCTTTATGTTTGACGCAGTAAAAAGACCTCACTTGAACTTACTTGGAGTTGTAGTAATATTTTCTCGTCAGTTGAACCGCTGACAAAAATGCAACCCAGCCATTGCATGCTCAAAGTAAGTGTTTTCCTCCTGGCAGTGAACGGGCAGAGGCTCATGCAAAACCCAATAGTTAATCAGTCTGTTTATTTATTGATTTTTTTTTCAGTACTTTTGTGTTTTCACTTTTGGGATGACAGGTCCGCAATGAGAGCAGAAAAAAGTAAATAGAGTAGGAAGTTGTATGCAGAAAAGGAGCAGCAGGCTTAACTTGAACCAAGTCATCTGCTTGAGACATGACCTCCATAACCTCTGTGTGGATTGCACACTTGACCACTGGGCCAGCAGTCCAATCAGTGTATTTTTTTGCCACATCTTTTTCCGTTAACGTAAAGTGATCTCTTCAAGCAAATGAAATACAAGTATTGGAAGATACAATGCAATAAGATATATTATGGCACAATCTGCAGCACTACAATATGATATTGAACAACACAATACTGTACGATACAATGATACAGTACAGACCATAGATAAGATGCAATATGATATAATACTGTACAAAACAATAAGATTTAATACAGTGAGATATTTACAGGCCGAACAGTTGGGAGTAACTTCAAGTTTTTGTTCACAATGCTTTTTTAAAAATCCAGTATAAGTTTTATGTATTTTGAGGTGTATTTACTCCATGATCAGATGTTGCTTTCATGGAAATGCACCATTTTACTTCATTTGCCTTTAGATATACATTGATGTTAACAGACCATTGCTAAATATATGTCAGCAAAAGATAATAAGGGCTAAGTTTTAGGGTTGAAAACATTTGCAAGAGTCACAACTTCAGTGCAAAAGCAAAAAAACAAAAACAAATCACAGTTGGATTATTCACTTAAACTTTTTGGCTTTTGAGAGTCTGCATACAAAAATCCTAATAAATCTCAACTGCGTTCAAACTACTGCAAAAATGGCTAGAAAGAAGCAACTAAGTAAAGAAACAAAAGTACAGATTTGTACATTGAGGGAAGAAGGATACACAGAAAGAGAAATTGCAAAACACCCAACGAAGGAGTCCACTACACTCTGGAGAGACTAGAGGAACCTGGAAGTTATGATGATAGAAAAAGACCATGACGAAAGAGAGTTACTACAAAAGCAGAGGATAAACATAGCATTGTCACCTGTAAGAGAGATCGGCGAAAGACAGCACCACAAATAAGGGAGGAAATCAACATGATAAGGTCGAAACCCATTTTTCTGACAACTGTGAAAAGACGTTTGAGAAAAGCTGGTCTGAAGGGTTGTGTATCTGCAAAAAACACTTTGTCCACAGAACAAGAAAAGGAGATATGAGTGGGCAAAAGCTCACAAAAATTGGATTTATGATGACTAGAAACAAGTTTGAACTGTTTGGTTTAACACACAGAGTCTATGTCCGCAGACAAACTGGTAAACGTCTGAAAGCACCATGTGTTACACCCACAATTCAGCATGGAGGTGGTAGTTTCATGGTATGGGGATGTTTTGCAGGTACTGGAGTAGGAGATTTGTTTGAAGTAAAGGGTATCATGAAGAAGGAACAGTACCACTCCATCCTCCAGCACCATGTTGCTCCATCTGGACTCAGACTTGTGGGTCACAAGTTTGTTTTGCAGCAAGACAATGACCCTAAGCATTCCGCCAAGCTCTGTCGGAGTTACCGAGACAAAAAAGAAGAGGAAGGTGTTCTTAAAAAGATGGTTTGGCCCCCTCAGTCTCCAGACCTTTCTCAATTGAGCTTGTGCGGATGAATTGGATCGATCGGTCAGAAAAACGCGTCCCACGAATCAGCAGTCTCTTTTTAATGAACTGAAGAAAGCTTGGAATGCAATCCCTGGAACATGCCTTAAAAAACTTGTGGAACAAATACCTGGTATATGCCAAGCTGTTGTTAAAGCCAGAGGAAGTTACTTTAAAGAAAGCAAAGTCTAAGCAACAATAACTCAAATACCTAATAATTATAGTCAAAATGTCTTCTGATAAGTTACTCTTTACACAATAGTCATGTTTATTGTGTTGCAAATTATATATATATATGAAAGTATGATCTTTTTTTGTACAAATCTGATCTTGCTTCCAAACTTTTGGCCTGTAGTGTATACATGTTATGACATGATTTGGTACCGCACTCTACTCTTCTATTCTATATGGCATTATGCAGTGTGGTATGTCTACAGTATAAGATCAGTTTGACAGGACACAGAAACTGTCTTGTCCCTGAGAGCATATTTTTTCTGTACTTGGATGGTGCACACATTAAACTCTCTCCATTAGAACAAGAAAACAATGAATAAATGCAAAATATCCTGAGACAGAAGTGAAAGATGAGAGCAGAGAAATGTTTATATCAATAATTTGTTTTTGAATTGACATGTTTACACTTGTTTGCAGCTTGTGTCTACAAAGCAAAAGCCGGAAATTTGTCTGAGATTATAATTACAAACCCCTTTGCATTCTCTCTGATTGTTACATGCTTTATCAGCACAGTGTCTGTGTCCTTTGAAATGACTCATGAAATGAGTCACAGTGCCAGAGGCCTCCAGCAGACACTAGACTGGGCACAACCCACCCGCACATTGACACACTCCCTCACTAGATGGTTTTCAAGGCATTCCATGAGACACTGACCCCAAACCCGGTCCTCGCAGCACAGCATTTCAGCAGACAACGCAGGCTTTGTCTGTCTGTGCAAGAGAAAGAGGGCAGACAGAGAGGGAGAGGATTAAAAAGAAGCTGCCTGCATACAGTAGAAAGGCACAAATAATGGAGGAAGAGGGAGCACCGAGGGAGAAAAGGGCAGGGGAAGAATGTGCTCACTAAAGGTTTTTATGATCTTCACCAAGGACAAGTTTCCTTTTTGTCTTTGACATCAGGTTTTAAAGAAAGTGGGAAAATTAGGTCCAGTAAATGCATCTGAACACCAGATTAGGAAAATTCAATCAGAGCTTTACAGTGTCCTTGATCACATGTCTTTTAGATGTATTGATAACTCCAATTTGAATCCCCCCGCAAAGGTTTTGTTTTTTAATTTGACTTTTTCTCGAACATGTGCATGCATCACAAGAAAGTAAACTGAAAACAAACAAACAAAACCAATGAGAATATCTAAAACAACAAAAACAATAATCAAAGCAAAAAAAAAATACTACTAATAAGAGTGTGAACCCAACATGTCCTACAAAGGGTAAGATGAAGCACTATGCTTATTTTAACCTACCCCTTCTCCACTACTAAATTGACAGTCAGTTTCTCCAACATATTTACGTTGTATTTACAAAAAAAAAATAAATAAATAGGGTAAATAAACAAGAACATAAATCATTTATGAAAACACCTGATGGCTAAAGCCCTTCTTCGTCCCTGTATCTAGAGAGAACCACGTGTTTGTACCGCTTTTTAAACTGGACCCCTAGATCATGTTCATTTATCTGCCTGAATCTACTTTTGTTTTGTATCAGTGTTGTTGTTTCTTCTGAACAGTTTGAGTTGATGTTTGTCCTAGTTCCAGGTAAGAACTGCAGCCAGCTGCACAACCAGCAGTGATTTATGGTTCTGTCTGCAGAAGGTCAGGAACAAGAATGAGTCTTATCACTAAGACCAAGCATACCATAGGGCCAAGGTGAGTTGGCCAAGTAATCTTACCAACCCAAGTTCATTAATTATTAGATATGTAGCTCCTCCTCTGTCTGCAAAATCCCTCGAGTGTTTGACTTTATGCCCTTTCTCATGTCTCTCATAAGACTGTTGTTTTGAAAATGTGTAATCCCAACACACATACACAAACACATTCAAGCCTGTCAGCACTATTATCCTTCCCTTGGGAACCCCTGGAAAAAGAAGTAAAACCCAAAGTAACAATTTTGTCACATATACATATCAAGTCAAAGGTTTTCCACCATGTTTACACAAAAAAAAATTATATACCAACCCATCAAATATTTTTTTGATTATTTCTGCCAAGAGTTACGAATTGAGTCATGAGTGTGTAGATTTATGATCAGTGTGTTCAGTTTTATGACAGCAGTGAAGCAAAAACCTTGCCCGGGGTGCAAAAGTAGTGGAATGACAGTGAAGGCAGTGTTCTCTGACACACACACGCACACACACACACATGCAAGCACAAGCACACGCTTACATTCAGTGCGTGAACTTACCCTAGCCACAGCCCCATATTTGTTCTTGAAGCTGCGGTAATAAGGGAAAACAAATGCACACTCACCTGAGGGTGTGGCGCAGTGAGCTGAAAGGTAGGGTGTGTGTTTTTATGACCCTGTAGAAACACATAGCCTTAGAACACTGATTCATGCACACACACACACACACAGGCGCACACACGTGCACAACAGCCTGTTACACAATGACATTGAACTCCAAACCCAAGATCTTTCACAACTTCAACACATGATTGCACTTTCTCTGAGATTTTCTTTTAAGTACCAGAAGCAGATCTGTTAAGATGGTAGAAGTAAAGCTGTCAGCTGAAAACCCCCAGCCCATTCAAGAAGAAGAAGAAAATCCAGGACAGACAGAAGATTAATGGAAGCTGATTCAGCCCTTCTCAAGTAACAGCAGGCCTGGTGGGTTTGAAGACATAGACAGTGCACCTTTCAAAGTAAAATGTTTGACACTTGTGTAGTGAACTTCTATAGATTTTCTCCCCTGCTAATATTTTGCAAATAAGTCACTCCACATTTTCATCTGTTACAGCTGTAGTTGGCTAGTGGGAGTTTGCTTGGATACTGGAAAAGGAAATAGCTAGCCTGGCTCTTATTGTGTTATAAAATTATCCACATCTAGACTTCTTGATCATGCACACAATGATTCAAGTAACACCTTTTTGCTCTTGTACCAGGAAAGTTATAAAAAAGATAAATGAGGAAGAAAATGACATGCAGCAAAGCATAGCGGCCATTAACTGTATATACAATGGACAATTTGGAGCTGCCTTCTGCCAGTATATAGATTTGAAGCTGAAAAGCTCTCGGTAAATCAGCTTTTTTTCTCCACTTCCTGAAACCAACATTTCGCAGTAGTGTTGTACGCACCTCACCACTTGCACAGTAGCATTCTACGCATTCGGCGGGAGAGTTCCTGTGATGACGCTCGGCTCAAACAGCGTATCCCCTGGATGAGCTATGCAATCCTTGCACGCCCATAGGCTGTATCAGGTGTCAATCATAGCAAACATGAACCCCCTAATAACTTTTAAAAATGGAATTGTAAAGAAAAAGAGGACTTGAGCACAAACCAGTTTAACAGTAACTACATGTCAACATCACAAGCAGTAGGGAGAAAAAATTATGTTCTGTTTAATACATTTCTAAAGTTTGTCCACAGCTCCATAAGGATTGCTGGAGGAGGCGGGATTTATGATCTATACTGCAGCCTGTCGCCAGAGTGTTCTGTTCTCGGGGTGGTGTCACCCAGCGAGGAGGCAGACCTGTCCATTCTATATACAGTCCATAGTAGTGGCTCAGAGTCAAACCAGCGACAGCCTCAACGAAGACTAAAGCTTCTATATATGAGGTGCATGCTTTACCCACAAGGTCAACTGGCACTTCAGTTTCAACTTTGTCTTTATCTTTCTGTCGGTAATCGTGATAACTAGCTAGAGGGTTTCTTAATACGTGAAAGCCTCAAACCCAAAAGGTCTAAAATTAGGTGTTTTCCCAAGAGGAGCCCTTCTTTATACTGCACTAACAATCCTCAGCCTGTTGGATGTTGAGAACGTGAACAATGAAAACATGTGGTTGTGTTGTTGAATCCATGTGTTCTGTGTGCTGCAATAACAAAGAGAAAACAAAGCAGCCATGTCGCGATCAAGTGACGGTGTAAGGACAAATGCCCTATTTACATTCCCCTATGAGAACTCTCCTATTGACACTATTGATCCCTGTCTTTCATGCAAACTCATACTCATGGATAAAGATGAAAGAGGTGTGCGTTAACACACACAGTGCAGCCGTAGAAGATCTTTTACCCTTGTTGATGAGTGTATTGATCACAGCAGTAACTGAAGTCTGCTCATGTCAAGAAAAGCTGAAACACCCTTGGGACAAGCGCAAACCGTCATCTTTGAGATTTACTTCAAGACTGAGCACTTTGTGTGTGTGTGCGTGCGTGCGTGTGTGTGTGTAGCCCTGGCCAGAAGGAGGATGTAATATGAGATGGCAGTAGTCATGTAGTCATGAGAGGAGCCCCTGTGGTGTGAAGTCCAGGTGTGCTTCAAAAAGCTAACCTGAGAAGGTTTCAAAGTGTAAAAAGTTCAGTTTTCATTGTGTCCACTTTTTCTTTGACAAGGTTTAGGACGGCATCTGTCTCTTTTTTTCAGTAAATAAAACATTATTCCTGCTGCTGTATTTAACTAATAATGTGTCAGAATCTAGTGAGGTCATTTTTACCCTCCTTTCGTTCACTCTGCTTTAAAATGTTAATCAGCTTAAGAGTCTGAAACCCTCTGGGCAGCTCTCACATGGATTCACAAAACAAATCATGCAAAACTGAATCAATTTTACAAGCTGGACCACATGCTGTCGCTTTTCTCTGACAACAGCACATGTGTATGTTCGATCACAGAGATGAAAACAGAGGCCCAGACTGGATGGTTAATATCACTCTGCCCACTCCTTGAGAAAAAATGATTAAGCCCAAACTGCCCCAGTAAAGTGGCTTTGTGGCAAACAATAAACTGTGAGGGTGTAACAACAGGAAAATAAAACAAGGAGTGTCTTATACTGTGTGACACTGAAAAGGAAGTTATACTAAAAAACCCAAAAAGTAGATTTCAGGTCAAAACAAACAAAAAAACACCTTCTCTCAATGTCCTTGAAATTAGCCAAAAATAGCAGTTCTATTAAAGATGCCAACAAAGATGGGGGGAAAGTATAAAAGTATTTGTTTTCTATTTCTAATGTGTTTGGCTAATCATTGTGCTTACTGGAAACCCAATAAACATTGTAACTGCTGACATTTAGTTTTTGTACACAGACGTGTCAAAGCAGGATATCGATGCCTTAGTCACACCTGCTTTTAAGAGGGCTTCAGAATGAGGCATTACATTACCTTAAACTATGTTTTTAATGGACTCGTGTTTAAAAGAAAAATGATCATTTTTGAGTTGAGAGAAATAGTTGTTATCGTGAAGGAACCTCCTCAGGTAGACAATAAAAGCATCGTTTGGGTCTGTGCTCTATTCTGTGTGATAGAAACTTAAGAAAAATCTGTAAATGTACATAGAAAATAGACATAAATAACTTATGTGAACAATTTACCTGATCTGGAACCGGAACTTTGAATCATTACATCTGCCCTTGAACAAATACCGTAATAAGAGGTATTAAGTGCACTTGCTGTTTTTTATTTATTTATCTATTTATTTTTGTCTGTTTGTTTGTTTTTCCTCTTGTCTTTGCCTGTCTATTGTTTATGACTAGTTTGTCACATGGATTTTGGGTTTTATCTGTCTCTGTCTATTGTTGGAAGAAAATAGACATAATATTTGAGTGTAATCAGGAGAGACAGGTCAACAAATTAAAGATAAACATTTATGCACAGAGATGATGGGATATTGAGTTATTGTCTGTCTTTTAAGCGCTCAAACTGTGGAGGGAATTAGAGTGATTGAAGAGCATCTGCTTTGGGTTAAAGCCCAATAATTTGCTCCTCTCTTGTTTTCAAGACAACAGAGGTATTGTCTGTAAATGTCACTCATGTAGTCAGTTTTATTAGCATCGCGAGGGTTTTTTTTGTATAATATCAGTCTTTATTTTATTGGCTAGTTTTCATTAGTCGAACAAAATACGGTGTGAATTAAAGAGTTGAGAAATAAATCACTTTACTGCTTTGACACTGATCTAATTTTAATCAAATGCCTCCACACTCTCATCTCTCACTCTCATTCTCACAACCACTCATCCACACAGACACAGCTAATGGTTATTGCTCATAGCTGTATGACCAGTTTTTCTCTGGTTCTCTGGGTTTTGTGGAGGACAGGGAGCTCCATGCAGTTTGTGTTTATGTGTGTGAGTGTGTCTCAGAAGACAGCCGCAGCAGAAGACAGGTAGCATTTATCAGATGTCTTTTCAAGCTGCCTCAGGCAATGCATTCCATTTACTCATACATGAAATCCCTGCTATTGTTTGTCTGTCATCCCCGGCTATGTAGACACAGGGATGGTGTCAGAAGAACAAAGAGACACAAAAGCTAAAGCGATCCACCCAGAATTCAAAGCCACACCTGTATTCTTAATCAGTTAGTGTTTTTATTTCTGTCAAAGAGCAAAAGATCAGTGCTAATATGTTTCCACTGTTAAAAGCAAAAAGCCGCCTTTGCTATTCAAGGCTCAAAAGGTCAAAAGAGAAAGTTTTCCACCTTTAAAGTGACACTCAAGAGGGGATCCTCCCTGTGCTGGTCTGCTGATTCCAGTTTACAACTATCTCACACACTCACACACACACACATTCCTCTGGCTTCATTTGACTCCAAAACATTGACTCGCATAAATGAAATCAGGGTTTGAGACACTTAAAAGATAAACTCCAGTAAAGAGTGTAATAAGTTATTTTGAGTACAAAATCCTCCATTTGAAAGAATGAATCAAGTTTATTAGAAAACAAACTGGCACCATGAACTGTATAAAAACACACTCACTGCATGACACAGGCAACTTCCTGTCAATTTTTAGGTTGACCTGATGTGGCAACAGTTGTTCAAACTGAAATCTGCTAACATTTATGATTTAAATGGTGACTAAGACAAAAATCATATCTCATTAACATCAGAGCATTTGCATTTTCATTATTGGCATGTTTGTATGCTTAAATCAGAGTTATGTTTAATGTCAGCTGTTGAGCATCCCACCCCACATTTTGACAAATCTCAGGAAAACTGCCTTTTCACACAATGTACTTCAAAAAGAGTAACATTTAGACATATCACAAAATCAATTCAAAAGATGACATTGCTAACATTAGCATTTAGCTCATTGAACTGCTGCATCAAGGTACAGCGCTACGAAGTGGACAGTTTTTTTTGTCTTTTTGCAGAGTAACAAGAAAAAAAATGAAAACGACAAAGTCTGAATGATATTAGATATTTTCTAAATCAATGAAGGCAGTGAAAGCCACATAGGTAATGTAAGGACTCGAACAGACTGCTCAAAACACCTGCTTTTGAGATCACGGGAGGAGGGTGTGACTATGAATTTACACTCTTTAAGGTGTTTTCAGGCCATGATTCCTTGATTAAACGAAAAGTGGTATGTTTCCTCATTTCACCTTTTCTCAAAATGAAGAAACCCCGTCATTGGAAAGATATCAGTGACCTCTTGTCTTGACATGTCTTTGCCCAGAGCACTGTTAGTTCAAAGTGATAAACTCAGCTGTTTCTGTATAACCTCCAGGTGGTTTGACTAAGACACTACAAACAGGGTTATTCAAGTTCAGTACATGCCATCTGTGTGTGTATGTGTGTGTGTCAGAGAAATCTGCCTTCACAGGTCTGAAAATGATTCGTCACTTTGTTCATGCCACAATTTCTCAGGTCACCCAGGAAACCAAGAATTCCTGTGGAGATCCCAGGTAAGTGTGATAAGTCACAGTCTCCGTTTCACAGACATATAGATGCAGGTATGCACACCTGGAATGTAAGGACATGGGAGAAACATAACACATCAGTCTTCTTATAGTTACAGGATAGTTCGACACTCAAGGCAGTGAGTCTGGGAAATTACAAAATACATATATATAAAATGAACGCCCAGAGGTGCGGAAATATCTGTGTTAATGATATCAAGCAACAACCCCTTCAAACATGTGGTGTTTCATGGACTTCTGAATGAGTGTTCAGGATAATAAAACAGGAACAGGAACAAACACAACCATATAGGCGACATGTATTTTCAAGAAAATGACCCTAAGAAGGAGGTGAAGATCAAATTAAATAGACATCTGATTTGAGATCCAACATGGATACAGGGGCTGTGGCGCCTGCCCAGTCCAGTGAGCTACAATATTTTAATTTTGACATTTTTCTTTTATTTTTTCAACTAGTCCTCTGAAAGTAAGTCACTTTTTCTAGTGTGTCATTATTATCCATATAGATTATAGTAATAAGTGGCAAAAATGTGATAATTTATGCTTCTGAAAGTAAAGTATTTTCTGTCAAATCTTTGAAATGTCAATGTTTGAAGCTGGAAAAGAGCCTGATTAATTATTAATTATTATTAACCCTTAACAGATGGATATGGATTTTTGTCATAATCGTCTCAGTTAATAAAAGTTATTTTAATGTTTGAATTCCAGAGAGGTTGTAAAACACAAACAGAGGTGGATTCACAGAAGAAGAACTGCAGTGTGAGAGAAGAAGCAGGAATGAGTCTCAACATGCAGGAGAAGAATGAGAGACAGGAGGGAAAAATTCATGACCACAATCCAAAACACCTCACCCTGCCACTCCCTGCTCCTCCCTGAATCCTCCCCTCTGCGCCCCTCTTTGCTCTTTGCCTTCACTTTCGCTGCTCCCAGACCTCGCTGTTCTTATGAGATTCTTCTGAAAATTTTGATTTCAATGAATCAAACGCTGACGTGAGGCCAGGAAGAATTATTTGTATAACTCCTGTCCCTCTTAGCAGAAGGCTTACACTCCACGACCTCACACACACACACATAAGCAATAAATCAGCTGAGGAGCACAGTTCAGAAAGTGAGTGCACATCAGTTCCAGATTCCAGGTTTTGTAAATCTTTTTTTTTTTTTTAATCTCCTGGGGCTTTAATAAAAGCCGAATAAACGTTCATGTCATTCTTATCATCAGATATCTCGCATTAAACACAATTATGATCTGTGAATCACTTCCTGGCTGGACATGACCAGACTCTGGATTAGGCAACCCACCTTTATTTGCTTAATCCTTCCTCCACCCACAAGCTGGCGATGGCATGACTGCAGTAACTCACAGACATACACTCAAGGGTACATGGCAGGAAGTAAAAAACACACCCTGTGGGCTTGAATCCAGATCTCCTCCTATGTGGGTTTTTTTTTCTCTCTCTTTCTGCTGCATCCTTATGTCACAATAGCCTTTTCACTTGCATCTGCAACCAAATGTATCATCATGAAAAACCTCAAATTACACACACACACTCTACTGGAAGACTTGTCAAAAAGCTTGCATGTGAAGATTTTAATCACCCGCAGGTTGTTTACTGTAATCCAGCTTCCAATTCAATAAATAAATCAATCATTTATGACCCTGATCACAGCGAGAAACTCAAGGTCTAGAAGAGGTGTGTTCCTGTTAGAATTACAAATGTGGAGATAAAGAAAGAAAGAACCTGGTATTTAATCTTTTTTGTCAAAATTCATCTGCAGACAAAAACAGTACAGAGGTAGAGAAGGACTGAGAGCTGGACACAGTGTTGCTATGCCTGGAATTTACAGGCCCCCGAGCAGCAATTTTGTCCTCTAGTTTGTACACACAGTTGTTCTTAAATGCAAACAATCCATCAACCACAGTTAATCTTAAGATTAGTTAAAGTATAGGTAACTGCTAGTGGAAAAAATAAGTAACATCAAAGTTTTGGGGATAATTTTCCGTGATCATCTCTCCTTAGATCATCAAATAGACCTGATTTTAATGAGAAGATGGACTTAAATGTATTGTGAGTCTGCTGTTTTTCACCCTGTTGTTTTTGGGCATAAAACAATTGTTGGATGAGTTGTGGGTGCCTGAAGGGCGTCAACATGAAAGCTATGCCGATTACAAAATCCTCCAGTTACCATTTAGATGTGTGCTGCCATCTACTGGCTGTACATAAGCATGCAGACTGACTGAGACAGTTCAGAGGGTTACTAATGACTTCAAATAACTTGAGAGCAGTTTTTACATTTCATTATATTAAGGGATGATTAAAATGCTTTAACCATAAATATATAAAAACTACTTTGTCAAACAACAAACACATTTAATATTTTATGGTTATTGAGCCATTTTATGTCTAATATCAATTGTTTGATTGTGTTGCAGAGGACAGTATGGAAAGAATAAATCCATAACAACCTCAAATAAACAGTTAAAATCTAGTGAAAAAAGAAAATATATCTGAGTAGTTGAACTCAGAACTGAAAGAGTTTTGTGATTTTATTTAATTGTAATTGCCTTGTCCCCTTCTTGTTTCAGTTGCTGTCATGAACCTCATTATACTGTCCAGCCAACACAGAACTGCACAAATCTGTAAACTGGCTGCTGATGGGCGGCCAAAAAAAAGACAGAAGACTGCACTGATATCCTGACATCAACATTTATAAACCTAAAATGTATGAGCAGCAACTTTTCACTGTACAGAACCTAGTCAGAGACTGAAAATAACAGCTTAGTCTGACTGAATATACAGGTTTTTTATGGGTACCACACCCATTTATATTGAAAAATAACATAAGAAATTTAATTTAATGTTTTTTAAATACTTTACAGGAGGAAACCTAAGAAAAACACGTTTTCACTTGTGAAGTTAATACACAGACATGTGCCGTATGGAGAAACTATTTGAGCTCCTTTCGCCCTGTTTTCTTCCCATGAAGGTCAGGTGGTTTGTAAACAGATTTCTAAAGGTTCATGAAGAGGTCAGCAGGTAGATTTCTTCACAGGTCATGGATCGCTCTCATCCGGCAGTTTAGTGAGAATCTCCACTCCATCAGATGTGATGACCACTGTGTGTTCAAACTGAGCCGACCTGCATGACGTCAAGCAGCACAATGTAAACATAAAATTCTTTAAATAATAGTTTTACTTCTGTCTTAAGTTTTGAAACCTGAACTTGAAGATAATCAGTTTAAAAAAAGGAGGATAAAAAAGGAAACCTGAAAGCATGGTTCTTTCCATAGAATTAATTGTTTGATTGATACAGTAAGTCAAGCAGCCTTTTAGTATTTGACTCATCAACGATAGGCTCAGGTTGTACAAACTCACACACACAAGCAGAGATGGAAAACAAAAAGTTGTGTTCTTTAAGGGGATATTCTGGTGTAAAATTGAGTTAGGGTCAAACACACCGTAACACTGAGTTAGACACCCCGACGAGAGATGAATGTTGCCAACTGCTTGCTTCTCCAGTTATACCAACTTTAGTAACGACCACAAGATATCAATACACAGCAGTCCCAGGAGCCATGTGCTAAACCAAAAAGGCACTCTATAGCCACAAATAATGCTCAGAACAGCACCTATCTCCGGTCGTTACTAAAGTTGGTATAACTAGAGAAGCAAGGTGTGTTTGACTCTAACTTAATTTTACGCCGGAATATCCCTTTAAGCTTCAATTTTCTTTTTTTTTTCCTGCTCTGAAATCATTTATTCTGGCCATTATCTTTTGCAAACATATTTGCTGCAATCACTGCTGTGAAATACATTTCTGGTTTTCCATCACATACCTTTTATCATCTGCGGACACAGCCGTCCACTTGTCCTTCAAGATTTTAAACTCTGCAGACCCCTCCATCACTATGGGCTCTGCAAGTTAACAGACACGATAAGCCCCAGACAAAGTGATAATTTGATGTGCCCTCGAGTATTGGAAAGGTAACGTACCTATTGTGAAAGACATCCCTTCATCCATGGTCATGTCATTGTCATTAGCTGAAAACAGAGAAACAAGCATTTCTCTAAATTGATGTATAAGAATATTTGGAAACCTGCACTTCACATGATATCCACATAGTCTCTACTTCATTCCAAGGATGAGGACAGTATTTTTTTCTTGCAAGTGTATAGTTTCTGTGCACACAACAACAGAAGCTCTGGTGGTTGATAAAAGAAAGGACAGTGGGTCAAATCTTACCATGGTGCCAGATCTCAGGATGGCAGTGAAAGTAGGAGCCAATTCCATGCCCAATAAAGTAAGGACATACCGTAAAACCACTGGCATGGGCGATTTCACTGTAAGTAATACAACTCATGTTAGCCTCCAAATTCAAAAAACTATATTTGTGTGTATTTTCTTGTGAGTGTAAAGTTCTTCGCACACTGAGTCTGAGTTTTTGTGATTCCTTTTTTTTTCACAGAGTCCATTGAGTTTTTCTTTTTTACTGTGATATTAGTAGTACTCAAAATTGAGTTTCAACTACTGATAAAGGAATTGCAGAATTATCCTCAGATCACAGTCGTCCATATTTTCTCACTCAGAAACCATTCACAGCTCAGTGGCACATTAAAAAAACAGATAAACAAACCAGTTCTCACAACAGTGATGACCAGTGAAACTTCTGAAGTCAACATGAGATTATTTATTTTTCTCTCTTTTTTTTAACCTGCAGCAATTTGGAATTAAAAAACTCAGTGTGCAAAGACTTCCAATATATCTACCTGATAGTGTTTCCTATAACACACAGCTGTGCACCGGGCTGACAGGCAGCAATCGCCTCATCTCTACAGCGCCTGGCAGTTTCAACCAGTTTCTGCCCAACCTCATCCACTTGGCCAACTAAGAAGGTTTCTGAAGTGTCACCATGGTAACCATCTAAATACACCTGTATAGACATGAACAGACAGAAACTTGGGATAGGAGCCATGCTGTTTTGACGTATTTCATTCTTAACAACCCTTTGAGTTATTGTTTGTGTGTTCTGGCATAAACTCACAGTGACATCTATGTTGATTATATCTCCATCTTGAAGTTGTCGGCTGGAGGACAGTAAAAAAAAAGAGAAGAAAACAGCTCATGAGAATCCCTTACACTTATCTCATATACATGCTAACACCACAAACTACAACTGCAAAACTACAGGCATTTTCAGTGTCACAGGACTGGCTGATTGAGAAAAAAAGCCCTGATATGTTTATTTATTTATTTAAAAAAAAAAAAAAATTAAATTAAAAAATAAATAAATTAAAATAAAAAATAACAAACCACCAAGCGAAAATATTTACAAATGTGCTGAGGGTAACAAGAAAAAAAAAAAAGAGAAACTCAGATTTTCTGTAAAAGCACTCTACATTAGAGCGGGGGAGCCAGCTGGATCATAAAAAATCTGTACTTAGGTTTTGTTTATCTTGCTGCATTAGTAAATCATCTTTACATCTATGAAACCATCAATGCTCAGTGTCTATATGTTTATCTCTTTAGCTGGTAGTCTCATAATAAGCAGTATAATGTAGAGTGAGGGGTTTCTTTGGGGTCCTGCCTCACCCTGTCAGGGTTCTAGTTTGCATAATCACCCGCTCACTATACACTATCCTTAACACACATCATTGGTGCAATGATTCAAATATTAGAGTCAACTGTCAGCCCATTTACCTGTCAGGTATGCCATGACAGACCACGTTGTTCACAGACGTGCAGACTGACTTTGGGAAGCCTCCGTATCTGAGCGGGGAGGGGTAAGCGTTGTGCTTGATTGTCTCCTGGTGCACGATGAAGTCTATTTCGTCTGTTGTCATACCAATCTAAGAATAATTGGTCATTAGAAGACATTGTTTTTACAATGGAAGCAAAAAAATATATATATTTCTAACAGCGACAGCTTACCTTCAGACTGCTTCCAGCTAGTAGCAACACATGTCTGGCTAGCTGACATGCCCTGGCAAGGCCTTCAATCTGCTCTTGACCTTTGATTTCTATGTAGTCTGGCCATTCTGGGACTAAACCAGAGCCTACATAGTCGGGCCGCACAATGTGCTACAATGAGAGCACAGAGATGAGACATGCTTTGAAGGGCAGGTTGTAATATTGTCACAATGTTGCATATAAGATGTGAAGTTATTTTGAAACAGTAGAAGTTCTTCAATGTAACAATGGCAGATAATCAAAAGTATCTCATGACTATGAATAATTATTTTTAATCTCATTTCAATTTGTGACAGTCATTTTTACCTGACTGGATATGACCTAGAATTCAGACCTCAGGTGGCTTTAAGAAAATATCTCAGATTTAAATTCCAAAACTTTCTGTCAATGAGAAGAATCAAAAGATGATAATATTCAGGTTGAAATAGTCAGAGGATAACTTAAGTGTTAATGGGCTCAGTGTCTGTGACACCTTTTTTTTGCTTCAAAGCCCCTGTGAGAAATGTTTAATTTATGTCCACTTTGGAGCCCCCTGTGGACAAAGCAGTCTTTTTTTATGATGTCCTCTGATTGCTCTAGTGGCGTCTTTTGACAAAAAACTCATCCTGCTGACTTTTGACAGTCAGGTGTATCATTTATTGTGAATATCTTTGGTGGAAATTGTAAAATCAGGGCATTTTCCTCAGCTATTCATCCGGCAGCTTCCCTCTTGCTCCAATTTTAGGCATTAAAACTTAAAGCATATAAATTGACTGTCTTGTCCCTAACAGTTTTGTTTTCCTTTAGATATCATGAAAAGACATCAGAGTGAATTTGAGTCTTCTTCAGAAACATTATAAAACACCTTTAGGGTCATGATATGTGAGTTACTTTGATCACATTTCTGCACAATAACTAACACAAATACTATTACTATTATTATGTCAAATTTAGGTCAATATCAGAAACCCCTCTATGCTGTGCACAGTCTTCCTCAAAGTGCTGTACCTTGGGTACTGCATATGCAGGCCGAACAGTGGCAGGCCGAACTACATTGTGAGAGCTTTTCCACTTTCTCCAGAAGAAGCGACGATGTTGCTGACACAGTAGTGCTGTGGGGGAACCAACGTTTGTCGCACAACAAACTCTCTGCAGTAAGGCACCCAGTCCTTCATTAAAGAAAGGGGAAAAAAACACAATTTTAAAAGGGAGCATTGTTTATTTTGTTGTTCTTTGCTTAACCTTTCTACCGTGTTAGCTTTCACTACGCACCTACTATGTTAAGGGCTGGTTTTGACCCCTGTCATAAATCAGCTGTAAATTACACTCAAAACAATTCCCTATCATCCAATGTGGTTCTCATCTCAAGGTTACCTTGTTGGGCTTAGTTATCCTTGAAAATATTGCTTATAATATCTTTTGTTGGGGCCCCTGGGCCTTTCTTTGTCAGTATACCCCTCATACAGACATATATACCAAATTGATCTCATATGTCTGGACATGCCTGACATTGTTTTTTGTGCAGGGGAAAACCTGGCGAAATGAGAATTTCCTAAATCTCCCATGATTGGAAGAGGATCTGACTGTCAGTGTGGTGCCTAACAGTGCACTTATGATTTCAATTTTTGCTCTGATTATTAGATATTGATCTGACCGGGTCAACAGCAACCCTAACATGACAAGTGCCATAATTTTAACAAGAGCATTTTATAGTTTAGTCAATTGATTTTTTTCTATTTTGTTGAAATAGAGGTTCCTGACAAAGTCAAAAAGTCTTGATGCAAAAAAGCTAATTTAAGTGGTTCTTTTAAGCATTTACAATCAAAAACGGATCGGTGCAGACCCTAACACAGGAGGAGGGTTGATAAATACACTGCAGATGGTAAGTTCTAATGCAAAATTGTGTTTTCACATGGTGATGATGAACTTGTGGTTAGCTATTAAAAGGTATTTCTTATCTCATACTTTGCCATATATTTATGTACTGTGAATAAAATATGAGAACACTCTCAATACGCCTTGGTCCAGCACAACAGTGTAACTCCCAAAAGTCGGCATACGATTAAAGCAGTACGTTTCCAGATATGTCTCCTTGATCACTCTCTCATTTCAAAGCTGCTGGATTCTCCTTCACCTGTCCAGACATGTGTATATGAAAACTTGGTCACTAATCCTAACCTTATCTTTGTAAATCCATGTCCTCATTTCGAAATAGGTGTTAAAGTGGTTTAACTATCACAAGCCGTTGAAATCTCACTCAAAGAAGCAAGCAGTAACTAAAAACTGGACCTCTCCTCTGGTCGACTATCTCACAGATGCTTCTTAACTGGTTATAGCTTACCTAGCACGCTAGCACTAGTTCGGAGCAAATACCGCCCCTTTTCGAAAACATGTAAACTACTGTCAAATTAACTGTATTTATCATACTAATACCGGCAAGTCGTAACTTTATACTTGAAAACAATGGTGGTCTGTAAGGAAGCTAAAGCAGGCAGTCTGAGAAGAGGAGTGCTGTACTTTCATACCTGATCTCCCTACAAGTCCTGCACAACAGTGAGCCGCCATGGATTTTTATTGTTGGTCACGTGGTACAAAGGTCACGTGGTACACAGTGAAACAGACGGTTCAAACCATAGACTAGTTGTTAACCGTCTTGCTGTTTATTTCCACCTCTAAAACGTCAGCTTTAAAAAAGATCAGCCAACATCTCCTGTTTTGTAATATCATTTTACTAATATATTACATATCCGCCAAAATAATCTGATGTCACAGTAAAGGTTAACTGGGATTTCCATTAAATGTCCATCGGATTTACCTGCTTCATAATGTAGTTAAGTTACTGAAAGGCCATTAGACTAAGACATATTTTCTGAACGGTTCACCAAACTACAAAAAGCTACAATGCAACACAGGAACCTGTAATTTTACCAGTATTTTTACCATTTCCCTGCAAATAGACCTTTAAAATAGCAGAAATTATTTAAACAAATATACATTGATATAAAGGAAATAAGTGTTGACCAAGACAGAATTTCTTTTTCTTTTTTTAATTTTATTTACATTATTTTTGGGGGTTTTCCATTTTCATACAAAAATATGTGTCAATAATAATTTGAAAAAAAAAATAGATAAAACTTAAAATTAAGAAGACACCAACCAAACAAAACAAATCAATACAAAAACAAAAAAACAAACAAAACAAAAAGAAAAAAAAAGAGGAGGGGCAGGCAGCACATGATCATTTTCGATTACTGATACACACACTGTTACACAGTCATACAGATACTACATACACAAGCATATATCTGACTAAAAATGAGTAAACTTGGACACGTTATTAAACAAATTAGAACAGCGCAACTGAGGCTTTCCAGTCCAAGGAATTATCTCCATTATATGAATAATGGCTGCTAGATCTCTGGGCAGGTAATCTGTCAGTGGCCGCCACAAATCTATGAATTTGTCTTCATGCTCTTTCAATTTAGTGCTAGGTCTTTCCATTGGAAGAACTCTATAGCTTTCTTTATACCACTGGGTTACTGATGGTGGTCTTTCATGAATCCAGTTAAATAGAATGCAGTTTGTTAAGGAGTTTAGATCTTCTGGAGTCTAAAACCCCAGACTTAGATGGTAGCCCCAAAAGAAAATTCCCAGGATCTTTACATATAGTAAACTTCATAACTGAACTCAATTCTCTTGCCACACAAGACCAAAACCTTGAAATCTTTGGACATTCCCAGAGACAATGTATATCGGTAACAATTTTTTTATTTTATTTTTTTTTGCATTTAATACAAACTGTGGACCTGCTTGGATCAACTTTGTTTAGGAATTCGGGAGTTCTATGATGTCAATGAAGAAGATTGTATTGCGTCTCTTTAAACCTATTACCTAGGAAGATGGTGTGAGTAGATTCAATACAACCCATACAGCTGTCCTCATCATATTCAATCCTAAAGTCCTTTTCCCATTTCCCCACCAGATTGTCCAAATTATGTTTGTTCTGACCCAAGAATGTGTTATAAAGTATATAATCAAACCTTTTTTCTGTGTGTAGTACATAATAGATTTTTCCAAATAATTTCTTTATTTTGTTAGGGAAGAGTTTTTTAATTGTTGGATTTAAGTCTTGGTTGTTGTCTTTCTGGGGATTTGAGGCTTATATGAAGTAGAAACATTGACATGTAAATATCTGATTACATACGTAGTTGTTACATATTGTGTCTTGATTTTTCAACATCTAGAATGCTATGTTTTGTACCAGATACAAATGTTCAAGACCCCAAGGTATACCCCACTCTGTATTTTCAAAATCAGGGCACATGCTTATCCAAATTCTGAAACTGGAATAGGGTTTTAACATGTGCAATGCAGAGCATTCCTTTAAAAAAAAAAGTCAGCTACTCTGCATGCAAAAATGTTCAGTGCTAGGCATGCCCCTTTTTGTACTGACTGCAGGCTGCAAATAAGGCACTATTTTGTACAAAAGAATTCTTGTTTGCACAATTGGCAAAGCAAAAAACGATGAACTGAAATTACTATTTAATCAGTTTGATAAAAATAACAAAAACTGATTAATGCATGTTGCTAATAAATGTAATTAAAATGTTCCTGTATATATATGTGTGTGCCTGATTTTGTGTGCCCCCACAGCCATTTTAAAAGTAACTGTTAAAACACAGCAAAAAAAAGAGGTCCTGTCTACATCAAATAGCCTATCAGAGTTTGCTTGCTTGAAACTAGCCAACCAGAGGGGCTCTGATCCAACTTGCATTTGTCCCAAGAATGGTGTGAGCACCTCTCTCGCTCTCTTCGTACAGCAGAGGGTGCTAATGTGTCACACAAATGCAGGTGCAGCTCAAACAAGAGTTTTGTCAAAAGTGTAATCGATTTCAATAATTCAATTCAAAAAGTGTGATTCATTGATCATATAGATTCATTAAATACAGACTGGTATGTTTCAAGTGTGTTTTTTGTTTGTATGTTTTTTTTATTTTGTTGGTTAAGTAGTTATAAGGATCTATTAACATCTTTTTAGACACCCTATAGCAGACGTATGTCTCTCAGATGGAGCAGTTGGTTGTATAACTACAGTGCAGGCCAGCTGGCACATATACAGATAGAGCTCAAAGGGACTTGAGCTCCTGCCTCTTAGCTGTTGGACTCTATGGTGACTGTATTGCTGAGGCCATTAAGTTTGTTTTTGACAGAAAATAGTCAAACACGGTGCTATTGTTATTATGCTTCTGTGGTTCATTCACATTTACCTTGAGTTCCTAGCCCCTGATTGGTTAGTGCTGTGACGTGTGATCATGGTTGTTAAGGAAGTGAAGGAGTTGAGGAAGTTGTGTTGTTATACTACTTCATCAACACATTATTATCCTACTCAGCTGAAGAGAAAATACTTTCTACAAGAATTCATGGATGAAGAAGCAAAGAAATTAAGCAAAAGGTTTTTTGTCATTTCCAATTCTACCTAAAGCCAAAACAGCTATGTTTGAAATTCTAAAATGACATTTAACCATCTAATCACTTCCTTCATATACAGTTAAACTGTATTCACAAACTTGTCCACAAGTCAAAAAGAGACAAACCACACAGGTCAGTTGTGAGAGGCTGCATTTTTGCCACAAACTTTATTGTAAGTTGTATGGTTAGCCGACTACAATGCATGACACAAACAAGCACTTTTCTTAAAAATTTCAAAAATCAGACGAAGACAAAAATCTTGATTTTCCTTAATTTATACATAAAAAGCAAGACACCACAATTAAAATTAATTTAATGTAGACATGCTGAACTGATGAAATACTTTATCTTGGTGTAATTGATCATTTTTAGGCTTATCTTGCTTTACAGCATTTATTAAGGTTTAATTTCCATGTATTATTTTTATGTCAACATTTGGAAGGGTTTTTGTACATGAAATATGTCCACAATTATTAGCAAAAACTGCAAACAAAAAAAAAAACCAAAAAAAAAAAGGCAACACTTCATTTAATGTTAACACCCCACATTTTGCAGTGCACTCATGTATTATGATGACCCCCACTGGGATGATTGGCTGAGCTTTGGGGTGAACTCTGTTTTGTTTAAGTACTTAAAATGAGTTTCACTTTGCATGTTGTCCTTCATATCTACTGTGTATTCAAAAGGCCTCTTTCCTACATCAAACATTTTAATGTTTCAAATAAGTCTAAAACCACCCTACAGATCGAATAACGTACTCAACAGAACACACACTGTAGACATTTTTATCAGTAATGTCATTTTAGGAAAAGTAAAAGCCTCACTTTGCTTATTCAAAAAGCAGAAGACATTAGACAGCAGGCAGTATTAATCAAAGGACCTACTGTACATCACCTTCAGGTGTGTAGATACTATGGTTTAATGCTGATCAAGTACAGGCTATAGGATTGACTTATCTGTAATTATAGGATGGCTTCATTCTGCGCCATTCTTGAAGTCATGTGTCAGTACCTCAGAACCCCAGAGAGTCTTTTTTGACGTTGCAGCCCAAGAGTGCGTTTCCAGCATCCACACACTCATTTAGACCTGATGCTGAAAATAAAACAAACAAAAAAATCAATCAGAGGTTTGAATGTGATCAAAAAGATTATTTTAAACTGTGCACACACTCAACATTTTATCTACAATGTGTCCGAAAAGTATTCACAGAGCTAGACTTCTTTTTCTTTTTCTTTCTTTTTTTTTTTTTTTACATTTTCTTGTGTTACTGTTTTATTTAGAATTATTTTCATGTGTCACAAAGACTGAACTCTGTGGCCTGAATTTCCAAGTGTCATGTTTGGAGGAAATCACGCACCACTCATCACCTTTCCAATACCATCCCTACAGTGAAGCATGGTGGTGGCAGCATCATGCTGTGGTGATGTTTTTTAGTAGCAGGAACTGGAAGACCAGTCAGGGTCAAGGGAAAGATGAATGCAGCAATGTACAGAGACATCCTTAATGATAACATGCTCCAGAGTACTCTGGACCTTGGATTGGGGCGAATAGTCATCTTTCAACAGGACAAACACCCTACGCACACAGCTGAGATAACAAAGTAGTGGCTTCAGGACAACTCTGTGAAAGTCCTTGAGTGGCCAACCAGAGCCCAGACTTGAACCCAATTGAACATCTCTGGAGAGATCTGAAAATGGCTGTACACTAATGCTCTCCATCCAACTTGGTATAGCTTGAGAGGTTCTGCCAAAAACGGATGGGAGAACCTGCCCAAAAATAGGTGTGCCGAGCTTGTGGCATCATACTCAAAAAGACTTGAGGCTGAAATTGCTGCCAAAAGTAAATCGACCAAGTACTGAGCAAACACTGTGAATACTTACGTACATGTTTTATTTCAGTTGTAACTTTCAATCAATTTGCAAGAGTTTCAGACAAACTTTTTCACTTTGTCATTATGGGTAATTGTGTGTCAAATTTAAAGGTAAATGTGAAAAAAAGTGTAGCACTATGAATACTTTCCAGATGCTCTGTATGTTTATCAGTGCTCTTACAGTTCTGGGCACGGAGCCATGACACAGCCTTCATAGCCAGGAGCTCCCACTCTTCCCTGACGTCCATCTTGAAACCATGAAGCCAGATCAGAGACAGCACAGTGGCCCATATTTCCATATTCACCTTAGTAGCAAAATTAGAGAGATGAAGATCTTGCAGGCAATAGATTATGAAATCTTATTCACACTCAGTCCCTTACAACATTTCAAATGTTGTTTTAAAAATAACAGACCGATGCAGGCTTTGGCTTTTTCAACTCTTCACTAGTCTTGCCAAGTGCTGTAGCCAAAGCTGGACTAAGGTCCCAGCAGCCAGATGCCTTCTGAAGGGAGACCAAGTGAAGCAAAGGGTCCATGGTGGGCAGAGGAGATGTCTCAGGGACATCTGACAAAGGAAATTAGTATGCAAAGATAAAAAAACAGTCTTTGTGGAATTGATATGCATTTGAAGCATTCATTGTTTCCACTGTTGTCTCTTTGACACTGTTGTGCAGATATGCTGCATCAGTCTGCAGAGATTTTTTTACCTGATTGGACAACCTTCTGTTTCTTTCCTTTCCATGAAAAGAGCCCAGGTTTGAAAGATTTAGTTGTTTTCTTTTTGGCTGTTGAGAGAGTAGAAAAAAACAGACTGAGATATATAAAACTAGCAATGGTAGATAGAAAACCAACAATATCATAATAAAAACTACACACACAAAGAGCATTTTGTTAAAATACTCCTTCTTTGTAACAGAGGTACTAAGATAAGAACAGGGTTACCATCCACACAGTGAAAATGAGGGCACAAAGTTATTTTAAAAAATCCAACAGCAAGTGCATCCTGATCAAGAAAACGAAGTATCCCCAAAATCAATTTCAAATGACTAGTCTGAAAAATGCTAGTTAGTACAGATTTTCAGTGATGGCTGGCTAAGTGCAAACAAACTGAATAGTTGTTTGATTCACAGACACAGACACAGACAAAACAAACATTCAATTAAGCATTGTTGAAGACTTATTGCTCATACATATATGAGCAATATATTTATAAGCAATATATATATATATATATATATATATATATATATATATGTATATGTATATATGTATGTATGTGTATATATTTATATATATATACATATTCGTGTATATATATATATATACACATATATTTATATATACATATATATACACATATATACATATAAACACATATATATACATATAAATATATATATATACATATTCATATATACATATATATATATATATATATATATATATATATATATATATATATATATATATATATATATATATTCCTTGTGTAACCATTAGATTAACTTACTTTTTTAACGCTCAGTGGCTAAAAAAGCCACTGACATTCATATTTTTTCCAGATTTTTTTTCACACATCTCTTAATTTACTTCTGCTCTATTCAAAACTAGTAAATGTGTCATTAAAAATCAAAATTTTAACCCTTTAAAGGACAATTTAAAACATAAAGTCACTAATATTGGGAAAAAATGGGAGGAAAATGACTGATTTTTATTAGAAAACATAATCTGAAACTGGATATCTCTTGCAGGGTATTATAGTCTTGAATATGTAAAGGATAAGTAATATCATTGACTTTGATGCCTTTTAAGTTTTTTTTTGTAGGATCAGATTTCCAAAAGACATCCCCTCTTAACGCTCAGTGGCTAAAAAAGCCACTGACATTGACTGCTGTCAAAACATATTAGATTCATATTTTTTCCAGATTTTTTTTCACACATCTCTCAATTAACTCTGCCCTGATCGAAAGTAGTAGTGGGGTTCTGTGTATATGTAATTTTAATTTTTCATTTCAAATTCGTGTAAAAGTTTATTTTTCACTTCCAATTTGTAGATTATGGTCTATAAAACAATTTTGGTTTAAGTGTCAAGAAACCAGATTGAAGAAAGATATGTTTTTTGCCTGATCTTCAGGTTTATCCGGGCACATCGTGAATGAAAGTTCAACTTCATGGTCACTACTCTACGGATGCTTGTGCCTTTGTTCTTTGCTCTTGATCACCAGAATTACCCGGGGTGGCTTCCAGTCTTAATCAGAGACATGGAACGTCTCCCAGATAGCATCAAGGCAGAGTTTGAGGATGGACACTGGACAATAACTCTAAGCAATCGCCGTTTCTCATCCATACCAATCGATCAGGCACACGAGCAAGCCAACAAAAGGGTGAAAGGGGTTGGTGGTGTAATTGGTCTGACAGAAAACCCTGGCATGTTGGAACGCTGGATCGTGACTGGCCCAGAAATCAGCCGTGTCATGGAGGAGTTTACCACTACAAACTACAATGATGATAGGGAAGAACTTCCTCATCATGAGGAAGGCCCTGCATCTCAACATCGATTTCAACGCCATGTCAAAGACCTGATGGAGGATTTGCTGAGCATTGGAAATCCATTTGAGGAGGGCAGTAATGACCTGGTTACATTAGACAACAAGATGTGTGAGTCTGCGGCTGCTGCCGTATCTGTCCATCAACTTGAGTCTACAGGACAAGAGCAGTACAACAAGTACAGGAAAAGTGTTCTTGAATCACATGACACACTTCTGACAGCATCGATCAAGCGAAACAACTTATTGTTGTTCCATGAGAAGAAAGCACCGAGGAAGACAGCGATTAAGCTGAAAATGCAGCACTTTAAACATCATGCAGAGCTCTATGGGAAAGCTTTTATTGTGCTGGACAGCCGTGGGGGAGATTTGGAGGGTTTTTTCCTCTATGAATCCACCTGCATTGTCATTTGAGGGAGCCCTCAACTCTTGTACCAAGTCAGATTTGTTGGTATATATTATGGAAGCCAGTTCGAGTACCGAGATTTCTGTTGAGGAGGAGTTAGTTGCACCAAGTGTTTACGACTTCATTGTTATTGATGGTGGAGTACTGATACATTCACTTCCTGGTACAACTGTCGTTGGGAAGAACTTTGATTCCTATTTCGACAAGGTATTCTGCCCAAGAGTTCACCATGACTTGAAACGATCAGCGAGAGTTGACATAGTCTGGGACCAGTATCGTGATCTAACAATCAAAGGAGGCACAAGGGAAAAACAAGGAACAGGCACCCGACAACGTGTATCTGGTACTGCCAAAATCCCGGCGAATTGGCAAAAGTTTCTGGCAAACATTGACAACAAGAAGGAGCTGTTCTCATTCCTGTCAAATAAGTTGTTAACAGATGCACAGTTTCCAGATGACATGGATGTCTACATTACTGCGGGTGATCAAGTCCACCACATTGGAGATGGCCCACCAATGGATCAATGCAACCATGAGGAAGCTGACACTCGTGTCCTAATACATCTTCTCCACGCCCTCCAAACATCTTCACTTGGGATGGTGCATACTGGAGACACAGATGTTGTTGTAGTGCTGAATGCAGCAGCGGAAGTCTGGATCTCCTTCAAAGCTGGAAAGACAACTAGAATGATTTCACTGAATACCATCGCTACAAACCTGGGCATGACTACATGCAAGGGCATGGCTCTCTTCCATGCATTCACTGGCTCAGACAGCACATCGGCATTCAAATTCAAGGGTAAGTGATCCTGCTGCAAGGTGATGCCCAAAGTGCCATCCCTCATGGAGGAATTTTCAACTCTTGTTGACACTCCATATAAAGCATCTCCAAGGCTGAAAGAAGCGGGGACAAACTTTGTCTGTAGGCTGTACACTGATGACACACACGAGGGCAATGATGTTGATCGTGTGCGAATGATGCAATTCTCAAAGAAAACAAGGGACATGGAGAGAATTCCCCCAACTAGTGATGCTTTGGATCAACATCTGAAAAGGAGCGTCTTCCAAGCAAGCATCTGGACGACAGCCCATATGTATGTATATGTTTCTCCATGAATTTGTGTACCATGTCAATTTGACTAATTAACTAACTAATGAAAGAATTGATTGATTATCAATCAATCCATCAATCAATCAAATTATTAATTCATTCTTTCTTTCATTCAGGTCCATGATGCCCATCCACAGCCCCACTGATCATGGCTGGAAGGAGGAGGACGGGAAACTGCTTCCCATTTGGACCACTCTACCCCTCGCCAAGGACATATTAAAGTTGGATGTGAAGTGCAATTGCAAAAGCCCTTGTGTTCCAACCTGCACTCGGTGTAGTTGTGTGAAAGCAAAACTTAAGTGCACCCGTCTTTGCAAGAGTAAATGTGAAAAATAGCTTCACCGGAGCATATTTCCAAGATTGTGTATATAATAGGTTTCTTTTTCTTTTGTAAAATAATGTATGACCAGTTGTTAAAGCTAATGGCACCATGTTGTGGTACAGTTAAAACATAAGTACAGTTTGTATTATTGTGTAATAAATGTTTTAGCTCACTATTTACTGTTTTGTCTCATTTGAGTGAAATATATAATACCAAAAATATTTAAAACATAAATATTTGAATTCCAATTGATTCCTCACACAGTATTGACATAATCTAGCACAAAAACAAAAATTACAGAGCAATTGTGGGAAAACCAAGACATTATTCAAAAAACATAATTCCGATTTTGGCCATTTTGGAAATAGGGCAAAAAACATATCTTTCTTCAATCTGGTTTCTTGACACTCGAACCAAAATTGTTCTATAGACCATAATATACAAACTGGAAGTGAAAAATAAACTTTTACACGAATTTGAAATGACTGAGTGTCCAGGCACCCCACTATAGTACATTTTTCATCTCAAAACATTTTTTTAACCCTTTGAGAGTCCATTCAAAACATAACGCCACTGATATGGTACAAAGATGCACAAAAATGACCTATTTTCATAATCAGAAATAGCCCATTTTTAATGTGTTGCATAATCTTGGCCTTGTTAAGGATTAGGAACCTCAGAAACCTTGATACATTTTTGTGTAACATCTGGTTGTCATAAAAAAAAATTACACTTACACTACTCATGTCTTTTATATACTCGCATTTTTTTTTTGCATACCAGCAGGTGGAAGTAATGAAAAAATTTAACCAATGTAACATTAGAACCAAACCATACTTTATCGCTCAAAATGCAATAAAACAAAAGCCACAAATATACAACAACAGAGTATCAAACCAGAACAAACAACTAACTTTTGGGGGTGAAGCGGGGGAGAGGATTGAAAGAAACCTGGGAAGCCTAAGCGAGTGAATGTGTGAGAAATTGAGTGAGTAAAGAGAGAAAAAATGTAAATGTGTGTGTGTGTGTGTGTGTGTGTGTGTGTGTGTGTGTGTGTGTGTGTGTGTGTGTGTGTGTGTGTGTGTGTGTGTGTGTGTGTGTGTGTGTGTGTGTGTGTGTGTGTGTTTTCAATGTTTGAAGCAAGACCGGCAGGAGATCTCTCTGTGTTCATGCCAGATGTGTTTCCAAACAGGCCAGACAAAATCGGAAGCCCCAAAAAATGGGTGTTTGCGTGCGTGCGTGTGTGCATGCGTGCATGTGAGTGTGTGCATGTGAGAGAGAGAGGGGAGGAGCCTGCAGGTCATGACCCAGCACTGACCTGGCCACAAAAGTAAACTATGTTCTTCAGCTCTCAGAAGTACAGAGAGGTGGAAAAAAATAAACAAAAACAAAAGTGAGCTGTTATGTCTGGAGGTGTTTATAAACCTGCTATCTGGCCTTTTGATCTTCGGGGGCCCCAACCCTGGCTCCACCCCTGCAATCCACAACTTGCAGATTCTAATGACCATTTTCTCATGAGAAGAGCAAGAGAAAGCACGAAGAGAAGCTTCAGCACCACGGAGGCCCTTGCAATGGTCATTGATTCTGATGGGATGGAATCTGACCCCCCACAGGATCCATCATCATTGTCTGGCCTGTTTTGTTCGAGGGGTGAATCTACTGCCTCGCTGTGGGATGTGGATCTCTCCTGGAACCAGAAAAACTGATTCAGGAGGAGGCTTTTCCTGGAGGACCTGGGAACGGCTTTGGTGTCAAAAAGAACTAACAAAACCTGTGAGTTATGTGTGAAACACATCTGGCATGAACACAGAGTGATCTCTTGCAGGTCTTGCTTCAAACGCTGAACACACACACACACACACACACACACACACACACACACACACACACACACACACACAGACCTGAGTTCTGGCTCAGCACATTACTACCAAGCTGGTAACGAAAGAGAATGCGAGTATACGAGTATAGAAAATACACTGTATGCACAATTATTAGGCAAGTGAATATTTTAATCATATCATCATTTTTATGCATATTTTCCAACTCCAAGCTGTATAAACTTGAATGCTTATTGGATATAAGCATATCAGGTAATGTGTATTAGTGTAATGAGGGAGGCTGGGGCCTAAGGAGATCAAAACCCTATATCAAGGTGTGCATAATTATTAGGCAGCTTCTTTTCCTCAGGGAAAATGGGCCAAAAAAGAGATTTAAATGACTCTGAAAAGTCAAAAATTGTAAAAAGTCTTTCAGAGGGATGCAGCACTCTTGAAATTGCTTAGATATTTGGGCGTGATCACAGAACCAGCAAACATTTTGATGCAAATCGTCAACAGGGTCGCAAGAAATGTGTTAAGAAAAAAAGACGCGAATTAACTGCCAAAGATTTGAGAAGACTCAAACATGAAGCTACCAGGAACCGCTTATCCTCCGGTGCTGTCATATTCCAGAACTGCAACCTACCTGGAATGCCCAGAGGTACAAGATGATCAGTGCTCAGAGACATGGCCAAGGTAAGGAAGGCTGAAACCCGACCACCACTGAACAAGACACAAGTTGAAACGTCAAGACTTGGCCAAGAAATATCTGAAGAGAGATTTTTCAAAGGTTTTATGGACTGATGGGATGAGAGTGACTCTTGACGGACCGGATGGATGGACCCGTGGCTGGATCAGTAATGGGCACAGAGCTCCACTTCGAATCAGACACCAGCAAGGTGGAGGCTGGGTACTGGTATGGGCTGGTATTATTAAAGATGGGCTAGCTGGACCTTTTCGAGTTAAAGATGGACTTAAAATCAACTCCCAAATCCACTGCCAGTTTTTAGAAGACACTTTCTTCAAGCAGTGGTACAGGCAAAAGTCTGCATCTTTCAAGAAAACCATGATTTTTATGCAGGACAATGCTCCATTGCATGCAACAAAGTACTCCACAATGTGGCTCGCCAGTAAAGGCTTTAAAAATGAAAGAATAATGACGCGGCCTCCTTCTTCACCTGACCTAAACCCTGTTGAGAACTTGTGAGCCCTTCTTAAAAGGGAAATTTACAGTGAAGGAAGAAAGTACACCTCTCTGAACAGTGTCTGGAAGGCTTTGGTTACTGCAACACAAAAAGTTGATCGTCAACAGATCAAGAAACTGAAAGATTCCATGAATGGAAGGCTTATGACTGTTAATGAAAAGAAGGGTAGTTACATTGGTCACTGTTTTTTTTTTTTAATTTCAACAGCTTTTATTTGTAAATTGAGTTGTTTGTTTATCATTCTCACTTTAACAAGTGAAAATAAACAAGTGAAATGGAATTTTTTTTATTTTTAATTTAGTTGCATAATAATTCTGCACACTAATAGCTGCCCCTAATAATTGTGCACACATAGAAATTCTCCTAAGGAAGCCAAAATCTCACTTTTACTCCCTTAAATATTAAGGTTTGAGGTTTATTAACATTTTGGATTGACCGAGAGCACTGCAGTTGTTCAAAAATAAAATTTATCCTCAAAAATACAACTTGTCTAATAATTGTGCACACAGTGTACATGAATAGTGCAAGTGTTTTTATGAGTGTTTTATGAAATTTTCTATGAAAATCAGACATTACACAAAAATGCATCATAGTTTCTGAGGTTCCTAATCCTTCACAAGGCCAAGACTATGCAACATGTAAAAAATCACCTGTTTCTGATTGTTTTATGATGAAAATAGGTCATTTTTGTGTATTTTTCTACCATATCAGTGACATTATGCTTTGAATGGACCCTCAAAGGGTTAAAAAAAATGTTTTTAGATGAAACATTTACTAGTTTTGATCAAAGCAGAAGTTAATTAAGAGATATGTGAAAAAAAATGGAAAAAAATATTAACCCAAGATGTTTTTACAGCAGTCAAAGTTAGTGGCTTTTTTAAGGCCACTGAACGTTAACAAAGGATGAAAATTTGCCGAGCGTGTATTTTTGAAGTCATATTTTCAAAGTGTCCATCAATATAGGCATCTGCACAAAAAATCATCCCATTTGCTGCAGTAAAAAAAAGTTACATATAAATTAGTGGCTAAATTTTGTCCCAAGTGGCTTTTTTTAGCCACAGCGTTGCATAAGGAATATATATATATATATATATATATATATATATATATATATATATATATATATATATGCATACATACATAATAAAAAGTTTGGGGTTTCAAAATCATACAATTTTTACTTACACTTACTGCTTGATGATCTTTCATAGGACTGTATACTTAATGTATCCATGTTACTAGGAATACCTGAGACTTAAGAAAGACAATCTTAGAAGGTCAAGATGCAACATAAGGATACACCAAAAAGAATTTTATCTCTTACTTACCTTGACATAATATGGGACTGGACAAGGCGTCACAAAATTCATAAAATTCACAAAACAAACATTCAATTGAGCATATATATATATATATATATATATATAAATATATATATAGATATAGATATATATAGATATATATAATTACATAATTACATATATATACATATATATACACATATACAGTACAGGCCAAAAGTTTGGACACACCTTCTCATTCAATGTCTTTTCTTTATTTTTTTATATGACTATTTACATTGTAGATTATCACTGAAGGCATTAAAACTATGAATGAACACATGTAGAATTTTGTACTTATAAAAAAAGTGTGAAATAACTGAAAACATGTTTTATATTCTAGTTTCTTTAAAATAGCCACTCTTTGCTCTTGATGACAGAAGTACCTTGTAAGGGTTACTTCAGGCACTCCTGTGAAGTAAAAACCATTTCAGGTGACTACCTGATGAAGCTCATTGAGAGAACAGCAAAAGTTTGCAGCGCTATCAAAAAAGCAAAGAGTGGCTACTTTGAGAAATCTAAAATATAAAACATGTTTTCAGTTATTTCACACTTTTTTCTTAAGCACATGATTCCACATGTGTTCATTCATAGTTTTGAAAATCTACAATTTAAATAGTAATGAAAACAAAGAAAATGCATTGAATGAGAAGGTGTGTCCAAACTTTTGGCCTGTACTGTACATATATATACATATACACATATATAGTTACACATATACATATATATACATATATACATATACATATACATACATATACACACACACACATATATGCATATACATATTTATATATACATATATATATATATATATATATATATATGTATATATATGTATGGGGTTTAATAATCATTAAATTACTTACAGTCAAGAGAGTTGTCACAGAAATCTATAGCGCATGATTTAAGGCTCCTGAGGTTACAGGGACTATCTGAGAGTTTAGAAGGACAATCTTAGAAGGTCAAGATGTAACATAAGGATGTGCCAACAAGAATTTGATCTTTTACTTACTCTGGCACAACATGGGCATGGAGAAGGAGTCATAAGATTGCCATCCACTGCACTTTAATACTGAGATGACAAAACAGTATTAGGTTTAGCAATTATGAGAAACTTTACTTGAGAAAATATCAGCCAAAGTCAATTCTAGCTGATCGAAATTTTTAATTTAAGTGTGTAATCCTATCTGCAGTTATGAAACTCATTTGTAGAATTATAAATAGTTACTTTTTCTAAATCTTAGAGCTCTACTCTTCTCTATGATGTTAGCAGCCATATTTTTAATTTAAGTGTCTATGAAATACTCACTGGGTGCTGGAACATTCCTGCGCTCCAGTGGTCCCTGTATGGCTTTGCCATTGCCTTTGTTGACTGCGATAAAGGCAGTAAAGGCACTGCTCACTCCTGATTGCACACTGAGCTCTACCACCTTCTTCTTGACACTGTCATCCTGCTGTTGTCTGGGCTCTCTGTCCTCCATCTCCAGGCAGCGAATCAGAGCCCGAGCAGCCAGCCTGTGGACTGTTAGTCTGAAAATATTGATATCACATGTTAAAGGATGTGCAGAGGATGTGGATATATTAACGATTACATTGACAGTAATGAACTCTGCAGTCTTCTAAAATCAGCGCTATCAGAGTTTGTGATGTTTTTCTTTGTTTTTCTTTCACTCTGTTAGATCTCCAAACACAGCTATATCTTTATCTATATATGTGATTTGTCTCAATATGATACATAAAACATCTTGCTGTTCCTCAGTTGTTCAGTGATTGAACAATGGCCCAAATGTCGTGTTGCACTGGAACACAACTGAGATCAAGTCTGTTTTAGTTTTTCTGTGTTTTCATGTTACAGTGTGTACATCTTAGCTCATTTTCTGTGTCAACGACTAAGAAGAAACTTGTTGGTGCCAAATATTTTCCCTTTTTCAAAAATATAAGTTTTAGCATTCATTCAGTGTTGTTCTCAATATTGAAATGAAACTCCATAAGGCTGTTTTGAATTATTTTTTTACCCAGAATCCTCTGTAGGTTTCAGGTTGAAGCGAAGCTGGTTCTGAGAGGGATGACCTGCCAGGCTGTATTTTACTGTCACACAGCCTTCAGCTGCCTCTGAAATCTGACAGAATTTACAGATTTAGGACCCTTATGAGAGGCAGAGAAGGAGATCAATGTTTAAATGGTTTTAAACCAAAATCTTTACACTATTACACTAAAATACAGAGAACTTCCTCTTCATATGTAACAATTCCTACCTGTCCAGTGAGTCCAGCATAAATCAGAGACCTTTGACCCTGGAAAAGTGATGTGATCGGTGGAGAAAGGACAGTGGCGGACACATCTTTTGGTAAATCCCATGTGACTGAGATGTCCACCACAGCTGGGTGTAGAGCATACCTCAGTGACTGCATCACCTGGTGAAGATAAATCACTTTTAAAAGGTTTACCCCTCCCATCCAACAAACCAAAGTATTGTTGAACATGACAGATTGCTTGTATTTCATGTGGAACTGACTTTTGGTTGCATCCTGTCACTTCCTAAAATGAACTGAGCATGACCTCCTCCTTCCTTGGCCAACCCATTGATGAGAGCGGAGCTGGCCCCTTCTCCAATCCCAAAAGAGAAACATCTGAAATAGAGTTGTTTAACTTTTACCCCAGGCAGCAGGAGAACAATGTATATGTTGTGTGAAATAATCTGGTTGTTTACAAAGTTTCTGGCAGTTCACCTGTGGGCATGTGAATTCTTCTTTACCAGGTCTATAATTTCTTTGGTGTTCCACACTTCTCCGTCAGTAAATACAAATAGCTAGGGAAGAGAATTTTCATGTTATTCAAATATATCACAATCATATGCAGCCGTTGTTTTCAGAAGGCTGTTTAGATGCCACAACATTGAAGTGGTTATTAGTGCCAAGTTTGAAACAAGGTGTGGTGAGAATAAACTAACTGGTGACTGTAAAACCAGAACAGAAAGATTCTTTTACTGGTGACTGAATTGATTTCTTTAGTTACTGGCAGGGGATGTTGGACCTGTTTCACATGTTTTGTGTGAATGTGTGTGAATGTGTGGTACTTGTCTGGGTTGACTGGGAATGCAGGGCTGGCTGTAGATGTGTTTAAGTGGCTTAAGGATCTCTGTTCCTCCCAGATTAGCCTGCATCTCCTCAACTTTCTTCAAAGCCTTTTCCATTGTCTCCTGGTTGTACTCCACACTCTTACTGTGATTACATCAAAAAAAGTCCTCAAATTAACAACAAAGTCAGGGACAAATTTATTGGACAGCCTTTGAGAAGTAACTTACGGGAAGATGGATTCAAAACTGGAGCCAAAACTGTAAATGTTGAAATAGCTGCCCATTGGTAAACTCTTCAGCAGGAGTAGAAGAGTATCCTTCAGGGAAAAACATAATCATGAAAGCTGCTGTCTGATAAGAAAATTCCTGATAGTTTTATATAAGAATATACACATTCATACCCTGGCACTACTAATGCGAGTCTCATTTCTATTGGTGTGGTTCATAGCTGCACCCATACTACCAGAGCGATCCAATAAGAACACAAACTCTCCACATGTGGCAACTGAGGACATCACAGCCTGTGGGAACTCTGGGTACAGACTCAGCATCACTACTGGATCACCCATCAGAGTGCCTGAGCCACAAAGACATCCAATCTTACTTTTGCTATTTATTTATGTGATTTATCTGCTAGACTAGAGAGTTAGGCTATTAAGATTTGTAAATGCAAAATAGGAACTTCACAAATTTCTACTCACCAAGCTCAGCAGAAGCCTGGCCTGCCTCCACCACCGCAGTGGGCTGGTGGGCATCTTTGTAATAAATCAGAAGTTCAACATCTCTGTCAAATTTGTGCCCTGCAGCCAGCTTGATCTATAGTTTACAGGACACACAAACAACAACATGAATGACACATAGTGTTACCAGTGCAGACAACAACATCAGCAGACACATGAATATTCCACCTACCATGGCTTTGGTTTGCTCTGAGTTGAGGTACTGTAGAGGATCAAGGGAACAGTTGGACTCTATTTTGGAGACAGGACGAGGAGACGACACTTGGGCAGAGAAGGACAGGGTGTAGGGCACCAAGGAGGCTGGACACGAGGTTACTTGGACGTTACCACTTGCACTATCTCCACTTCCTTTGGAGGGGTGACAAATGTTTCAGTTAAAAATACAAGTCTTAACCTTAATCATCATTGAGGCTATTTAGGCAAATTAGGGGCATATCCCTGTTTTTAATGTCAGACACAATTCAGAGAACAGCAGAGTGTTTTCATGTCAAGGAGCTGAATCACTTTCCTTTATGATGGAGAGTCCTAAGCAGACAGAATCGATTAAACAGTGCATCATACACAATAAAATGTCCAAGGATGATGGTGAACATTTAGTTAGTCCCCAAGACTATAAATCCTGGGAAACATTACTTGAAGCAGCCAAAGTGAGAAACCATGCCCCTATTTTAGACATTGCTAAAAAATATTAGAGAAAAGGATGTGCCTACAATTTATTATCACAGAAAATGCCAAAGCCTCTTCACCATGAAGAGGGAATTGGAGTCATTGAAAAAGAAAGCCAAGGAAAGCATTACTGGTGATGAAGATGTTGAGTACGGCTGTGTATCAAAAAGGCCTAGAAGGAGATCTTCATCAGCATCAAGGGTGTATGATCATATCTGCATCTTTTGTATGAGAATGAGAAGTTTTTAAAGGGCTCCAAGTTGCGTGAAAAGCTTACACAAGCTGTACAACTCAGAGCTGACCAAACTTCAAGAGAGTGTGCAACTCAAAAAGGGGATGAAAATATTCTAGCAGTAACAAGCAGAGACATAGTTGCTGCAGAGGCCCACTATCATGTGTCATGCTATAAAGATTATACACGAATCAAGAAAAAGGAACCTGTGTGCAAAAAGAAAAATGAGGAAACAGATCGTGGTGAACTGTATAAAAACATTGAAAGGGAAGCCTATATTGATCTTTTCAAATATATCAGAGCTGATATCATACCCAATAAGACCATTGTACAAGCAAGTTCTTTGGTCTTGAAACTTGAACAATTAATGCTGTCTAGAGGAATTACATGCTTGCGAGATTATACAAGGAAGAATATTTGCAGGAATCTTGAATCTGAGCTGGGCAATATAGTACATATATTCCCACATGAGAAAGGAAAATTGTTGATCGTACCACAAAGTGTATCATTAAGGGATGTTGTCTTGAAAAATCAAACACTGCAGAGGGAACTCAAAGTTTGGAGGGCCAAGTCAACCAATTTGAACAAGATCATAGATCAGACTTCATCTCATATTAGATCAGTCATAAAACAGGAGATGACTGAGAGTCCTTGGCCTTTCCATCCATCTGACGTGAAAGATAGTGATGAAAATGATTTTGATTATTAGGTTGTAAACGTATAGAGGTCAAAAGTATGATCTGTATAATTGAGAATTGGAGAGATTCAGGCCTACACTATTCCTGAATGGCAAACGTAGGGATATACACAAAAACCACCTTTCTTGGTTTAACTCTGTCCCAGAACAAAGCAAAGAACAAGCCAGGAACTGACATGTAGAGAAGGTGGTGAGGATCCGGGCAAAAATAAACATACAAAAACACAAAAAAAAAACACAAAAAAAACACCCTCCCCTATTGTTACTACCTTGTCGTGGTGGGGAGGCTTGTGTGCCTCAGTGACCCTGAAGACTACGCCGGCCGGGGTTATACCCCTGGTAGGTACAACCAAGTTTTCAGGTTAGAGGCCGGTCCAAAAGCAGCATTGCCATCACCCTCTTTCAATGTGCTTTCACTGTGATAATAGTTTCCCTGTGATAATAGTTCAGGGGAAAAGGAGTATTTTGGGCAAATTTTAATGAGTTTTGAGCTCATTTGCGTATTGTTGTCTGGCAAAATTAACATACTTTTCAAACAAGGATTTCATAGGACTTATATTATGTTAGTCTAGACACCTTATAGAAATGATGTATGGTGAAAAGAAACCCTTTCTATAGGTTTTTTGGGGGGTTAAGTTGCATGTTTTTATATATTGACCCATGTAATTTTCGCCAAGTGTTATAAAATAAAATGCATGATAGCACACATTTAGCTACCACTGCTGCAATGCTATCACATATTTTCTAACTCTATACATGTATACAATGTCAAAAATCACTATGAGCATTATTCCCCTCAGTTGATACCGACCAACCCCCCTGGCTCATGGCCTAATAAGGCTGTCATTAATGGGGCTGCTCAAAGTGGTCAACCACTTTGTCTCTTAGTTTGCTGAGTTTCAAGTTTTAAAGATTTGACTTTTACAAGCACTAATAAAAAGGTGCAATGCCAATCCACCAATATAGATGCAGTTTCAAAGTTACTGACACGTGTTTTTGCTCGTTTTACCTACCCTTAGGTTGGTAGCGAGGGTTAAGCACAGCAGGCAGACAAAACCTCAGTCCAGAATCAGCCTGCACATTCAGCTCAGTGACATATTCCAGCCTGATTGAGGCACTCTCTCCGGGTTGAAGACTGCCTACACTCAGGGAGAATATATCCGGACTTTGCTCACTCTCCTCCAACAGAAAGGCTTCCAAACCAGAGCTTAAAGCATCATCATAGTCCTCACGTGCCTAGAGTACAGATTACATGAGTCACCTTAATTTTTACAGTATTATACTGATAGTCTCACAGTAAATAGTCAATCCTCACTGTGTTGCTCACCTCTTGTTTCTCCTTGACCTCTGCAATGATCTGTGTCTGTCCAAGCGTAGCGCTAAAATGACAGACAGCAGCATCTCCAGGCAGAGGGAAGACAAAAACTGCTTCTAATGGTTTGTCCTCTTTGTTCTCGTAATTGAGAGTGGAGACCACAGTAGCCACATGGTCCCTCACCTCCACCTCCACCTCCACACTCTTTAAGGGAACTGACAAAGTAACAAAGAGAAACATAATGATCATCGATCATCAACAGCAAACACTCATAAAGTAACAACAAAGAAAACAAAACATACAACAAATTTACATAATTCTTTATTGTTGTTGTTGTTAAAATCATTTAAATCTGTTTAAAGCAACAAAAGTCGAAGTTAGTTTTAAGGTTTGAATAAAAGACAGGAAATAAAGATTCTGTATTGGTAAAATAAATAAATAAATAAAAAGCATTTTGAAGCTCTCTACCTGGTTCCTTTCTTGCAGAGAGCAGACCACAATGGTTCACCATGATGCTGGTTCACACACAGTCAAGGAAGTAACTGCTGTCAAAAAGAGAACGTGAGAAGCTAGACTGGAGTGGTGCTGTGCTGACAAATCACAGTGAAGCAAACATTGTACATATATGCATGTGTGTGTGTGTGTGTGTGTGTGTGTGTGTGTGTGTGTGTGTGTGTGTGTAGGTCTATAGTGATTAACCAATGTTTGCATTCATGGTTATATATTTGTATTAATACACTTCTCTATTTTCTGTTGTAGAAACCACACACATTCATAAATTCCTGTATCTACAGCCAACAGAATTAAACAAAATGAATAAAAGACTGGAAACAGGAAGTGAAAGTATGGAGTAAAGTAAACCATCGAGTTTCTTTATTTCGACCCTAATATTGATCACTATTATATATCTTACAATTTCAGCTGTTTTTCTCTGATTTCCATGATGCGTGCTCTCTGGGAAATAAGAGGGGGCGGTTCCATTTTTTTCTTGGGCGTATTTTTCGCATTTTTTTTCTCCTAAATTTAGGATTATTGATGGAGGAGTGTCCGTTATCTCTACCAATTGTCCTCTTAAAGCTGTGATTAATATTGGTTATAACTTATACCACTGACACATTCAACCAAATCACAGTATCGCGGAAATGTATCAGACACCTACCTGTCTTAAAAGTTCACGACCCACGAGACGTCCCAGAAGTGGTAAACTGCGTCATATGCGGAAGTGTCCTGACAATAAATGCTCTGTCAACTTCGGCACACGCCCATGGGCTGTCTGGTGGATTAGAGCTGTTATTTTTATTAGCTGACGAGAATCAGATGGGATTTACCCCCCATATACGGTTTATAGTTTTGGTTCGCTCGGTTCTCTGGCACTGGAGCGTTGCATAATCTGGCGATAGTGATCTGACGAAAATAGGTCAGGGATCAAAAACTCTATTCCACCGTGGCACTGATCCGTGTGGAGTTTACTTACTTAATCTGATAATGGCAAAACATTTCTTGCTGGTGTCGCAGGAGGAGGAAAGATCAGTGAGGAGAGTTTCAGTGAAGGCAACCAGAAGTGACAACTGGTGCGACAACGCCACCTAGGGACTGTCACCCCAGAATGTGTATTACATCAACCTCTACAAAACACAAGGCAGCACGAGTTCAACAACTGAAAGACGGAGACGTGGTTCATCATCATCATTTCAATTTACTATAACTTTTGAAAAGAAAATAACTCAGGGGACTAGAGTGGATGAATCCTCACAGAATAAGCCAGATTTAATTCAACTGTTCTAAATGGAGACGCTAATCTCATGGCCTTGCAGTCAGAGGTAATGTAATAAATATTAAAGTGGGGACAGTAATTATTAAGTGGAAATGCTGATTAAGCATTTCCACTTCTTGTTATTCTCCTATTTATTTATTTATCTATTATTATTATTATTATTATTATTATTATTATTATTATTATTATTATTATTATTATTATTATTGCGAACCTTTTTGGCACTTTCTAACTCCTTCCCACTTTGTGCTGTTTCAACCATTCAGCTCTTAAACTATTCCTCTCCTTCAGAACAAGTGCGGATGTATTTTTCTCCTTCCTACTTTTTATACTTTTGGATATTTTTTTACTTTTTGTGCAAATTTTTTCCTATTAAATAAATGGGGAAATCTTCAAATTCTACCTTTTACTCTTTCACCTTCTCAGCCTCATATCTCTCTCATATCTCAGGCCTCATTTTTGCTTTAAAATGTTCACAATCTTCTCCTTGTATTAACTTTTTTGTGCTATCTTCTACAGTTTTTCCACAATTTAGCTCTGAGCACCTCATGGTTTTCAGCAAATTTCAGGCTTATAATGTGGCTGTGACAGCTACAGTGGGTGATGTCATCGCAAGAGTGGAGAGACCTTTTTTGATCGACAAAACCTAGCTCAAATATAAGCTTCCTTGCCCACAAATTTTACTCCACAGCCATAAAAAAATACATCTAAATGGAGGTAAATAAGTCCTGCTTCTCACGAAAGAGGTTTCAAATCATTAAGTCATACCCCTTGGCCAGTCAGTGACCAACTGTCTAAGCAGGCCGCGATTCTGCCCATTGACCGTAATGGAATTTTTGGGCAAGAAAATTGTGATCATCACTCAGGGTCAACACTGTTTAACTTGCTGTTGTGGCCTCATATTTTTAGAGTACAGACATGAAAAACACATCATTGTGTTCCTGGGGATCTCAGAACTCCTACAATGTTCTTATTTTCATCCTGGGATTAAAGGAAAATGTGCTATGTGAAGAAGTTCAGAGGCTTCAAATTCACTGGGGTTAGGCAGCTTCTTCTGGCTGAAAGGTTTCCAGGGTAATGTCCATAAGTGGTTTAAACATTTTGTTCATAATAGAACACAATATGCATTTATTAATGGTGAAGTGTCAACGAGAAAGTATGGAGTACCTTAAGGATCCGTATTAGAGCCATTATTGTTTTTGATTTACACTAATAATATTGTTTCACTATAAAAAACTACAGTCCCTTTGCTCTTTGCAGATGATACCAACCTTTTTACCTCCAAGAGAGACTTTGCAACTCTAATTAGAGAAACAAATAAAGACCTTTCCTATTATGATACTTGGTTTCAGTCAAACAAATTATCTCTAAAATTCAAAAACAAAAAGTAATTTTATTTGCAGGAAATAAGAAATATTCTAGTGAGCAATAAAAACTTCCCATTGTCACAATCGGTATCATCAACATGTTTTTTTGGGGTATCCAGATTGATCATGAACTCTCCTGGAGGGGAAAGGTTGAATTTTTCTGCAGAAAGGTAACTACATCTCTTGAGATGTTAAGATTTTTTTATGTGAAGTTGCTCTAAGGAACATGGATTACCCACTTCATAAACACCTTAATGGACCAAAAGGCCAATGGTGGTGGACGGCTCCTCTCTTTTCATTGCCGGACAGAAAGGTTCAGAAGTTCTTTGGTATCCGCAGCCATCAGACTTTAAAACTCTTTTATATATATAGTAGATGACCCAGAATAAATAAATCACTCCCTAGCAATTAATTAAAAACTCTGTGGATGATTTTGGATATTTTCAGATGCAACTAAAGGCTGTATTGGGAAGAATCCAACATCTTTTGCTTCAGGTCTTAATATATTACAGTTGGAAAAGATATCTGAGTTGGAAAATCATCTTAGAACATGTCTTAGAACTCTCTCATCAAAATAATTACTCCCAGGATGTGTCCTCCACACTTGTAAAGATTAAGACTGAGCTTAATACATTCATTAGAAAAAGAGCTGAATTTGCTTTTCATACAGCTAGACTCAATTACTGTTTTCATGGAAATTGACCGAGTCAGTTTTTGGCCAATAAATTATGCAATTGTAACTATCCTGCAAGTATGGACACTTTAAAATCATGAGACATGGAGTTTCTTACAGATCCCAAATCAATTAATATCCAATCTACAACTGTATTGTTTATTCATCCACTAACTCAAGTCTCTCTTTATCTGTTATTTCTATTGATGCTGAGAAGGCTTTCGATCACCCAAAGTGGCGATACCTTTGGTGCATTTTAGAATATATGGGCATAGGTGAAAGATGTATAAACTTGGTTACCATTGTATTTGCAAATCCATCAGCCAGCGTCATTACTGGAAACATTAGTTCTCCATCATTCAAAATCACACGAGGGAGCAGGCAAGGTGATCCATTATCACCATTGTTGTTTATCCTATCAATGGAGCTATTAGCACGAATCTCCGTCAATCTCAAATGGTCAAACATATGACCATTAACTCTACTGATCATCATATCTCTCTTTAAGCTGATGTCATCTTGGCATACCCGAATGATACTTCTCATTCTGTTTTTACTATTTTTACAAAATTTGATTCCATCTTAAATTATAAAATAAACTGGTCCTAATCTTCCATGTTTCTGAGGAATCCCTCCTTGTGTTATAACTCCAAAGAAATCCTTTTGATATTTAAAATATTTAGGTATCGATATTTTCCCTTCTATTGAAAAAAAGTATTGAGGAGTATTGACCATCAAAATGAGCATATTGCCCAGAATACATTTCTGTTGCTAAATGATTCCTATTGCTCCACCCTGTGGGTACTGGGAAAAATTACATAGAAACATAACAAAAGTATCATAGAAAGATAAACAAGCTTGTGTGAAACCCAAAATAATGCAGAATGAAAAACAATCTGGTGGACTTGCTGTTCCAAACTTCAAACTTTATTTTCAATCATTGACGTTTTGCTCCTGATCAAATTGGTTTGACTTGGATTCAAACATGCCCTGAGTAAGAATTGAGAAAGATACTGTTGCACCCAATTCCTTACAGGACATACTATTTATGAAAATTTCAGCTGAACAGTCAAGAGTGTGTGATGGTCCAATAACTGCAACTGCGGTTTCAATTTGGCGTAAGTATGAAATACGTTCCTCAGAGGAAAAATTCTGGATAACATACAGTAGGCGATGTCATAGATGTAAATGGCCTGAAGACTTTTTTCTGTTTTAAAATATGAGTTTCAAGTAACAGGGTTTTCTCTTTTTTCTGTACATAATTACAACTGAGATCAGCAATGAAAGCATATGGGGATCTGTGGTTCCAACTGCCAATACATCTGTTAATCAATTTTACAAATTAATTCATAGGTCTCCCAAAAGGACAAATTTCTGCAAGATACCAAGTTCTCTTGAACAGAACTAAATCACCTTTATACATGGAAGCACGAAATACTGAATTAGGCTGTCAACATATTGACTGAGAAAAAGTTTGGAGAAACATTAACATGATATCCTGAAACCTAAATCATCAATTAATACACTTCAACTTTGCTCATAGAACTTATTTAACACCCTCAATTCTTTTGCAATTTATTTGGGAAACAACTCGTGTGGATTTTGTGAAAAGGATATTGACAATGTGGAACTTCTTTTCTTTCACTGTAAAATTGTCCAGGGTTTTTGACTTGCATTTCAGGAGTGGCTCAGCTCTAAGGATATTATTTTGCAACCTTTAATAGTGATGTCAGTTAAAACTGGAGTATTTATGAAAGAGAAAAATGTAGAATTTCAGGTAAATAACTTGATGTTGATGGGAAATTATTCCATTCACTGCTGTAAAGAAAGTTATCAGTCTCCATCCTGCTGTTCTTTATCATTAGAGAACTTTATCCAACCACCTCACATTACATTAATCAGAGGAGGGAGTGAACCTGTGCAACTTTGTAATGAGAGTCAATGGAGGCCTAGTCAGGAAAACATGATCATCCACTGTCGATCAGCCACCACTGCTAACAACAGCACTGTCGCTCCAGGGGAGTCTTCACTGCATGGTACCATTAATGAGTGATCCAGTTAAACTGTATTCACAAACTTGTCCAAAAGTCAAAAAGAGACAAACCACACAGGTCAGATGTGAGAGGCTGCATTTTTGCCACAAACTTTATTGTAAGTTGTATGGTTAGCCGACTACAATGCATGACACAAACAAGCACTTTTCTTATAAATTTCAAAAATCAGACAAAGACAAGAATCTTGATTTTCCTTCATTTATACATAAAAAGCAAGACACCACAATTAAAATTAATTTAATGTAGACATGCTGAACTGATGAAATACTTTATCTTGCTGTAATCGCTCATTTTGAGGCATATGTTGCACTGCAGCATTTATTATGATTTAATTTCTATGCATCTTATTTTTATGTCAACCTTTGGAAGGGTTTTTGTACATGAAATATGTCCATAATTATTCCATCTTTGCATTATGATGCTTCTCTCTGTTTTCTAAGATGTATACCTCCATCCAAGAGAGGGCACTGTGGGCCTGTTCAAGCAGGAATATCCTCACGTGTATTTAAGATTTCAGCTCAACACTAAAGTACTTTCTGTGCACAAACTCAGCAGAAGAAGCAAACCAAAACTCTCTTGACTGATTTGTGTAAATTTAGGTTGATTCAAACTTTTGAAGTACATTTGGCAGCGTGGCTTCTTGTCTTACAAGTACCACGCTGTCACCTGCTTTAACCGTTCTGGCAGTTTTTTGCGAGTTATGGGCTTCTCTGTAGTAAGGCCTCATTAGCTTAGCAACGTTTTGTCTCTGTCAATATAAACATAAAACAACAGTGCTGCTTTACACTGACATATTTAGCGAGCTAATTCTTGACACATTATGATTAGCAAAAACTGCAAAAAACTGAAGAAAAAAAAAAAAGTCAACACTTCATTCAATGTTAACACCCCACACTTTGCAGTGCATTTCACTCATGTATTATGATGACCCCCACTGGGATGATTGGCTGATCTGTAATTATAGGATGGCTTCATTCTGTGCCATTCTTGAAGTCATGTGTCAGTATCTCAGAACCCCAGAGAGTCTTTTGTGACGTTGCAGCCCAAGAGTGCATTTCCAGCATCCACACACTCATTTAGATCTGATGCTGAAAACAAAAAAAATCAATCAGAGGTTTGAATGTGATCAAAAAGATTATTTTAAACTGTGCACACACTCAACGACATTTTATCTACAATGCGTCCGAAAAGTATTCACAGAGCTAGACTTCTTTTTCTTTTTTTTTTCTTTTTTTTTTACATTTTCTTGTGTTACTGTTTTATTTAGAATTATTTTCACGTGTCACAAAGACTGAACTCTGTGGCCTGAATTTCCAAGTGTCATGTTTGGAGGAAACCACGTACCACTCATCACCTTTCCAATACCATCCCTACAGTGAAGCATGGTGGTGGCAGCATCAGGCTGTGGTGATGTTTTTTAGTAGCAGGAACTGGAAGACCAGTCAGGGTCAAGGGACAGATGAATGCAGCAATGTACAGAGACATCCTTAATGATAACATGTTCCAGAGTACTCTGGACCTTGGATTGGGGCGAAGATTCATCTTTCTACAGGACAAAGACCCTACGCACACAGCCGAGATAACAAAGTAGTGGCTTCAGGACAACTTTGTGAAAGTCCTTGAGTGGCCAACCAGAGCCCAGACTTGAACCCAATTGAGCATCTCTGGAGAGAAACGAAAATGGCTGTACACTAACGCTCTCCATCCAACTTGGTATAGCTGGAGAGGTTCTGCCAAAAAAGGATGGGAGAACCTGCCCAAAAATAGGTGTGCCCAGCTTGTAGCATCATACTCAAAAAGACTTGAGGCTGAAATTGCTGCCAAAAGTAAATCGACCAAGTACTGAGAAAACACTGTGAATACTACCGTACATGTTTTATTTCGGTTGTAACTTTCAATCAATTTGCAAGAGTTTCAGACAAACTTTTTCACTTTGTCATTATGGGTAATTGTGTGTCAAATTTAAAGGTAAATGTGAAAAAAGTGTAGCACTATGAATACTTTCCAGATGCTCTGTATGTTTATCAGTGCTCTTACAGTTCTGGGCACGGAGCCATGACACAGCCTTCATAGCCAGGAGCTCCCACTCTTCCCTGACGTCCATCTTGAAACCATGAAGCCAGATCAGAGACAGCACAGTGGCCCATATTTCCATATTCACCTTAATAGCAAAATTAGAGAGATGAACATCTTGCAGGCAATAGATTATGAAATCTTATTCACACTCAGTCCCTTACAACATTACAAATGTTGTTTTAAAAATAACAGACCGATGCAGGTTTTGGCTTTTTCAACTCTTCACTAGTCTTTCCAAGTGCTGTAGCCAAAGCTGGACTAAGGTCCCAGCAGCCAGATGCCTTCTGAAGGGAGACCAAGTGAAGCAAAGGGTCCATGGTGGGCAGAGGAGATGTCTCAGGGACATCTGACAAAGGAAATTATTATGCAAAGATAAAAAAAACAGTCTTTGTGGAATTGATATGCATTTGAAGCATTCATTGTTTCCACTGTTGTCTCTTTGACACTGTTGTGCAGATATGCTGCATCAGTCTGCAGAGATCTTTTACCTGATTGGACAACCTTCTGTTTCTTTCCTTTCCATGAAAAGAGCCCAGGTTTGAAAGATTTAGTTTTTTTCTTTTTGGCTGTTGAGAGAGTAGAAAAAAACAGCCTGAGATATATAAAAATGGCAATGTTAGATAGAAAACCAACAATATCATAATAAAAACTACACACACAAAAAGCATTTTGTTATAATACTCCTTCTTTGTAACAGAGGTACTAAGATCATAATAGGGTTGCCATCCAGACAGGGAAAATGAGGGCACAAAGTTATTTTAAAAAATCCAACAGCAAGTGCATCCTGATCAAGAAAAAGAAGTATCCCCAAAATATTATCAATTTAAAATGACTTGTCTGAATATATATATACATATACACATATATAGTTACACATATACATATATATACATATATACATATACATACATACATACACACACACACACACACACACACCCACACACACACATATATACAGTATATATGGGGTTTAAAAATCATTTAATTACTTACAGTCAAAAGAGATGTCACAGGACTCTATAGCGCATAATTGAAGGCTCCTGTTACTGGGAATACCTGAGAGTTTAGTAGGACAATCTTAGAAGGTCAAGATGTAACATAAGGATGTGCCAACAAGAATTTGATCTTTTACTTACTCTGGCGTAACATGGGCATGGAGAGGGAGTCACAATATCGCAGTCCACTGCACATTAATACTGAGATGACAAAACAGTGTTAGGTTTAGCAATTATGAGAAACTTTACTTGAGAAGATATCAGCCAAAGTCAATTCTAGCTGATTGCATTTTTTAATTTAATCCTAAAGTGTGTAATCCTATCTGCAGTTATGAAACTCATTTGTAGAATTATAAATACTTACTTTTTCTAAATCTTAGAGCTCTACTCTTCTCTATGATGTTAGCAGCCATATTTTTAATTTAAGTGTCTATGAAATACTCACTGGGTGCTGGAACATTCCTGCGCTCCAGTGGTCCCTGTATGGCTTTGCCATTGCCTTTGTTGACTGCGATAAAGGCAGTAAAGGCACTGCTCACTCCTGATTGCACACTGAGCTCTACCACCTTCTTCTTGACACTGTCATCCTGCTGTTGTCTGGGCTCTCTGTCCTCCATCTCCAGGCAGCGAATCAGAGCCCGAGCAGCCAGCCTGTGGACTGTTAGTCTGAAAATATTGATATCACATGTTAAAGGATGTGCAGAGGATGTGGATATATTGACGATTACATTACCAGTAATGAACTCTGGAGTCTTCTAAAAATCATTTTATTAAGCTCAGTCAGCGCTATCAGAGTTTGTGATGTTTTTCTTTGTTTTTCTTTCACTCTGTTAGATCTCCAAACACAGCTATATCTTTATCTATATATATGATTTGTTTCAATATGATACATAAAACATCTTGCTGTTCCTCAGTTGTTCAGTGATTGAACAATGGCCATAAGGTCATGTTGCACTGGAACACAACTGAGATCAAGTCTGGTTTAGTTTTTCCTGTGTTTTCATGTTACAGTGTGTACATCTTAGCTCATTTTCTGTGTCAACGACTAAGAAGAAACTTGTTGGTGCCAAATATTTTCCCTTTTTCAAAAATATAAGTTTTAGCATTCATTCAGTGTTGTTCTCAATATTGAAATGAAACTCCATATCGTCATGTCAGGACATATACTGTATAAAGGCTGTTTTGAAAATAATTATTTTTTTACCCAGAATCCTCTGTAGGTTTCAGGTTGAAGCGAAGCTGGTTCTGAGAGGGATGACCTGCCAGGCTGTATTTTACTGTCACACAGCCTTCAGCTGCCTCTGAAATCTGACAGAATTTACAGATTTAGGACCCTTATGAGAGGCAGAGAAGGAGATCAATGTTTAAATGGTTTCAAACCAAAATCTTTACACTATTACACTAAAATACAGAGAACTTCCTCTTCATATGTAACAATTCCTACCTGTCCAGTGAGTCCAGCATAAATCAGAGACCTTTGACCCTGGAAAAGTGATGTGATCGGTGGAGAAAGGACAGTGGCGGACACATCTTTTGGTAAATCCCATGTGACTGAGATGTCCACCACAGCTGGGTGTAGAGCATACCTCAGTGACTGCATCACCTGGTGAAGATAAATCACTTTTAAAAGGTTTACCCCTCCCATCCAACAAACCAAAGTATTGTTGAACATGACAGATTGCTTGTATTTCATGTGGAACTGACTTTTGGTTGCATCCTGTCACTTCCTAAAATGAACTGAGCATGACCTCCTCCTTCCTTGGCCAACCCATTGATGAGAGCGGAGCTGGCCCCTTCTCCAATCCCAAAAGAGAAACATCTGAAATAGAGTTGTTTAACTTTTACCCCAGGCAGCAGGAGAACAATGTATATGTTGTGTGAAATAATCTGGTTGTTTACAAAGTTTCTGGCAGTTCACCTGTGGGCATGTGAATTCTTCTTTACCAGGTCTATAACTCCTTTGGTGTTCCCCACTTCTCCGTCAGTAAATACAAATAGCTAGGGAAGAGAATTTTCATGTTATTCAAATAAACCACAATCATATGCAGCCGTTGTTTTCAGAAGGCTGTTTAGATGTCACAACAGTGAAGTGGTTATTAGTGCCAAGTTTGAAACAAGGTGTGGTGAGGTTAAACTAACTAGTGACTTTAAAAAATAGAACAGACAGATTCTTTTACTGGTGACTGAATAGATTGTTTTAGTTACTGGCAGGGGATGTTGGACCTGTTTCACATGTTTTGTGTGAATGTGTGTGAATGTGTGGTACTTGTCTGGGTTGACTGGGAATGCAGGGCTGGCTGTAGATGTGTTTAAGTGGCTTAAGGATCTCTGTTCCTCCCAGATTAGCCTGCATCTCCTCAACTTTCTTCAAAGCCTTTTCCATTGTCTCCTGGTTGTACTCCACACTCTTACTGTGATTATATCAAAAAATCCTCAAATAACAACAAAGTCAGGGACAAATTTATTGGACAGCCTTTGAGAAGTAACTTACGGGAAAATGGATTCAAAACTGGAGCCAAAACTGTAAATGTTGAAATAGCTGCCCATTGGTAAACTCTTCAGCAGGAGTAGAAGAGTATCCTTCAGGGAAAAACATAATCATGAAAGCTGCTGTCTGATAAGAAAATTCCCGATAGTTTTATATAAGAATATACACATTCATACCCTGGCACTACTAATGCGAGTCTCATTTCTATTGGTGTGGTTCATAGCTGCACCCATACTGCCAGAGCGATCCAATAAGAACACAAACTCTCCACATGTGGCAACTGAGGACATCACAGCCTGTGGGAACTCTGGGTACAGACTCAGCATCACTACTGGATCACCCATCAGAGTGCCTGAGCCACAAAGACATCCAATCTTACTTTTGCTATTCATTTATGTGATTTATCTGCTAGACTAGAGAGTTAGGCTATTAAGATTTGTAAATGCAAAATAGGAACTTCACAAATTTCTACTCACCAAGCTCAGCAGAAGCCTGGCCTGCCTCCACCACCGCAGTGGGCTGGTGGGCATCTTTGTAATAAATCAGAAGTTCAACATCTCTGTCAAATTTGTGCCCTGCAGCCAGCTTGATCTATAGTTTATAGGACACACAAACCAACATGAATGACACATAGTGTTACCAGTAAAGACAACAACATCAGCAGACACATGAATATTCCACCTACCGTGGCTTTGGTTTGCTCTGAGTTGAGGTACTGTAGAGGATCAAGGGAACAGTTGGACTCTATTTTGGAGACAGGACGGGGAGACGACACTTGGGCAGAGAAGGACAGGGTGTAGGGCACCAAGGAGGCTGGACACGAGGTTACTTGGACGTTACCACTTGCACTATCTCCACTTCCTTTGGAGGGGTGACAAATGTTTCAGTTAAAAATACAAGTCTTAACCTTAATCATCATTGAGGCTATTTAGGCAAATTAGGGGCATATCCCTGTTTTTAATGTCAGACACAATTCAGAGAACAGCAGAGTGTTTTCATGTCAAGGAGCTGAATCACTTTCCTTTATGATGGAGAGTCCTAAGCAGACAGAATCGATTAAACAGTGCATCATACACAATAAAATGTCCAAGGATGATGGTGAACATTTAGTTAGTCCCCAAGACTATAAATCCTGGGAAACATTACTTGAAGCAGCCAAAGTGAGAAACCATGCCCCTATTTTAGACATTGCTAAAAAATATTAGAGAAAAGGATGTGCCTACAATTTATTATCACAGAAAATGCCAAAGCCTCTTCACCATGAAGAGGGAATTGGAGTCATTGAAAAAGAAAGCCAAGGAAAGCATTACTGGTGATGAAGATGTTGAGTACGGCTGTGTATCAAAAAGGCCTAAAAGGAGATCTTCATCAGCATCAAGGGTGTATGATCATATCTGCATCTTTTGTATGAGAATGAGAAGTTTTTAAAGGGCTCCAAGTTGCGTGAAAAGCTTACACAAGCTGTACAACTCAGAGCTGACTAAACTTCAAGAGAGTGTGCAACTCAAAAAGGGGATGAAAATATTCTAGCAGTAACAAGCAGAGACATAGTTGCTGCAGAGGCCCACTATCATGTGTCATGCTATAAAGATTATACACGAATCAAGAAAAAGGAACCTGTGTGCAAAAAGAAAAATGAGGAAACAGATCGTGGTGAACTGTATAAAAACATTGAAAGGGAAGCCTATATTGATCTTTTCAAATATATCAGAGCTGATATCATACCCAATAAGACCATTGTGCAAGCAAGTTCTTTGGTCTTGAAACTTGAACAATTAATGCTGTCTAGAGGAATTACATGCTTGCGAGATTATACAAGGAAGAATATTTGCAGGAATCTTGAATCTGAGCTGGGCAATATAGTACATATATTCCCAAATGAGAAAGGAAAATTGCTGATCGTACCACAAAGTGCATCATTTAGGGATGTTGTCTTGAAAAATCAAACACTGCAGAGGGAACTCAAAGTTTGGAGGGCCAAGTCAACCAATTTGAACAAGATCATAGATCAGACTTCATCTCATATTAGATCAGTCATAAAACAGGAGATGACTGAGAGTCCTTGGCCTTTCCATCCATCTGACGTGAAAGATAGTGATGAAAATGATTTTGATTATTAGGTTGTAAACATATAGAAGTCAAAAGTATGATCTGTATAATTGAGAATTGGAGAGATTCAGGCCTACACTATTCCTGAATGGCAAACGTAGGGATATACACCAAAACCACCTTTCTTGGTTTACCTCTGTCCCAGGACAAAGCAAAGAACAAGCCAGGAACTGACATGTAGAGAAGGTGGAGAGGATCCGGGCAAAAATAAACATACAAAAACACAAAAAAAAAACACAAAAAAAACACCCTCCCCTATTGTTACTACCTTGTCGTGGTGGGGAGGCTCGTGTGCCTCAGTGACCCTGAAGACTACGCCGGCCGGGGTTATACCCCTGGTAGGTACAACCAAGCCGGGCAGTTTTCAGGTTAGAGGCCGGTCCAAAAGCAGCATTGCCATCACCCTCTTTCAATGTGCTTTCACTGTGATAATAGTTTCACTGTGATAATAGTTCAGGGGAAAAGGAGTATTTTGGGCAAATTTTAATGAGTTTTGAGCTCATTTGCGTATTGTTGTCTGGCGAAATTAAAATACTTTTCAAACTAGGATTTCATAGGACTTATATTATGTTAGTCTAGACACCTTATAGAAATGATGTATGGTGAAAAGAAACCCTTTCTATAGGTTTTTTGGGGGGTTAAGTTGCATGTTTTTATATATTGACCCATGTAATTTTCGCCTAGTGTTATAAAATAAAATGCATGATAGCACACATTTAGCTACCACTGCTGCAATGCTATCACATATTTTCTAACTCTATACATGTATACAATGTCAAAAATCACTATGAGCATTATTCCCCTCAGTTGATACCGACCAACCCCCCTGGCTCATGGCCTAATAAGGCTGTCATTAATGGGGCTGCTCAAAGTGGTCAACCACTTTGTCTCTTAGTTTGCTGAGTTTCAAGTTTTAAAGATTTGACTTTTACAAGCACTAATAAAAAGGTGCAATGCCAATCCACCAATATAGATGCAGTTTCAAAGTTACTGACACGTGTTTTTGCTCGTTTTACCTACCCTTAGGTTGGTAGCGAGGGTTAAGCACAGCAGGCAGACAAAACCTCAGTCCAGAATCAGCCTGCACATTCAGCTCAGTGACATATTCCAGCCTGATTGAGGCACTCTCTCCGGGTTGAAGACTGCCTACACTCAGGGAGAATATATCCGGACTTTGCTCACTCTCCTCCAACAGAAAGGCTTCCAAACCAGAGCTTAAAGCATCATCGTAGTCCTCACGTGCCTAGAGTACAGATTACATGAGTCACCTTAATTTTTACATTTATTATACTGATAGTCTCACAGTAAATAGTCAATCCTCACTGTGTTGCTCACCTCTTGTTTCTCCTTGACCTCTGCAATGATCTGTGTCTGTCCAAGCGTAGCGCTAAAATGACAGACAGCAGCATCTCCAGGCAGAGGGAAGACAAAAACAGCTTCTAATGGTTTGTCCTCTTTGTTCTCGTAATTGAGAGTGGAGACCACAGTAGCCACATGGTCCCTCACCTCCACCTCCACCTCCACACTCTTTAAGGGAACTGACAAAGTAACAAAGAGAAACATAATGATCATCGATCATCAACAGCAAACACTCATAAAGTAACAACAAAGAAAACAAAACATACAACAAATTTACATAATTCTTTATTATTGTTGTTGTTGTTAAAATCATTTAAATCTGTTTAAAGCAACAAAAGTCGAAGTTAGTTTTAAGGTTTGAATAAAAGACAGGAAATAAAGATTCTGTATTGGTAAAATAAATAAATAAATAAAAAGCATTTTGAAGCTCTCTACCTGGTTCCTTTCTTGCAGAGAGCAGACCACAATGGTTCACCATGATGCTGGTTCACACACAGTCAAGGAAGTAACTGCTGTCAAAAAGAGAACGTGAGAAGCTAGACTGGAGTGGTGCTGTGCTGACAAATCACAGTGAAGCAAACATTGTACATATATGCATGTGTGTGTGTGTGTGTGTGTGTGTGTGTGTGTGTGTGTGTGTGTGTGTGTGTGTGTGTGTGTGTGTGTGTGTGTGTGTGTAGGTCTATAGTGATTAACCAATGTTTGCATTCATGGTTATATATTTGTATTAATACACTTCTCTATTTTCTGTTGTAGAAACCACACACATTCATAAATTCCTGTATCTACAGCCAACAGAATTAAACAAAATGAATAAAAGACTGGAAACAGGAAGTGAAAGTATGGAGTAAAGTAAACCATCGAGTTTCTTTATTTCGACCCTAATATTGATCACTATTATATATCTTACAATTTCAGCTGTTTTTCTCTGATTTCCATGATGCGTGCTCTCTGGGAAATAAGAGGGGGCGGTTCCATTTTTTTCTTGGGCGTATTTTTCGCATTTTTTTTCTCCTAAATTTAGGATTATTGATGGAGGAGTGTCCGTTATCTCTACCAATTGTCCTCTTAAAGCTGTGATTAATATTGGTTATAACTTATACCACTGACACATTCAACCAAATCACAGTATCGCGGAAATGTATCAGACACCTACCTGTCTTAAAAGTTCACGACCCACGAGACGTCCCAGAAGTGGTAAACTGCGTCATATGCGGAAGTGTCCTGACAATAAATGCTCTGTCAACTTCGGCACACGCCCATGGGCTGTCTGGTGGATTAGAGCTGTTATTTTTATTAGCTGACGAGAATCAGATGGGATTTACCCCCCATATACGGTTTATAGTTTTGGTTCGCTCGGTTCTCTTGCACTGGAGCGTTGCATAATCTGGCGATAGTGATCTGACGAAAATAGGTCAGGGATCAAAAACTCTATTCCACCGTGGCACTGATCCGTGTGGAGTTTACTTACTTAATCTGATGATGGCAAAACATTTCTTGCTGGTGTCGCAGGAGGAGGAAAGATCAGTGAGGAGAGTTTCAGTGAAGGCAACCAGAAGTGACAACTGGTGCGACAACGCCACCTAGGGACTGTCACCCCAGAATGTGTATTACATCAACCTCTACAAAACACAAGGCAGCACGAGTTCAACAACTGAAAGACGGAGACGTGGTTCATCATCATCATTTCAATTTACTATAACTTTTGAAAAGAAAATAACTCAGGGGACTAGAGTGGATGAATCCTCACAGAATAAGCCAGATTTAATTCAACTGTTCTAAATGGAGACGCCAATCTCATGGCCTTGCAGTCAGAGGTAATGTAATAAATATTAAAGTGGGGACAGTAATTATTAAGTGGAAATGCTGATTAAGCATTTCCACTTCTTGTTATTCTCCTATTTATTTATCTATTATTATTATTATTATTATTATTATTATTATTATTATTATTGCGAACCTTTTTGGCACTTTCTAACTCCTTCCCACTTTGTGCTGTTTCAACCATTCAGCTCTTAAACTATTCCTCTCCTTCAGAACAAGTGCGGATGTATTTTTCTCCTTCCTACTTTTTATACTTTTGGATATTTTTTTACTTTTTGTGCAAATTTTTTCCTATTAAATAAATGGGGAAATCTTCAAATTCTACCTTTTACTCTTTCACCTTCTCAGCCTCATATCTTCAGTATACTTTCACCTACAGGCCTCATTTTTGCTTTAAAATGTTCACAATCTTCTCCTTGTATTAACTTTTTTGTGCTATCTTCTACAGTTTTTCCACAATTTAGCTCTGAGCACCTCATGGTTTTCAGCAAATTTCAGGCTTATAATGTGGCTGTGACAGCTACAGTGGGTGATGTCATCGCAAGAGTGGAGAGACCTTTTTTGATCGACAAAACCTAGCTCAAATATAAGCTTCCTTGCCCACAAATTTTACTCCACAGCCATAAAAAAATACATCTAAATGGAGGTAAATAAGTCCTGCTTCTCACGAAAGAGGTTTCAAATCATTAAGTCATACCCCTTGGCCAGTCAGTGACCAACTGTCTAAGCAGGCCGCGATTCTGCCCATTGACCGTAATGGAATTTTTGGGCAAGAAAATTGTGATCATCACTCAGGGTCAACACTGTTTAACTTGCTGTTGTGGCCTCATTTTTTTAGAGTACAGACATGAAAAACACATCATTGTGTTCCTGGGGATCTCAGAACTCCTACAATGTTCTTATTTTCATCCTGGGATTAAAGGAAAATGTGCTATGTGAAGAAGTTCAGAGGCTTCAAATTCACTGGGGTTAGGCAGCTTCTTCTGGCTGAAAGGTTTCCAGGGTAATGTCCATAAGTGGTTTAAACATGTTGTTCATATTAGAACACAATATGCATTTATTAATGGTGAAGTGTCAACGAGAAAGTATGGAGTACCTTAAGGATCCGTATTAGAGCCATTATTGTTTTTGATTTACACTAATAATATTGTTTCACTTTAAAAAACTACAGTCCCTTTGCTCTTTGCAGATGATACCAACCTATTTACCTCCAAGAGAGACTTTGCAACTCTAATTAGAGAAACAAATAAAGACCTTTCCTATTATGATACTTGGTTTCAGTCAAACAAATTATCTCTAAAATTCAAAAACAAAAAGTAATTTTATTTGCAGGAAATAAGAAATATTCTAGTGAGCAATAAAAACTTCCCATTGTCACAATCGGTATCATCAACATGTTTTTTTGGGGTATCCAGATTGATCATGAACTCTCCTGGAGGGGAAAGGTTGAATTTTTCTGCGGAAAGGTAACTACATCTCTTGAGATGTTAAGATTTTTTTATGTGAAGTTGCTCTAAGGAACATGGATTACCCACTTCATAAACACCTTAATGGACCAAAAGGCCAATGGTGGTGGACGGCTCCTCTCTTTTCATTGCCGGACAGAAAGGTTCAGAAGTTCTTTGGTATCCGCAGCCATCAGACTTTAAAACTCTTTTATATATATAGTAGATGACCCAGAATAAATAAATCACTCCCTAGCAATTAATTAAAAACTCTGTGGATGATTTTGGATATTTTCAGATGCAACTAAAGGCTGTATTGGGAAGAATCCAACATCTTTTGCTTCAGGTCTTAATATATTACAGTTGGAAAAGATATCTGAGTTGGAAAATCATCTTAGAACATGTCTTAGAACTCTCTCAGCAAAATAATTACTCCCAGGATGTGTCCTCCACACTTGTAAAGATTAAGACTGAGCTTAAAACATTCATTAGAAAAAGAGCTGAATTTGCTTTTCATAGAGCTAGACTCAATTACTGTTTTCATGGAAATTGACCGAGTCAGTTTTTGGCCAATAAATTATGCAATTGTAACTATCCTGCAAGTATGGACACTTTAAAATCATGAGACATGGAGTTTCTTACAGATCCCAAATCAATTAATATCCAATCTACAACTGTATTGTTTATTCATCCACTAACTCAAGTCTCTCTTTATCTGTTATTTCTATTGATGCTGAGAAGGCTTTCGATCACCCAGAGTGGCGATACCTTTGGTGCATTTTAGAATATATGGGCATAGGTGAAAGATGTATAAACTTGGTTACCATTGTATTTGCAAATCCATCAGCCAGCGTCATTACTGGAAACATTAGTTCTCCATCATTCAAAATCACACGAGGGAGCAGGCAAGGTGATCCATTATCACCATTGTTGTTTATCCTATCAATGGAGCTATTAGCACGAATCTCCGTCAATCTCAAATGGTCAAACATATGACCGTTAACTCTACTGATCATCATATCTCTCTTTAAGCTGATGTCATCTTGGCATACCCGAATGATACTTCTCATTCTGTTTTTACTATTTTTACAAAATTTGATTCCATCTTAAATTATAAAATAAACTGGTCCTAATCTTCCATGTTTCTGAGGAATCCCTCCTTGTGTTATAACTCCAAAGAAATCCTTTTGATATTTAAAATATTTAGGTATCGATATTTTCCCTTCTATTGAAAAAAAGTATTGAGGAGTATTGACCATCAAAATGAGCATATTGCCCAGAATACATTTCTGTTGCTAAATGATTCCTATTGCTCCACCCTGTGGGTACTGGGATAAATTACATAGAAACATAACAAAAGTATCATAGAAAGATAAACAAGCTTGTGTGAAACCCAAAATAATGCAGAATGAAAAACAATCTGGTGGACTTGCTGTTCCAAACTTCAAACTTTATTTTCAATCATTGACGTTTTGCTCCTGATCAAATTGGTTTGACTTGGATTCAAACATGCCCTGAGTAAGAATTGAGAAAGATACTGTTGCACCCAATTCCTTACAGGACATACTATTTATGAAAATTTCAGCTGAACAGTCAAGAGTGTGTGATGGTCCAATAACTGCAACTGCGGTTTCAAAGTATGAAATACGTTCCTCAGAGGAAAAATTCTGGATAACATACAGTAGGCGATGTCATAGATGTAAATGGCCTGAAGACTTTTTTCTGTTTTAAAATATGAGTTTCAAGTAACGGGGTTTTCTCTTTTTTCTGTACATAATTACAACTGAGATCAGCAATGAAAGCATATGGGGATCTGTGGTTCCAACTGCCAATACATCTGTTAATCAATTTTACAAATTAATTCATAGGTCTCCCAATAGGACAAATTTCTGCAAGATACCAAGTTCTCTTGAACAGAACTAAATCACCTTTATACATGGAAGCACGAAATACTGAATTAGGCTGTCAACATATTGACTGAGAAAAAGTTTGGAGAAACATTAACATGATATCCTGAAACCTAAATCATCAATTAATACACTTCAACTTTGCTCATAGAACTTATTTAACACCCTCAATTCTTTTGCAATTTATTTGGGAAACAACTCGTGTGGATTTTGTGAAAAGGATATTGACAATGTGGAACTTCTTTTCTTTCACTGTAAAATTGTCCAGGGTTTTTGACTTGCATTTCAGGAGTGGCTCAGCTCTAAGGATATTATTTTGCAACCTTTAATAGTGATGTCAGTTAAAACTGGAGTATTTATGAAAGAGAAAAATGTAGAATTTCAGGTAAATAACTTGATGTTGATGGGAAATTATTCCATTCACTGCTGTAAAGAAAGTTATCAGTCTCCATCCTGCTGTTCTTTATCATTAGAGAACTTTATCCAACCACCTCACATTACATTAATCAGAGGAGGGAGTGAACCTGTGCAACTTTGTAATGAGAGTCAATGGAGGCCTAGTCAGGAAAACATGATCATCCACTGTCGACCAGCCACCACTGCTAACAACAGCACTGTCGCTCCAGGGGAGTCTTTACTGCATGGTACCATAAATGAGTGATCCAGTTAAACTGTATTCACAAACTTGTCCAAAAGTCAAAAAGAGACAAACCACACAGGTCAGATGTGAGAGGCTGCATTTTTGCCACAAACTTTATTGTAAGTTGTATGGTTAGCCGACTACAATGCATGACACAAACAAGCACTTTTCTTATACATTTCAAAAATCAGACAAAGACAAGAATCTTGATTTTCCTTCATTTATACATAAAAAGCAAGACACCACAATTAAAATTAATTTAATGTAGACATGCTGAACTGATGAAATACTTTATCTTGCTGTAATCGCTCATTTTGAGGCATATGTTGCACTGCAGCATTTATTATGATTTAATTTCTATGCATCTTATTTTTATGTCAACCTTTGGAAGGGTTTTTGTACATGAAATATGTCCATAATTATTCCATCTTTGCATTATGATGCTTCTCTCTGTTTTCTAAGATGTATACCTCCATCCAAGAGAGGGCACTGTGGGCCTGTTCAAGCAGGAATATCCTCACGTGTATTTAAGATTTCAGCTCAACACTAAAGTACTTTCTGTGCACAAACTCAGCAGAAGAAGCAAACCAAAACTCTCTTGACTGATTTGTGTAAATTTAGGTTGATTCAAACTTTTTAAGTACATTTGGCAGCGTGGCTTCTTGTCTTACAAGTACCACGCTGTCACCTGCTTTAACCGTTCTGGCAGTTTTTTGCGAGTTATGGGCTTCTCTGTAGTAAGGCCTCATTAGCTTAGCAACGTTTTGTCTCTGTCAATATAAACATAAAACAACAGTGCTGCTTTACACTGACATATTTAGCGAGCTAATTCTTGACACATTATGATTAGCAAAAACTGCAAAAAACTGAAGAACAAAAAAAAGGCAACACTTCATTCAATGTTAACACCCCACACTTTGCAGTGCATTTCACTCATGTATTATGATGACCCCCACTGGGATGATTGGCTGATCTGTAATTATAGGATGGCTTCATTCTGTGCCATTCTTGAAGTCATGTGTCAGTATCTCAGAACCCCAGAGAGTCTTTTGTGACGTTGCAGCCCAAGAGTGCATTTCCAGCATCCACACACTCATTTAGATCTGATGCTGAAAACAAAAAAAATCAATCAGAGGTTTGAATGTGATCAAAAAGATTATTTTAAACTGCGCACACACTCAACGACATTTTATCTACAATGCGTCCGAAAAGTATTCACAGAGCTAGACTTCTTTTTCTTTTTTTTTTCTTTTTTTTTTACATTTTCTTGTGTTACTGTTTTATTTAGAATTATTTTCATGTGTCACAAAGACTGAACTCTGTGGCCTGAATTTCCAAGTGTCATGTTTGGAGGAAACCACGCACCACTCATCACCTTTCCAATACCATCCCTACAGTGAAGCATGGTGGTGGCAGCATCAGGCTGTGGTGATGTTTTTTAGTAGCAGGAACTGGAAGACCAGTCAGGGTCAAGGGAAAGATGAATGCAGCAATGTACAGAGACATCCTTAATGATAACATGTTCCAGAGTACTCTGGACCTTGGATTGGGGCGAAGATTCATCTTTCTACAGGACAAAGACCCTACGCACACAGCCGAGATAACAAAGTAGTGGCTTCAGGACAACTTTGTGAAAGTCCTTGAGTGGCCAACCAGAGCCCAGACTTGAACCCAATTGAGCATCTCTGGAGAGATCTGAAAATGGCTGTACACTAACGCTCTCCATCCAACTTGGTATAGCTGGAGAGGTTCTGCCAAAAAAGGATGGGAGAACCTGCCCAAAAATAGGTGTGCCCAGCTTGTAGCATCATACTCAAAAAGACTTGAGGCTGAAATTGCTGCCAAAAGTAAATCGACCAAGTACTGAGCAAACACTGTGAATACTACCGTACATGTTTTATTTCGGTTGTAACTTTCAATCAATTTGCAAGAGTTTCAGACAAACTTTTTCACTTTGTCATTATGGGTAATTGTGTGTCAAATTTAAAGGTAAATGTGAAAAAAGTGTAGCACTATGAATACTTTCCAGATGCTCTGTATGTTTATCAGTGCTCTTACAGTTCTGGGCACGGAGCCATGACACAGCCTTCATAGCCAGGAGCTCCCACTCTTCCCTGACGTCCATCTTGAAACCATGAAGCCAGATCAGAGACAGCACAGTGGCCCATATTTCCATATTCACCTTAATAGCAAAATTAGAGAGATGAAGATCTTGCAGGCAATAGATTATGAAATCTTATTCACACTCAGTCCCTTACAACATTACAAATGTTGTTTTAAAAATAACAGACCGATGCAGGTTTTGGCTTTTTCAACTCTTCACTAGTCTTGCCAAGTGCTGTAGCCAAAGCTGGACTAAGGTCCCAGCAGCCAGATGCCTTCTGAAGGGAGACCAAGTGAAGCAAAGGGTCCATGGTGGGCAGAGGAGATGTCTCAGGGACATCTGACAAAGGAAATTAGTATGCAAAGATAAAAAAAACAGTCTTTGTGGAATTGATATGCATTTGAAGCATTCATTGTTTCCACTGTTGTCTCTTTGACACTGTTGTGCAGATATGCTGCATCAGTCTGCAGAGATCTTTTACCTGATTGGACAACCTTCTGTTTCTTTCCTTTCCATGAAAAGAGGCTAGGTTTGAAAGATTTAGTTTTTTTCTTTTTGGCTGTTGAGAGAGTAGAAAAAAACAGCCTGAGATATATAAAACTAGCAATGTTAGATAGAAAACCAACAATATCATAATAAAAACTACACACACAAAAAGCATTTTGTTATAATACTCCTTCTTTGTAACAGAGGTACTAAGATAAGAACAGGGTTACCATCCACACAGTGAAAATGAGGGCACAAAGTTATTTTAAAAAATCCAACAGCAAGTGCATCCTGATCAAGAAAAAGAAGTATCCCCAAAATATTATCAATTTAAAATGACTTGTCTGAATATATATATACATATACACATATATAGTTACACATATACATATATATACATATATACATATACATACATACACACACACACACACACACACACACACACACACACATACCCACACACACACATATATACAGTATATATGGGGTTTAAAAATCATTTAATTACTTACAGTCAAAAGAGATGTCACAGGACTCTATAGCGCATAATTGAAGGCTCCTGTTACTGGGAATACCTGAGAGTTTAGTAGGACAATCTTAGAAGGTCAAGATGTAACATAAGGATGTGCCAACAAGAATTTGATCTTTTACTTACTCTGGCATAACATGGGCATGGAGAAGGAGTCATAAGATTGCAATCCACTGCACTTTGATACTGAGATGACAAAACAGTGTTAGGTTTAGCAATTATGAGAAACTTTACTTGAGAAGATATCAGCCAAAGTCAATTCTAGCTGATTGCATTTTTTAATTTAATCCTAAAGTGTGTAATCCTATCTGCAGTTATGAAACTCATTTGTAGAATTATAAATAGTTACTTTTTCTAAATCTTAGAGCTCTACTCTTCTCTATGATGTTAGCAGCCATATTTTTAATTAAAGTGTCTATGAAATACTCACTGGGCGCTGGAACATTCCTGCGCTCCAGTGGTCCCTGTATGGCTTTGCCATTGCCTTTGTTGACTGCGATAAAGGCAGTAAAGGCACTGCTCACTCCTGATTGCACACTGAGCTCTACCACCTTCTTCTTGACACTGTCATCCTGCTGTTGTCTGGGCTCTCTATCCTCCATCTCCAGGCAGCGAATCAGAGCCCGAGCAGCCAGCCTGTGGACTGTTAGTCTGAAAATATTGATATCACATGTTAAAGGATGTGCAGAGGATGTGGATATATTGACGATTACATTACCAGTAATGAACTCTGGAGTCTTCTAAAAATCATTTTATTAAGCTCAGTCAGCGCTATCAGAGTTTGTGATGTTTTTCTTTCACTCTGTTAGATCTCCAAACACAGCTATATCTTTATCTATATATATGATTTGTTTCAATATGATACATAAAACATCTTGCTGTTCCTCAGTTGTTCAGTGATTGAACAATGGCCATAAGGTCATGTTGCACTGGAACACAACTGAGATCAAGTCTGGTTTAGTTTTTCTGTGTTTTCATGTTACAGTGTGTACATCTTAGCTCATTTTCTGTGTCAACGACTAAGAAGAAACTTGTTGGTGCCAAATATTTTCCCTTTTTCAAAAATATAAGTTTTAGCATTCATTCAGTGTTGTTCTCAATATTGAAATGAAACTCCATATCGTCATGTCAGGACATATACTGTATAAAGGCTGTTTTGAAAATAATTATTTTTTTACCCAGAATCCTCTGTAGGTTTCAGGTTGAAGCGAAGCTGGTTCTGAGAGGGATGACCTGCCAGGCTGTATTTTACTGTCACACAGCCTTCAGCTGCCTCTGAAATCTGACAGAATTTACAGATTTAGGACCCTTATGAGAGGCAGAGAAGGAGATCAATGTTTAAATGGTTTCAAACCAAAATCTTTACACTATTACACTAAAATACAGAGAACTTCCTCTTCATATGTAACAATTCCTACCTGTCCAGTGAGTCCAGCATAAATCAGAGACCTTTGACCCTGGAAAAGTGATGTGATCGGTGGAGAAAGGACAGTGGCGGACACATCTTTTGGTAAATCCCATGTGACTGAGATGTTCACCACAGCTGGGTGTAGAGCATACCTCAGTGACTGCATCACCTGGTGAAGATAAATCACTTTTAAAAGGTTTACCCCTCCCATCCAACAAACCAAAGAATTGTTGAACATGACAGATTGCTTGTATTTCATGTGGAACTGACTTTTGGTTGCATCCTGTCACTTCCTAAAATGAACTGAGCATGACCTCCTCCTTCCTTGGCCAACCCATTGATGAGAGCGGAGCTGGCCCCTTCTCCAATCCCAAAAGAGAAACATCTGAAATAGAGTTGTTTAACTTTTACCCCAGACAGCAGGAGAACAATGTATATGTTGTGTGAAATAATCTGGTTGTTTACAAAGTTTCTGGCAGTTCACCTGTGGGCATGTGAATTCCTCTTTACCAGGTCTATAATTTCTTTGGTGTTCCACACTTCTCCGTCAGTAAATACAAATAGCTAGGGAAGAGAATTTTCATGTTATTCAAATATATCACAATCATTTGCAGCCGTTGTTTTCAGAAGGCTGTTTAGATGCCACAACATTGAAGTGGTTATTAGTGCCAAGTTTGAAACAAGGTGTGGTGAGAATAAACTAACTAGTGACTGTAACACCAGAACAGAAAGATTCTTTTACTGGTGACTGAATAGATTGTTTTAGTTACTGGCAGGGGATGTTGGACCTGTTTCACATGTTTTGTGTGAATGTGTGTGAATGTGTGGTACTTGTCTGGGTTGACTGGGAATGCAGGGCTGGCTGTAGATGTGTTTAAGTGGCTTAAGGATCTCTGTTCCTCCCAGATTAGCCTGCATCTCCTCAACTTTCTTCAAAGCCTTTTCCATTGTCTCCTGGTTGTACTCCACACTCTTACTGTGATTACATCAAAAAATCCTCAAATAACAACAAAGTCAGGGACAAATTTATTGGACAGCCTTTGAGAAGTAACTTACGGGAAAATGGATTCAAAACTGGAGCCAAAACTGTAAATGTTGAAATAGCTGCCCATTGGTAAACTCTTCAGCAGGAGTAGAAGAGTATCCTTCAGGGAAAAACATAATCATGAAAGCTGCTGTCTGATAAGAAAATTCCCGATAGTTTTATATAAGAATATACACATTCATACCCTGGCACTACTAATGCGAGTCTCATTTCTATTGGAGTGGTTCATAGCTGCACCCATACTGCCAGAGCGATCCAATAAGCACACAAACTCTCCACATGTGGCAACTGAGGACATCACAGCCTGTGGGAACTCTGGGTACAGACTCAGCATCACTACTGGATCACCCATCAGAGTGCCTGAGCCACAAAGACATCCAATCTTACTTTTGCTGTTTATTAAAGTATGTGATTTATTTGCTAGACTAGAGAGTTAGGCTATTAAGATTTGTAAATGCAAAATAGGAACTTCACAAATTTCTACTCACCAAGCTCAGCAGAAGCCTGGCCTGCCTCCACCACCGCAGTGGGCTGGTGGGCATCTTTGTAATAAATCAGAAGTTCAACATCTCTGTCAAATTTGTGCCCTGCAGCCAGCTTGATCTATAGTTTATAGGACACACAAACCAACATGAATGACACATAGTGTTACCAGTAAAGACAACAACATCAGCAGACACATGAATATTCCACCTACCGTGGCTTTGGTTTGCTCTGAGTTGAGGTACTGTAGAGGATCAAGGGAACAGTTGGACTCTATTTTGGAGACAGGACGGGGAGACGACACTTGGGCAGAGAAGGACAGGGTGTAGGGCACCAAGGAGGCTGGACACGAGGTTACTTGGACGTTACCACTTGCACTATCTCCACTTCCTTTGGAGGGGTGACAAATGTTTCAGTTAAAAATACAAGTCTTAACCTTAATCATCATTGAGGCTATTTAGGCAAATTAGGGGCATATCCCTGTTTTTAATGTCAGACACAATTCAGAGAACAGCAGAGTGTTTTCATGTCAAGGAGCTGAATCACTTTCCTTTATGATGGAGAGTCCTAAGCAGACAGAATCGATTAAACAGTGCATCATACACAATAAAATGTCCAAGGATGATGGTGAACATTTAGTTAGTCCCCAAGACTATAAATCCTGGGAAACATTACTTGAAGCAGCCAAAGTGAGAAACCATGCCCCTATTTTAGACATTGCTAAAAAATATTAGAGAAAAGGATGTGCCTACAATTTATTATCACAGAAAATGCCAAAGCCTCTTCACCATGAAGAGGGAATTGGAGTCATTGAAAAAGAAAGCCAAGGAAAGCATTACTGGTGATGAAGATGTTGAGTACGGCTGTGTATCAAAAAGGCCTAGAAGGAGATCTTCATCAGCATCAAGGGTGTATGATCATATCTGCATCTTTTGTATGAGAATGAGAAGTTTTTAAAGGGCTCCAAGTTGCGTGAAAAGCTTACACAAGCTGTACAACTCAGAGCTGACCAAACTTCAAGAGAGTGTGCAACTCAAAAAGGGGATGAAAATATTCTAGCAGTAACAAGCAGAGACATAGTTGCTGCAGAGGCCCACTATCATGTGTCATGCTATAAAGATTATACACGAATCAAGAAAAAGGAACCTGTGTGCAAAAAGAAAAATGAGGAAACAGATCGTGGTGAACTGTATAAAAACATTGAAAGGGAAGCCTATATTGATCTTTTCAAATATATCAGAGCTGATATCATACCCAATAAGACCATTGTACAAGCAAGTTCTTTGGTCTTGAAACTTGAACAATTAATGCTGTCTAGAGGAATTACATGCTTGCGAGATTATACAAGGAAGAATATTTGCAGGAATCTTGAATCTGAGCTGGGCAATATAGTACATATATTCCCAGATGAGAAAGGAAAATTGCTGATCGTACCACAAAGTGCATCATTTAGGGATGTTGTCTTGAAAAATCAAACACTGCAGAGGGAACTCAAAGTTTGGAGGGCCAAGTCAACCAATTTGAACAAGATCATAGATCAGACTTCATCTCATATTAGATCAGTCATAAAACAGGAGATGACTGAGAGTCCTTGGCCTTTCCATCCATCTGACGTGAAAGATAGTGATGAAAATGATTTTGATTATTAGGTTGTAAATGTGTAGAAGTCAAAAGTATGATCTGTATAATTGAGAATTGGAGAGATTCAGGCCTACACTATTCCTGAATGGCAAACGTAGGGATATACACCAAAACCACCTTTCTTGGTTTACCTCTGTCCCAGGACAAAGCAAAGAACAAGCCAGGAACTGACATGTAGAGAAGGTGGTGAGGATCCGGGCAAAAATAAACATACAAAAACACAAAAAAAAAACACAAAAAACACCCTCCCCTATTGTTACTACCTTGTCGTGGTGGGGAGGCTCGTGTGCCTCAGTGACCCTGAAGACTACGCCAGCCGGGGTTATACCCCTGGTAGGTACAACCAAGCCGGGCAGTTTTCAGGTTAGAGGCCGGTCCAAAAGCAGCATTGCCATCACCCTCTTTCAATGTGCTTTCACTGTGATAATAGTTTCACTGTGATAATAGTTCGGGGGAAAAGGAGTATTTTGGGCAAATTTTAATGAGTTTTGAGCTCATTTGCGTATTGTTGTCTGGCGAAATTAAAATACTTTTCCAAATAGGATTTCATAGGACTCATATTATGTTAGTCTAGACACCTTATAGAAATGATGTATGGTGAAAAGAAACCCTTTCTATAGGTTTTTTGGGGGGTTAAGTTGTATGTCTTCATAAATTGACCCATGTAATTTTCGCCTAGTGTTATAAAATAAAATGCATGATAGCACACATTTAGCTACCACTGCTGCAATGCTATCACATATTTTCTAACTCTATACATGTATACAATGTCAAAAATCACTATGAGCATTATTCCCCTCAGTTGATACCGACCAACCCCCCTGGCTCATGGCCTAATAAGGCTGTCATTAATGGGGCTGCTCAAAGTGGTCAACCACTTTGTCTCTTAGTTTGCTGAGTTTCAAGTTTTAAAGATTTGACTTTTACAAGCACTAAAAGAAAGGTGCAATGCCAATCCACCAATATAGATGCAGTTTCAAAGTTACTGACACGTGTTTTTGCTTGTTTTTCCTACCCTGAGGTTGGTAGCGAGGGTTAAGCACAGCAGGCAGACAAAACCTCAGTCCAGAATCAGCCTGCACATTCAGCTCAGTGACATATTCCAGCCTGATTGAGGCACTCTCTCCGGGTTGAAGACTGCCTACACTCAGGGAGAATATATCCGGACTTTGCTCACTCTCCTCCAACAGAAAGGCTTCCAAACCAGAGCTTAAAGCATCATCGTAGTCCTCACGTGCCTAGAGTACAGATTACATGAGTCACCTTAATTTTTACATTTATTATACTGATAGTTTCACAGTAAATAGTTAATCCTCACTGTGTTGCTCACCTCCTGTTTCTCCTTGACCTCTGCAATGATCTGTGTCTGTCCAAGCGTAGCGCTAAAATGACAGACAGCAGCATCTCCAGGCAGAGGGAAGACAAAAACTGCTTCTAATGGTTTGTCCTCTTTGTTCTCGTAATAGAGAGTGGAGACCACAGTTGCCACATGGTCCCTCACCTCCACCTCCACCTCCACACTCTTTAAAGGAACTGACCAAGCAACAAAGAGAAACATAATGGTCATCGATCATCAACAGCAAACACTCATAAAGTAACAACAAAGAAAACAAAACATACAACAAATTTACATAATTCTTTATTGTTGTTGTTGTTAAAATCATTTAAATCTGTTTAAAGCAACAAAAGTCAGTTAGTTTTAAGGTTTGAATAAAAGACAGGAAACAAAGATTCTGTATTGGTAAAATAAATAAATAAATAAAAAGCATTTTGAAGCTCTCTACCTGGTTCCTTTCTTGCAGAGAGCAGACCACAATGGTTCACCATGATGCTGGTTCACACACAGTCAAGGAAGTAACTGCTGTCAAAAAGAGAACGTGAGAAGCTAGACTGGAGTGGTGCTGTGCTGACAAATCACAGTGAAGCAAACATTGTACATATATATGCATGTGTGTGTGTGTGTGTGTGTGTGTGTGTGTGTGTGTGTGTGTGTGTGTGTGTGTGTGTGTGTGTGTGTGTGTGTGTGTGTGTGTGTAGGTCTATAGTGATTAACCAATGTTTGCATTCATGGTTATATATTTGTATTAATACACTTCTCTATTTTCCTATTTTCTGTTGTAGAAACCACACACATTCATAAAGTCCTGTATCTACAGCCAACAGAATTAAACAAAAATGAATAAAAGACTGGAAACAGGAAGTAAAAGTATGGAGTCAAGTAAACCATCGAGTTTTTTATTTCGACCCTAATATTGATCACTATTATAAATCTTACAATTTCAGCTGTTTTTCTCCGATTTCCATGATGCGTGCACTCTGGGAAATAAGAGGGGGCGGTTCCATTTTTTTCTTAGGCGTATTTTTCGCATTTTTTTCTCCTAAATTTAGGATTATTGATGGAGGAGTGTCCGTTATCTCTACCAATTGTCCTCTTAAAGCTGTGATTAATATTGGTTATAACTTATACCACTGACACATTCAACAAAATCACAGTATCACGGAAATGTATCAGACACCTACCTGTCTTAAAAGTTCACGACCCACGAGACGTCCCAGAAGTGGTAAACTGCGTCATATGCGGAAGTGTCCTGACAATAAATGCTCTGTCAACTTCGGCACACGCCCATGGGCTGTCCGGTGGATTTGAGCTGTTATTTTTATTAGCTGACGAGAATCAGAGGGGATTTACCCCCCATATACGGTTTATAGTTTTGGTTCGCTCGGTTCTCTGGCACTGGAGCGTTGCATAATCTGGCGATAGTGATCTGACGAAAATAGGTCAGGGATCAAAAACTCTATTCTATCGTGGCACTGATCCGTGTGGAGTTTACTTACTTAATCTGAGAATGGCAAAACATTTCTTGCTGGTGTCGCAGGAGGAGGAAAGATCAGTAAGGAGAGTTTCAGTGAAGGCAACCAGAAGTGACAACTGGTGCGTCAACGCCACCTAGGGACTGTCACTCCAGAATGTGTATTACATCAACCTCTACAAAACACAAGGCAGCACGAGTTTAACAACTGAAAGACAGAGACGTGGTTCATCATCATTTCAATTTACTATAACTTTTGAAAAGAAAATAACTCAGGGGACTAGAGTGGATGAATCCTCACAGAATAAGCCAGATTTAATTCAACTGTTCTAAATGGAGACGCCAATCTCATGGCCTTGCAGTCAGAGGTAATATAATAAATATTAAAGTGGGGACAGTAATTGTTAAGTGGAAATGCTGATTAAGCATTTCCACTTATTGTTATTCTCCTATTTATTTATCTATTTTTATTATTATTATTATTATTATTATTATTATTATTATTGCGAACCTTTTTGGCACTTTCTAACTCTTTCCCACTTTGTGCTGTTTCAACCATTCAGCTCTTAAACTATTCCTCTCCTTCAGAACAAGTGCAGATGTATTTTTCTCTTTTCTACCCTTTATACTTTTTGATATTTTTTTTACTTTTTGTGCAAATTTTTTCCTATTAAATAAATGGGGAAATCTTCAAATTCTACCTTTTACTCTTTCACCTTCTCAGCCTTATATCTTCAGTATACTTTCACCTACAGGCCTCATTTTTGCTTTAAAATGTTCACAATCTTCTCCTTGTATCAACTTTTTTGTGCTTTCTTCTACAGTTTTTCCACAATTTAGCTCTGAGCACCTCATGGTTTTCAGCAAATTTCAGGCTTATAATGGGTGTGTATTGGACAAGCTACAGTGGGTGATGTCATCGCAAGAGTGGAGAGACCTTTTTTGATCGACAAAACCTAGCTCAAATATACGCTTCCTCGCCCACAAATTTTACACCACAGCCATAAAAAATACATCTAAATCTCACGAAAGAGGTTTCAAATCATTAAGTCATACCCCTTGGCCAGCCAGTGACCAACTGTCCAAGCTGGGCGGCGATTCTGCCCATTGACCGTAATGGAATTTTGGGGCAAGAAAATTGTGATCATCACTCAGGGTCAACACTGTTTAACTTGCTGTTGTGGCCTCATTTTTTTTAGAGTACAGACATGAAAAACACATCATTGTGTTCCTGGGGATCTCAGAACTCCTACAATGTTCTTATTTTCATCCTGGGATTTAAGGAAATTGTGCAATGTGAAAAAGTTCAGAGGCTACAAATTCACTGGGGTTAGGCAGATTCTTCTGGCTGAAAGGTTTCCAGGGTAATGTCCATAAGTGGTTTAAACATTTTGTTCAAAATAGAACACAATATGCATTTATTAATGGTGAAGTGTCAACGAGAAAGTATGGAGTACCTTAAGGATCCGTATTAGAGCCATTATTGTTTTTGATTTACACTAATAATATTGTTTCACTATAAAAAAACTACAGTCCCTTTGCTCTTTGCAGATGATACCAACCTTTTTACCTCCAAGAGAGACTTTGCAACTCTAATTAGAGAAACAAATCAAGACCTTTCCTATTATGATACTTGGTTTCAAATATCAATTATCTCTAAAATTCAAAAACAAAAAGTAATTTTATTTGCAGGAAATAAGAAATATTCTAGTAAGCAATAAAAACTTCCCATTGTCACAATCGGTATCATCAACATGTTTTTTTGGGGTATCCAGATTGATCATGAACTCTCCTGGAGGGGAAAGGTTGAATTTTTCTGCAGAAAGGTAACTACATCTCTTGAGATGTTAAGATTTTTTTATGTGAAGTTGCTCTAAGGAACATGGATTACCCACTTCATAAACACCTTAATGGACCAAAAGGCCAATGGTGGTGGACGGCTCCTCTCTTTTCATTGCCGGACAGAAAGGTTCAGAAGTTCTTTGGTATCCGCAGCCATCAGACTTTAAAACTCTTTTATATATATAGTAGATGACCCAAAATAAATAAATCACTCCCTAGCAATTAATTAAAAACTCTGTGGATGATTTTGGATATTTTCAGATGCAACTAAAGGCTTTATTGGGAAGAATCCAACATCTTTTGCTTCAGGTCTTAATATATTACAGTTGGAAAAGATATCTGAGTTGGAAAATCATCTTAGAACATGTCTTAGAACTCTCTCAGCAAAATAATTACTCCCAGGATGTGTCCTCCACACTTGTAAAGATTAAGACTGAGCTTAATACATTCATTAGAAAAAGAGCTGAATTTGCTTTTCATAGAGCTAGACTCAATTACTGTTTTCATGGAAATTGACCGAGTCAGTTTTTGGCCAATAAATTATGCAATTGTAATTGTCCTGCAAGTATGGACACTATAAAATCATGAGCCATGGAGTTTCTTACAGATCCCAAATCAATTAATATCCAATCTACAACTGTATTGTTTATTCATCCACCAACTCAAGTCTCTCTTTATCTGTTATTTCTATTGATGCTGAGAAGGCTTTCGATCACCCAGAGTGGCGATACCTTTGGTGCATTTTAGAATATATGGGCATAGGTGAAAGATGTATAAACTTGGTTACCATTGTATTTGCAAATCCATCAGCCAGCGTCATTACCGGAAACATTTGTTCTCCATCATTCAAAATCACACGAGGGAGCAGGCAAGGTGATCCATTATCACCATTGTTGTTTATCCTATCAATGGAACTATTAGCATGAATCTCCGTCAATCTCAAATGATCAAACATAGAACCGTTAACTCTACTGATCATCATATCTCTCTTTAAGCTGATGTCATCTTGGCATACCCGAATGATACTTCTCATTCTGTTTTTACAATTTTTACAAAATTTAATTCCATCTTGAATTATAAAATAAACTGGTCCTAATCCTCCATGTTTCTGAAGAATCCCTCCTTGTGTTATAACTCTATAGAAATCCTTTTAATATTTAAAATATTTAGGTATCGATATTTTCCCTTCTATTGAAAAAAGTATTGAGGAGTATTGACCATCAAAATGAGCATATTGCCCAGAATACATTTCTGTTGCTAAATGATTCCTATTGCTCCACCCTGTGGGTACTGGGATAAATTACATAGAAACATAACAAAAGTATCATAGAAAGATAAACAAGCTTGTGTGAAACCCAAAATAATGCAGAATGAAAAACAATCTGGTGGACTTGCTGTTCCAAACTTCAAACTTTATTTTCAATTATTGATGTTTTGCTCCTTATCAAATTGGTTTGACTTGGATTCAAACATGCCCTGAGTAAGAATTGAGAAAGATACTGTTGCACCCAATTCCTTACAGGACATACTATTTATGAAAATTTCAGCTGAACAGTCAAGAGTGTGTGATGGTCCAATAACTGCAACTGCGGTTTCAATTTGGCGTAAGTATGAAATACGTTCCTCAGAGGAAAAATTCTGGATAACATACAGTAGGCGATGTCATAGATGTAAATGGCCTGAAGACTTTTTTCTGTTTTAAAATATGAGTTTCAAGTAACGGGGTTTTCTCTTTTTTCTGTACATAATTACAACTGAGATCAGCAATGAAAGCATATGGGGATCTGTGGTTCCAACTGCCAATACATCTGTTAATCAATTTTATAAATTAATTCATAGGTCTCCCAAAAGGACAAATTTCTGCAAGATACCAAGTTCTCTTGAACAGAACTAAATCACCTTTATACATGGAAGCACGAAATACTGAATTAGGCTGTCAACATATTGACTGAGAAAAAGTTTGGAGAAACATTAACATGATATCCTGAAACCTAAATCATCAATTAATACACTTCAACTTTGCTCATAGAACTTATTTAACACCCTCAATTCTTTTGCAATTTAATTTGGGAAACAACTCGTGTGGATTTTGTGAAAAGGATATTGACAATGTGGAACTTCTTTTCTTTCACTGTAAAATTGTCCAGGGTTTTTGACTTGCATTTCAGGAGTGGC